ATTGTCTTTTCTTTTTTAGTGCTTCAAAGGTTTCTCAAAAAAATAGGCAGAGGTCTAATAATTTAAAAGAATTCCTTAGCTTTTTCACTCTCCGCTAAAACGACACGCACCCGCCTAGTCGCGATTTCTATCCGACAAATGTCAGCAACTAGCATATTGTTGACACGTGGACGGTTCAAAGATTTTTTGAGCAGCCAGGAAAGAGAGTCGTAGCTTCAGGCATTACGCCTTTTAACCATGTAGAGGAACTGGTCCTGGCTTTTTAACTATAGTTATTTGGCGCCGCTTTAACTTCTTTTTTTTTTTTTTTTTAAATTACTTTTCTTCACTTCATTCAAATCTCTCCTCTCTCTGCCTTCAAATGTTATTGGGCTTTCTGGTATTTCATTATCCTTCTCTCTCTGCAGACAGAGCTGAGTATGAACCGAAGCAGCCGCCTTTTGGACACGAAAACTCCGGTAATCGACTGAGTTGATCGGTTGTTTAGGGTTATCTTCATTGTAGGAGGTCAAGAGAGCAGCCATTAATTTCGTAAAACCTAGCTCTTTTTGTCTTTTCATCTCTTGGTATTATCTAATTTTCCTTTCCAGAGATACCAAAACATCAAATTGTTGTCAATCCGATTTTTGTTTCCCTTAGAATTCATTCATCCAGAATATTCAGGTGTTGTTAGTACAAAAACTTTACCCTTTTGGGGGTGGGTTCAACAATTTCCAGGTAGTGAGCTTTTTTGAATTCGAAACCCTAAAGCCTTTTTTTTTTAAACGCCTGATTCTCCAGAACTGGGAAGTGCTTTGGAGAAAAAAATTTAAGTCTTTGAAGAAAAGAGCATGGTGGAGATTGAGAATTCCTCACTCATGACAGTTTTCTAATGCTTCCGGAGAAGTACGAGTGTTTCCTTCTTTGGTAATCAAAGCTGCGTTACTCCCCCAGTGCCGCCACCAAAGAGAGAAGAGAAATCTCCCTTGGAATGCCAGGAAAACCATACATTATTTTACCAAACGTAACTTGAAAAAAAGATTTAATTTTTCCCCTCGCTGCTTTCTCAAGTATCTTATTTTTGCTTTTTATATGTGGTTTCAGATACCAGATGTGTGAAGTTGATAGCTTTATCCGCCAAAGACTCTAAGCCACAAATCGTTTTTGTGTTGCGAGATCTGCAACCAAAGGCTCCAACGGGACCAGAAACCTTCCAACTTCCCGCCGCGGACATAATTTACCGTGGAAGCTAAAGCAGCGAACCAGTAAGGAACCACGCAAGCGGGTCTACGTTTGCCCAGAAAAATCTTTGTTCACCATAATCCAGCTAGAGCTCTGGGCGACCTCACCGGAATCAAGAAGCACTTTTGCAGGAAGCACGTGGAGAAGAAGTGGAAGTGTTGAGCGGTGCTCGAAAAATATGCAGTAACAAATCCGATTGGAAGGCCCACATGAAAACTTGTGGAACTAGAGAGGTATAAATGCGATTGCGGCCTTTGTTCTCGAGGTTCTGAAATCTTGTTCTCTTGGTTCTTTCTATAAATGCTTCTTTTTGACTCTTGTCTTCTTTGTTCGATGCTGCTCTTTTTGGTTTGGGAGTTCAAGGAGGGATAGCTTTATTACCCACAGAGCGTTTTTGTGATGCCTTGGCGGAGGAGAGTGCGGAGCGGCCCCAAAACCCTAACCATTATCGGTAAGGAGGGGAATACGAATATGAAGAGCGTTGTAGCTTCACCCTACCACCTTCCACCTCTTACGCCCATCTACTACTGTTGTATTCTCCGGGTCTGTCAGTCCCAAGGCTCAGGGTCAAAAATAACTTATAATATATTTAGGTCTGAGTATTTTGTTTATTAATATACATGGGTTGTTTAGTTGTACGTACGTAGTCTCAAAGATAGGATTTGAACTTAGCTGCAAGTATTCAATTCGATTCTTTTTTTTTTTAATTTATTTTATCGTTGTCGTGGATTAAGAGTAGATGGAAGATTTCATTGTGTTACTACTGGATTTTGGTATTTATAATTTCACTGTTGTCTTTTGTTGATGGTCGTTCTCTAATAGATTAACAAATGTGTTAGGTGCCTTGATGTCTTTTATATGTATATATAAAAATAAAATAAAAATATAATATATATAAGTGAAGAGAGAGAGAGTTTGTAGTAATTGTTAATGGGGGGAGTTTGATGTGATTATCACGGGCTATTGGGAACACCACTCAGGTTTCAAAAGCTTTCAAAGATCGAAAGCTAAATAAAGGGATAGAGATTTTAGAGAAAGGGACGCCCATTAATTTGCTTTCTCGCTTTTTCTTGCTTTCGGTTCAAGCTCTCAAACCTGAATTGCTAGCATCAAATCTTTTATCATACAAAAAGTACCCTCTTTCCTTGCCTCTTTTCTTTGGATTTAGATTAACTCCATCTCTCTCTAACTGAAGTTATTAATTTATTTTTCTCATAATGCTTTTAGTTTTTGGGTTCTTTTTTTCTTATCTTTCTCACTTTCTGGTTCATAGAGATTAGCAGAAATCCAGTTGGACTTTCAGGCGAACACCAGCAACTAACATGCTTGGCGGCTACAATCTACAAGTACCAGCTTCTACAACCTCAACTAGCAATGTATTTGCCAGTGTATCGCAATCTTCCGCAACAAGCAGGCAATTTCCCCAACCTCATCAACTTCGTTTCTCGAATCTTTCTTTGTCCTTTACAAACACAGATTTGCCCAACTACAATACCGACACCTAGAGTTCATAGAAACTCCCTCTCTCTCACTTTCCTCTTTCTTCTTCTATCCTCCCATAATGCCTCCCTTTTTCCGGAGCAAGACCCGACAACTACACTTCCGTCTCCTTCAACCTTGCCATGTCTGCTACTGCATTGCTCAAAAAGGCAGCACAAATGGGTTGCAACGACATTCAAACGCATCATTTTCTCCGCGGCTTTGGTTAACCAGTATCATTCGTCTTCCCCGGTCAAGATAGGCAATTGGAAATCAATGGACATTTGAAGCCAGATACCCATACTGTAGCACTGGACTTGGCTTGGACTCCCATCTGGAGATGTTATGATGGCTTCATCTTTCAATTGTTTGTGAACAAACCAACCACACTCGATTCTTCTTGGGCCTAGGCATAGGTGCTGGCCTCTGCTTTCATAAATTTCTTACGGTGGCAGCTAATGTAGCAGCCGCAGCTGTTCTGCTACTCCTGCACCTATGGAGGAAGGGAGGGGTTTTTGAAGAGAACATGGGAGGCGCAACAGAGAAAAAGGACAATGGGGTCAGCTCCGCATTAGAAAAGGCTCCACTAGACACCCAGGATTTTTTGTCACGGGTGAAAAAGTTGAGCCCTCTCTTTCTCCTTCTCGCTTTATACCATTTTGTTCTTCAAGAATCAATAGGGAAGGCCAGAAGAAAAACCATAGAGTAGTTTTTCTTTTAATAGTAAGGGACCAAGATCACCTTCTTTTTTTTTTCTTTTTTTTTTTTTTTTTTTTCTCAATTTTCTTTTTGTCTTTTTTTTTTTTTTTACTGGTATAAAATATTTTTATGTATACTTTTGAGGGACCCAGTCCGCTTTTCCTTTTAGAGGCGAGTCTTAATTAAAAATCTGAGGAAAAAAAGAAAAGAAAAGGAAAAGAAAAGAAAAAGAAAAGAACTTGTATTGTACGTGAGGAAGGCGTGTCATTTTCTTTTGTCTTTTTTTTTTTTTTTACTGGTATAAAATATTTTATGTATACTTTTGAGGGACCCAGTCGCTTTTCCTTTTAGAGGCGAGTCTTAATTAAAATCTGAGGAAAAAAAGAAAAGAAAAGAAAAGAAAAGAAAAGAAAAGAACTTGTATTGTACGTGAGGAAGGCGTGTACAGTGAACTCGTGTATTTAGTATTTGCTAATGAGCAAAATTAGCAAAACAGCAAATGTAAGTGGAACTACCTATTAGTAGTTGTTTCCTCTGTTTCGTTTCTTCTTTCTCTCCGCTGCCCAATTTCCTAAAGACTGCTAATAAATTAATTAAATAACAGACTCCAAAACATTATCCCATTTGTTAATTGTGTTTGATGACCTGAAAATTACACGCGAGTTAGATGACGTGGTGTCTTAATTAATTGGAGGTAGCTGTAACAGGCAAAATATGAAGTCAAAGAGGTGGGGTCAAGCAGTCAAATATTCTTAGTAACTAAAATTTTTATATGAGCTCTTGGTCAGACTTCACACCGTGTAATAGGTAATGTATTGAATACGGTGAGTTGGCGACAGTCTTCGTGTCATAACGTGTGGGTCCACATTTTATCATGGTGCGTGGGCCTATTTCCTATGCTATTGCACTATCAAATCTTAGAATTTCAATCTTTCATATTTGAAACACGGTATGGTACATTAATGCAGCTGCCGATAGACATTTCTAAATAGTACCTTGACAAATTTACAACATTGTAAGAGGAGAAGGAAATAGAAATATTTGGGTAAAATTTTTGGAGAGATTCAAATATGCATCAACTCTTCACGCCATAGGAGAGCAGAGCACAGCTGATGCACCCCCCAAAGGTTTTTGAGTGCATGCAAAAGTCTATATATGAAGGAAAAGAAACACTGTACACGAAGTTAGTGGGGAATTTTAATTTTTTTTTTTTTTTTTTTATAAATTTCCACATTTGATGAGTCTGTTAGCATGAGCGTAATGATGATGAGGGAAAAAGAAACGAAAGAAACTTGGTCGTTCATTATTTTTGTTGTTATGATAGCAAATAAAGAATGGACCTCACAAAATAGCAGCAACCTAATCGCAAGAACATCAAAATCCAATTATTAACGTGGACACGCAGTCTTAGATTTAAAACTGGAACTTAATTATCGTGGATCCCAATACTTTACGGCTTCACAATGTCTTAACAACGTGGGATTACGTTTGCATTTGTGCATTCGTCAAACTTTGGCTTAGATTGGGCACAGACTTTTTTAACCCAGACATTTTCTCTCTCTCTCTCTCTCTCTCTCTCTTTTACTGAAGTTAGAAGAACCTTTTTTTATTATTATTATTAATTTTTATTGGACGTGCTGCTCTTTCAATATTTACTATTAAAGATACCTAATTATTGTCGCTTAATGGGCTAGCTTAAAAATGCAAGATAGGAGCTTTTTCCAAGACCGATAATCTCTCCCAGCGTAGAATATTTAGCCATGATATGATTTAGTAGCAAGTGCGTGCGTGTAAACGGAAAACAGCCAGTTAGTATCCTCCTCCTTTCTAACACTATATGCATATATAATGCTTGTCTAGGCGTAACGTATACTTGTTTGTGTGCCGGTTTGAGGTTTCCGCTCTTAACTGACGCACTCCATGACTTAAGCCTATGTAGCAGATTGTCAGCAACTTAAAAAAACATTTTTATAACATCAAATAGGCAGAATCCCCATCAAATCCAAATCAACCAACCTTGTATTTATCACTTTTAATTAAACACCATCTCATCTCTTTCTCTCTCTCTCGATGCTTCTTTTTCATTCCATTGTTCTTCGGATTCTCATCTTCTTACTACTCATCTATATCCTCAAATTGATACACTCGATCGTATGGGACCCGTTAAGAATCAAAATTCACTTCAAGAACCAAGGAATCAATGGCCCCAGCTACCGTCCTATTGTTGGAAATTCGGCGGAGATCCGCCGCATGTATGCCGAGGAGCAGACAAAGTCAACGTCGACGTTGTCAATCAGCCATGATATCCTTCACCGAGTGGTTCCATTTTACCATCACTGGTCCCGGATGTATGGAAAGACGTTCCTCTACTGGTTCGGGTCAAGACCCAGGTTGGTTATATCCAACCCGGATTCGATTAAGGAGGTTCTGATGAACTCGGGTAATGGGGTTTTTGAGAAGGTTCCGCAGAATCCTCAGGCTAAGTTGCTCTTTGGAGATGGGCTTGTTCAGCTCCATGGTGAGAAATGGGCTCTTCATAGAAGGATCTCAAACCAGGCTTTTAGTATGGAGCGGGTTAAGGTAAGGATTTTCTAATTCAAAGGAAGTTCTGGTTACTACAGGTGCAACAAATTCATATACTGCAACTTCGATTCAGAATTTGCTTTGAATATTGAGACCAAAATGGTTTTGTTTGATAGGGATGGGTGCCAGAAATTGTGGAGAGTACCACGAAGATGCTAAAAAAATGGGAGGAAATAAGAGGAGGTAGAGATGAATTTGAAATAGAAGTGAATAAAGAACTTCATGAACTCTCTGCAGATGTTATATCAAGAACAGCTTTTGGAAGCAGTTTTGAAGAAGGGAAACGCATATTTGCGTTACAGGAACAGCAAATGCATCTTGCCTCTCAAGCTATAAGAAGTGTGTACATTCCAGGATTCAGGTGATCATCTGTTTAACCTTCTTGTTCAGAGTTAACTACAGGGTTCGGGTGAATATTAAATTAATGTTTCACTGACTTGCAGGTTTTTGCCTACCAAGAAGAACAGGGAGAGATGGAGATTAGACAAGGAAACTCGTGAATCTATAAGGACATTGATCAAGACTAGTAGCAGCGCGAGGCAAAATTCAAGAAATCTACTTAGTTTACTACTTTCTTCATATAAAAATAATCAAAATGGGAAGGAAGAGAAATTAACAGAAGAGGAAATTATAGATGAATGCAAGACTTTCTACTTTGCAGGAAAAGAAACTACTGCCAATCTTTTGACTTGGGCACTTGTACTTTTAGCAGTACATCAAGAATGGCAAGACAAAGCGCGCCAAGAAGTGTTTCAAATCTGTGGAGGAGGGAATGAGTTTCCTGTTGCTGAAAATCTGAATAACCTTAAGATTGTAAGTTGAATCCATTAATTACTTCTGCATTCAAACTAGGAATAGGGGGCTTCTCTTCTCTTGCCTTCATAAAGATTTGATTATTGGGCATTTTCTAACAGGTGAATTTGATAATCAACGAGACGCTTAGACTCTACCCTCCAGCTGTGAGTCTAACGAGACAAGCAACTAAGAGGGTTAAATTAGGGAGACTTGATATTCCTGGAGGGACGGAACTTTATTTGCCACTTACTGCTATCCACCATGATACTGATATATGGGGAGAAGATGCTAGTGAGTTCAATCCCTCGAGGTTTAATGAATCTAAAAGGCACTTGGCTTGGTTTTTCCCATTTGGATTAGGCCCCAGAATCTGTGCTGGTCAAAATTTAGCCATTGTTGAAGCAAAAATTATCCTAGCCATCATTATCAGACATTTTTCTTTTGTGCTGCCACCAACATATGTTCATGCTCCTATGCTCCTTGTAACCTTGATGCCCCAATACGGTGCACAGATCATCTTTAGCAGAATTTCAAGTTGAAATTTTTTTCTTTGTACCATTTCTTGTTTTATCTTCTGCGGAAGCAATGTAAAACATGAACTATCATAAATACAAATGTTCTAGTCTTAATAATTATATGTCAAATTAAATTTTTACTTTGTTGTGTTTGATTGATTACCGGGTTAGGTAGCACGCATATTCTATGATTTTCTATATAGAATTGTATCCCTCCGACTAGATTACCTGCTGCTATTATTTTAAATTACTACATCTCTTCAATAATGGCATTTCCAAGTTCCTTTTAAACAGCTGAAAAAAAAAACTATCTTTTGTAGTTTATCAATTCGTTTTCCTCAATTATGTTTGCCGCGATCTTATTCTTCTTGCTTATTCTTCTTTTTCTCTTGAAATTTGCGCATTCAATATTATGGGTTCCAAACAAAACTGAACCCCAGTTCCGGAAACAAGGAATAAGGGGGCCAGGCTACCGGCCGATGTTTGGAACTTGGCGGAGATGCGGCGTATGACGGCGGAGGCTCGGTCAATACGGATGGCATTAAACCACAATATCCTCTCCCGTGTGTCTCCATTTTATGAAAAGTGGTCAAACGAGTATGGAGAACCATTATTGTACTGGTCTGGGACGAGACCAAGATTGGCAATAGCTGAATCGGGGTTGATTAAAGAGATTCTCGTGGATACGAGCGGGGTATTTGTAAAGCCTGATATTGACCCCTTGTCTAAGCAGCTCTTGGGAGACGGACTTGCTGCGTTGAATGGAGAGAAATGGACTGTTCATCGGAGAATCACTAATGTCGCCTTGAACATGGAGCAAGTTAAGGTAGATTTGAAAATATATCATAAGTAAAAGTCATAAACAACTATATTAGTATATACAAAAATCAAATTGCATCTGATACCATCTATTTATTTGCAAGGGGTGGATTCCGAAAATTGTAGCCAGTACAGTAAAAATGTTGGATAACTGGGAAGAGAAAAGAAAGGGGAAAGACGAATTCGAAATGGGAGTGCACAGAGAACTTCATAATCTATCAGCAGAAATTATTTCAAGAACACTTTTTGGAAGCAGTTTTGAAGATGGAAAGCATATATTTAAGTTGCAAGAAAAGCAAATGCAGCTTGTCCTTCAAGCGTTGAGAACTGTTTACATTCCAGGCCTCAAGTAAGATGTCTAATTCCCAAACACTGAATCAAGGTTGAATAGTGCCTTTATTTCTAAATTCTTCATGTTGTTACAGGTTTTTGCCCAGCAAGATGAACAGGGAAAGATGGATGCTGGAGAAGGAAATCCATGGACTGATTCGGAATCTAATTGAGATTAATGGCAAAGAAAGAGAGAACTCAAGAAATTTGCTTAGCCTGTTAACATCTTCCTATAAGAATCGTGATGGTAAAGATGAGAAATTAGATATCGAGGAAGTTATTGATGAGTGCAAGACTTTTTACTTTGCAGGAAAGGAAACGAGTGCTAATACTTTGACTTGGACACTGATCCTTTTGGCAATGCATCAAGAATGGCAAATCCAAGCCCGGGAAGAAGTAGTTCGAGTTTGCAGAGACAAAGAGCTTCCCACTGCAGATGTTCTTGGTGAACTTAAGATTGTAGGTTTAATTTTAAACTAATCAAATTACTCTTCCGTGTCATATGTCTACTCAAAATTTTGCTGTTGCTTTTATATCTTAAAAAACAGCTAAACATGATACTGAATGATACACTTCGGCGCTACACTCCAGTTGTTGGGTTGGTCAGGCAAGCAACCAAAGATGTTAAGCTGGGGCACACTGAAATTCCTGCTAATACACAACTTGCCTTGGCCATAAACAAGGCTCATCGTGACACTAGGATATGGGGTTCAGATCCTGACAAGTTCAATCCTGAAACATTTAGGGAAGCTCGAAAACATTCAGCCCTGTTTTTCCCATGGAGTTTAGGCCCTAGAATATGTGTGGGACAAAGCTTGGCCATGGCTGAGATGAAAAATTGTTCTAGCTATCATAATTCGGCATTTCTCTTTTGTGGTATCACCAACATATGTTCATGCTCCAATAAATTTCCTGACTGTACTGCCTCAGTATGGTGCTCAGATCCTCTTCAGGAAAATCTGAAATCGATGACTTCCCTGTGTTGTTTGATATGCTTGTTTTATTTGCTATAGAGGAATATTTTCATTTTATAGTTTATTTTTCTCCTAAAGAAGTCATCAACAGCGTGTCCAAAGCCTTTTTTTTATATGATGGTTAGGTTGCTAGATTGTATACTCACTGTGGTCCAAAACTATAAATTGCTATATAGTAGTTGGGATGCATCTTTCAAAATTTGTAAACTATTATGTAAGGACAATATCGTCTGTATAAATCATCATTACCATCAAATGAATAATTTTTAGCCTGTATTATGTACACAACAAGCCAAAAATTAAGTTTTCAGAGAATACCGTAACATCTATATAAATCAGATTACAAAAAACATTCATCATTTTTTGAGATTCCATGATGATGGATTTCATATTTGTTATGATCTTAGCTATTCTCTTTCTGTATCTCTTAAAACTTGTATACTCAATATTGTGGGTTCCTCACAAAACTCAAAGGCACTTCAGAAAACAAGGCATCCAAGGTCCAGATTACCGTCCGATCATCGGGAATTCATCAGAGATGAAACTCAAGAGAGAAGAAGCAAAGTCCAAAGTATCAGATGACCATAGCATCCTCAACCGTGTGGTTCCTGCTTATAGTACCTGGTCTAGAATGTATGGCAAAAACTACCTGTACTGGTTTGGAACCAAGCCTAGGTTAGCAATAGCAGATCCGGGCATGATTAAGGAGGTTCTTATGAATACAGGTGGGTTATATGAGAGGTTAGATAATGATCCCTTGTCCAAACAGCTCTTAGGGGAGGGACTTCCCGAGCTTAGAGGTGAGAAATGGGCTGTTCATAGAAGAATCAGTAACCTGGCCCTAAACTTGGAGCAAGTGAAGGTGATATTTGAAATGATTTAAGTATTTGGATTTGATATTATAGTTATTTTTTACTATTGAGATTTTGAGATGCTATTTTTTTTTTTCCAGGGTTGGGTGCCAAAAATGGCGGCTAGTACTATGAAGATGCTTGACAAGTGGGAGTTAAAAAGAGCTGGAAGAGATGAATTTGAGATTGAAGTTCACAAAGATATTCATAATCTGTCAGCAGATATTATATCAAGAACAATTTTTGGAAGCAGCTTTGAAGAGGGAAAACATATTTTTGAGTTACAAGAACAGCAAATGCACCTTTTCTTTGCATCTCTAACTAGTGTCTATATTCCAGGTTTCAGGTGACTTATCTACATTAACTCAACTCACATGCTTTGTTCTACTTTCAATTTTTAACTTCAATTTAAAAGTTAAAAACCAGGTTTTTGCCCACTAAGAAGAACAAAGAGAGGTGGAGAATAGAAAAGGAAATTCGGGGATCGATACTAAATTTGATAGAGGCTAACAAAACAAGTGCAGAGGATTCAAGAAATCTACTTAGTCTGTTAATGTCCTCCCATAAGAATCATGATGGTAAAGAAGACAGGTTAGAGGTAGAGGAAATTATAGATGAATGCAAGACTTTTTACTTTGCAGGAAAGGAAACAAGTGCTAATACTTTGACTTGGGCACTTATCCTTCTAGCAATGCATCAAGATTGGCAAACTAAGGCCAGAGAAGAAGTCATTCTTGTCTGCAAAGAAGATGAGCATCCTACTGCTGATAATCTTAGCCAACTTAAAATCGTAAGTCAATGTCTTAAGTAGCTGCTGTTTTTTCTTTTGCTCAAGTAAATTTCCCTGCTTATATTTAAGTCCATCTCTTAATTCTAAGCTCTTGCTGCAACAGATAAATATGATAATAAATGAAACGCTTAGGCTGTACTCTCCGGTGGCAATGCTGATGAGACGAACCTGCAAAGATGTTAAGCTGGGGGGAGTTGAGATTCCTAGAGACTCACAACTTGCTCTTGTCACAATTGCCACCCACCATGATCTTGACATATGGGGAGAAGATGCTGATAAGTTCAATCCTGATAGATTTAGCGAGCCTCGCAAGCATTTAGCCTCCTTCTTCCCATGGGGTGTAGGCCCCAGAATATGTGTGGGTCAAAGTTTTGCTATGGTTGAAGTCAAGCTTGTTCTTGCAATGATCATCAGGCAATTTTCTTTTATGCTGTCACCTACATATGTTCATGCCCCTCTGCAGTTTCTTACAGTGCAGCCTCAACATGGAGCACAGATACACTTCACAAAAATCTGAAATTGATGAGTTGCTCAGTTTATTTGCTGCATCTTTTGTTTTTCTAATAAAGAGGGTGATCTGTAGATAATATTGTGTAAAATGTATTCTAATGATTTTCTACATAGCTTATTAACGAATGATTTTCGTTTTCTCATAAAATGATCTAAGTTGCAATTGAAAATTTATATATAGATAGACGAGCATCTGTTTAGCGCATATGTAAACGACAAATCGTTTAGCATATTCGGATCCGGGTTTCATCAAGCGGCCAAGAAGCTATAGATGCGGTTCGTGCGAGAATTTACGCTTGAAAAATTGCGAACGCTTTAGTAAAAAAAAGATAAGAAAAGAGATTGCGAACGACATGAATGACATTCTGCCGTTTGTTTGGTGAACGACTGACTATTCGTGTTAAAATATAGGAAGTTTCTGGCGATTTACGGCGTACTTTAACGGAGTACTCATTAGTCATTTCCAACCTCCAACTCCAAGGCTCCGACTAATTTGGATTGAACAGATTAAACAGTGTTAGTTAGGCTTTCATAATGACCATATTGCCCCTAAGCGAATAACGAAACCGACACTACGTAATCTGTAAATAACGCGCCACGGGCAGTGTCAAATCAGTCCAAAAATCCATTGTAGTCCCTTAATGAGTGTCAATCCAAAGTAAAACGCCTATCCTGTTAACGACCTTTAAAAATTAAATTTAGTTAGTCACTTTCTATGAAATTAGGGTTCCCATTCTTTCCCCAAAATTTTTGGGTCGCCAACGAACTTTCTGGATTCTGTCTTTTGCTACCGTTCAGGCGATCGTAAAAGACGAGAGATAGAAAGAGCTGAAAAGGAAGTAGAAAGCCTTGTGTTCCTTACCTAACTCCTTGAAGACTCACCGATTTGCTGGAGCTTCATTTTATTGACTCGTATACGAGCGAAGAGGATCAGATTTCATGATTTATGCATCTTCTTATTCCATAAAGGTGTTATTTTTATTTGTATTTATTTATCTTATTTATATAATCAATTTAAAATTAAAAACAGAAAATTGATATCATGAATTATATCTCTAACTTTGAACAAGAATATGTTTTCTTTTAATGTTGTCAAATATGGTTCAGGCTTGTTAATTTCACTGTATTGAATCATTTTCTGAAAATGAGATTACGATTTTCATTAGTAATAATCAAATCATTCGAGCTTATATAAACAGGAAAATTCGATATGCCATGAACACTATAATCTCTAACTTTTGAACAAAGCAAATATGTTTTCTTTTAATGTTAGTCAAATATGTTCAGGCTGTAATTTCACTGTATTAATCATTTTCTGAAAATGATGATTACGAGGTTTTTCAATTAGTAATAATCAAATCATTCGAGCTTATAGTAATACGTACTATATCGTATATATATACATATATATATTAGCTATATATTATATATAAATATATAATATATATATAAACTATATATATTTTGGATGAAGCATGTCTCTTACTGTTACTTAATCCTTCAGCTGGAATATTATGTTCATGGGTATTGTTTTATAGAATGGCTGCTAACACCTGATTGGAAATTAGAATAGGTTCGTTTCAATGGCTGCCTATTATTGCATTTTTGGCAGGAAATCAGTTCAGTTTGTGATCTATATATATTTTGGATGAAGCAGTTATATACTTAATCTTCAGCTGAATATTTTCATGGTATTGTTTTATAGAATGGTGTAACACTGATTGGAAATTAGAATAGGTTGCAATGGCTGCTATTTATTGCATTTTTGGCAGAATCAGTCAGTTTGTGATCTGCTCGCTTTTCTTTGGTCGTACAGGTTTGTGGAGGAAGAGGAATCATAAGATAGTACTTTAACCTACAGATGCGCTGGAAAAAATTATGAGATTGTATTTTATGTGTAGTGGTAACGGTTGTGTTCTCTGTAAGTCACTGGTTCGAGCAAAACTTTTTTTCTTAAAAGGGTAAGATGCCATCTACATATTTCTCAAGAATAAGAGGTGCAGTACAGAATGAAATTCAATCCATTGTAGGACAAGAGGGTGGGCTTCGAGATTCAGCTGAAATTCTAATTGGGCAAGCAAAGTCCCGGTTTTCTAACTATAGGTTATTTCATTCTGTACGAATGGCGTCACTTGCAGACATACAAGCACTTCTGAGACCCGGTACTGTTTTCGCTGCTCAATCCGATTCAATACTACTTCACCGTAGAAGGAACATCTCTGTTATTGGTGCACTTTCTCGCACAGTTTCTGTACCCTCTGTGTCCGGCCCCTCATTTCAGGTTTGTGGATATCACATTGATCGTGCCCTTTGTGATACCAGTCAATTGTCGAACAATGGGAAGTTGCAGCATAAGAAGGTGGCTGCTTCTGCACCCAGAGCTGTAATTGGTGAATGTTTCCTTGAGAATCCAACTTCAAGGGGTGGGCATCTTCTATTTCCGATCAATAATGCCAGCATCTCTTATGGGAGTAGAAGTTCCCAGAGTTGCAGAAAAGTTAGTATGAGTTTGAAGAAAGAAGAGCAATCTGCCAATTCTCCAATTTATGGATATTTTGCATATAATGTCATGAAGAAGTGTTATGACTTTTTTCCTTACATAGAGACAGGATCTAGATGTTTCCATAGCTCATCTACCACATGTTTGTCAGCTGGAACTGCCCCTGATGTGAACTTTGAGAATTCTGTCCGTGAGGAACAAGCTGAAACTTCTGCAAGCTCCTCAGAACAGTATGTTTTTCATTGTTTTCATCATTCAGTTATTAAATATATATGTTGTCATTTGGTTTAAAAGTATGAATTATTGAATTGCATTGCTCCACTTACTGGAATTCTTCTTGTGGAGCTTGTAAGTCCCAAGAGGCATTCACTTTACAAGTTTTACATGGCTGGGTCTTATAACATGTCCTCTAGCACTTATGTCTTGTGTGCTGCTTGAAATTTACTTCAGGAAGGTTTCTGCTGTCAAAGCACTGAAGCTAGTGTCAGGATCTTGCTGCCTACCCCATCCTGATAAAGAAGCAACTGGTGGAGAAGATGCCCATTTTATTTGTGCCAATGAACAGGCGATCGGTGTGGCCGATGGTGTGGGTGGTTGGGCAGATCTTGGTGTTGATGCAGGGATATATTCCCGTGAACTCATGAATAATTCAGTTACTGCTATCCAAGAGGAGCCCAAGGGTTCAATTGACCCAGTTAGGGTCTTGGAGAAAGCTCACTCCAGCACAAAAGCCAAAGGTTCTTCAACAGCATGTATCATAGCACTCACTGATGAGGTATGCCTTTTTCATTTTTGGTGTGCTTTTCCTTATGCATTCAGTGAAATAACTTCTGGAGCGTGAACTCTGAAGTTATTGGCTCATGGAGGCATTTTGAAGACTATTTCACTTACTGATTGTGAACTTGTAGTCAAGCTTGGTGAAAGAATGTGGAAGCCCCATTCTTCTTCTCCTATGCTATGTAATTCAATATATCCTGAATGGCTGTAATGCTTTTATCCTGCTTTGATTTGTCTTCTTACTTTTACCCTAATCATTGATTATAGTAAAAATTTCCTATCATTACTTGATGCATGAGAACTGCAATTTCAGTTATGTCATCTTTTAGGGATTTAATATTTGAATTTACATTTCAATTGCTCATAAACACATTATACCTCTAAATTTCCCATAACAGTTATGACTTTAGGTCTCTTGATTTTCTTGTTCAGGAACTTGATTACTTCCTGTCCTTTCAATGTCTATCCCTCTTTCTCACTGAATCAAATGATCAATCAGCACCTGTCTATTTATTTCAACTGCCAATTTACCACTACTTTAAACTACCACTATCCACATAGTGAAACTTTTGATTCCTCAGTTTTTTGAAACAAGATCTGATTATTATTGGTTTTGTTGTTGTCTGATTAGGGTCTCCATGCAATCAATTTAGGAGACAGTGGATTCATAGTGGTTCGGGATGGATGCACTGTCTTCCGTTCTCCTGTGCAGCAGCATGATTTTAATTTCACCTATCAACTTGAAAGTGGAGATAATGGTGATCTACCTAGCTCCGGTCAGGTTAGTTGAATATCTTGGGATTATTTCATATAGGAATTTGGCTGCAAATTGATTAAGCATTATGGTTTTGTTCAAAGTACTTAATCTATATGGTGTCTGATTTTGTCATTGATGGTTGTATGTTTTCCTGAATAATTATTAAGCATTACACACACACACGTGCAGACACTAATTCAGCATCTCTTTACTTCTAATTCTGGTTAATGGTATTGGGATTTATTTTTACATTTGGCCTAATAATCAACCAAAGTGATGGTCATCAACACAAGTGTACAATGTTACATATGAAGCTTTTTTTCTTTCCAGGTTTTCACAATTGCTGTCGCACCTGGGGATGTTATAGTTGCTGGAACTGATGGATTATTTGACAACTTGTACAACAGTGAGATTAATGCAGTGGTGGTTCATGCCACTAGAGCTGGCTTAGGGCCTCAGGTAACAGCACAGAAAATAGCAGCGTTGGCACGGCAACGAGCACAAGACAAAGATCGCCAGACCCCCTTCTCAACTGCTGCCCAAGATGCAGGATTTCGCTATTACGGTGGCAAGCTTGATGACATCACTGTTGTTGTTTCATATATTACCAGCTCTGATGATGTATGACTCCTCTCCCTATCTCCCTCTCTCTCTGGTATATATATCGATCTTCTATTATTTACATACTTATTGCTTTTGCTTTTCTGAATGCAACTCTAATTTTCTTCTTCCTCATCACATCTGTGTATTGATATGGCATTTTCTGAGCACAAATATGCACACACAACTCCTACAAAGTTTTGTTACAATCTTCTACCAATGAAGTTACCAAGTTTTAATCTTTGCAGTAACAGCCAATGTCATTGTTGTCTTTCATGCGATGAACGCATTCATGATGCTCTATGCAAGTATATTGTATGTCCATGTGGATGGTAATATTTTTGTCTCAAACTCTATGCAGGAACACCGACCTTCTTCTTAAAAATCTTGCTCTAAGGATTGCATGGAAATAGTTTTATTCAATTTCTATACATTGTTCGAGGGTGCTTTTCCCAGTGAAAGCTCAGCTGATGTAAATATTTAATTCCACATCTATGATGCTGTTCTTGTTTTGCCATAAAAGAAACAGGGGGGTCGCTGACGACCCATGCATAATTCCAGCTACGGGAATAGTTGAATGAATTAATAACAGTTACATGTTATTGTGGACAGGCTTCAATTTTTGTTACTCTCAAAGGCCGAGTATAATTATGTAGTTCATTCATATGTTAAACATGCCTCTACTTATATCTTTCTTTTTTTTTTTTTTTTTTTTTTTTTTTTTTTTCTCTCATAAGGCCGAGTATAATTATGTAGTTCATTCATATGTTAAACATGCCTCTACTTATATCTTTCTTTTTTTTTTTTTTTTTTTATCTTTTTTTTTAGCCCATAGAGTTTTGATATTTATTGTTTTTTTTTTTTTTTTTTTTTTTTTTTTTTTTAGAGTTTTGATATTTATTGATACTTGAGACCAGGATGTTTATGGTCTCGACTCTGAAGCTGCTAATTCTGATAGCTCATTAAGCTACCAGTCAATGGATTATGAAATTTATATTGGATATACAAATGTTGGCTGTGAGTTGTGTTTTGAATTAGCATGCTCCTGATCTAAAAGCTTAGAATGAGGACAGACACCGGAGAGTGGAGGAGCACAAGTTGGCCAAACTCGAGCATTTCTGGGACCTGGTGTTTCCATTTTCACTTTTGGAGATGTGATAAGGTAACATATGGATGGTACGAAGGGAGGAATTTTGTTGGTTTGAAGTTGAATCAAATGTACATATTAACGTATAGATAATATTTGAAATTATAAAGTCTTCCTCAAAACATTTTATACTCATCGCGCTTGCCGTACGTTAGGCTTCAGCTTTATAATTATAATTATAATTATATAGAAGCGCCAAGCCGCCGATATACCATGTCATGTGGGCTCCAATCCAATCTGCTTCGTTCGATCATGATCGCAAGGGTATGATATTGTCATATGGGAAGCTAATCCGAGTAGGAAACCGGCGACACACTTGATCTTCTCCTTTCTCCACTTATAAAAAACAAAATAAAAAAAGAAAGCGAAAAAATACGGTTTTATCCCTATATTTTGACATAGTTAATTGAATTGTCATTGTGTTTTAAGTATTACATGATTTTATCCTTTTAGTTTATTACCCTTAAATTAAAATACATCTCTGTCCATTATTTAATATTTTAGTCGTTAAGGAAACACTAAAATAACCCTAAATGTAAGTCAAATATCTTTCAACTTTGTATAAAGCGACCTTTGAACTACCAAACTCACTCAAACTCTCTAAATTAAACGGAAACCTCTAAACCCAGAAAATATGATTCACGATTGAATGGCAAATGATTGATGAGGAATTTGCTGCTTTTGTGCATTAAGGAAAGCAAAATCAAATGAGCGATCGATCTATTCTCAGTTCGAGAGCGAGATTAAACGAAAAGGAATGTCAAAACAGACAGAGAAAGAACTAGGTAGAAATCGTCTTTTTTTTACAGTCTGTTTGTCACAGAGAAACAATGGACGGAGGTGTATTTTAGTTTAACGGTAATAAATTATAGGGATAAAATCAAGTAATATTTAAAATATAATGATGAATTAGTTAATTATGTCAAAATACAGGAAGAAAATCGTATTTTTAACAAAAAAAAACAAGACAAATACTCTGCGCGACGACCAGTTTGGGTCTATATTTCCTCTTAAGCAACGAAAGACGGAATATTTGGACAGGACAGACGACAGAGTGTGCAGTTTAGTTCTATGAATCAAGTTTGAAGATCGAAACGGTGAAATCCATTGATGTAATAAGAGCAAGTGTATATAGACTGGGATAGGTAAACCCATGGCGGGTACGGGTCGTAGAGAAAAGGGTCAAACACTTCGCGGATCTCGAATCGCCGTAGCAATTGTTGTCGGAGTTTTATTCGGTTGCATCTTTGCCGTTTTGTACCCCCATGGATTCTTCAACTCCGATGCTTCTACTCCGAGTCGTCGAGTTGCTACATCTAATCTCCAGGTTCGGATTTAAACAGCAACCCGATTGTTTATCTTTGGTGCTTTGTCTTCTTTTCTTTTGGAATTAGACTTAGTTTTTTGTTTAATGTGCTCTCTAATTGTGTGTTTAAATCCGTCAATTCAAAAAGAGTTGACTTTGCTTCTTGTGATTGACTTATTTATTTCTATTTCAGTGCCCCAATAGACTTTCCGAGTTATAACTCGGTTTGTTCTTGGTAATTACGTGATTTAATTGAGTGATCTCCTTATACCTGTTTATATACTTCATTTGATGGCTTTACGAGAACTACAAATCCAAATTTTATCCAGATTATTAAAAATGCTTTCAATTGGAAGCCATCCCTCCCTGCATTATTAATTCAATTTTGATTTTAGCACTGAACTACAACCCTTGTTTAATTCATAGGCCTTTTGGTGCTCGCTATGGCTTGCAGGCTTAGCGAGAATAAGATTAACTGTTAATTGTTAGTTTGAACATGAAGTTCTAGTTTGCAGTTAAATAAGGATATATCGAAGCTTCTAAGTTTGCAGTTAAATAGCCGCATATATACTATATACGCTCACACTCACTCATATATATACTCTACTACTACTCACTAATACATAGTGCTATGAGATCGCCTAATCTCTGCCTTTCTAACTTAAATGGTTATCTGATTTTGGGATTCTTTGTCATGTAAAAGTTATACATTATCTGTTCATTCCAAAATTGATAGGAGAAGCTTACCATGTCTTGTAATTTGCAACACTGCCTTGTTTTGTCAGGTTTGGCCTTCCTTTCATGTGAATCATCCCTAACGATATTAAATGCTCAACATGGATATTGTCTCAATCAGAGAAGAATGCTGAGTCTGCACACGCACGCAAGTAACGCGGCAACTCAAGTGAAAAGCTGCAGCAGGCTGAACAAGGGAACAGATCATGCACAGAAGCAGCGCTTCTCGGTGCCTCGCGGTAAACAGCAGAAAGCTGGGCTTTCTGGTACGTGAAGAGTTGCGAACTACCCCAACAGTATGTGTCCTCGATATCAGTGAATACGAGGTTAGCAAAATAGTGCTATGAGATGCCTAATTTGCCTTTCTAACTTAAATGTTATCTGAATTTTGGGATTTTTGTTTAAAAGTTTACATTATTTGTTAATTCCAAAATTGATAGGATGCTTACATGTCTTGTAATTTGCCAACTGCTTGTTTGTCAGGTTGGCTCCTCTTCATGTGAATCATCTGAACGAATTAAAATGCTCAAATCGGATATTGTCTCACTATCAGAGAAGAATGCTGAGTTGAAGAAGCAAGTAAGGGAACTAAGTGAAAAGCTGCAGCAGGCTGAACAAGGGAAAGATCATGCACAGAAGCAGGTTCTGGTGCTGGGTAAACAGCAGAAAGCTGGGCCTTTTGGTACCGTGAAGAGTTTGCGAACTAACCCAACTGTTGTTCCTGATCCATCAGTGAATACGAGGTTAGCAAAACTCTTGGAGGAGGTTGCTGTTGGGAAGGAGCTTATCGTTGCACTTGCAAATTCTAATGTGAAAGCCATGTTAGAGGTCTGGTTCACTAATATCAAGAGAGTTGGTATACCCAATTACCTGGTTATAGCACTAGATGACCACATTGTAGATTTCTGCAAGTCAAATGATGTTCCTGTGTACAAGAGAGATCCAGATGAAGGTATTGATTCTGTTGCAAGAACAGGAGGCAACCATGCTGTCTCTGCATTAAAGTTTCGTATTTTAAGGGAATTTTTGCAGTTGGGCTACAGTGTTCTTCTTTCAGATATTGATATAGTATTCTTGCAAAACCCATTTGATCATCTTTATCGGGATTCAGATGTTGAATCAATGACCGACGGTCACAATAATATGACAGCTTATGGATATAATGATGTCTTTGATGAACCTGCCATGGGTTGGGCTCGTTATGCGCATACAATGAGGATATGGGTTTACAACTCTGGTTTCTTTTATATCAGGCCTACAATTCCTTCAATTGAGCTTTTGGATCGTGTGGCCGATCGTTTGTCTCGGCAACCAAACTCATGGGACCAAGCAGTTTTCAATGAGGAGCTCTTTTACCCTTCACGTCCTGGCTATGATGGGCTTCACGCTGCAAAAAGAACTATGGATTTCTATATGTTTATGAACAGTAAGGTCCTTTTCAAGACTGTGAGGAAAGATGCTAAGCTAAAGAATTTGAAGCCAGTAATTGTTCATGTAAACTATCATCCAGATAAATTTCCAAGAATGAAAGCAGTTGTAGAATTCTATGTTAATGGAAAGCAAGACGCGTTGGAGCCTTTCCCCGATGGATCTGACTAGTAGTTATATTACTGCAGAACATTATAGAGAAATTAGGTTTGGCCCATAGACGGGCTCATCAACATTTCAGTTGTTATAATTCATATGATACAGGTAGGTTAAATTTGATTTTACCTTTGAAGATCAATGTAAGATGAATTTTCCTTTTTTTTTTTTTTTTCTTTGGGTTTTTTGAGATCTTAATTTGTTTTGGTTCTGCAAATGGAGCTTATTTCAATTTAATTACCACTATTTGCATGGCTTTTTTCATCTCATCCAGTTTTTGTCTTCTTTCCTAATTAAGATTTTGTGATAGAATGCATCTTATAGCTGTTGCAAGCTTTATTGTTCAATTTTTTTGATATGATTAATTTGCAACCTTGTGGAGCTGAGACTAGAAATGTTAGGACGTTAAATTTGTGGCCAATTTGGGAGGCGTTGGCTGCTATTTGCAATTTCTGGAAAGTGGCAACTTTCCTCTTTCAACCTGTTTTCCCCCTAACTGAGCCTTTCTAAATTTCATTTCCGTGGGGACCTTTTCAGTTCTTTGGCTTGGTGAAATTATTTTGGTTTGGCATTTATTTGAGTGGGGGCGGTAAAAGACTTACCTTTGTAGAAAGACAAGACACAAGGCATCAGTCACTTCACGGACAATAACAGGTTGTCATTTTAAGTGAGCTTGACCTAGATACGAACTTGTCATCACAAAAAATAAAACCTTAGACTTAACGGTCACCAAAAGAAATTAATTTCCAAAATTCCAGTTGCAAAAAAAATTAGCCCAAATGCGCACTGTGTTGTTTGGAATTTTCTCTCTCCTTATCCAAAATCTACACATTGATCCTCAACCACCCTAACCTTAACCCCACCCTGTCTGTTTTTCCCCTTTCAAAATCTTCTCCACTGTTGTTTGTACTCTCTTCATCCACCACAAAACCTTGTAATATTAGCTTTTAATATTCTCATATCTCATAATATCTGCTGGTTTTGCTTCAGCAACGAACACCCGTAAGGCCTTTTTTTTTTTTTTTTCCCTGCAGTTCCAAGATCTCACTTCGCTGCAGAAAAGATTTCCCGCCAAAACTTTCTTTTTTTAATTAGCCTTGTAAATGGTTATCGGGTATTAGCGAAAATGGAAACTTTTTCTCGTTGAGAAAGCCATCTTTTTGGTAGCCCTCAAAGATCATTTATGAACCATACAGATTCTTCTCCTAAAAGCCCTTCCTCTGATATTGATTTCAAGGATGTGTTTGGTGGCCCTCCGAGGCGGGCATCGATGCAAGAGATACGGTGTAGTATTGCTGAAAGTTCAGAAACGTATTCATTAAGAAAAAGTGATGCTGTTGAAACAAGTTTACATGCCCGTAGATGGTCTGGCCTAAGTGAAAAGCCGGTCTTTGGAGAGGAAAGTATTAATAGAAGGAGATATCCAAGTCAAGATTTCTTTGATGATATTTTCAGATGCAACGACTCTTTTAGTTCTTCTCCAAGGAAAAATGACCGAGATGTTTTTTCCTCTTCCCCCGGTTCAAGAGTTTTAAGCCCTGGTCGACCCCTGCCACCAAGAGCTGAGCCCTTTACAAGTCCATCACTACCAGCACAATTCAGGTTATGGGTTTTGCTTTTTAATGCATCTAGTAACTTCTGTGTCTAATTTACTAGCTTGTTCCAATAACTTTTTTTTTCTAATTTAGTTAGTATTTGAACATCCAATACCTATTAATTTGCTGAGATAACTAATATTTTCCTGGATCATGAATTTGTATTTGACTTCGCTTCAATGATAAGTATATCATCTTTACTCTCGGTTGCTAATTATATTGTATTAGCTGATTTATTTCATGAATTCCCAAAAGGCTAATATCAATTGTTGCTAACCTTTGCAGCCCCACTGCCAAACTGATTAAAGGGACAGACTTGCCAACATTTGGATCGAGTGATGGTAATCATCACAAAAATAAGGATGGTACTTTAAATGGTGTGAACGTTTATTCTTATTCTCCTCTGTCTAGATTTTCAAGCCAAACAAACCAAGTTCAGGAGGAGTCGAGAAATGATGTTTGTTCCAAGAGCTCTTTGTTGCAGGAGCCATTTCTCAGCAGTGAGGATCCATTAAACTTGGCCAAACCTGATGAAATGGACAAAGGCAGCAATTTGGAAAAAGATTCAAATCGTTCCACACTCGGCAGCCACTTTCACTTTTCTATTTACAAATGGGCAAGCAAAGGGGTTCCTTTGGCATTGCCTCTTAGAGGAGGAAATGTTTCAAAATTAAAAGAGAAGATCAAATTCGAGAGAAGTTTGAGTTCTTCTGGACGGATAGCATGCGAAGGTATGGCTAAGGAATTATCTTCAGCGACTCCAGAGGATATTGATTGTTCCACATTCAATAATAGCATATCAACTGATGCTGCTAAGTACTCCGAGATTGAACTTGACAGAAGAGAGAACGGCTCTCTTTTCAATGCAAACACCGATAGAAGAGTAGAACGAAGGCAGACTGTTGAGGAGACAGTTCTTCCAAAATCTGTGTCTCCAAACCTGAGCACTGTTATCCTCCAGAACTCGATGCAAGAAACAAAACCTCAGTCTGTTCTTGACAAGGGCTCGTCTGGAAAAATAGAGCAAATCCCTGCAGCTACCCAAGCGACTCCAAAAACACTGCATTCTCTGATGTCAGGTAATAATCATGATCAAAGGCCAAATTTCTAGATGAGGAGTTTGCTTCTCATATATAGTCTCTTTTTCTGTTATAGGCCCTGATGAGATGACTATTAAAAATGAATTAAAAGAAAGCAAGGTGGAAACAAAAAAACTAGCTGCCATCTTTGATGTTAGTGGAAAAGTAAAGAAACAAGATGGAGAAGGTATTATATTGAGTAACGAAGGAATGGATGAATCCAACTTGCAAGGTTCATCCATAAGTTCAAGAGACAGCATTGCAAAAAATCGAGGTAGAGGAAAGGTGAAGGAATTTGTAAAAATTTTCAATCAGGAAGCTTCAAACAAACCCAAGTTCAACGAGGACTCTCAAATTCAGAGCTCAGGATGGAAGGAGAGAGGCAAATTCAAGCCACATGATGATGCTGACATTACCACAACTGAAGTAAATATGAAAGTGTGCTTGCCTAATGCGAACAAGGACAACACACCAATTGCTTCCATCACGGTAATCGGCTTAAGTTGAATTTGTTTTGCATACTCATACATTAACAACGCATACAAATTACATAATATTGTAAACTTTGAACTACTTACTAGAATAGTTCTAATTGAATGTTATACTCTTTCAGGTAGATGAAGTTCTTAAGCAGTCTGATGAACGATATTCTAAGCTAAGGACCAATAACCATAAGTTCATGGACATTTCTTCTGGACTTAAGGATAGATCAAATTCAAATGGAGGTATGTTAGAGCTGTTTTTGGTCAGATGTTTATCGTGACTTGAATATGTAGGAAGAGTAGAATAATGTAATGTGTGAGAAACTGTAGGTTATTTTGAGATGTTGGAGCAATACAAATGACTCTATATAGTACTATATTTACTTGTTTTTCTTTATAGTTATTCAAAGGTAGGATGTGTAATACATTGAAATGTTTTTGTCAGTATCAGTTCCTGATGGCTCAGAAGCAATAATTGGAGATCTATGTGATTCTTTCCAAGGGAATATCCTGGTGTGTAATCATATCATTTTTCACTCTGTAATTGTATCTTTACTTCCTATTAGATTTTTATTTGAAAACTGTTAAGTTCAGAAGATAAATAAATAGAACACATGATCTTCGTGTCAATTAAGTGATAAGCCTGCTATAAATAGTATCAAGAAATTAAATCTCGTTGTTCTTTGTTTTCAAACGTTCGGACATTATGTCAGCTCATTTATCTGGTATAAGTTAATTGCATCTTGTAACAAGGTAGTAAATTTTGTTTGTGAACAGATTAAAGAATTACCCCAGGATGAAGATGAACAACCACAAGCTGGTGATAACCAAGAAGAAATCCAAGTAATATGGAATATACACTAATGAATTCCCATCCTTTTCTTTTTGTTATGGCAGGAAATGCTAATTGGACACCATATTTGTAGGTAATTGATGCTAAAATTCGGGAGTGGTCAAATGGTAAAGAAGGGAACATCCGTTCCCTGCTCTCAACTTTGCAATATGTGAGTTAGCCATCTCTACTTGAAAGATACATTTTAATGTACTATTGAAATTTTCTTTTTAATATCTATATTTCACACTGGTTTACTGTTTTCAGATAGAATCTTTGCTTCTTATACCAAGAAAACTACATGCTAAAAATTGGATAAACCTCGCCTGCAGTTGCATACTAACAAGTTTCTTGGGTCTTAAAATTGCATATACAAGGTTGTTTGGCCAGAAAGTGGGTGGAAGCCTGTGCCTCTTGTTGACATAATTGAAGGAAATGCAGTGAAAAGATCATATCAAAAGGCCTTACTCCGTCTACACCCAGATAAACTACAGCAGAAAGGAGCTACCTCCCATCAAAAATATATAGCAGAAAAAGTTTTTGATGTTCTGCAGGTAAATATTTGCTTCATGGTTTTTTTATAAAATTTAAAAAAAAAAAGAAAAAAAGAAAACCAAATTGCTCATTTTCCATAATCATATTTCAGTAGATAATTATGTAAAAAACGGCTGTGCAAGTTTAATATTTATTAATTAATCAGAAAGTTTAAATATAATTAGTAAACTGTTATTGAAATTTGAAACCTTCTGTACAGGAAGCATGGAGTCATTTCAACTCAGTTGGGTCATTGTGAGCAGTGAAAACGGTCAAATGACAATTTGTTGTGATTGAGACAAGGACACAACGACCTCATAAGTGTTTGATTTTATAGAAAAGCAATTTGTAAAAATTACAGAGTGGGCTATTTTTTATGTTGTGCTTCCTATAAGAGCTAAAGATAAGATATTGGATTTGGACGTACCTACTTGGTTGCATACCGTATTGGAGATGTCATGTCAGTACACCATAAATATAGATTTTGTGATCTTTCTGTGCTTTTTTTTTTTTCTTTTAACTTTTGTCAATGATACACTTTATATTTTATTCGTTATAATATTATATTAATTAATTTTACTTAATTCATGTAAGATTGGATATAGGCCTTTGTATTGTATGGAACGAAAGGAGTAATAACTAAACTAATATTCAAGTCCTTCTAATCGATTGAGATGGTTAGACAACTCATAATACAGCAACAATAAATAGAAATTTATGATGCATAAATTTACCTCCGAAGTTTATGTGATTTGTTTTGTGACATTCTCACGAGGGATTTATACTTTTACATTTCTGTAATAATTATTCTTTTGTCAAAATGAAAAACTTTTCGAGAGTTTAATCATGACTTTACTCTTTTATATATTATTTTGACGAGAGACATAATTATTATTGAAATGTGAAATTATAAGATCATGATATGTCATTCGCAAACTTGAAGATGCCCCGAGACAAATTGCGTAAACTTCAGCAGCAAATCTATGCATTTAGCCGAAAATTGATTAATAACCTAGAAAAAAAATTAAGACTTGGGCAAATAAAATAATTAATAAAAAGTTAAAAGCTTATTGCCTGTGCTAAATAATCAAGAGTGATTCCCCTTCTCATAACTTTGCGGTTTCATCGAACGAAATTCGAACATTCATTGGTTTGGAGATTTCAAATATTTTTATCTAAACACCATCTTCAAATTCTTTATAATTGATTGGAGCATGTGTTTTCGCCCTTTTAATTTTTTAAATTTCTCTTATTTTTTTTCCTTAAAAGCATATAAAGGCAGGGCAAAGTTCGTTTTGGTTGTTGTTGATAATGATTGGCCGTTCGATTTGATTTGGAGGACTGCATATAAGCTACCTTACAGTAGCCTGAGACAGAGAAACCAACCATGAAATGTTTGAAACGTTTCATTTCACTCTAATCCATGACTATACTAATTTTTTTTTTTAGCCAATTGGATCAATTAGTCTGAATTTGCACAGATGAAACTTATAAACGAGTAAAATGCTCTCTTCTGCGTTCTACATTTAAAGTTCAAATTCGAAATCTAATTAAAAGAGAAGAACTCATTGTCATTTTATATATTTTTTTTTCTTCTTTTTATTCAAAGAAGTGTCTTATTATTTTATTCAAATACTTAATTTTTATAATCATTGTAATATCATTTAAATCCAAATTCATAAAAATAAATATGTCCATGTTATAAGATATTTCAGAAAAAAAAAAGAAAAGAAAAAGGTGGGTCCTAAAAAGAAAGTGATTTTGGCTAGAGCGTAGTAAAATAGTAAATAAGTCAACAGCTTTTGTGCGAATTACGAGCTTGTCGTTTCTATATGCTCAAGCCTCAATGGGACACAGATTGTCGTTTTTAAAACGGTACCATTACGGGCAGCTTCAGCTCCCACGTTGGTTTGTCTGGTCTCTTGACATTTTGCCAACAGACAAAGTATGACCCACGGTCCAATTCCATGATTAAACCTTCAAATCTTCAATCTGTTACTGTTCTTTTATTATATTCAAGTTTTAACTTGCTTACCCTTCTTTTTCCCTGGAATTTAAATTAGATTCCATCGTCTAGGTTACATATACTTTGACTGGTCTAAAGTTTAAAAGGTGTTAATAAAATCAATCTCATCATTATAAATTTTCAATATCAATTTAAGAAAAATTTTCAAAATCTTTCTCACTTTTAATATATATATTTTTTTTTTTGCAGTATGAATAATTAATTAAGCAATAACTATAATAATACATTTTCCACATTTTAATTTTAGAAACAGGAAAAAAAACAATAGATATTATTCTTTGAATCTTGATCAACCGAAGCAAATGGAGTGGGCGCCAATCAGCTGTATCTCTGTACAAGTTGGAATATTATACTTAAATGAAAATAGAAAAAAAAAAAAGAATATTACTTCGTTATTTATTTATGGATTTCTAGTTCAAACGTGCTTAACTTTTAATATTTATAAATCTTTTAATCCAGGTGTCAACTAACTGTTTCTAATTAAATTAAAAGAAATGAATTAATACCATTTATACAAATATTATTTTTCAAAAAATAAAAATGAGTTCAAACGTGCTTAACTTTTAATATTTATAAATCTTTTAATCCAGGTGTCAACTAACTGTTTCTAATTAAATTAAAAGAAATGAATTAATACCATTTATACAAATATTATTTTTCAAAAAATAAAAATGCATTTATTTTTAAAAAAAGAAATATATAATAATATATTATGGTTGACTTGACGGATGCAGAAGTTCAATAAACGAATAAAATAAGGAGAGCTCATAAAATTTAGTCATTGGAAATGTTTCCCAAAAACAATTGCAAGTGCAAGCGTGCGACTCCATTTAATGGTATAGATGTGCACGTGCTAAGTCATTGGATCAGACAGTTTGTTATTGAAATTTTGATAAGGACAAGGTCAGCGTAAAAATGGTTGATTTGATTAAGTAGTTCGCGAGAATCTCATGTATGCATTCATGATAAAGCTGCTGACTCTAATCAGGTAATAAATTTCAGAAATAAAATCTTTTAAAAGAGGAAATAATTTTCTAATTGTGGAAAGTGGAAATGCTACTTTCGTTATTTTCTTATAGTTAGTAGGCAAAAATAAAATAAAAAGAGTGAAGTGAGTTTGAAGGAGAAGATGTTTGCTCTAACGACTTCCACAGTGGGCAATACATACAGTTGTCTTGCTTATCTTTGGAGAACGACTTCACAACTTCCTAATCTTTCAAACCCTATAATAATTAGAAAATAAAATGCTGTAAAAATTATTAAATAGAATAATAATTAGGGACAAGTAAAAAAGAAAAAAGGAAAGTGATTGTATTTTTATGAAATAAGTATATACTAGTATGTGAAAAAAAAAAAAAAAAAGGAGAAAAAGGAAAAGATGGTTGATAAAAAAAATTAGCAGGTGGACAGAGGACATGACACGGTGGTACGCGTACAAATGCTGGAACAGAGCAGTATCAGTATCACTAGTCACTACTCACAAGCATTTCATTCTTCATTGCATTTACTCATAAGTAATGACTGAGAAATCCCAAATTTATCTCCTTAACCCAAGGTTGATTCTTTCACTGTGATTTAGATTTAGAACTCTAGTTAAAACCTACACACTCTTACAGTGAGAGAGAATTTCAATTTGGGTATTTGCATTTAGATTTAGCTTTGCCATCTTTGGGCTTATTCTCTCTAAATTTTTCTCTTTTGTTGTTTTGTGTCAGAGATGAGCGAGTGTTTCAGAATCACCTAGCCCACATCACCCTCTCTTTTTATTATTTTTTATTTAGCTGGCATTTTTTTGCGTTCAAATTCAACTCGGTGTTTTTTTTTTTTTTTTTTTTTTTATTTTTTTTTTTGATATTTGCTTCATTGGCTTTTTTTTTTTTTTTTTTTTTTTTTTGAATATTGCTTCATTGGCTTTAATGGCTGCTGCTCTCTCTAAATCTGTGAGTTCTTTCTTCTACTCTGCTTTTCCCCCTCTTTTCCTTTTTCTTTTCTTTAATTCTTCGAGTCTTCTTTTTTAGCTTTCTATGCTTTCTGTTTGCTTTAAGTGCTTTTTCATTTTTCTCTGTCAAAGTGTCAATAGCTTCATATAGGTCTGGTTGGTTCCTGGGAAATTTCAAGAGAAAGTAAAAAAGGAAACTTGAGTGTTCTTATTTACTAGTTTGCGAAGAAATGAGATGTTGCAGAATGCCAAGTCTTTTCCTTTTTCTTTGCGTTCTCTACTTATCTGCCAAAACAGAATAATTTTTTTGTTGTTATATTGTTCTAAATTACTGGCTATTTGTTAACTGTTTGATCTTTTACACTTTTTGTGTTTCTACTGTAATAGTTTCATCTAGATCTGAGATAATTCTCGTCAAATTATAAAATCCTGTCGCAGTTTTCTTTGAGCTGCCACCGAGTATTTTCCTTCTTGATTTTTAAGGCAATGCGAATATCAGTTTATCTGAGGATTATGGAAAATGCACTAAATTAATCAATACCTTTTCTTTTAAAGCTTAGAAGATTGGGTCATGCTGGGAAAATCAGTACTCTGGATTTCTTTTTGGTGATATGAAGTAGTGACACCGTAATCATACCACTTTTTTGATTTTGAGTGGAATTCGATTCCCAGTTTCCTGATTGTTTACAGCTTGAATGGAATCGCCTTCAGTTTATGAAGAACTGTGGAGTTCATGGAAGTTAAGCACTAGATTACTTTAGTCTTTGGGCCTATCACTGTTTTTGTTTGCCAACTCTAATTAATTAGAATAAAAATTTCCTAAATACTTTCGGCTTGACTCTTTCATATCTCTCTCTCTCTCAGCCCCTACTGATGTCAATGGTCTATGGTGTAACTAACTTTCCCTAATTATTTAGAATCGCATTTGAGTATTGCTAAAAATGGTTCCTAACGTGTTAACAAGTCTGCAGCTTTTATTTAATTTTTTTAATTTCAGTTTTAATGTTGTTATATTTGAAAAGTTGCCATGATATATTCTAATTATTTTTTTGGTTTTTCCATTTTTAAGTTATGATTTAAAGGGAGAAAAATAAAATCTATATGTATACTTCTGTATTGAAGATTCAAAAAAAGTTTGTCTTAGTTATAGATATTTCTTGTTAATGTCCTGGCCGTTCTGTCACTGTCCTTGAGTCGGAGTTGGAGTGCATAGGGTTCATGTAGAGTCGCAGTAAACAGGTGGAAAAGAAGCAGCACACCAAGGTTCAGAATCTGAAGAGTTCCATGCTAGTTGGTGTTGTCATCCCATGGTTAACTCTTATCTTCTTCACAACCTAGTGTCAGCTTTGAATCCGATATCCTTTCCTTTCTATTGGTAGCATTGCTATTTAGTGGGACAATACTGTCGTTTTCTATGTGAATTTATAAAATTATTCACTTGGAAAGTGCAATTTATGCAAGATGCAGAAAAGCCTTTAGAGCAGCAGCATCGGGCCAAGAAGTTGAAAATACTTTGCTACAATCTTCAAGGGGAGATTTTGTAGTTCTATAGCTAGTGGATGAGGAATATCATTTTGGTGGTTTATCTAGCTTTGAACAGAATAATTAATGCTGACATCTTATCTTGAATGCTTGTGGATGGTGTCCTTTAAGGGCTTGACTAGTGTCTGACCATAATTTTGTTTATTTTCCTTCTAATTGAATGTTAAATTTAGAATATTTGAACAAATATTACTTGTTTAAACTGCAAAACTCTCCCACAAAGCTAGCTATTGAAATTTGGTAGTTGGAATTCCACAATCATTGTTGTTGCATTGCATATGATTAATAATAATACCTTCAAAAATCTTTATATTTTAATCTCAAACATTCTTTATATGAAAAAAGTTAACATTTCTGTATTGTCATATATGCAGGTGGGGAACTGGCTTTAATTGATTGTTGGCCTTCCCTCTAAAAGAAAATATGAAATTCGGTTCAAGGAAAGGATGGAAATCCATCATGCCCCTTCGCTTGAAAGGCAAATCAGCCACCCGCTTTTCTTTGTTCCCCAAACAAAGGTCAACTGGCTATGGTCCAGGAAATGCACCTGTTTATCTTAATGTGTATGATTTGACACCCATGAATGGCTATGTCTATTGGGCAGGCCTAGGCATCTTTCACTCCGGTGTGGAAGGTAATGCTTGTGCACTTCTATTTCCCACACATGTTATTTAATTGTATGCCTCAAATATGGTGTTATAGTTTTTCTTCTAGAGACATAGCTTGCATGATTTAGGAAAAGGCAATCTTTGATGACCGATGCAGCCATAATCTAGTTTCTGAGTTAATGATGCCTCTGCATACTGGTTCTAGCCAATGATACTATTTTTGGTGTATGAATGAGTGGAAACTTCTTCTATTAAAATGTACAATTGTTGCTTTTTTCCAAACAAAGATCATCTCTAGTGAGTTGGAGCATAAAGTTGTCAATTAGGATGCTGATACAACTGTTAAGGGTGGATGATATTGGAGATTTCATTTAGTTCGAATCAACTATGGTGAGAGCTAGATGTTTTCTTGTGTTCCTGTTTTGGAGAAAATATGTCTAATACTCTCATTGGTCAATTACAAGCTGCAAAATGAGTGCATGTCATGATAAAGTAATAATTATGTCTTGAGCTCAGAATATCATTCACCATTAATTGGCAAACCCTCCATTTTCTTTTAGTGTAAGATAGAAAAGTGAACATGATATGAATACTAGGTGTAAACCTAAAATTTCATGATTAGAAGTCATGAAAAAGGATTTAGCAGATCCTAGTTGAGTCAACTTTATGATACAAAATTGTATACTTATAAATCAAACACCAAGTTGTTTAGACTCCCATTTTCCACTTGATCTTAATGATAACAGGATTTAGACAAGTGGAGACTCATCATTTGCTGTCCTACTTTGCTTCAGAAAAAACTTTTATTCACCACTTTTCCCCTTACCTTTCCATTCTCTCACTTCTCCCTCCTCTGAAGCGTGGAATTTATAAAATGAGTAATGGGATTTTCCCCTCCAGTTTTCCTCCTATGTTTGGTAAGCCATAACCTTACTTCTTCCTGTAAGGCACAAATAAAATGAACGGAGCTGTCTAGATTTATCTGGTGTTCACCTTGTTACATTTCTTCTTTATACCGTTAATCCAATGCCAAGCTCAGCTAAGATTTTCTGATTGCCTCACGTTCACTGTGCAGTTCATGGTGTAGAATATGCATTTGGAGCTCATGACTACCCGACAAGTGGTGTTTTTGAGGTGGAACCTCGACAATGCCCAGGCTTCAAGTTCAGAAAGTCGATATTCATTGGGACCACATGCTTGGATCCCATTCAGGTCAGGGAGTTCATGGAGCGGCATGCTGCAAGTTACCATGGTGATACATACCACTTGATTGTTAAAAATTGTAACCATTTCTGCAGAGACATTTGTTACAAGCTAACTGGGAAAGCAATTCCAAAATGGGTAAATCGACTGGCAAAGATAGGTATCTCTACGAACCATTGCCACATTTTGTCAATAGTAGTTTTTGAATACTAAGTTAATCTCAGTGTTGAGTTTCCCTTTTAGCTTTTAATGTGTAGAAGCTCACAGTAAAGCTAATACCTAAGTCATATTTAAGATGTTTATAATCTTCTTCTTTTTGTCCTTTTAACTTTATTTGGTTTCTTGTAGGTTCAGTATGCAACTGCATACTTCCTGAATCTCTAAAGAAATCTGCTGTGCGACATGATCCTAATAGCCAACCCTATGATAGTGAAAGGAGAAGGTTGAGAAGTGCTTTCTGCAGCCTGTCTTCAATCTCGATGCGACAAAAGCAATTGTCTACTTCTTCAATGTTTCTACAATCACCCTTGAAAGGCTGCTTGCCATGGGAGCTGAGAAGGTCTATCAATGGTTCCTTGAAGGAAAGATGAAAGAATATGCAGAGAGGCTCTTAATGATCTGTGGGTATTCTGTTGATAAGCTGATGGAGGGAGCAGCTGAAACAAATGGTTCATTCTTCTGCTGTGAAAACCATTAGGATGCTAATTTTTAGTTCTCAAATAGCCTGAGAGCAAGCTTTGCCAGATCAACCCAACGCCTTTGTTTAAGTGTTATGAAGTTGTGTTTCATCCTTTTCTTTTCGTGTCAATTGCCATCCTCGCTAATACTTGTAGAAGTTATGCTCGTTCCTCGCTCATGTTTTGTTACCACTGCCCGTTTCTGTTTGTATATACGACTAAAATTCCTTCCCTGAAGAGCGAATTTTTATTATTTTTCTCCCTATGTTGATGGATGGAAATTCAAATTAAGACAATAATTTCATGAGAGATGCAATGGAACTATCCTCTCTTATTCCATAAAGGTCTAATCTCTGGAAATTGAATCTGAGATGGCCAAGAACCTCAGGCGTTTGGCACGAAATTGAACTGAAATGACTAGATACAGAGCAGAAAATGAGCATTCTAAAACTGGTGTTGGCCCTTTGCGTTCAATTTAATTAAGCATTCTAAAATTGTCTAACCACCTCTAATAGAAACACTGCACCAGAATTCGGCTGAATTTCCAAAAAAAAAGGGTCTGCTTCAATATCGCTGGTCATATCCACAACAATACTACAAATCCAGGTAAATACATTTTCCAGTTATGGCAACAAGATTCTATATAATTTTATCTTTTCTGTTAATAATAGAATCATACAATGAAATATACAGACGTCGTATCCGAATTAGCATTGTCAAAACAAACCTGCAGGAACAGGAAAGAGATGCTTCAGTTTTACAGATGCAATGTTCTATCTAAAAGGTTTCAGGGCATTCAATAAACTCGTTAAGAATGCATGTACAACACCAATGAATAAAATCCCAGGAGCTCTTAAATCAGATGGTTCGACAAAGTTTCGCCATCACATTTAAAATTGTATATTCAATGGGAACAACTCTCATTCTGAGAATTTACAAGACAATAATGGCACATCAGCATCATTTGTTAGCAAAAGGGGGAGAGAACCACCCCATGTTTTGGCTGTCATTTATGACCAATACCTACAGAAACTAAGAAGCTCAACTGAGACTAGATATCATTTGGGAGCGAGTCCATGAAATTATCAATCGTCTTTCTGATGCAAAACACTAGGCAGGCTATTATTACCATTGAGAGCAGCGTGATATACTCGCTTCTCAGCTAGTCCAATATCTGACATAATTAAATTACCCTGCAGCCAAAACAAAAGCAGAAGACTAACTAATGTTGCTACAAATGTCAATTTCTAGATAAAATATTAAAGTTCGAGAAGTTTGTACAATCAGCATAATCACAACCCCATGAATGAATGCCAAATAAGAAATTTCAGGTGTTCTGGTTGTAGTAATTAAATGATGCAAGATAATTTATATGATGGACAACAATATTGTATTGTACATATTCACTGTCTTAGGCAACCAAGTACTGCATATAACTTTCTCGAGGTCCAAAAGAAAATCTGAGGCCAAAATCCACTTATCGTTATGATTTGGCTAGTACCCCTAGTAAATATAGTTGCAAAAGATTCGAATAATATAACTAGACATCACACCAAATGGGCTCTTAAAAACATTTGACAAGCAGTCATAATACCAAATTAGACTTCATTCAAAGTTCCTACAAGTAATGACACATTGATCTTCTCACTGTGCCCTATGATTTTTCATATAGCAGGCCCCAACCTCTTTAACCTTAGGTAGGAAGTATGGGTTGCATGTCCAAAAATATTAAAGAAAAATCTTACCTCACGAGCCATCAACCGTCGGACATTATTAGCATACACCTTTGGATCATCCTTCTCTTCCTGTGATGGGTAGTAAACAGGTAACCGAGTCACTTCCATGAAATTCACAAATTGACAGAGGAGAAATATCACATGGCGCACCTGCAAAGGTAAATGTGTACTGTAAAAAGACAAAGACTAAAAGGAGATAAAGCAAAGACTCACTGGAAAAGTTAAAATTAGAAACAGCTTCTTAAATTACATCCCAGTAACTTGTGGATTAATGTGGACACCAGCCGTAATCATTTCTTTGCAGCTTTTTCGAGTTGGCCAATAAAAGTTTATTTCTTTCTGGTTTAAATGAAGTTAAGATGCATTCTTAAGCGAGTACCTCCATTATTTTGAAGCAACAGCTTTTTTCTCTAGCATTTACCAGATTGTAGGAACCATCAGGCAGAAGCAATTTATTTACATAATTTCCAAGAATGAAACCAATACAAAACAACCAAAAACTAAATCTTTTGAGTCTTTAGAACATAGCAGTGCAGGACGATATACCTACAAAGCTAATTGGAGCACAAAGCAAACCAGATTTTATCATTTAAATTTGTTTTAAACCCTACACATTTCACTTGCATAAGAAAAACTCACCCCGGATATTGAATCCCAGGCAGGACTGAATCTCTGGTACGGATATCTCAGAATCACTGGAAGCACAGGAGCTCCTGCTAAGAATGCACCTGTTTTGAACGGAAGAAGGAAGTCTCCATTTGTAGTGGTGCCTTCTGCAGTAAAATTGAAGATGATTAACTGTTAGGTTATCATACATAGTGTGAATGCTTCAGCTGCTCTCTTTGTATATATTGAAGGATGCGTCGGAAATACTGAATTCATTACTAACCAGGGAATAGCATCATAATTGGAGCATTCTTATTCTCATGAGCTTCTCTAACTCTTTCAGTCACTACACCTACAAGGAGTGGATTGCAATGAAATCCAGTAAAAAATCATAATATACCAAAAAGTTGGGACATTTAACTAGTATCTACCTGCAACACCCTTGAAGTCAGATGACTTTGACTCCCGCTGAACAAAGACACAACCAAGGCACTTGCTGTCAAAAACAAGCCATCAGAGCCAAAATTCCCTTTTCCCATTAGACCATTGATAAATAATATGCAGAAGTATTTTCCATGTCATGTCATATCGATGAAGAAACACAAAAACGACAAGAGAATTGTTACCATCAGAATGCTGTGAACAAAAGCAGTAGGAAATAAAGATGAAAGCTTTCAACACACATTAACAAATGAAAAGAATAAAAAGCTTTTGCTTCAAACAAAATGTTCATGACAGTTGAAAGGACAGGAATATGATATAATAAACTAACAATGATTGTTATTGCTCCTGCAAGTTAAAACTTGTAGAGGAGGACTCAAGAATAGGTTTTATGTCCCCACCACACCTCTTAATCTACCTTCCCATAAAGGCAGACCTATATATAGGCTGAAAATTAATAAAAAAATATTTAAGCTCTTCACCACCTGGCAAAAAAATGCTATAGTGTCATATTAGGAACCACTCTAGAAGTTAAAAACTTGTAGGTAAAGCCTAAGAGTATATATTTTATAATCAATAGATACGGAGCAATTCTGTGAAAAAAGAGCTTGAATTTATACACTGTAAAAAATCCCATACACTTTACAGGATAGATTTACAAAGCAAAAGAAAAATAGACATCCCCATAAAAATAAAGACAGAAACTGCAATATAGGCTTCCCAGAAAATAAATGAAGACAAAGGCAGTAAAGTTTCACTATTATAGTGCAGTTCGATCCATAATATATCATTACAGAATGTTCAGAAAGACTGAACCAACCTGATGAGACCGATAAGAGGAAGTTTAGCCACTGATCTCTTCAGCAATAAAATCCAGGATTAAAATCAACAAAATCAAAACAGAAATTTGTCAGTTTCACCAGAAAAGCATATAAATAATTACGATCTTAATTCCAATAGTAGGTAATTTCTTGAAGAGAAAAAGGAGGGACAAACAAACCTTGGCAACAAAACTTGAAAAAGAAGAAGACATGTGATACAAAATATCTAAATATGAAACATGGTTAGAAATTATTGCCCCAGGTCTTTCAGGTTCTTCGGATTGATCTTTGTCATCATTCTGACCAAAAAGCAAAAAGTAGAAAATGAAATGGGGACAAAGTATTAGACCACTCCCAAATACAGATAACTCTAAATATGAAAAGTCAAAATGTAGATAGAACTGATAGTTTATTTTCTAATTCCAAAAAGTCCAACATATTTAGCTCATGGATTCCAAAAGAATGCAGACCCTTTTGCGGAAGGTTTAACACACAAATACAGCACATAAAAAAACAACTCAGAGAAAAATCTTTTCATTTTTTTTAAAATAAAAGATGACAATAAATGTATAAGTATGGTCGAGATCATAAAAACACATAGACATAACCTTAACAAGACATATTTGTCCTCGACTTAACTTTAGATTCACTTCTCCGAGAAATGGGTTGATTATGTTCTATTAATTGCAGTTCAGTGGTTAGAAGAGAAATGAGAAGAAATGGAAACCTACAGAACAAGTAGACATTACCATAAAAGTACGTAAGAGCAGTTCATTGAATGCGACTGAATCAGAATTCGTAGTAGATAGAAAAACAAATATTTTCGTCCTCAATGCAGATTATGGCAATCATCGTATCATATACGCACGTCCATGTAAACGTCATAACATATTCATATATCAGATCAGTAGAATAATTAAGGACAGTACCTGAGGCTGCTCTAGAATCCTGTAGGTCTCCTTAATCCAATAAAACCCAAGCACGAAAAGCATAGTTCTAGATAGAAACCTCCCGCTCCAAACAATCACAGTCCTTCTCCACCCTCCCATGTGCGCAAAGTCCTCCTGCTCCTCCTCCTCGTCCCGGTTCGGAGCCGAGAACAGCGTGCAAATCCTACAAACCGCATAATAGGATAACAATACTGTCATCGCGAGCACGATCCTTAACGGAAGGAGCGTCACCAAAGCGATCCCTAGCAGCACCTTCTCGGCCAACGGTAGCTCGCCACGTCCCATGGGCCCATACACGTCGTTGCGCACGAATGCCGCGAATTTCTTCTCAAGCTCTTCAATACTCTCCGTCGAGATTCTGTTGGAGTCGGATTTGAGAAGAGGCCGGTCATCCTTGCCGGAGCCATCATCGGGAGCCGGTTTCTGTTCCCTTTCTGGTTGCGGTTGCGGTTGGGGCTTCGATTTGGATGGCTCCAGATTGATATCTTTAAGCTCGGTTTCCATTGTTCTATTGAAGAATAACAATAATGTGAATAGTTTGAGGATCGGTTTATTCAGGGCTATATATGATTAGATTGGATAGCCATCTTCCAGGTTCGATAAGGAAAAGGCTTCTTGTTCGTATAGTGACAGTCTCAGATCTGAGTCTGAGAGGAAGGGTAGTGTCATGGTCTGTATCTATATCTCTCCCGACCAGTGAAGATTTGCGTTTACGGCTTTGCGTACAAAATCCTAAAGTAATGTTCATCACTAGAGCTGGGATTCCAGGTTGTTAGGTGCACGATAGGATCGATGGGATTTCAGTGGTCCACAGCCGTTCGATTGAAATGAATGGACGATCATGTTTTAAATTGATTAATCAGAGTTTAGACGACTTATTACATTATTATCCAAAGCTTAACCACTTGAGTCAAGTATTAGTATTTTTGTCTACAGCCGTCAGGTTTTCATGGGCTACAAGCAGATAAAATTGGGCCATTATCTCTTTTGTTTGACTGTTTCACATGCCCAATTGTCCTCAACCCTAGTTTGGTTTTTGCTGATAATTGCATACTGAAATCTTCCATCAGACATCTTTTGTTTAATTCTGATTATTAGCTATTACGTCATACTCATACATAGAATATACTTTTCTGAGGACTTGCTTCATTTCTATTCTTATCTCAAAGATATGCAATTGCTCAATTCTGCCAAGAAATTTTCTGAAGCCTAAGGCTTCTCAGAAACGTAAATTTTGATAGCTGATGATGCATGTTTTAATGGAAGCCATTAGCTTTACGTAATTGAAGTTCTGCTTGTTGCCAAAACGTACCCATGGGCCTCTTCCACCCAACAGCGTCAGAATCACTCCAGAAATATTACCCAATGCATCATTCTGATGTGGAGAAGTGTGCCCATAGGATGACCATGGATTAACAAGAAAGAAACAAAATAATCGGTCTCTGTCATTATATTAGCTTACAAGTATTTCTTTACTGAACAATGTATTAACCCATCTCCCACAATGCAAAAATTCAGCTGCCAACAGCATTGTTGAAGATGCCTTTTCTAGCTACCAATGAAATGAGCGAAACTGGTTCCCTTTTAACTGATGCAATATGATTGGGCTATCATGTATAGGAGATCAATGGACCACATGCACTGATAAATCCAAAGGCTTGCTTTAGAGTTTAGAACGGGCCAATTCACTAAACAGCTAAATCATGAAACCTTCCAAACCATAATTTTCTAATCTGTACAATAAGTACTCAACCACTTGGACAGTGGCCTAATGGTAATCTGAATACTTCCAAGATGAAATAAAAGCTTGCTTCTCTATGCAGAAGCTTCCCATTTGACTGCAAAAATTTTAGCCCAAAGGACAGTTCTGCTGTATCTTGAATGCCATTTTTCAGAGGAGGAAAATAAAGGGAAGAAGAAATATCTCTCTGTAGATTGTTTTCAAACTCCAATCCTATCTTATCTTCAAATATAAAACAGACTCAAATGGTCAAGATCTTGCCATAAACACAACTTCAAAACAAAATAATGGCCAAGTACTCTACAACCATTCAGCTAGGTTAAGATCCTAAAATCCATTATATAAGCATACAACAAAAGTAATGATAAGGACTTGCATCAAGGAACAAAGTGGTACCAGCCAGAACTTTAATAGAATTGGGATTTTACTAATGGCCCAAAGAATATCATTTTAACGATGGATTCCATTCCAGCAGAAATAAAGTGCAAATTCTAAATATCTTTATCACATATTATCAGAAAACAAATCTAAAGAAAAGTGATAAATATTGAAGGAGATATCTCCTTACTCTTATTAAATGTTGCAGCTGAATTTGGAATTGAGGGAGTCCAGCATGAAAACCAATAAAGGTTTATCATATCCCTAATGATTTATGATTTATGAACCCTCTTCCCTCTAAAATCATCAAAACCAGCTAATCTTACCTTCTAGATGCTCAAGAAATAACAATTTCAGGAACCTAGATGTTAAATAAAAGTCCCTATTCGGGCATGTCATATAAATACTAAACTAGAATTCATATCAATCCGCTGTCAGCATTTGGTTTTTATTATTTGAAAAAGAAAGAAGTGTAGAAACAAGAGCATCCCTGAACTTCAGAGGGAAAACATTTATCTCCTGTCCCAACAGCGTAGGAGTTATCTAATCCTTCCTGTTTTATCTGAATTTTGCAGCCTAGAAAATAGCATTCTTGCTTTTGAATCTACTTCTACCAACAATAATTCATAAATAGAATCAAATAATTGTAAAAGAAACCCAATTCCCTCAACATCCATACCTTCTGAAATTATTGCCAAACTCAGCAAGAAACCCAGTTCTTATGAGTACTAATCAAGGCAGATAAAAGTCCCGCCGATGACACCAAAAGCGGCGCCGACAGCGGTCCCTTCCCGTCTCGAATATCTGCGAACGCCATTAATCCATCAGCGAAGTCCTGCACAATAGATAGCTTCTTCATCAGCGTCTTCTCTCTTAGCTTTCTCATTCTTTCCTCTTCCTCTTGATACCCAACACCCCGGGCAATGGCTACCTCAATAGTCGATTTCAAACAGACCTCGTCTTCAAGTAAATTCTTCAAATCCCTAAATTTGAGAGAAATACTACCTATGTACCCAATAAACTCGGTCCAAGCACTGATTTTCCCCAAAAATTTGGAGTGTTTGCTATCAATTAAGCCTGCTTTAGCCAGCCAAACAAACTGTTCAACAAAATAGTACAAACCCTCGCCTCCAAATGCAATTATGGAGAGGATAATTTGTTGCTTCGAATCAAGATGAGAGTTTCTAAGAGCGTTGACGTCCTGAACAAATTTCCCGACTCGAAACGCTTTGCGACTGAGTCCTACGCTAGACTCAAAGCTCTTGAGTCTCTGAGTTAAAATCAGGGATTCGGGAAGAGCAGAGGAGGCTAAAATGATCTTGGAGGCATAACGCGAGATCTTGAGGAGCTTATCGACGCCGTCTCTCTTGGCGAGGTAAGCTTCGAGGCGGTTGAGGAAGTCTCTGTCTTTTGTCGGCGCTTGAAGGATTGGTGGAGTGATCGTTGGTTTCTGTGATGGGTTGGCAGTTGTTGAAGTCTTGGAATCCATGAGCTGCCGAGAGAGAGAGAGAGAAAGGAGAACTGAGGAGGTACTGCAAAGAAGTTGCCAACAGAAAACTGAGACGACGCCGTTGGATGCTATTGCCCACGACGAGTCGATGACTTTAACCCTCTGATCCGCGCGTTTGGGAAAAACAGCAGCCAAAAATCTGTTGCGGCTTTCGAACATGCGCTTCAATTAATTTATTACGTCGTGTTTTATTTTCATTGTTGTGCGTGCCAAATGCAATCAAAGATTTGTTATTGTTGTCAACTAAACATTAAGTAATGTCCAATACATTAAAGGCTTTGCTTGAGAAGAAGATGAAAGAAATAATTGAGGAAGGAAACAATAGAGAAAAATAATAATAAGAATTTATTAATTTTTTGTAGTTATTTTTCATTTCTGTATTTGGATTTAATGAAGAAAAAATATAAAATTATTTTATTTTATTTAGAAAGAGTAAAATATTAGAGAAAAAAAATATTATTATTAAAAATTTATAATTACATCACGGTAATCTTATATTTAAAAAAAATATAAAATTTAGTGTAATAGAATTAAAGATGCAATACAATAAAAAATATAATATAATGCAATTAATATTTCATTATTATGTTTAGTCATGTAAGATTTCATTATTATATTTAGTCATATAACTTAATCCATCTCCTTATTTAAATTAAAACATTATTTATAATCGGTTCGGTACATACACGGGTCCATGCATATTTCCCCATAACCTAAGTAGGTTCAACCTTCAAAGCATCCATTCTTTGCTAAACCAGCAAGAGAACCATAAGATGACCCAACATTATCCAAAGCTCTGGCAGCACTTTCCTTTAGCTCTACAGCCCGCTGCCTCATTACCTTTTTTCGTTCACCTTCCATCACCTTTACAATTCTCTCTACCTCTTCACGTCCGACTATGCACTGCGCATCAGCTAAACCTGGCTTGATCGCGACCCCAACTTCCTCTACTAGCATACTTGCGTTCATTCTCCGCTCTGCATAAAGTGGCCACGCTATTATTGGCACATCGTAAGTTGTACTCTCCAATGCCGAGTTCCACCACAATGCGACAAAAACCCTCCAGTTGATGTGTGTTTAAGCACCGCCACTTGGGGAGCCCAAGATGAAACGACCAATCCTCTTTCTTGCGTCCTCTCTGTAAACCCTTCTGGCAAATAAGCCTCTGGCTTATTAACATCACTCCCAACGTTGAAAAATGCAGCAGAAGCACTAATATTTGTCGGCATACGCACAACGAAGATGAACCATTGCTGACTCAGTTCTAACCCATAAGCTAGCTCAGTGAGTTGCTCAGCTGTCAAGGTTCCACCGCTTCAAAGAGATACAAACGGAACAGAGTTAGTCGGCTGCTTGTCTAGCCAAGTAAGGCAGTTTATATCCGAGGCAGTTAGTGTTTCTTCTTGTTTGACCAACGGTCCTACTAGATAAACTTTTGGTGTAGGGATTTCTTTGAAGCATGAATTCTCCATTATAGCTTTAAATGTCACGGGTTCAAGATGTTGGGAAAATCGCTATTTTTCCCGCCCTTCGGATCTGCTTCAAGCAGGAACAAATGAGAATAAAATAATGACTGAGAAATTAAAGAGAACACGATAATTTAATGTGGAAAACTCCCCAAGTGGAGAAAAACCACAGAGTTAGTCGGCTGCTTGGTCTAGCCAAGTAAGCAGTTTTATATCCGAGGCAGTTAGTGTTTTCTTCTTCTTGTTTGACCCAACGTCCTCTAGATAAATTTTGGTGTAGGGATTTCTTTTGGAAGCATGGAATTCTCCATTTATAGCTTTAAATGTCACGGGTTCAAGATGTTGGGGAACAGAATCGCTATGTTTCCCTGCCCTTTATGAAGCTTACCTTTCAAGAGGAACAAATGAGTAGAATAAAATATGTATGACTTGACTGGAGGAAATTAAAGAGGGAGTACTACGATAATTTAATGTGGAAAACTCCCGCAAGTGGAGAAAAACCACGGGCCGTTGCAACGACAATCAAGAAAATATTCACTGATGCGGCAAATTGTTACCAACCACAATTAACAAAATATTTTTCTAACTCGACACCCTCAAAACACCCTAAATATTTTATAACTCCAAGGACTCCAAGAGACTTGCCTCTAATCCCCTAATATAGGAGCCAAGCAAGTCACTCAAGTGTTTTTTGGTGTATTTTGTGTGTATGGCAACCTAAACATTGCTTCCATTTTTATAACCAGAATAAGATTCACGTACCTTCATTTTGCTTATCTCCCCGATGTGGGGATTAAGCCAAAACTTCTTCTCCCCGATGTGGGATTGAGCAAAATGTTTTTTTTTTATTTATTTTCAACAAAGGCGGCTAACAATCTCCACCTTGAAAATAAAATTAAAAAAAAAACAACATTGTCTGCTACCCTACCGACAATCATAATTCTTATCGTCAAGAATTATCATACTCCACCATAAAAGAGTATCGCCACTTGGAACCACTTTACCGACTCCAAGAATTTTCCTTCGGCCATGTCGAATCCCGCTAATAGTTTATGGTGCAACCCTCCTGTTGACTTTTTTGAGAATTCATTAGCCATCGACATATTTTTTTCCACCACACACTTTGCATCATCTGTCAACCAATGCCGTGCGTATTTCCGTGGACCAGCTACCAATAATCCGTCCTCTTCCATGGCATCTCAATGAGTAGCAATCATGCCATGAGGACACACACCTCTCAATTACAGAGAGATTATATCATCTCCTTTGCCACAGGAGATCACATTGGCAGCAACAACGTTAGATCTTCTAGCCAAATCATCTCCACCGTTCGAGCAACTCTTCCTCACGTGTCCAGTTTGACCATAAACCCATCAGACAACCTTCTTCTTTCCGGAGCTTTTATTCTTTTTCTTGGTACCGACAAATAAAGTTGAATCCTCATATGATTATTTTTCATTTCATTCAGTCTTCTCTCCTCAGTAATGAGCTTACTAACCACATCCGCATACACTACTTCCTTACTACCATATTTCAGAACAAGTTTCATGTGCTCATATGTCGAAGGAAGTGCCATCGAAGGAAGTGACAGGATGAGTCGGAGAGTTTTATCTTCATCTTCGGTTTGCACTCCAAGAGTTTCTAATTCAGAGACGATGCCATTAAGAACACTCAGATGATCTGACAGCTTTGTATTTTCCGCCATTTTCAACGTATGAAATTGCTCCTTCAAATATAACCTATTGGATATATTTTTGCCCTGGTACAATTCTTCCAATTTCTCCCACAACTTCTTTGTCGTGGACAATCCAAGCACATTAGCAAGAACATTTTTTGCTAGACACATGCGAATTTGACTTGCCGCTTTGATATCCATTGAATATCAGCTCCTCCCATTTCTTCATCGCTAATCTTGATTTTTCTGAGTCTCACACTGCTACTGTCTTTTCTGGAATTCCTTTCCGCTGACTGGTTTACCCTTAAAACCTTATGCAAGTCCAGACTGAATCAACACGTCTTTGACTTGCCACTTGTCCACAGTGCAAAATTCATTCTCCCGTCAATTCTCAATCTCATCATCTCATAAGCCAACTGCTTAACTTGTCTTATAAAGTGAACCCAATAATTAGTGAAGTAAACCGATTCGGCAATACCAGGAAAACGCAATGATCTCCTAGACAAAAAATATTTTACCATTCCACGTAAAATCCAGTTGGACGGAGGGGTCCACAAGTGGTCCCCACTTAAAATCCGGCCTTCTAGAGTATATTATCAGAACTTTCGTACCAGAATAACTTCAATAATTATCGTCAGGACATTCACCACCGGTACTCAAGCACACCAAAGCAAAGCTCCACCCGTTCAAGACTTCTAAAACTCCACCTGCTTTTAAAATAAAATAATTTCTAACAACAATATTTCTGATGTGGAAGATCAGACTAAGCCGCAACCATTGTGCATACTTATAATTTAAATTACAAGAAATTATTTTAACACTAAAAGCTGCGCCTAACAACTAGGCTCTGATACTACTTATTGGGAAAATCGCTATTTTTTTTGCCCTTCGGATCGGCTGCAAGCAGGAACAAATGAGAAAATAAAATAATGACTGAGAAATTAAAGAGAATAAATAACACGATAATTTAATGTGGAAAACTCCCCAAGTGGAGAAAAGAAAAACCACGGCGTTGCCACAAACGACAATCAGAGAAAATATTCACTATAAATACGGCAAATTGGTTACAACCACAATTACATAAATATTTTTCTTACCTCGACACCCTCACAACACCCCAAATATTTTAACTCCAAGGGAACTCCAAGAGACTTGCTCTAAATCCCTAATATAAAACGCACTCAAGGTGTTTTGGTGTAATTTTAGTGTGTATGGAAACCTAAACATTGCTTACATTTTACTAAACATTGCTTCCATTTTATAGTCAAATCACTACCTTCACTTTGCTTATCTCCCCGATGTGGGATTAAGCAAAAACTAATTTTTTTATATATTTTTTTTTTCTTTTGTTTTCAACAACGGCGGCTAACACAAGATTCTCCCAAGAGTTAATAAATATCCCTGCTGCCAATGGCAGCCGGCTAACATTAATTAAATACCATTTATACTCGTCAATTTTTCGGTTCTTGATTTGGTCAAGCAGGTCTTGAGTTTGAATTGGAGTACAGCCAGGCACCTTAGCCGGTTCTTGAAGGTCAATGAATTCGCCGTCCACTTCACGGTCAAGAGTTGGAAGACACAAAGAAAGAGTGAGCAAAGCGTTAGAGGCAGTGAAAAATGAGTACACTGGAATCGACAGTTCATTGCAGACTTGAAAATCTTGAGTACAGAACAAATCAATTACTAATGCTTTTGGCTTGCCTAATTCTATAAGGACGGATTTTAAGGACCTGAGACTCTCTTCTACAACGACACATAGGCGAGTAAGGACCGGCATAGTGTCAGTGGCGACGGCAAAGACATTGACGGGAGGAAGTTGAACAATGTCAAGGCCAGGAGGGATAGTTGGTGAATGGAGGAGCTTTTGCAAAGCTGTAGAGGATTCGTTGGTTGTGATGACAAGGAAGCCGACCTGTAACTCATGGTGAAGGACTAGACGCTTCGATAGGTCAAGAAGAGGGGTGATATGGCCTATGCCTGGACTTGGCAGGACAGCCACGCGGGCCTTTATGATTGGAGCTAGGCCATGGCTTATGTGGTTTTATAACATAAGATAGTAGAAGGGTACAGTGCTGCAAGAAGCAATTTGGTTGATGATGACAGTAGCGGACTAGAAGGCCGTATTTAAAGGATAAAGGAGGCACTGTGCTTAGAGTATTAGAATGGGACTTTTTTTTTTTTTTTTTAAATTTTTTTTAAATTTGGAAAATTTCATTTATATTACATCATAACTAATTTTTTTTTTTTTTTTTTTTTTAAATTGAAATTTCATTTATATTACATCATATAATTTTCGCATCATCTGATTTTCGAAACTTTCTAAAAGTTTATTGCAAGATATAAAGTTAAGGGTTCTAGAGGTTTAAAGGTCCTTGACTCTCCTCCAAAAGCTCGAGAATCACTGGAAGCTAATTTGGTTGGTGTTAACTGAGTGCCCTTAAATAATCTTAGATCAATTGCAAGTTTTCTTTGTTGTTCCCCGAAGACAATTGCTAATATCCAGGATGGTTTTTAAATATTTAACTTTATATTCGTTTGGAAGAGGTAGTTGAATGTAGATGGACGGTAGATTTAGCAAGTACTAATAGTAATTAGTAGAAAAATGTCTAACAATTAGTAATTAGGAAGAAAAATAAATGAAAATTGGTAATCAGTTAAAAAAACATGTTGATGGATGAAAGAAATATACGGGTGTTGTACAGATGACAAAATAGAAAAATGGAGAGAAAAACATTGTACTGAGAGAAACAAAAATAAGACTAAAATGGTCAAAACGTTCTTAAATTTATTGTTCATATGAACCAATAATTTGGGAATAACTTTTAATAAGATGATGTTATGTTGTAAAGGGTACTTGTCTTTACTTATTTGTCAGAAGATTATGGACAGAATTGAATTATTTTTCTTCATCTCTAACCTTCTAGGAAGATGCATGTATTTGATCCTTTTGAAAATAGAGTTGGCACATGTAAAATGAAATTTAGGGTTTTCTATTCTATAGAAAAAAGACTATTAGATACATTAATCCTTTCATAGGGCGTTCCGTCTCCCGAATACTAATGAGATACATTTCTGTAGAATGTCTTTATCACCAGGCTACCCCCTCGGATGATTATAGTTCAATGTCATCAACACTTAACCGCTAAAATAGGCTTTTATAGATAAAAAGACCAAATAATCATTGGGGCTAAATTTAAAGGAAAAATCAATGACTTTATCAAATAGCATATACAAGTTTGTAATTTTGGTCAATTTTTATGAACTAAATAGTAATTCTTCCCAAGATAATTATAAATGTCTCAAAACCCATTCGGCCCAATAGTAAAGGTTAAAGCCACATAACGGGAATTATATTAAACCTTATCAAGACTGAAAATAATGTGGGCCTACGAAGTGGACACGAAGTCCAGCCCATTGAAGGTGAAGATAGAGCAGCCAGTGACCCGGTCATGTAATAGCCGTTAGTTACCCACCATCAGTTACCTTTTTGTTTGTTTTCTGGTGCGAGTCTCTTTGGATTCTTTTTGTTAACGGTAAGGAATTTCCCCACCAAAAGTTTTGTTGCCTCACGACACCCATCTCCATTACCAACTGACTGCGACACTTTGCCTAAGGTTTCCTCTGCTCCCTTAACAACCATTTCCCAGTTTCCTCTTCCACTCCCAAATACCATTTTGCCCTTCTCTCCTATCACGATAATAATTTGTTTTGATGATTTGGCTAATTATGGGTTTTCTTTTTCGAGATCACGATTCATGATTAGTGTTCCTATTTCAACATGACCCTGATTAATGGCTCAACGCCTTAAATAATATTGAAAAAGTTAATAAGGTGGCCATCATCCTTAATTGTTTGGATTGAGAGATGATTAATTATCATAATAAAGTAACTTTTACAATAGAAAACATTCGATTAGGTTGGATAGGTGAAAAATCACTCATAAAAAAGGCAAGAACCAAAATAACAATAATCTCATACTTTTTTATAAGAATACTCGTGACAATAAAAAAAAAAAAGCTGATATATCATGAAAAAAAGAATTGACGGATGATAAGAATCATTTATTTATTCCTTAATCAGAGATATTGAAGTTTGAGTATAATAGATAGAGTTTTTCTAAACACTCAAAATAAAGCGTTTTTATCTGTTTTTATGACTTTTACCCACTATGAATTGAAATTAGTATATCCATTATTGAATGGGTTTTTTTTTTTTTTACTATTGAATTGAAATTAGTATATCCATTATTGAATGGGTTTTTTTTTTTTTTAAAAAAAAAAAAAGGATGCAGATTTGGAATATGCGCTCCGATCCAGACCCTGTCAAACCAAAAAAGGTTCCAAGGAAAACCGGCAACCCTGGGCAGTAATAACGACTTTTTTTTTTTTTTTTAAAAAAAAAAAAGGATGGCAGATTTGGAATATGCGCTCCGATTCCAGACCCTGTCAAAACCAAAAAAGGTCCAAGGAAAACCGGCACCTGGGCAGTATAACCGACTACAATCTGTGCCTTACTCAATTCAGGTTTCCGTTTTAAATACATCCAAAAACTAGTCCGTTTTTTTTGTCCTTCATCCTCTTCTCTGCCCTCTCTACAGTCACTCCGCAGACTCCATACTTCCTCTGTTCTTTTTCTCTCTGCTCAACCCTGTTCTCACCACATTTTCCTTTCTATCCTCTCACAATCCCCATAATTTTACTCGCCATATCACTCCAATTTCAAAAGCCATACCCGCATTACACAATTGAAGCCGGATATTTCCCATTCTCTAGCTGGAATCAAGGCCGAAAAGCTCATATCGTAAATAAATATAGTTTATATAGGAATGTCGGTTGCTAATAAGCTTCAATCGTCTGCTAAACCAGTTCCCGAGCCGCGAGCTATACTTGGTCCAACCGGGAACAGAGTTAGGGTTTTGGAAGAGTCTAGACGGAAAAGTGAGGTTTTGAAGAAAGCACAACTGAGGCCGAGGAAGCCAGCAGCGAAGGCGGCAGTTTCAGAGATGCCGCAGGAGGTAGTTAAGAACAATTTGTCGGTGGACAGTTTGAGCTCTTCGGATTCGAATTCTTCTTCTTCTTCCAGCGGGTCCTCAGCGAAGGTTGCTAGTCCGAGAAGGACTGTAAAGCGCAATGGATTAAGAGCTGTTAAGGTTGTTCCTGACGGTGTTGAATTTGGTGGGATTTCGCCGAAGCAGGACCTGCCTGTCAAGAAGTGTGATTGGATTACACCTCATTCTGGTAAGTTAATAAGTGAGTTAAGCTTTTATACAGCAATTACCATTTTTTATCTGTCTGTCTTAATTTGGGTTGAGGATCTTAATGTTTGAGATTGTAAATCTTGGAAATTGAGGTAATGGCATAGGAGTCTGAATTAAGCAACAGCAACTGAAAATCAGTTAACTGTGGTTAGATCGTTTATGCTAATTTAATACGACACTGAAACCAAAATGAACGTAGAAAAAGAGAAGAAGATGCTATCCAGCTAGTAATTGAAGTTTGTAAGGGTTGTTGCCAAGTCTTTATTGCCATTGCGGTGACGGCAAACGACTAGAAAAGCCTAAAGCTGACAATTAATAGTCGCACTCATGTCACTTATATTTTATACATTGTTGTTGCTTTTCTACAGTGTCTAATGTGGAAATTTACTTTCTTCCTTTCTAGTTGTGGAATCCTTCATAACATGAACATCAACACTACACTGTTCTTTAGTAGTAAGTTAAGACCTTGTGAGTGTCATGTTGGATTAGCCTTCAAACGCCATTTTTTATTGACAGTAACATTTCAGAATCTTGATACTGTTAATACATTTGATATAAGTCATTGAATAGACTAGAGGGGAATTCCAGTTTGTATGTTAGAAAGCACCAGTAAATTTATAAAATAAATAGTTATAGACAAACAACCGGGAAGATGCAAAATGTTGCCTCAAGTTGTTTTGGTTGTATTCACCGTAGGGAGTTTGATTTGTTTCTTTAAAACAGGTAAGTATCTTTTTTGGTGCCTTGTCAAAAATAATTAGGCTGAGCAGCATTTGCTGTGGCCTTTCAGCAACCAACTTAATAGTTTAATTGGATCGTCTAACCATCACTGATTCACTGCCAAACTTTTAAATGTCACGACTTGCCACTGACATGACAGAGTTGCACACACAGCTTGCAAAGAAAAGTATAAGCCCAACTTGATTCCAATTCTGGTCCATATATTCAACAAATCTCTTTGGCCCGTTATGCATTTATTTTCATGTATACATTGTGTGAGTGACACTTAATTATTGAAGTTATTCTAGCATTTTCTAAAAGAGGCATTTTAGCACCACTTGAAAATAAATTTATCTAAAACGCTTCCTCCTTTGGTTCTATTTTATTCTAATTTAATTTATTTATATATTTAAGCAAGCCATTCTTTGTTGTCCCTGTAGCTTTTTAGATGTACCAGTCATCTTTCAAAAAAAGAAAAGTCATCTTTAAAATCTTAAGACATGAACTTAGTCTTGTTTTATTCTGATTTAATATGTGATTGGAAAGCCGAATTAGCTAAGGTTCTACGGTTCATATTTTGGTACTTCTAATCAGCAAGTCTACTTTAGATGCCTTTCCATCAAATAGCTAATTCTATATGGCTCATATTTTGCACTTTTCTTTCCAGATCCCCTGTATATGTCTTTCCATGATGAAGAATGGGGAGTTCCAGTTCATGATGATAGGAAGTTGTTTGAGTTACTTGTATTTTCACAAGCATTAGCAGAAATGAGCTGGCCAGCAATTCTCCACATGAGAGACATTTTCAGGTATGTCATTCTTCACTTTCCGTTTTCTCCACCGTCAATTAAAAAAAAAAATTTTGACGTCATGCATTTTTGTCTGATTGATGTTGTTGAATCCTGTGTCAGGAAACTTTTTGACAACTTTGATCCATCATCCGTTGCACAGTTTACAGAGAAGAAGCTGCTGTCGCTGAAAGTGAACAACAATCTGTTGCTATCTGAACCGAAGCTTCGAGCAATAGTGGAGAATGCTAAACTGCTGATTAAGGTAATTCTTCAGGCCAAGGCACCAAACCTGAACTAAACACCACCTGGTTCTCAACAATGTGATACAGATATAATGCTGCTCATAATATGCAGGTTCAGCACGAGTTTGGTTCTTTCAACAACTACTGCTGGCGGTTTGTGAATCACACCCCATTGAGAAATGGATTCCGTTATGCACGTCAAGTACCAGTCAAGACACCGAAAGCAGAACTCATAAGCAAGGATCTAATGCAAAGAGGGTTCCGCTGTGTCGGACCTACTGTTGTTTATTCATTCATGCAGGTGGCTGGGATCGTCAACGATCATCTTGTAACGTGTTTCAGATACCAAGAATGCAATGCAAATGTCAAAAAGAATTGCAGCCCCAAGATCGAAGAAACAGAGGTAGTAGTAACTAAAGCATTGGAGACTACACACTTATCTCAATGACAAGAATGACATGAAGAACTGAAACTCTCCTTACTAATCACACTGTTCTGATAATAGCAAGATGAGGACTGAGAAGTAGACGATGACCCATTGTTAATTCCTTTCTTCTGTATGTTTCAGTAGCATTACTTTATTCTTCCCCTTGTGTATCACTGACCTAAATTAGATGTTATTATAATGAAAATTTATTGTGATAATGCTATTTGACTGTTAACACGCACAAGCTTATGACTTCATTAATGCTTTGCTCATCTTGGATCGAGGAAGTTTCTTAGGAGATTCCTGTCAGATTCGTCGGTGTCTTAAAGTGTATACTTGCTGATTTTTAAAGCTTCTAAATCAGCTAGGAAATCTGAGTAATATTTTTTAAAAACATGGTAGGACTATTAGAGGGCTGTTTGCAGCCATGAGATGCAATGAAGGAAAAAATGAGCTTTGTTTTTTCATCATCGCAGACAACAAGATGACCAAAGCCACGTGCACTAAAATGGTGCACAGAATAGAAATCACAAATTAAGAGATTCCGTTAGAGACCAGACCCCTCCACTCGGACAGAAGACGACTTGCCTACGTTAATTCAAAAGAAACTGTATTATTTAATTTTCGTTCTGTACATTCCCTTGTTTTTTATTTGAATGTCTCCATGAGCCAACGTGGGGCTTGTCGGGCAATGCAAGTATAGAGCCGGCCCATTTGCTGAGCCACCGGCCATATGTTATCTCTTGGATTATCGTGAATAGCATAATCCATCCGTTGCAACCTTAGGGACCGATTTATATCAACATGACCATAAAGGAAACTATCAACATGAAAATGGCAATCATATAACAAAAATAAGCATCAAAAGTTGAAACACAAATTGAGTTCGCAAGAAAGGACATTTTACCATTAACACAGTAAAAGAACCATGAAACAAATGATTTCATTTTATCAGGTCTCATTCAAGTATTTCAGGAAGGAAAACTCCTCAATCCCAGAAAAATCGCACACTATCTACATGTAATAATTGCAAAATCATACAAACAACTCGACAGGCAAATGTGACTGTCAAATCAGTAAAAATTGAAGGAGAAAAAAGGAACATAAAATTAAACATGAGAATTTAATTCCTCCTAACAAACAAGATTTTGTTCAAGGTATGCACTGTCTGCCAAAGTAATGGAGCCATGGACTGCATATATTCCTTGAAACCATGCTCGATATGCCACAAACTAAGGTATGAATAACACTTCTGTTCTAAAATCTACTCATGATGTCTTCTCCGGATTCCAGCATTTCCTCACTGTGGTTTCCACTGGCAACATCAGCTCACCCTAACTCCGAGCCTTCCCATTTCCAAGTGTGAGCTCTAGGTCATCCAATCCTATTTCATGAATCCTCTCTCCTTCCCATGGCTTCACCTGAACACTGCCAAACTCAAATTCCATACTCCTTCCATTCTCTTGTATCACATTACCAGACAAAATTTGTCCAGCAACAGGTTTCACAAGATTATAGGTTGGAGAGGTAGGCATTGCAGCCATAGAGGGAGCAAATTTCTGAAAGCTAATCCATTGACCAGACTCAACAGTAGATGTATCAGACTCATCACATTCAGGTATAGTAGCTGGAGCATGAAATTGGCGGTGAGTTGGGCTGGCTGGGGCAGATGCAGCACAAAACGGATAATTTAATGAGGCCATGGATTGTTTAGCAATGAACTCCCAGTTGGGAATTGGCTTGGGAATTTTTGAGGTTGGAGATGACAGAGGTGGAGTCACAGGTGCGCTATTGGAGATTCGGAGAGGAGGGAGAGATGATGGAATTGCATTTTGAAGGAAAGGGAGGAGATTAAATGGGGTATTATTATCAACTCGAGATGGGCTAGGGAATGAAGAGGAAGAAGGACTGACTTGGTAAGAAGGAATTGGACTAGGAAATGATGAAGAAAGTGGACTTGGATTTTGTGAAGAATAAGGAGTAATTCTTGCAGAGGTGCCTACAATATCAATTGGGGGTGGCTTGCATCCCTGGATCACAAATCAAACGTGGTGCTACCATATCAGATCATAAGGTTCAAGAAGCACAATAGATGAACAGTTTCCAAAGCAATTAAAGTTTCCATAACTTCATATTTTAAATTCTTACGTTAGAGAAAGACCAACAATAAACAACCAAACTTTCTTCAATTAATCAGAGCTATTCAATTATTCGTTGAAGTCTTCAAGTCCTAACCATCTAAATACAGAAATTTGCATCAACTTCCAAAGACATCTCTCCTATGTTAATATTACTAAAGCAGAAAAATAAAATTCAAGACCATCCCGTTCGATAGCCCAATGTCCCAACGAGTTCAAACTGAAAATCAGACAAGAAATAATAAAATAGAGAATAGATATGTAATTAGAGCTGACACAAAAACCCAGAATAAAATTTTTTTCAGCGAAAAACTAAAAACCTAGAAAAAGATAAATATAGAAACTTGATCCAAGTGAAAAGACCCGCAGATCAATAGCTGAAAAATAGCAAAAACAAGATGAATCTAAAGCAATAAGCACAGATCGAATTAATAAAAGAAGAAGGGATACCTTCCTATAAGTGGTGCCATCATCTTCAACAACCCAGCCAGCTTCAGAACACAAAGCTTTCAAGACCTCATTATTATCGCAATGTTTGGGCAAATTATAATTCCCTTGAGCCCTTAATCCCGCAAATATCTTAGCAGCTATAGCCCTTCTCCTCCTCTCTCTTCTCCGATTATTCTCTCTCTCCCTCCAAGAAGGTTTTCTCCTAGGTGCAGCAGACGTCGATGTCGCCCCGTCTGACGTCATTTTCCGGCAAAAACTTCCAACTCTCCACCTCTCTAAAACCAACAATCGAGCTGGGTAAAGTTGCAGGGGATTTAAAACCTAGGAAGGAAAGGAGAGGGGAAGCAAAAGGAAGGGAAATAGCAATAGTCACGAGCAATACGCTTTCCTTCGCTGGAAGTATAAGAAGAAGAATCTGTTTTTCTGTGTGAGGACTGATTAGCAGTGTTTTTTTGAAAAAGAAAAAGTTGGTGTCTTGAAATGTTAGTGTGTGGGCAAGTACAAGAAAAGGATTGTGTTCAAACTTCCTTATCAACGTCGGTGTCTTTTTTACGAGCACTTTTTGAGATTGTAAATAGAGATCAATCATTTGATGAACGCCAGATAAGGACGTGTTTGTGTGTGCAAATTGTAACGTGTTCCTTTTTCTTTCTTTTTTCCATTTTTTTTTAGGGGTAAGATAAAAAAGAGCGCTACCACGTGTAGGTTTATGAGCCTGTCTCGTAATGACCTAATAATTCTAAGATGGGCCCAGCCGTTGAGCATTGGGACCCCCATAAAGCAAAGACCCGGTCAGCATAGCGGAACGAGAATTATTCAGTTGTTAGAACTTAGAATAGACATGGCCCATGTAATGTTTTCTTCAGTGAACCATTCTTGATTGGGCTCTTCCATGTTCTTGAATGATATATATATATATACACAAAAAACAAAGAGTAAAAAACTATGTTCAATAGACAAATATATAAACAGATTCCTGTAAATTCCAAGAATTTTACGAAAAGGAAAAAGTTGAATGAATTAGAATGACAGCAAGAAAAATGGTAATAAATTTAACTCTACAGCAGTAGATAAAATTGACTAATTTGAGTTTGGATGCTACAAGCAGCGAGCAAAATAAGTTTTTCCTATAAAACCACCAGCCATGGCCTTCTTTACATTGGATTCAAATAATCTTGGATTATCTCTCAACATAGCAGCTGCATCAGAATTCAAAGGGTCCTCGCGATTTGGTTGCTGCACAATCAGACAAAGTTATAGTTATTGGATCAACATATATGTAACTCCTGGGGTAGAATAAAGTGGAGCAAAAGAAGCTATTTATCAGCCAGAGAAAGAGAAAATTAATACCGTAAACAGATGAAATAATCCGTAAATGATGGTGTTTATATTTAGAACAGGTTTCCAGTCTTCTCGAAGAATGTTCAGGCACACATTGCCTTCCAAGTCAATATTAGGATGATAAACCTGCAAATTATAGTTCATGCACATTAAGCTTAGCAGTGTTATCAAGAGACTGTCTATAAAGTAAAAAAGTCACGAACTTGCCTTTGTTTGGCACTTGACTTTTGGTGCCTCATGAGGATAGACATCTGGCACTTGAAAAGAGAATTGAAAATTGCCATTCCTGTGACAAAACAGAGAGATTTTTGTGCTTTAAGAGAAGAATTACAAAACATTCTTAATTTAAGCAATTGAATACCTTAAGAACACAAAATAAGGAAAATTATAATAACACAAAAGTTGTCTATAAGCAGAAGAAATTGCCAAGAGTTACTTCAAATTACTTACTTATAGTATCCTTCATCAGGCTTAACAGTGACCACAAAGTTCATCAGGTCATCCTTTCCATTGGTGAAGGATATGGTACATGATTTTGGCAGGTTCAACTCACTTATGTCTGCAAATATTTATGAGAAGAGTTAATAACATATGCATCATAATCTGAACTCACACGCTGCAAATACAAATTGTTAAAAGTCTTGAGAAAAGAAATTAAAACTAGGGCAAGACTTTTGTAAAAAGGGGTTGCCGACTTCAATGTTTATACTTTCATGACATAGTCAAAGAACAGTAAGAGAAACTTGAAACATTTCCATTGCTATAAAGCATCCAGGTTAAACAAACAAAAACTAGAAAAACAACTATAGGGAAAAAACCAGTAAATATGGAATGGAATGAGAAAAGAAATACTGATAGTTAACAATGGAAAAAATCAAGAAGTAAAGATGTTGACCATAACACCATCTCAGTTTTTTCTTTCAAGCGAGTAACTGCAAGCCAACTATGACTGGACAAACAAAAGGGATGTTGAACTGCATAATGAACTATCATGATTTACATTAGGACAAATGTACTAAGGCAACTTCAGTTACCAGGAGCTATTAAAGATGATTCTAAAAGTACAAAAGCAAAACAACCTTTATGAAGACGTAATTCCCCAGCACTTTGCTTCTTGACTGGAGCCTTCCCATTATCAGATATCTCCTTTTGCTTTTCCTTTACCTTGAATAATCGAATCATAATGCCTGGCTGCCTGCAAAATAAATAAAAAGAAAGATAAGATAACAAAATGATACCCTAATTCAAGATTATGATGGACCTGTGCACAAAAACAAGATTTCAAATGCGAATGTTCTACAAATCCTCAAGAGGGACAAAGGTTTAATACTATGAAATAAAAGTCATTGTTTATTGCTGAACACTTGCTCCTAAGAAAGCAAAAATCAACCAACAAAAACAATTTAGATATAAAAAAATGAGGCCTCCAACGTTTAGCACTGTAGATTCAGAATCCCATGTTTAACATTGCAGTAAGATAAGCAACATGCTTCCATCCCAAGTTGAAAACTTATCCCCCAGAGTCCAGAGTGCTACTAATAAACACCATGTACTGCTGAGAGAATACAATCAAGGAAATATTTTTCAGTCTCTAAATGAGGACTATGATGGAAGGTCTAAAACGCACAAAAGGTTCTATGCTCTAGCAATGGAGGTAACACAGCTGTTTTATTCTCAAACATTATCTACCGATATGATCCCCAATAAAATTAGTGGTATTCGTTAGAAAAGGAAAACAAATTTCATTACGTTTGATTCCATCCTCCAGTAAATTTGTGCATACTAGTTTTGGCTAATAACAAGATGAAATTTCTTCAGCCATATAATGTAAGGGCTATAATGCAAGGACAATAAACAATATGCATGAAATATACATCAAAATAAAAAGGTTAATGGCTGATAATTGTTTTCATGACTATGACTACATATTTAATGTGTCCTGGCCCCATTTATTCAAGGATTATAACACAATAGATGAACAGAATTAATTAAAACATTCAGATTTTTGGTTCAAGTTGGCTATTACCATAGATTCATACTGCTGGATAATTTCAGTGAACTAGAACAGTTCCTATGGTATAATATAACTCGCTAATAATCCAGCCCAAAAGAGGAAACAAGACTACTAAATTGAATGTTTTCTATAAAAATCTGAAGTTACATAGACATACATATAAAATTCTAACTTCCCCATCAGACTAATCAAAGATACTCCCAAGCTAGCTTCACACAGTCCAACTCAAAGGAAAAAGGGGAAATAACACTAATTGACGCTCAGGGAGCTAGCATTAACTGCAGTCTACACCCAGCAGAACAAGCATTATCAACACCCAATAAGATTAGCAAAAACCACCACTTATTTCCCAAAAAGAAAAACAGACAATAAAGTAGTGAACTTTGTCACGAGGGAAACAAATATGTAATCAACCGATTAAAGGCTAAAGATGCTTCGACAACCAGCCAAAGGCGACGATTAAAATCGCGGAACAAACAAGAGGCAAACAGTATAAACGTATCAAAATCAATTCATATACACACAAAAATCTGGTATTAACAAAAGAAGAAATCAATAGAAAAGCTAACCTGCACAGGGAAAGGACACAGAGAAAAAACAATCTTAACGACGGAGAATTTGTGTATGGAAAGGCTTTTGTTTACAATGAATTTCGTTGCAGCAATTTCACTTGTTTAAAACTTCTAGAATATTATGTACATATATATGTTTCCCGGTCGCAAGAGTAAGAGTTTGTAAGCCGGTGAGGCGAACTCCACACCAGCCGGGATTCGGATTGCCGGTTCCGAGAAAGAAAACTAAAAAGTAAACGCCGTTGCCGGGGATCGAACCCGGGTCACCCGCGTGACAGGCGGGAATACTTACCACTATACTACAACGACCGGATGATAAACTCGGGAAAGGATTATTATTAGAATATCATATCGTGCTTTTTAAACGAATTTTGCTAATATTTTGTATCTTTTCGCTCTATTGAAGAGCGAAGACAGTTTAGAGTTTCTGACTTTTACTTGAAAAATTTTGATTTGATATAATTTTATATTTTTTAAATATTAGTAAATATATAATATCAATCTAATTTTACAAATTAATGTATTTAATAAAATAAATTTATAAGTACAAGTGTTAATAAGTGTAAACAGCCATTATTTTTTGTGTTTAATTTTCTCGTTGTACAAAGGGATAGACAGCCATTAACTTCGTTTGGGTCACACCCGGAGAGACGTCTTCAGACGTGCCTAATGGCTAATACATAAAGGACAAAGCAAAGGCCAACCTCTCATGAATTCTTCGCTAGTCACTAGTCAATCCCCCACAGAGCATGACATCTAGGCATGCAATTTTTATCTGTGAATATTTATTCTTGCTATTCAAAACATCTTTGCACCATCTTCAATCAAATCAAACTTACTATTTCATGGATTTCTATACGGGATTATAGAAGTAAATCGTGGAATTAATTTTTAAACAACTCGAGCAATGAGAAATTTTTTGGTGAAAACTACAACCCCAAAATGGCGGAGGGAGGCCAATTCATTAGAAATTGTCCATTCATAATTTCCCTTACTGTGTAAGCCGATACATAACCTTAAACGGAGCACTCTATTTTCAACAAATAAGCTTATCTATTGTTTTCTCCGTTGCTACAAGATATCATTATCATGACCTTCCTAGTTTCGACTTCATATCCACCTCGGACTCTACATCCTGTAATTAGCTCACCTTGAAAGTCACTGTCCCATAACTACAGCCTTCGACAGGTAGGTCATCACTGCTGAAAGTTGGTTTTGCACCATGGTTAATCCGTTCATGTCGTTAATTACGTGTGAAAATTGCCTGTAAAATGATAATAAAATATAGTCAAGACCTTGCATAAGGCAAAATGAATACATTAAGCACATGGATAATTTTCTATTAACAGTGGATTGATTAAAAAAAAAAAAGAGTATTAAAATAATATTTAGAGGACCTTGAAATAACTTGCATGAAGACAGAAGCAAGTCATGGTAAGAAGAAAGCCATAAATTACAGGCTCCCTTGGGCAAGTAGTTCACAATAAAAGTGCGTTCATCTTGATTTGCTGTCCTTATCTTTCTATAAAATAGTTCAACCCCTGAAATCGAAGAGGTTCATTTCCCCAAGAAGTCCATCCGCCTATCATCTCTCTGGCAAATAGTTCAATACATCTAACAGGTTTAGGGCCAGGAACATGCTCCAGCAGCAACTCTACAAATGTCATGGAAGAACAAGAATTGAGAATTCAGTGATTGGCAAAATAATTTAATCTCATCGGCTTCAAAGTTTATGCTACCTTTAGTTATGCATCATCTGATACCTTTTTACATGTGAATTTCAACAGAACAAGATACAACATCCAACAGAGGATCATTGAAGACCAAATGATGAGCAATTGGCAGTAAACCAAATGCTATATCAGCACTCACCTCCAATTGGGGGCTTCCTTGAGTAATCCCCAGGGATACTTATAATGATTTCATTATGTTCTATAGCTCTCCAGCTTGACATCTGTTCAGAATTAGTGCCCTGCAAAAATCAACAGGACAAGCCACCTAGGAGTTTAAAAGAACAAAAGAAAAGACTGGATCTATAGGATCACAATTGATGCCAAATCCACTTCAAATCTGCGCTTACCTCCCTGCGACAGTAGCCCAATAGAAGGCATTCATAAGGCCTATGATGAAAGAGGTCTAAATCAGTGATCAACGAGCCATCTGCTTTCACCTGCAGCACTTGAGCATGACCAAATCAATGGCAATGGTAACTTGTAAAACAATCACCTCCAAACACTTGCATGCATGTACGTGTGCAAGTGAGAGAGAGAGAGAAAGCACCTTCAGCCAGTAAAAACTAGCAGCATAATTGACTCCCCATGTGGGAAATAGCTCTTTCTCAACAAAATCACGCAGTTTCTCCCTATTTGTCACCCATAAAGCTACAAGTGCTCCATCTGTGTGAGTAAGTTGCTTAATAGGAAGGGATAAGAAATAGCGGTTTGGTAATGTTGGGTACCTAAAAATTGAGGGATAAAACAAGCTTACACAATTATTATTCTCTGTAGCCATAAACAGAAGATTAGTTCAATTCAATTTGTTTAACAAAAGGCAGTCATAGTGAACTCCACAGACTAAGACTTTACAACCGATAGCAGAAAGGTCATTTATGCAGGTCTTTTTTTTTTTGCCTCATTTATTCACAACCCCACTCACTTTCACATCCACAAATAAATCAGCAAATTGAGAAACAATTTGCTGATCAATAACATAACATCCACTGGAGAAAATTATTTATTGGAGAACATCCAAGCTGATACTGAAATTGTCAAGATTAGTTACAGCACTAACTTGTTAAAAGAACAGCCAAATTTACGGAAGTTCCATGCATGAATATGAAATAGCAGAAATATGCACCAGTTATTGGCATAAGCTTCAAAATTTTGACAAGCTAGAAAGCATTTCAATTGCCACACAATGAAATTACGTACAGTAGTTTCTGAGAAGCACTTGCATTTTCCCATGGTGGATCAACCACTATCAGATTAAAGCCACAATCTGACTCGTCTGCATTAAAAACCAAGTGAGAAACCCCATATTTGATAGAGTAGAAACAGCAAGAACCTTTATGCATGAACTAATATTTTCACCAGCAGATATAATCAACTCTCTAGTATTACATCAAATACTAAAATAATTGAGGCAACGGATGTTCCATTAACAAGAATATAACACCATACAGCCAGACTTAGAAATAGTATAATGGTTCCCATAATACACGTGATAGATATCGTTCCTCAATAAAGTGGATTTTACATAACATATCATGATAGGAAACCGCTATGTTGTTGACATTTTCTTTTTCATGCCACATGAAGGTGAATAGCCAAGTTAAGAGAGAAACAAAAGGAAGGCATTGACTTTGGTATATATATTAGCCAAGATTGTCGAACAACATTGCACTTCCATGGAGATTAGCATGTTCACCATCAAGCCATAAATCAAGTGCATGCACATCATAGATTAGGCCAAGAAATTTCTCAACCACATAAATAAAGGCTCTTCAAGCACAAAACAAACTCAATTAACTGCATTAAGTTGTGTAGGCAATAATTACCAGGAATAAGGTTGCGAATCTGCCCCAGGTCAGACTTCGACAAAATAGAAGAAAAGACATGCAAGATTATGTAAGAAAAACTATAACAATATAGTGAAGTAGTTAGCCATATTAAAGTAACTTTAACAGACGTAACAGGATTATAAGATGTAAAATTTAACACAGATAGACAATCAATAACTTTTAATTGTTTCTCTTAAAGAGAAGGCCAAGAAGAGTAAGTTGAGAAGGCTGCATACCATGTAGAAGCAACTCTGTCTAGGGAGTACATATTTCCCATTCAGAAATTCTGCCTCTACATCATCACATGTCTCATTAACAACCAAATTATTGAATACAGGAAGAATTCTTCGCCAACTGCATTGATCAGGCAGGGTATCTGAGAAACCAATTGAAAAGGCATCAGGAGTCTGTTCTTGCAAAGCTCAATAATCTAAAATTATGCGCTTAACAAACATTCCAAATTAATTATGTATCTTTCAATCTTTCTATACTCAGCCTGCAACTAATAACATAAAAAGGAACGTTTTTTTCTTTTACAAGATCGACCTGCATCTTTGCTTGGCTCGTGATGATGAGGGAACTTGAGAGTGATTTCATACAGAGGAGCTTGCCAAATACGGCCGAGTTCTATAAAAGACTGCTCACTACCAGGCAGTGGTACTTCTCTACGTTGTGAAGAACAAAAATCACTCCTTAAGTCTCTCATAATCGCTAAAAGATCAGTAGCCGCCATTAAGAATTCCAGTGCCTTCATTAACATAGGCCTAACTTGCTGCCACGAGTATTATTAATTTATTATCAGAATCGAACATAAACTGTCCTAATTAACCCTAAATCTTATTGATAGCCAATCAAATATGAAATTGATAATGCTTACCACATGGCGCTGATCAGCAGCTCTTTCTCTCTCATTTAAGGAGTGCGATCTTTTCACTTTTCGCTTTCGTTTTTTTGAACTTGAAGGGAGCTTAGTTTCATCACGACCTTGGTCGGCGCGCTTGGGGTCAAAAAAACGAGAATAGTATGTCGACGGAGAAACCCTGAACCGGGCATATGACGAGTTCAGCATACGAACCGGGTCAATGAAAACAGCATTGGAACTTTCGAATCGGTAAATCCCTGAATCCAGAAATGTAGAGAGCCGGTCGTTCGTCTTCGTGTCGTCCATCATCGTAATCTCAGCTTGTGCTTTCAATTCCTTCCTCACTTCCTTCACTACTCAGTGCTCACTAGTCACTGGGCTCCCCATGCTAGCTTGAAGCCCTGAACCATTGAAACGACACTCATAGTTAGTCGTTTAGAGTCTTATCACTAAAAAGCACCCTTTTTTAAAATATATATATATACACACACATAAGGTCACGTAAGAAAACCTTTTTGACAAATTTAACATTTTAATTTTCTAAATTATACTATACAAAAATTCATCTGACAAAATTTTTCCATAGAATATTTCAATTTTTTAAAATTATCAATTAAATATTTATTAAATAGTTAAAAGTATAAAAATTATTATTTAAAATTTATAGTAATTAAACATCAAAATTAATATTTGCATCAAAATTAAAAATACTAAAACAATTATTAGTATTAGTGTAGATGTATATATAATATTAAAAAATTTTATAATTTTAAAAATACAATAAAGCCCTTATAAACTTTAAATACTACAAAATTTTTCAAAAGTACAGTAAATGAATTTATTCATTTGACGAAAACGCCTCATTTACTAATGACTACCCCAAGCAGTGATTGGGTTTTAGCTTGAGTGACTTGATTTTTTTAATGATAAAAAATAACAAAAACCTCTCAAAAACTGATATTATACTCCATTTTTAAAAAGTATCAATATATGTTAAACAAATAGCCTATTATACATTAATTTAAAAATTAAAAATATAAAATTCAAATTATAAATAATTACTTTCAACTTTTACTTTATAAGTAAAAATCCGTTTACAGATATAATTTACTTTTCTTAATATAAATTGTTGTCTGATCCAGCAATATTAAATAAATATTTTTCAATTTTCAAATAATTAAATATTACCTTATGGAATAATATAAATAAACAGATAATATTTTAAGTGAAATAAAAAATACTAAAGCTCTTATCACAATCATCTCATAAGCAAATTCAATCCCGTATCAGTATAATTAATTTATCAATTGATAAACCCACCAGTGGGACCCCAAATGATAAAACGCGTTTGATGTTTGACCACAGTCTAAACCTCACATTTCAAAAAAGAAAAGAAAGAAGGAAGTTTGCCCGTGCAAGTAACCAGATGGTGGTTCTAATCTTCTATACCCGCACCGCACCGTAGGAAAGAGAAAATCCAAAATAATTTCATGCCTACCATGGAGATAACAAACATGGCAGTAGATTCTAATTTTAGGTGAAATTTATGTATAAATATAATATTTAAGAATTTAAAGACTGAAAAACAATTATTTCTTTCAGAAAAAAAGACTGAGAAATAATTATATTATGAGTAGAATGCTTAAATAAATAAGAATAGATTAGGAAAGGGAAAATTAATGGAATTTTGAGATTATATATAAAAAAAAACTATTATTTTGAAATAAAAAGATAAAGAATGATGTTTATTTTGAAAACGAAGGAGTATAATAAATGATTAGAAACAAATGGTGAACGTAATTAGAAAAAAAAAAAAAAAAAAAAAAAAAAAAAAAAAAAAAAAAAAAAAACATGTAAAAAATTTGTCCAAATGAATGCTATTGGCCAGAAAGAAGAATAGCGTTTCAGCATGTGCATGGAGAGTCAGTTTCAAGGACCAAAAGTTTCCCTTTGTGGATCATGTCTAGATTCTCGACCTTGTATGATCAAATTATTTCGAATTTACCAAGAAACGAAAACAACTTTAAACTCGAGAATTTTTAAATACTTTAATCCTCAAAAAAAGAAAAAAGAAAAAGAAATTTCTAAGAAGGTACAAACTATCCAAATAACCAGATTGAATGATCTAAGCCAAGGACGTGTCCACGTAGTAACACGTTATTGGACTGGTGACACAACTAGAGACTCTCTTAACTGTGTGCCGAGATAACTACTTAACCATGGTTAACTAATTACCTAACAACGATACTAATCCCCCAGTACTGTAGGCAGTGGCCCCTATAAAAGCATGTACCAAGTGACGAGGAAGTGACTGGTTGCTTCAGTTTGGTCCGCCTTTGAAAGGTTAGAGCTTCAGTGGCTTATCATTGTACGATTTTCATGCATTTTTTTTCTTGATAAGCTACTCTTTTTCCTTGGGAATTATATTGATTGGTAGTTTCATTGAATATTCTAATTATTCTTAGATATTCTGGGTACTGGGTGGGTACTCCTCTTCTTCTTTACTTTCCATGCAAATCTTGCTAAAGGTGGTAATTATCTTTTGTTTGGTTGATGAGAAAGATAGAGGAAAAGGATAGGAAAAGACTTATTACTATTGTGAATTTCACTGGAAAATGAAGAAAAGTTAAAAAGCATTTCTCCATTACTTGGCCAATGGATTGATGAAGGTTTTGTTTTTCTTGGGCTCCATAATCGGAAGGAACGAAAGAAGCTTCACTTTATGCTTTTAATTTAACTTAATTTCTTTTGTTTTTCCGTTTATCTTTTCTTATGAAACCAAACGGAGAACAACTAAACAATGATCTTGATTGTGTACCCAGAACTGTGTTTTATTTTATCTTGATTAAGAGTTTTGATTTTGTGAAACAGATACAGCGGTTGCGGCCGGCTCTAGTGAGAATACCATACCAGGTAATAACCTTCGAAGCCTTCTTTATATTCAGTAACTTGCTAAAGTCATAAGCCTTTTCTTAGATTTTAGATCTCTGTGTTTTACTTCATTGTACACTGAAAAGTCAATTTATTGGTAAATAGCTTATACTGGCTATCATTGACTGCGAGTTTTGTTTGCTTGTAAGTGTTTGAACACCTTCAGGTCTTGCAATTTATCTTGAAAATTTTAGGGATTTGTGTTTATCAGATTGGACTTGGAGTCATATACTAATCACTGTTTTTTTTTTTTTTTTTTTTTTTTTTTTTTTTTTTTTTTTTTTTTTTTTTTTTTTTTTTTTTTTTTTTGTGGTAAGAAAAGAGAGCACAAGCTCTAGAGTTACAAACACTATCTAGGATGAATTACACCAACGTTATCATGGAGAAGCCATGAAACAATTGGAGGATCCATAAGAATGTGGGTAACCATGGAGAAACCAGCAGCAGTTTTAGCTAGGAAATCTGCCATGAAACAATTTCTTGAGGAGGATCCATATACCAATCACTGTTTTCTTTGAAACTTCTTACTGGATTCATTGCAATCTGATCAATATATAGTCTTAAATAGCAACAATTATGACTAAAATAATTCAAAGTAAGTCATTTAATGAGGAATTATCTGGTGAGGGATTGTTGTGTATTATTATCAGCAATTGAATTTCCGCCTTCAGCCTTTGATTGATATATATAATCTATTACTGGATCACTGAGCGTGGTACCATCTATTATTGGTTAAATTAGTACGTCCATATCCACATCCCCTTCCAATTTTCTTTTTTGAACTTGAGATTTGATTAGTTTTTATCATCATCCATATCTACTTCGATGATTGTGTATTCCCCTCTCAGACCATGAGAGTGCTAATTGATTGTTAAGAATTTATTTCATATTCAAATTGATTCTCGAAGTAAATGGGAGACTAATTTAATTTTGCATCTTTGTTTGCTCTGTTCTTCTTTGTCTTTATATTTTCTTTGCAAGTGAATGCTGATTAATTGAGCAGACAATTAGAAGTCAATGCTAGATGATTTCTTATTTCTTTTTCCTATTTTCGTATTTATTTAGCTTTTACCCCTTTGCAATTCTCCTTTCTATCATTGGCCTGGGAAGAGATTTTCCATCACAGTGCTGTTCCTTTTCAGTTTTGGTTGAGCTAGGATGCGTCCTCCAACAAGTCCAATTGCCTCACTTCCCGATATTGCTCTTGATTGCACTGATGAGGAGCTCTTTATCTCTTTGGAGAAAATGGCTGATGGGTACCCTCCTCCTGGCAATGTGATTACTGATGTCAATCCTTACAACTATGAACCATCAAATTTGCCAGGTAAGTGCAATTTTACTTTCAAATGAGATTGTGCAAGTTAGATGCTTCCACTTACTCAACAATACTATTCAACTGAACGATTGGACATCTTTAATTCCTTAAATAGCAAAGCTCATAAAGATGTTTGGTTTTGCAGATGGAATTTGGTACTTTATTCCCTCCAAGGAAAATGGGCCTATAGAACTTGGATTCTGGAGGGTCAAAGGGGAGGCTTGTAAACTATTCTCAAGCTCTGCCATCACAGGTTGGAGGACAACTCTTGAATTTTTTGAAGGTCAAGTGCCTCACGAGCAAAAAACTGATTGGATAATGCAAGATTATTGGATAACTCGGAAAGGACCTGATGAAAATAGCAAAGTGAAGGTAATTTATGGAATATGCTACCTCTCTATGCTTGTTAGATAACATTTTTTCTTTTATTTTTCATTCTCCTCCAAACTACCAGCCAACGCGGGTTTGGTTGGATACTTTGCAGGAAGGCAGCTCATTATGCAAAGTCTTCCATGGTGGTGAACAAGGTCTGGATCATAACAATCGCCAGAAGATGGCTAGCCTCCATGTTCCACATGACTCGACACAGTCAATTGTTCTCAAGACTCTCAATGATACAAGCAAACCTGTGGTATGTCAACTTTAATCATATCCAAGAAATCTTTATTTTTTCTGCTGTCAAGTGAAATTGCTTTAGTACTCATATAAATTTTGTAGTATTCTCTTTATGTGTTGAAGCTTAGTGATGTTACTGTAGGCGAACAAGGATGGTGAGACAGGAAATTTGGCTGTGACAGGAGAACCTCCAAGTGCTCTAGTGGAAATGGAAAACCCAGCAGAAATTGACTATTTTTCTAGAGGTGACTACTTGGAGCTGCGAGATCTTGATACTCCAGCATCACGTTCTTCAACATCGGATAATTCAAGTTGCTTCACCATGTCATCTGATGAATGTTTTGACTCATTGGCTTTGCTGGAAGAAATAGAAGCTAAAATTAACCAAGACTCGGTACAAAAGAATGAAAGTTGCAAGTTGAGTATCTCTGCACCATCCAAACCGGATGAGGTTGTTTGGGCTCCAGCGTCTCCAGGTTTGTCAAATCCATATAATAACTCTTGCATCTCTTGCTGTGTTAATTGTACTCTCTTAATCTGTGCTTCTTTTGATTCAGAAAACAGTTTATATACAAGAAGTGATTTTTTAACAGTTAATTTTAATCTTTGCTTTGGCAACAGGGTCTTTAATTGGCATTGAAGAGAGCAAGCCACATACAGGAGAAATTCTTGCAACTGAATCATCTCCACCCACTTTAGCTAATGACCATAAAGATCAAGATAATATAGTTTTACAGCATTCAATCAGAAACCAGAAGGCCAATTACAGTGATGAAGGTTCATCAAGTTCTAATGATGTAGGCACATCATCCGATCACCGTCTTCCATTTCAAGATGCAGAAAGAAAGGTCGATGAGAGCAGATTGAAAAAACTAAAGAAGAAGAAGAAGTATCTGTGCTTCATGCCACTTCACTTCCTCTTCTAACTTCAAGCATATATAGCAAGGTGTGTATGTAAGTAGTTGATGAATAGTATTAGATAACTCTGATTCTGATATTGAAGAAAGATATAGGAAATTGATTACTTGGTTGCTTGCAGGGATAGAGCAGTCTATACATTTTTCTCTTATACACTTACAATGCAAGAAACTGCTGCTTCCTTTATTTATTTATTTTTCATTGAATATGGTTGGGCCTTGTAAACATAAAACTTTTTGGGCCAGTAAAACAGGCTTTATCTCAAGAGAATAGATATCTAATGATTTTATCCAACGATGCACGGAAACTCTAGCTGTAAACGTTTCGGCGGTATTCATTTTCATGTATAAAATACTGTTTTTTCGTATAAAATACGGTTTTCTCGTGTAAAATTAATATTTGCCTCTTCAACAAATCTTTCCCTGAAAAATACCAACCAATTGCACCTAACAAAAAATATAAAACTTAGGAACCAAATTGTGTGACCAAAATAAAAGAAATCGAAAGGGACATTTTACCTAATTTATCCTCATGCACATGCCCACTTAGCTTCAATTTTGTTTTGGATTGAAGTCAAGCTCCCTTGTAGGGGAGCACTAACATGTTCATCAATGTCTGACTCTGTCACCTATTATATTCCTCTTTCCTCCTATCTTAGGGTTAGATTATATAATGCAACCCAATAAGGTTTGAGAATAACATATCATTTTCATACCATTTTAGTAAATTCCAGCATAACATTACCACTGAGATGTATTTCTTTTTATAAATATTTTTCAATTTTGTTAATTAATATTCTTCATTTTAAAAGAAAAGGATTTAACCTCTTGTTATTACAAATGTTTAACTATGTAAATTATTTAATTATATTTTTGAAATAATTAGTGGCAATGCTGATTAATTATAATGAACCAGTACACTATATATGGTTCACATGCATGCTACAGATGCCTTATCAATTTAAATATTTATCTAAAATCTTATTAAAACTCATGACTTATCAATATTTTTGTTTTAGAAATTTATATTTTATACATTACTTAAAAAATATTTATAATTTATTTTGAAAATGAGCTTGATAATTTAATTAAAAAAATTATCAAACAGAGAAAATAATGATTCCTGACCTTCAAATTATATAAATAGTTAAGAATATAAAATTCTTTTTAATTTGCATCATATGGTATCTTTTTCAGAATTAGAGGTGATATTTATATAATTTTTTATTTTGAATTTCATAGTAAAATATCTAAAAACGTATTTTTTTTATACTAATTTAACCATTTATTGATACTTAACAAAAAAAAAAAAAAAAAAAAAAAAAAACTTACAAATGCAGGTAAAAATGTGGAGAAAATGAGGGCAATAAAGTACTTACAAGATGAGGGGCCACTCTCTTGTTGTATCCTTTGGGTACCACACCTTACCGTGGGCCTGGGGTTTCTATCAGCTGCCCAATGCCATGACCATCATCACTTCTCTCTCTTTGCCATGTTTGGGAACAATGAGAAAGTAGATAAATTTAGGGCAAGCAGTAGTGGGAAGAAACCAAAAATCCGACTAAATTAAATTTATTTGGTTTGGTTTTTTAAAAGGTCAGTATTTATTTAATTTCGGTGTTGTATACTGCCTGCCTAACCAAATTTATTTCATGCTATAAGCAATTAAATAGAATCGAAATAACCAAATCTACATATATGTATTCGGTGCGAATTCAATTATTTATATTTTTATCTACCGATTTACAAACTAACTCTATCTATCTATAACCCTATAAAAACTGGAGTGATATTTCTCATTGGATTGATTGGGAAAATTAGATGAGGCGGTTGAAATATTATTTATTATTTTAAAATTCATTTAGTAAATGAATCAAATTAATTTGCATTGCATGTTCCCTTTTTTATGGGGTCAAATGTTTATCTTAAGAGGTTAATAATATTTTCTTTTCAAAAAAAAAAAGAGGTTAATAATATTTTATTTTTGGCATGGGTTAAAGGTAATGCAAGGCAGAGCAAGTTGCTAACTTTATAATGTCATAATATCCATTAGCATTTAGCACTTTAAATTATGAGTATTGATAGACTAATAAATGAACTAAGTGCATATTTGTAAATAAATAGTAGATTAGATTTCATATCTATCGGTTAAGATTTTCATTTAAAATTTGAGATATTCGCTCTGCCATTTAATGTCATGTCATTCGTTCGGATCCAGACAATGCAAAAAAAAAAAAAAAAAGAAATTTGTTTAGAATTGATTCATAACCCATTTATAGATCAAACTAATGAAATTAAGAATTATTTAAAATTTTTCTTACTTTATTTTTCCCAATTATATAGTTAGGAATATTCTCGTTTTAATAAAAAATATTTATTTCTATTTTTTTGTTCATAAATGGAACATAGACTCGGTCTAAATAAATTATTCTAATAAAAACCATTATAAATATTGGTATCAAATTCTTATAAGGATACTATGAATCAATCAACAATATCCTCTTTAACATTTTCTATTTCGTGGATCATTTTACTTATATCAGTATGATAGCCAATGAAGTCTTAGCCCAAAGGCTACGGTGGATGTCCCATGACCTACCGGTGATGGGTTCAATTTGCATCCCACTAATATTTTGCAATTCCTTATGAGTTGGATCGTCCTTATTGGACAACGGCAATACCTTTCGTTGTAAACAGTAACTAATAAAAAAAATGTAATAGAATAAAATTTAATTATTTAATTTTTTTATGTGAATTACACTTTAAATATATTCCCAAAACCAAATAATAATAATCAACATATAAAAGTAACCCTTTTCATTATTTTTATTGATAGGAGAGAGAGATAATTAAATATATGGTGTAATGGCACAAAGCTATAAAAGGCAAAAGATTTGGAAAAAATATAAGCTTGGAATTAGCACTTCTTTGCACTATAGTCAACAAATTCAGCTAAAGCTTCATCAAATAATACTGTCTGGTTACCTGCATTATTCGCAGAATTTCATAATTTGTCCCCTACAAGCAAGAATTGATTCTGTGCTGCGCCACTGCATTAAACTATGATGCTCTACGCACTAGATCAACTGCGAAATTGCGTAGCAAGAAAAGTTTCGAAAATCCATCGGTTGTTATGAACTGGTTGATGATCATGTACACGGTATGTGCTGCTGCTGCTATAGACCAGTTCAGCTTTTTTTTTTTTTTTTTTTTTTTTTTTACACGGGTATGTGCTGCTGCTGCTATTAAAATGACAGTTCAGCTTTTTTTTTTTTTTTTTTTTTTTTTTTTTTAATTTTTTAGTTTCGGCTTTTATTGGTAAAGGTGTTCAAAAGGTCCACTCTTCTTTGCAACTTTGTGATAATTTTTTTTTTTTTTTTTTTTTTTTTTTTAATTTTTAGTTTCGCTTTATGGTAAGGTGTTCAAAAGGTCCACTCTTCTTTCAACTTTGTGATAATTGCCACTTTGCCAGCGTGTTAACGTGAACAGTTTGTTTTTGATCCAACGGCTGCAACATTGATCATCAAAGATCGACGGTTAATGTTGTTCTATTGTGGCGGGAAATTCTGGTGGGAAAAGTAAAAATAAATGAGAAAAGACGGCGAAAATAATTTTTTTAAAGAAAAAAAAGAAAAAAATTTATTTGGGTGCGTATAAAAAAAATGAATGTATAAAGAAAATTTCAAAAATCTGATATCTCATGTCGGATAAGACAACACCGACGGCAGGTAGAGCTGCTCCCCACGTGGACCCCGCAGATGAATTTCGGGTTTCCGTTACGTTCCATTCTGGCGTTACTTTCTTCTTTACTGAACTTGCTTTCGTAGTTCCATCCTACGTCCCTCCAAAAAACAAGTTCCGTTATTTTTCTGCCAAATTACCAAACGGACACTCCATATATTTGTTTTATATATTATATATAATAAGATAAAACTCACAATATTAAAAGTATTTGGATCTAAAAGATATTTATCTATTTGTAGTGAAATCATATCATATGTACCATGTGAATAATCAAAATAAAAAATTAGGTAAAACACATACTAGGCCCTTGTATTTTATCCATTTTCATTATTAAATTTATAATTTTAATTGTTGATGATCAACTTTCAAATTATTATAGTAATTTGAAAATTGATTGCAATAAACAATTCAATTTGCTGATAATTAAGTCATCCCATTATCCAAAATTAGAATAATATTTTTTATAATTTACTTTTTAAAAAAGTTATTTTTATATTAATTCTGTTTCTCTCTCATGATATCCAAAGATACCTGTTCTTGAATATAATTAATGATTTCATTTATTTATATAGAAAATTTGATATGTTTGTTTAAAATATTAGGCTTCATTTTTTAAAAATATTTTTCAAATAATTTTTTTTTGAAAAGTTTATTTTTTATCAAATATTTGAGATACTGAACAATTTATTGAAAGTCTTGATAAAAAATTAAGAAATGTTAAAAAAATTACTTTACCTTTCTTAAAAATAAAAATAAAATTATTACAATAAAAAAAGCTCATAAACGCATGCTTGTTAATTTATCAATTATGGCACCTATCATAATCAATCACTAGTTCTATAAGAATTTATTATTTTATGTAATTTTATATTTAATAATAATTTTTTTAAAATTATGAAGTTTATATATTTTTAAAGTATTATAAATTAAAATAAATTTTTATTGTTCCAACCAAGTAAATTATACGAGATTTTAACATTTTTGGGATAGAAATTATTTTCTAAAAACAATGGAGTGGAAGGACAACTTGGTCATTTAACATAGTCCATCACCCTCACTTGGACCGCTAGTCAAAGGGTCAACCCACTGTATGGACAACTCCATAATCCGAAACCGGCTAGTGATTTTTAACGTCCCCTCCCTCCAAGTGCATGATTAACGAAACCCTTCTCGCAATATACGTGGCGATCTCCTATTGGTCCATTCTTCTTCGTCGGGATTCATAGCAACACAACCAATAAACAAAACCAGTCACTCTCATCTTTTATCTCTCTCTCTCTCTCAAACATTAAAAAAAAAGAACACTCTTTCTCTCTCATAACTCTTCTGTGTTTTTTCTCTCTCAGAAAATCCGAAATTTCTACTCAATTTCTCTCTCTTTTGTCTCCAAAACCTCCATAAACTTATTCAGCAATGCATGATCTTCATTTTAGTTGTAATTTCGGGTTTTGATGCTCTAATTTTGACAGAAATTTCATTGGCTCACTGAGTTGGGAATTGAAATTATGCTGGAGGCAGTGGAGAGTTCAGTCAATGGAGGGTTCTCACATTTGCAAAGCTGTGGAGACAGTAGCGAGGAGGAGCTCTCCGTGTTGCCTCGTCACACTAAGGTCGTGGTGACTGGTAATAACAGGACAAAGTCTGTGCTCGTGGGTCTTCAAGGCGTGGTCAAGAAGGCTGTTGGATTAGGCGGTTGGCATTGGCTGGTATTTGTTTGGAGTTATTTTGGATTTTTATTCAAATGGGTTTCATTGTTTTGGTTTGTTTCGGATTGATTTTGGGTTGTAACGTTGTTTTCTTGATTTTTGAACCTTGAAAATTTCAGAATTTTTTATTTTGGATTGTTTAAATAATGTGTTTTTGGCAATGTGGGTCAAATTTAGCAGTTTTCACTTTGGGTTTTTGGAGCTTGATTTTGTTTTGCTCATTAAGTGGTTGAGGTTTCTCCCTCTTTCTTCTTCTTTTCTTTTCTTTTTCATTTTATTTTATTTTATTTAATTATTTTGGTTCATCTATCAGTTCAAGGTGAATGTCTTAACTAAAAGTGATTTCAATTCTTATACTACAAAGTTGTTTTGGATAGTATTTTGGGAATTAAAGATGCTTAAATTTCAATTTTGCTTAAATTATTGTGCATTATGCTGATTTCAAGTTATAATTCCAGGGTTTGGTTAATGGGTTTTCATTGCATGCGCATTTTTACTAATGGATCTGGTGTTTTGATGGGATATTTAAATTCTGGGATTTTATATTGGCATTTTCATTGTTTCCCAGACATGTTTTACTTTACTTTAATTGCTTCTGACTTCATCAATTTCATATGCATTATTGGATTGGAATTTTTTTTTGAATCTCTTCTGAAAATATTAATTTGTAGGCGCAACAGGAAATTACCATCTGTGCTTTGGATTTTTTTTTACTCCACTTTATTTGTTCTTGAATCTTTTCAAAAAAAAGTATCCGTCTTTGATCTGGCTCTATATTCTTCATGAAAATCATTTGATTTGGATTCTTATTTTTACGGTGGTGAGTGTTTACGCCTAATTTAGTGGTTGATTCCCAACTGCTAAATAGGCGCGGTTGACTGAATTGCAAAGCAGAATTAATTTTATTAAGTTAAACAGAATTGAAATCCAAAGTTTTCTTGCCCCTTTTCCTCTTCTTCATATATGTCCGCTTACCAATTCATCAATACATTCAATTAAGCATAGATTAAGTTCTAAATTCTAGTACTTGGATTTTTGCATTCAAAAAATATAAATTGCAGGTTCTTACTAATGGCATAGAAGTAAAGCTACAGAGGAATGCCCTGAGTGTGATTGAGGCTCCCACTGGCAATGAGGAGGATGATGACCTGGAATTTGACAATGTGCAGTGGAATGGATCGGATTTGGGTGAGTTTGGGTAGTTAATTTCATCCTTAAATGTTGTCCTCTAGTCCCTTATTTCTGTTGACACTCGTGACTGATTAATGGCTTAAAGCAGAACTTAGTTGTAAATTGATTTGGAACAAATTAGGTCCTTAAAGAGGAATTGGTTGGTGAATCTCTGATCGTTTTCCTTTGAATTTATAACTTTGCTAATTTAGGTTGATAGTCAAGCTAAATTATATTTATTTGGATAGCTACCGTTTGACATAATAATTGTGAATTTGAATTTGAATTTGAATTTAAAATGTAAAATCATGAAAGAATAATATGATGCCAAATTCCAAATGCTTAATCTTTTCAACTGACTAGTTATCCAATACAGTTCTATAACAAAGTTTGTCCTTAATTCCTTACTTCCGTTGCTGACCTTGAAGAAAATCTCAAGACATGGCCCTAATCCGAGAGTGTAATTAAGTGTTTGATCGGACCCTAATTGTTAAGCTTACAAAAGAGTATGATTTTTCTATGGAAAGTGATGTAGTATGGTACATAGGATCCGTTCTGTCTTCAGCTTTTACTTTCACTATTGGTAAAGCTCTCTTGTATGATTTCCTTTATCTTTTAACTGGGTCCACCGCCCCTTTTAATTCTGGTTGTGGTATTCTTTGATTTTTTCCCAGCATCCGATGACACTCAAAAGTCCCATAGATCAAGGCACAGGACGCATAAATCAACAGGGTCATCTCACAAGACTATGAGCAGGTCTCTCTCTTGTGACTCACAGTCTAAGGGCTCTGTTTCGACATCTCGTGGGGCCGCGGTATATAATCTTTATTAAATCCTCTATTTACTTGTGCTGTGTGTATTATTTTCGTTTTGTTTCCTGCTCTTTTGTTGACAAGCAACAGAATTAAAAATGTTATTAGTATGTATCTAATTGTTTCTTTTTTATTATTATTATGAACACATCTCCATCACAGAAGGTTGACCTCAGCAAATTGGAGATGGCTGCCTTGTGGAGATATTGGAGACACTTCAATCTCGTGAGTATTATTTTGGATTTCATAGTGTCTAGAGCACATGAGTGGGCATGTTTATATCAAGTGGAATCGATTAAGAATTGTTAGTGGATATTCTTATAGGTGGATGCTATTCCCAACCCATCTAAAGAGCAGCTAGTAGATGTGGTTCAAAGGCATTTTATGTCCCAGGTAGTTGAAAATATGCATGGTCCATTTAGTTTTAATTTGGATTTTGAATATCAATCATCTGATAAAAACATTTGGTGTGGAAGCAAATGGACGAGTTGCAGGTGATTGTGGGATTTGTTCAGGCTGCAAAGAGACTGAAGCCTACAGTTTGCAAATGACTAACAGATAGCTGGTACCGAAAAGCCCTCTCCCCTTTCCCTTCCCTGTTTGTAACATATGTATGGATTTGTTTCTGATTATGGTAATGGTATGTGTTAGAGGGCCAAGTAATTTGCGTTGTCTAAGCTATAGAGGGGTTTTTTTTTTTTTTTTTTTTTTTTTTTTTTGTTTCTTCTGATTATGGTAATGGTATGTGTTAGAGGGCCAAGTAATTTGCGTTGTCTAAGCTATAGAGGGGTTTTTTTTTTTTTTTTTTTTTTTTTTTGACATTTTGGCAGTGTAGCTACTTTTTTTTTTTTTTTTTTTTTTTTTTGACATTTTGGCAGTGTAGCTAATATATAATAGCTCTAGCTAGCTATTTGTATATATTATGTAAAACTGAACCTCCAACAACAAAGCCCTCCTGTGGCTTTTCTTCTGCTTCTTCTTCTTCTTCTTCTAAGCTTGGATTAATGTATTTGCTGACTCGGGGAAGTGGATCTCTCTAAATGTACATATTCTTCCTTTTTCTTTGAAGTTGAACATCATTTCCAAAATTTATTGGAGCTCAGCCAAATACAAATAATAGTATAGAGTTTCTTTGATTTTTCTTCTAGAAGGAAGAAAATTAAAAATAAATTTTTTTTTTAAAAAAAAAAAAAAGGAAAATGGTTATTATCTATGGTCGAAGTGTTGATAGAAAGATCCATCAGTGTAGTATTGAAAGTTAAACTGGGAAGATTTGAAGTATCAAAATGGGGCCCATTTCATAAATGCGCGCACACCCTCTTCGTCGCGGTTGAAGAAGGAGAAGGGAGTATATGTATGGTTATTAATGTGCAAACTAAAATTCAACAGCGCACAAGGCCATCTGTCTAACCCTAAAGCCTAACATTTGTATTGTACCATACCACCAACCACTTTCTACACTAATCCATTTCCGCATTTATGTTTCAGCTTATCGAATTAATGATTGTTGTTTCATTTCTTTATTATTATTATTATTATTCAAAATTTAAAATCCAAAACTATATCATTATTGTAAATTGTCTCTCTGAAAAATCCTTTCATATTGTTTGAAGCATTCTTAATATGGGTCTCATCTCATGATCCTTAATCATACAAATTAGACGTCATGTCAAATATTTTACATAATCGATGGTCAGGATTAACTCCTATACATCTAATGGCCACAATTATTATCAGGAATCTTACCAGCCCAAATGACAACAAAGTTGTGAACTTGAAAAGTGTTCCAATATATTAACAATCTAAGCGGGCCCTAACATCTCTTGTTTTGGACTTCATATACTCGGTATTGATCCATTAATTATAACATGGCCCAATCTTTGTTGACTGGGTTGACAAGTTGCCCCGTTTTCATTTCTTCTTTTACCAAAATCATGTATTATTATCAGGAAACCTAAATCATTATGGCAAACATGGAAGACTTGGACTGTTCATAAACTGTTTTTATAATTTGTAATATCAACCTATAGATGATTGATTGATCGAATCCAATGGATTATATTTTTACGTAAATTTTATTTGTAAAATCAGAAATTCCAGCATTTCAAAACGAAATTTAAGTGATGATATAAATTATTACTCTTTTCAATTTAATATTTTTTCTTTATAACTTTGGAGTGGACATAATTTCAAAGCTGAATGCACCACCATATACTTTGCCACAAAAAACTTGATCCTTTGCTACGGTTTAGGAAAAGTCTCCATAATTGAATCAAAACAAACAAAAGATTCAATCACTTTTTAGTCAAAGATTCAATTTAGATCCTACAAGGTGGGACTTCTTTATGATGAATCATCCACTACCCGCAGTCTTCTTTTACAGCTTTTCTCAATCAATAAGCTACAGCATTTCAATTTATCATATATTGCAATTCCACTATTGTTTTTGTCTCAGAATTCTAATTTGTGTTTAGTTGCATTTCAGTCAAAAAGATAAGCTAGTTCCTTGAGTAATTTAAACCCCATTCTCGAACTTTTCCTTTAATCCTGGCAAAAGGAGAATTAAAGCTATTGATGTGATTAAATATTACAAAGTGCAATTGTATTTTGTCATATACTCAGAAAAAGTTTATGTGAAGTGCCCAATTTCAGTTGAAAAAGGAAATTAGAGTTTGATTTAATAATTAAAAATTAATATTGAAAAATATGATGTCCATGAATTTCAACCAATTCATATTAAATCGCTACCGCCAATGAAATAGATTCAATAAAAATGTAAGCAACAATAATTAATGGATTCTAATAATACGCATGACAAGTTTCATCATGTGTGACGTCATATTTTAAATATTAAGATTCTTTTTAAAATGGTAAAAAAATTTAGATTCTTTTTATCTAAAATTGAAGCATCCTTTGATTGATATGAATATGAATCTTGTGATTAATCAATTGAAGCATCCTACTTATTAGAATTTACAACTCTTAACTCTAAAAGATTCTAATCCATCGGCCAAATGGAGCTGCCTCCAAATATTGGCGCAAAAGAAAAATACATAGCAAGATAAACATAACAGAATCTGCCTGATTGTATCGAATTCCTTTTTTATATTCTTTACTGAAAATTCAAATGAAAATAAGATCGATTATTTAAATTGAAAATGGTATTTAAAAAAACAAATTGAAGATTTAAAAATGACAAATTAATCCAAAATCTGAAATTTGATTTCTAGAATTGCATTTTATTACAAATCCAAAGCCGACCAAATACGAAAATAAGAAAATAGGATTCCCCAATATCTCATGTAGGCATAATTTTTAAGCTACTAGTTGAAAAGCTGAAATGAAATCTTGGTTGTCCTTCTTACACTTACTAAGGATCGATGCTCATATCTAAAATCGCAACCTTTTATATCCATATCCACTGGGATTAAAAATGTCAACCAATCATGCACATCACCACTGCTACGTAACAAGTTTCTTTAAGAATAATTTAAAAAAAAAAGTTTGCATTTTTATTAAATAAATAATTAAATTGTCCTTGTATACTTTATAAAGGTGGAACAATCTTTTTTTCATCAACTAGTAATTTTATTTTTACATCTTCAGGCGATTGGATAAACGAAAAAAAAAGTAAATTTATTAAATAAAATAATCAAATTGTCTTTGTATGCTTTAAAGAAGTGGAATGATCTTTCTCATCAACTAGTGTTTTTATTTTTCTGTTGTTTAATGCTTAGTTTGGGAACTTTTCCCTCTGTTTTTGGACCATACAGAAAATTTTCTCTCCATTAATGTTTTTTTTAAGAAAAGAAAAGAATATTGTCCGAATTCAAGCATCCAGCTTCCTGTTAATGGATCAGAAGCTAATCATAAAAATCTTCATATTATAATACAATAATTAAACAGATAATACGATAATTAATGATTCATCTGCGATGGAATATTATATATATATTGCAAATGAGTCAGATTCGGACCGCATTGCACGCTAAGTTTGATTACTATTCTTTTATTTATACCTAACTAACGAAACAAAATATAAATTAATATATGAATCTGCTTTTAATAAGTTTTCTGTTTTCTTTTAATTAATAATTTAAAAGTTTCCATTAACCTCTAATGTGGTATCTTGTTGGACAAAATTTTAAACCCATATGAATAAAGAATCATTCATGCCAGCACGACTAAGAAATTCACACACACACACACACAAAAAAAAAAAAAAAAAAAAAAAAAAAAGCCCTAACTAACCGAAACAAAATATAAATTAGGATATATGAATTCTGCTGCTTTTAATAAGGTTTTCTGTTTTGCTTTTAATTGAATGAATTTAAAGTTGTCCGGATTAGACCTCTGAATGTGTATCTGTGTTGGGACAAAATTTTTAAACCCAACTTTTATGAATTAAAGGGAATCATTCTGCCAGCACGACTAAGGAAAATATCACACACACAGCACACGACGAAAAAAAAAAAAAAAGAAAAAAAAAGAAAAGAAAGAAAAGATTGTGGATTTATTCTACAGTATTTATGTATTTTCTTCTGAATTGAATGTTGCATTTTCTTAATTTACATGGAGAGGGATGAGGGTCAAGCTTATCCCTTTTGAGTCAATGCCAAGGAAAGAGCACGTATTGGGGGTGTCGGTGAAACAGAAGCAGATAGAGGGACACACAATGGCCTAAAGCACCGATTTTATATTTTAATTTGATTAAGGTCAAATTAAAAATTTGCTAGGGCGATAAAACGTTTGCGAACGTGAGTTGAGTCCATCCAAAAACATTTTGATTGAATAATTGAAAACCACAAAAGAAAATAATGGTGGCAAAATTTCTCATCAAAAAAAAAAAAAAAAAAAAAAAAAAAAAAAAAGATTTGTGATTTATTCTACAGTATTTATGATATTTGTCTTTGAATTATTTCATTTTCTTAATTTACATGGAGAATGAGGTAAGCTATCCCTTTTGAGTAATGCCAAGGAAAAAGCACTATTGGGGTGTCTAAAACAGGAAGCAATAGAGGACACACAATTGCCTAAAATGCCACCGATTTTATATTTTTAATTTGATTAAGGTCAAATTAAAATTTTCTAGGGCATAAACGATTCGAACGTAGTTGAGTCCATTCAACGATTGATGAAACTAATTAAAACCACAAAAGAAAATAATGGTGCAATTCTCATCTGGCTGACCCATTACTGAATATTGGAGAATGCCTTTACTACTAGCTAGCATCTCATCAGCTATTGTTCTAAAATGCACTCCACATATGTAAATATGAAATGTGTAGTGGCTGATTAAGAAAAAAAAATGTTTTATTTTGTCACCAAAATGCCATCACTGTTCCTCTTAGGTCAGTCTCCATATATTAATATAATTACTCCAAAAACCAAATTAATTAATTAATTAAAGCAGACTCCAGTGGGCTTACGTAGAAACATTTTGGCAAAAAGCAAAGATTTTAATTAAATCCCAGAAGGTCAGACTTTCTGAGTTGCTAAAAACTGTATAAAAAAAATAATATTACAAACGTACCATCGTCTGTCATCAAATTATTGATGTGTCTGACAGAGCAAATTGGGGTTGTGCCATGGAGGATTCCCACTCTTTGGGGAGCTATATTCGGAGATAAGTACGTATAATTGTTTTCCTTTCTGATTCCAATTTGCATCAGTAATTCTAAGATGGAATTCTATCTGTCTCAGTTGGATTTCAAGTGTAGGGCACAAGAAGAGCAACCCAAAAACAAGAATTTATGGGAAAGCAGAAAGCCAATTGGAAAAATTGTATAGATAAGAGTAGAAATGGGTGGTAGGAAATTCACGTGGGAAAATGGGTGTAGTAGACTTCCCACTAGTGTCTACAGAATTTCATGCCCACATACAAAAATTAATGGAATCCATCTCCCAATTTGTTTGGAATTCTTAAATCACTGAATTATCGAGGATTTCCTTTTGATTCTTGATTCTCTCTATTGTTTTGCTTCCTGAGTCACTCATCTATTTCTTCTTAAAATTAGATTCTCTACCTTTGATTTCCTTGGGGTTAGGAAACAGGAATCTTCGCACCCACTTGATTTTAGAATATTCCAAAAACCCCATAGCCACCACTATCCTTTCATATGATTATACCAACAGTAGTAATAACGATAATGAATTCCTCTCCTTTTACCTTTCAATAAGAGATTTTTCTTTCTTTTTTTCTTTTTAAATTAGGATGATGATGAGTACGTAGGAAACCTCAATCATTAATTTAATATATTAATTACGAATAACTAAAATATTATGTACGTAAAAGAGAAAGGATTGAACTTGTCAAAATTAATCCACTGGAAATATATTAACCAATTTTTGTAAATAATAATTAAAGACGTGTTCTTTCAGAATATATATATATATATATATATATAATTGAAAGCAATTATGTTATTGGCATGGTTTGATGGTCGCTAAAGGGCCATAGATATTCTTCCGGGTTGGACTCAATTTACATGCAATAATAAGACATTAATTGGGTTATCTTCTTCTTCTTCTTCTTCTTTTTTGTGGGGAAAATATTTTTTCTTTTGGTTATTATATGTACTTTGCAGTTGCACGTGCGATTTATGGTTCGTGAGGGACAAGCAACTCCAGTAGAGTTATCATTGGATTAAACAATACAAATGATCGATGGACGAAATCCATAAATTTATATATATATATAAAAAGATATAAAAGCTTGAATGTGTTAACTTACGTGTAGGCATGTTTGCTGGGGAAAAGATATTATTTACATTCATTGAGACCAAGAGAAAATAAAAATTCACTTACATTAAAAGAAAATTTAGAATTATAACAAGACAAAGATAGAAAGGATACCCACACACGACACGGAATCATTATGGTGAAAGACAAACTTATAATAGAACCTGTAATTGTAAATTTAAACACAGAAAAAATGTGGAAGAAACGTGTGGATGGTAACTGCACAACACAAGGCAAGCTAATTGTATATTTCCGGCTGCCAATTGGCAATTGCGTTAAAACCAGGACAAAGCTACCGCTACCTGCACACTGCAGAAAATAAGGCAGACCTTTCTTTTCTTGAAAAATATTCAAACTATTAATATCAAGTACTGTAGTTGGTTTTAGTCGTTTCTTGTGGTGAGTGGGTCACCATTGAATCTCTAAGGTCAAACTTCTAAAACTCTTGAGTTTTTAGAACTTCCTTTTGTTTCTTTAACAGAATTTAAAATTTTTTATTCTTTATATTGGTGAGAAGATCAACCCGACTATATAGTAAATTTTTTTTTTTCTAACTTTAAAATTTATTTGAATATTGTAATCGATGGAAACATAAGTTATATGATTATTCTTATTTTCTTAAATAATTTTACATATTTAAATAATCTCCTAAGGCTTCTTAAAAAAACAAAGGAAAAAGATTCCCGACAAATGTAAGAATCTTTGCTTGCTGACGACACCAGAATCTTCTTTTTTTTTTCCAGTTCTTACCCTTTCTACCAAATCCCTCCCTCCTTTATCTAGTAAGGGTTGGATCTGATAGGGGTATTTTCGTCTTCTAGCCCTCATCCCCGCAATTACGCCTAGTTAACTCGCGTGTCTTACGCCACCCATCCGCTTGCAATCAAATCACGGCAACTTCTCTCTCATGGTATATTAATTGGCATATGCGGTAAAAGGTTAAAAACTTGAAGACTATATCCCTTGGTTCAGCGGTAAAGTTTTAACTTTTGACTGCCAAAAAGTTCTCTTGCATTTACCGTGAAATGAGTATCTCGTCATTATGGGTCCAGATTCTCTTCACTTTGTCCAGTTAAATTCTTCTCTGTGTCAGGACCCTATAAATAACCTTGCGCCTTGACCTCCACCTTTCTTCATCAAGGTTTCTTCCAAAGCTCTCTGATTTTACCAATCGGGCCTCTGTTTCTCTCTCTTCAATGGCGCTTCGTAAATTGCTCTCGAAGCGTCTTTCCAACAGTTACGGAGTCGCCTCACCGGCGGTAACACTAGAACACTCTCCAATTTCTTCCCCAGTCACACATAAATCCACACTAACGCCAAATGCAGCCAAAGCAAATTTCCAAATAGAGTACCTGACCTCACCGGAATCCTCAAAGACGGGATTTTTTCGGCGGTTTCTTCACCGTAGATCCATAAACCAGTTGCCCGAGTTTCTATCCCTTCCGGTCGGTGAGAAGCTGAGGGAAAGGCTCAAAGGTACCAACATTACCAGAGACCGGCTCCGCCTGGATGGACTTGCACCTCTGGAGCAGGAACCGGTGCCCGGAGATCCCAATCTCTTTGGAATTTCGGTTCAGGATGCGAAAAAACTTTTAAGGCTCTGTCAGGTGGAGAAACTGAAATCAAGGCTGAGGGAGATTCCACAGAATTCGATTTCGTACTCTGAGTTGATTCAGATTTCCGTTGAGGAGTGTGGGAATGAAGAGCAAGGGGTCGAACTTGCGAAGATGTTGGATCAGTCTGGAAACGTCATCGTTTTGGGTAGTATTGTGTTTCTCCGGCCCGAGCAGGTATAAAATATTTTTCCGTTACTAGTGACGTCATTTTTTAGTCTTTTCAAAAACAAAATCTTCTGCATTTAATAACACAATTTCTTTGCATTCAGTGCACGGATTTGCGTATATCATCTAAATAAAAAAGTTTGGTATTATTAACAGGTGGCAAAATCGATGGAGAGTATAATATCACAATCCACTGCTACTCCTAATGACCCAAGAAAAAAACAACTGGATCACATGGAGCAACAAAAGGCCATTATTGACCGAAAAGCCCGAGCCCAAGTTCGTGGCGAGCTTTATTGTGGGCTAGGCTTTTTATTGGCCCAAACACTTGGGTTCATGAGGCTAACGTTTTGGGAACTCAGTTGGGATGTGATGGAGCCCATATGTTTCTTTGTCACTTCACTTCACTTTGCACTTGCCTATGTCTTCTTCCTCAGAACTTCAGTTGAGCCTTCTTTTGAAGGCTACTTCCAGCGAAGATTCAAGGCCAAGCAAAAGAAACTCATGGAAATCAATAATTTTGATCTCGAAAAATATATCAAGCTCCGAAAAGCGTTCTATCCGAACATGGGTTATGGTTATCCTCCATCCGAATATTATAAACCCAGCAATGGCGATGAAGAAACATTTCTTCGGTCCATGCACCATTAGAATGAGTTTGTAGGTTAACAAAGAAGCAAAAATGGATGACTAGTTTTTTGTCTTCAATTATGAATAATTCGGGTCCATTAGATTTAATCTAATTGAAGGTAGTTGTAGTATATAGTTTTGAAGGAATTATGTATATACATTGAACAGTGTTAAAATACAGACTTGGAACAAAGTTTTGAGTGGTTTTAGATCGGAGCTTTGGCTTGGTCCCATAATCAGCTGTGTTTTGGACTGCGTCCTATAACCCATGTTCGGATTTGATGGATTTCTTTGTAACTGACCCTGTAAATGTAAGGTCCTCTCAATTTTATCCTTCGTAAAGCATAAAAAATATTAGTTGATAGGTTTATGAACAAGCTGGAGGTAACTCGAACTTGTTCATAAGAAGTTGTTGGACATTATGAGGAAACTTACAGCCCATCAATTATTCACAATGCTTTGGTCACTGGCCTTCTTTTCAACCCTAAAGACAAGCCCCAGACAAGCTAGCCTTGGTCCACTAGTAAACTGTTTTGTACTTACTACTACACGTGTGGGTCACCAAATTGAAACAACAAAGCCCTCTCTTTTGACAAATTCTGTATTAAAATCTTAATTAACCAAAAAAATTACACATTTGAGCAGTTCTTCTGGTGCTTGTTTTTGAAGGAAAAGGGCAGCCACAAAGATATCTCTTTCCCACTTCACTTCAAGGCTATTTCAATTGAGTAGAATAGAAGAGAAACATATTATGTATCATTTGATTTTGGCTCACCTTCCACTTCTTCCTAAAAACCTATATCCATCTGCAACTAACTCTGACCCACTAAAATGGGAAATTTCTACTTTCACTCATTTTCCATTTATCAAAATTCAAAGCCTCTTCTCTTTGTCAACTGTTCATTAAATAAAAAAAGTGACTAACAGCTAACCCATGCCTATTCCTATATTTCCAAATCAGTTTTCCCTTTCTGAACAGTTAAAGTTGCCATTTTTTTTTTTTTGAAACAGAGTCAGAATCTAATAACTCAATATTCTCAATCGATGGCTTGTTAAATTGGTAAGTAATCATATAATTTAGATTTAGATTACAATTGTTCTTTCTTTTTACCAAGAGGGTTGATCTGAATGAAAACAACTCATATCTCTTGTTTCGAGTGTTTAATTATTGTGAATGGATAAATTCTCTACTGAAAGCACTTTTCTTTATGAGTCTGATGCGGTGTTAGAAATATTAGACATCTTATCTTTTTATTAAAATAAATTTAGTACGATATATAAAAAACTTAGTTATGATACTGTATTAAAATTAAATGAGAATCTAAGAAAAAAAAAACTTCACATTTTATTTTGTATTATAGAAAAATGGTGCCAGCAACTAATCCCTTTAGAAGATTGAATGTATAAGTGGAGACATTTCAAAGAGATCTGTTATACCAAATCATTGATTAATCAATTAATTGCCTAACCACTTCTTTCTTCTTATAGTAAATAATATTTTTTTTGGCAGTTCATCAAACAGACACCTAACCTATTTCTTTCATTTGCATATCATTCTCATACTTCTTAATCTTACAATTTCAATATTTTCAAGAGAAGAGAGGAAAATAAAACAGTAATTTCTAATTTAAGTTATAGAGTGAACAAATTTGCAATCAACAAACATCCTGTGTCTGCATTAAATATATTCATCACGTTGGCCCATCGATTTGGTTATTATAAGACTAATGACCAAACTTTTTTTATTATTTATAATTTTCTTTAATCGAGTATTTCAAAACACTCGATTAAAGAGTGAATTATAACGCTCGATTTAAATACTGTAGGATATTTCTATATTTATCTCCAATGTATTTATTTATTTATCGAGAAATAACATCATTTTTCTCTACACATGGCTAACGCTTTTTAATATTTGATATAAATTTATAAAATTTGAATATTAGCTATTTAATTTTTCATATTTAACATAAGATTACTAATCTTTTTGTACACGAGGACTAAATAATTTAATATAACTAAAAAGAGGGACAACTTTTGTAATTAAGACTATATCTGAGGGAGTAAATCGTAATTTAAACTTTTATATGTCCAAGGATAAAATTGCATAGCTGTATTAAAATTTAAAAACGAAATGAAGACAGTGAAATTTATAAATACGTGCAATTATTTAAAGCGGAAGAGCGTGTGGATATAGCTGTAATCACGTGTTTTTGTACTTGTGTAGGCTGGTTTCCACCTGCTCGTGGCGGCAGTTACTTGGGAGGGCAATTTCGTACCAAATGGACTGCCCATTGACACATGACAAATACATAAAAATAAAAAACATAAATCAGCTCAGAGACTTGGCAAAATATTGCTTTTTCAAAGTTGGGATTTTAGCAAGATTTAGCAATGGCAAGCTAAGACCACACTTGTCTATTATTTATATATTTTTCCATTTTAATCAATAAAATTTATATTTTTTAATTTTTATTCATAAGTATGGTAACGAAAGGTCAAAATGTGATGTTGATTGCGTGCACTTTTTTTATATGCAATAATATAAATTTAGTTTAGTTTTAGATAAAAATTATAAGCTACGGTGTGCAGAAAATATATCAAAATTTCAATTTAACAATTCTAAAAATCTACCTCAAAATTGAGATGCGCGAAATATGCAATTATTATTTTTAACTCATTTATTTGTTATAAAGTTCAATTTAATAAAAAAAAGTATGTTTTTATTTAGAAAAAATATATATTGGTTCTTAAATTACGGTGAAATTACTAGAAGAGATTTATATTCTTAAAAACTATGAGATCTTTTATTGCGATTCTCTTACCACTTTAGTTATTCCATCTAAAATAGTTTATTTTCTATATCCATAAAAGATGAATTTGATATTATAAAAAAGAGATTTTAAGGTGAAAAAAATTGGTTAATAAATTATAATCAAATTATAAGATTCTTAACTAACCTAATAATTAAATTTTTTAAAACTAAAAATTTTATGTATTAATTTGACTATAATTTTAAATATCAAATCTTTTATTTTTCCAAAATTTAAGGGAGGGCTATTTATGGGTGTAAGAAAATTACTATGAAGGTGTACGGTAAACAAAATAGGTCACATCTAAGCATATTGGTATTGGATTACGAATTGATGATGACTCGACACGACAAGACAGGGGGCTTACCCATGCTAATACATACTAAAATTAGGATGACGTGTTCGCTAATTTTATGTATTACATTAAATTTATGATCTCAATTATATTAAATTAAAAATTTAAGCTCTCTTAAAAAAAAAAAAAAAACAACCCTTTCTAAAAAAAAAAATCATTTATAATTTGACTCCAATAATTAAATCTGTCAGTGGCAACATTTTTTCAGTTAAAAAATAGAAAGGAATGGTTGAAGCTTATCCATAGACTATGGTCAAATCAAGGACACCATATTTGTGTGTACTATCTAATGCATTACATCGTTGAGGCTACACATCAAAATAATTTTAATGTGAATGGACCAACCTCAAGAACCACACGCATCATTATCTTTAAATTTTTCACATTTACTGTGGGATTAAACCGATATAGATTCGATTTATGAATTTATTTATACATTTATCTAATAAAATAAATATTTTTTTCTCAACATATTCTGAGAAAATCCTTGATTTTGATAAAAATTTATTTAATTCCATTTTTATTGGCTAAACACAACACCAACGGAAGCCCGTGAACTTTGCAAATGTTTTCATTGAGCTCTTAAAACATTATTTTTTCATATATTGTCCATTTGTGAAGTTCAAGATTTAATAGTTAAAATTATGTAATCTGATATGGTAAATATTTAATTACAAATCGGGCCATTTCTAATAGCATTTTAAATTAATTTTTAATAGTATTAAAAACAATAATTGGAGTACTTAATATGGATAATTAAAGTTAAAAGAAAATGCAATAATTAAAACTTATAAATTTCATGTGCTTCTATGTGTTTAGCCTCAAACTGGGAAAGATATATAAATTATAAAATCCAAAATGATGTCAAATCCATAAAAAAAATAAAATAAAATAAAATGAAGGAAGACATTATCATGATGATTACATATTTACTTTTTAGTTAAAGTTGTAAGGTCTTTTTAAGAATGACTCAACCTTTTAAATCCACTAACTGTATTATGATATTCAAATTATTGCAACAACAAAAATAAAAATATCTTATACAATTTTAATATATTTTGCGTCCTGCCCACTAATACTTAATAATTAGCCTTTTCCAAGAAAACGACGGTAAAAAATGGTGCTACTTTACAATTATACCACTAAAACATTTTAAGGCACTTATGTTTTTTTTTTTTTTTTTTTAAATCTGATAGCTGTAGAATATTTTAGATTACAGAATCGGGAGCGCATTTCTAATAGGCATTTTAAATTGAATTTTTAATATATTAAAAAACAAATAATTGGGAGGTACTTATTATGGGATTAGGATTAAAAGTTAAAAGAGGAAATGCAGAGTAATTAAGAAACTTATAAAATTGTCATGGTGGGCTTCTGATTGGTTGTTTAGACTCAAACTGGGGAGAAGGAGGTATATAAATTATAACAATGCGCAAATTGATGGGTCAAATCCATAAAAAGATACAGGAATTAAAGATAGAATGAAGGAAGGACGCATGTATGCAGGATTGATGATCTACATACTTTACTTTGTTTAGGTTAAAGTGTGTAAGGGTCGTTTTTGAAGAATGACGTTCGAACCTTTTTAAAATCCCCACTAAGCTGTACTGTACGGATGATATTCAGAATTATGTGCAACAACAAAAATAAAAAATATCTTTATTACAATTATTATAATTTTGCGTCTCGCCCACTATAACTTAAGTAAATTAGCCTTTTCCAAGGGAAAACGACGGTAAAAAAGTGGTCTACTTTACAATGTATACCACTGAAAAACATTTTAACGGGACTTGTATGGGGCTTTTTTTTTTTTTTTTCCTTCTTTTGGAAAAAAAAAAATTCACGGCAGTTACCGTGAGATCAAGGGGCAACTTGGTAAACATTGTCCCTTCATTTTTTTTTTTTTTTTTTTCCTTCTTTTGAAAAAAAAAAAATACGGCATTGACCGTGAGATCAAGGGGCAACTTGGTAAACATGTCCCTTCATTGGTGGGTATATGAGATTGCTTAATTTTTAGTATTGACCATTTAATACTATTAAGGTAAGAAGTATATAATATATGCCTATTCTATGATGTTGATATGATTCAAAGTAAGAATGGTAAAAATAAAAAAAAAAATTATTTTTATATAAATTATAAATCATGAATAAATTAATGGAATAAATCTAAAATTATTCCCCCCTCCAACATAAAGTTGAAGGTAAATTTATGTCATAATCGTTTTTTTTTTTTTCTGAATGATAAGTAAGTGGGACCCATTGGATTATTATTTATTCCCAACTATCAACCTGACACCATCACCGTTGGTTAAGTGGGCCCGCATGCCTTTTTTAACTTATCAAAGGACGGAAGTGGGATACGTTGTATAGTATTTAACCATCTATTATATTATTTGCTGCCATCCCTTAAACATATTATATGTATTTATGCATATGAGCCGCACGACATTATTCATTTTAGTTGATCCATAAATATAAATTATTATTTTCATGTTGAAAAAAGAGAAGAGATTTTACAATATAGATTCTTTCAACTAATTTAATTATTCCTTAATAAAACATTTGCTATAAGACATATATACACAAATATCATAATTTATGCCCGTACCACATAATGTTTTTAAAAATAATTACATAATAATTAAAGATATTATTCATAGTCTCAATTTAACAAAAAAAAAAAAAAAACTTCTGTTTTAATAAAATAATTACTCCACATATTTTTTTTTAAACAGATTAACGGTCTATATAGGGTTAAAAATCTAGAGGTGGAATAAATGCAGCTCGTAGAGTAGTAGTTTTGAAGAAAAGATCTGACTGCTACCTTCAGAGCTAGGTGCTCAGATCTGGACCGCCCAATCAAAACTGTTTCTCTCAGCGGCTTAAGATCCACTCACTGAGCCTTTGTACCATCTTCTATTTATGCCTATAAATTTCCATGGCTGAGGTTTTTTTTTTCTCTTTCGAAAATCCCGTCATTTACGGCTAACGTATACAACACAGATAAATATTAATTTTATCATACTAATTCCTTTTATTTCAAAAATTAATAATCTTTCTAATTTTTTAGATTAACTATTTCATTTACGAACTCAAGTTGGATTTTATTTTTTAAATCTCAGGTGAGGATTGAGTTAATTTATGTCGGTAGTTATTGGAGTTAATTTATTTTAATAGGAGTAATTAAATTTAAATTTACTATTATCTTGTTGGTAAATAGACTAAGTTTATGGTAATTTGTTAATAAAAAATTTATTCATATAAATTATTATGGCTATTTATTTATAGTTTAAGAGTTGAAACGTGTATAAATTTGTTAACACTTTAATTTAAAAACAAATATTTGTTTGTAACATTTATTTTTAAAAATAAATTCTAAAAGAATTACTATGCTTACGTGTCAGCAATGAATGCTTGCTACGGTAATGGACAATTAATGTATTAAAAATTAAGCGGACAAGTTGGTTTGGTTATACGAAGCAAGTGGCCATTTTGTAATTTTACGTTTAGCACGAGTGTGAAATGGACATTGTCAAAGGACTGATATTTTATTCCTAGCAACTTTTTCAAAGCCTATATTAGAAAAGGAACAAAAATAATTAGAAAAAGAAAAAAAATTAAATCAAGTTACAGCTCTACCCAACCCACCCAATCCATTTGATTTTCAATCATCTCTTCTCTCTTTCTCCGTGCTTCTTTCTGTCTTCACTGTCACTGGTTCTTTCTCATTTTCTTAGAAAACAAACACTAACTGACCCAACCCAATCAAGTTTTTAGATTTGGAGTCTACCGTGCATTTTACGCCTAAAGACCAAATCACTTTGAATCTGTTTAAGAAAGTCTTTCAATTAAACCCAAATAAACTTATTTTTTACTTTTTTTTTGGCCATTACGCCATTTGAAATCGCCGAGAAAAAAAATAAAGTTTTTCTCGGAATTTTTTTTTTATTTATATTTGTTTGTGTGTATATACAGCATTGGAAATGCGGAATAGCCAGCGATTTTTCAAGGTGTTGAGGCCGATCGGAAAATCGCCGGCGATTTGATGGAATCGATTCTGTTAACTGGTAGAGCTTTTTTGACTTTTCATGGAGTTTATAGTTTGGTGTAGTCCATGTTTGGTGCCCAGATTTGATATTAAGCACAGATTTACAGTCGTTGTTTTCAAGGTGAGCTTTTTTTTTTTTATGGTTAATTTTACTGTAATTCATTGTTTTCTCGTGCTTTGTTATGTTTTTTACGGAATGAGAGATTGAGGGTTTAGTTGAAGGAGAAACATTTAGAAATTGCTGTCTTTCTTGGGTTACTGAGAATTTGTGGGAAAATATAGCAAATCTGAGATTTCGCTGCTGCACTGTAACCCTCAAGTGATTATCAGATTTCACGGATTTTGGTTTTTAGTTTATCTTAATGGGGGGTTAGGGTTCTTATATGGGGATAAGGTCTAATTAAGAAATAGGTTTTTTTGATAATTGATAGTGTTAAATGCTTCCTCTTTTTCTATTTCATTTTGCGGTGAAGATCTTCTGTGTAGTCACTATTTTGCCATCTTTTCTTTTCTTAGTTGCCTTTTTGTTTCTGGGAGGTGACTTTTAGGGAAATAACTGTTCATTGTGGTTTTTTTTTTTTCTCAAGTAAAAAAAAAAAAAAAAATTTTAAGCTCGGTGAAGATCTTTGGTGTAGTCACTATTTTGCCATCTTTTCTTTTCTTAGTTGCCTTTTTTTGTTCTCTGAGTGGTGATTTTAGGGAAATAACTGCTTCATGTGGTTTTTTTTTATTGTGCTCCAAAGTAAAATAAAAATAAAAAAAAAAAAGAGCTTATTCTTATCATACTCTCAATTAATAAAGTTGTGGCGGGTTATATGTCTTCCAGCATTAATTAGCTTAAAGGACTTTTTCTTTGGCTACATTTCAAGTTAGTGCTTCCTGTGAGGCATTGTAATTAAGCCTCGCTTTGAAGTTCATGAGTTAAAAGTTCTTATAAAGAAAGTCTTATTTTTTTCAAAAAAAAAAAAAAAAAAGAGCTTTTCTATCATAACTCAAAATAAGCTGGGCGTGTTATATGTCTTCCAGCTTTAATTTAGCGTTAAAGGACTTTTTCTTTGGCTACATCAGTTAGTTGCTTTGTGAGCTTGTAATTAAGCTCCTTTGAGTTCATGGAGTTAAAAGTTCTTATCTTTTTTTTTTTTTTTCTGGTAATCTTGGTCAATTTGGTGTCATTAGATCTGTTGGTATTCATTGCAAAATTTTGTTGCAAAATTGTATCTTTTTCTTTAAGTGCACCTGAATATGTTATACTTTCTCCTTGTGATTATACAAGCTTCTGAGTTTTGAGTTTATTCAATGACATGTATCCATTCTTTCCTTGCAAAAGCTTGCGGTGATATGTTTATGCTTTCAAGCTACTACTCAAGAACGCCAAATACAACGGCATGGTGCAGAAAGAGGAGGTGGAAACATCGTCTCACATTCGTGCATCCATGACCAGATAATTGAACAGAGGAGGCGACCTGGTCGGAAGGTGTACTCTGTTACCCCACAAGTCTATGATCAGCCTTTAACGCCAAAATCCCTTCATCACAAAGGAAGGGAATTGCTTGGAATTTCGGAATTGAAATTGCAGCGAAAGGATGCAAAGCAGCCTATTAGGATTTTTTTAAATTATGATGCTGTTGGACACTCGCCTGAGAGAGATTGCCAGAAAGTTGGTGACATTGTGAAGGTTGGTGTCATAAGTAATATGTGAAACTGTTATCTGGTGCTTATTTAGTCATGGATGTGTAACTGATTATGTTTGTTTGTTATGTATTTCTTTTATCAGCTTGGAGAACCTTCTCTGTCTTCCCTTCCTGGCACTCCTTCTTGCAATCCTCATGGTGACCCCCCAATTTATGGTGACTGTTGGTACAACTGCACTTTGGATGATATTTCTGGAGAGGACAAAAGGCATCGCCTTCATAAGGTTATACTTTTTCTCATTAATGTTAATGTCCTTTTCATACCCATTTGAGGATAATGCTTATTTTCAGATGACTCTTGGTTTACAATGAAGCAAAGAATTCATTTTTCAGAGCAATTTTGTGTAGGCTTTGGGGCAGACAGCTGATTGGTTTAAAAGAGCACTAGCTGTTGAGCCTGTGAAGGGGAAATTGCGGTTGAGTGGATATTCTGCTTGTGGACAAGATGGAGGTGTGCAACTTCCACGCGAATATGTTGAAGGTATCATTGTGCTTTTAAATGTCTGGCATATCAAGCTTAATCAATTGCTCTTCTCCATTCTGTTTTTATCACCCTACTCAAATTTCTGTGTTATTATTCATTACGTTTATGTAAATCTTCCAGAGGGTGTTGCTGACACGGACTTAGTTTTGTTGGTGACGACAAGACCTACAACAGGCAACACTCTTGCATGGGCAGTGGCATGTGAACGTGATCAGTGGGGTCGTGCAATTGCTGGTAATTTTTCATTGGTGTATTACTACTATTATTATTAGTATATTTATCGCAACATCTTACCCTTGGATGCAATAGAATTCTGAACGATACATTTCTTGCTAGGACATGTGAATGTTGCTCCTCGCCATTTGACTGCAGAGGCAGAGACTTTACTTTCAGCTACGCTAATCCACGAGGTCATTCAATATTAATTTTGTCGACGCTGGAACAGTATGCTATTTTTTCGCCCTATGCTGATTATATTGCTTAATCCTTTTCAGGTCATGCACGTTCTTGGTTTTGATCCCCATGCCTTTGCCCATTTTAGGGACGATAGGAAAAGAAGGCGTGGTCAGGTAACTATCCTGATGCACATGCTCAATGAATTGAGTCAATGTTTTGGAAGAATAATGATTTAGAATTCAAGCTGTCACCCCATCGAAAAATCCATAATTCAACAAAAAAACCAAATATGCCTTTGTACCCTACAACCTTACCAAAAATTCTTTTTTGTTGAAGTAAAATTCTTGAACCTTGAAGGTTATTCTTTTTGTTTATTGCTTCTCATATGTGAGCATAAAAAGTAATTTTTTTTAATTCATTTTTCTGCATAGACAGGTACATCCATAGGGCTGACACTTGCATGTCACATTTTATGTTTAGGTTACAGAACAAGTCATGGATGAAAAGCTTGGGCGGATGGTAACACGTGTGGTGCTTCCACGTGTTGTAATGCACTCACGGCATCATTATGGGGTAATTTTTATGATTCACTTTCTCTATTGCAATGTTTGTGTGATTTCTTTCTATTTTGGGGGGGGTGTTAGGGGTGTGCAGTTAGTTCACATTTCAACATATTTATTATTTCTGTATCATGGCTTTCCATTTTTGGCTGTCATAAGCCAGACAACCAGCAGATGTTTGATGGGTCTTTTTATTGGCAGGCATTCTCTGAGAATTTTACTGGTTTAGAACTTGAAGACGGGGGAGGAAGGGGCACATCAGGTTTCATTTCTTTTCTGTGATGTATCTACTTTTTGGCTTACTCAATCACCTACTAGCAGTTTCTCTTTAAGTTGGCCAATAAATGTATGTATTTCTATTTGAACCTTTTCCATTAATGCATATAGCAATCACCTGGAAACTGTTGCAGTACATGCTATGAAATTATTTAGAAACTGAAGTATTGAGAAAGTAAGATATGAAAATGATTTGGTTAATCTAAGCTGCAATAATGTGTTATTGAAGACACTAAATTGATTTTGTAGACTACATATTTATGGAATCTTTTGGCGATTTAATAATAAGGATTTATTTGGTAACATATCTGCAGGTTCTCATTGGGAAAAAAGGCTTCTGATGAATGAGATTATGACAGGATCTGTGGATACAAGATCTGTAGTTTCAAAAATGACACTGGCTTTATTGGAGGATAGCGGGTGGTATCAAGCTAACTATAGTATGGCAGACCGTCTTGATTGGGGTCGCAACCAAGGAACTGATTTTGTCACCTTGCCTTGCAATCTCTGGAAGGGGGCATATCATTGCAACACAACCCAATTGTCAGGCTGTACATACAACAGGGAGGCAGAGGGATATTGCCCTATTGTAAGTTATACCGGGGACCTCCCTCAGTGGGCTCGCTACTTTCCACAGCCAAATAAAGGTGAGACCTTGAGCTGGATGTTTTTAGGCCCTCGTTCTTGCACTCCCTGCATAAACTTTCAGTATATTGTTATAGAAATTTGTTTCGTGTTTAGGGATTGAAATGTATTACAGATCAAATTCACACTTCTTGTTTGTTTAGATGTTGATTTGACGTTCTTCTAGCTTCTCCCACTAAGTTCATCCCTCCAATCATATGCCTTCATAATTTTCGATGTGGTTAGTGGCAGAGATTCAAGAGCACATCATGTCATTTCTCCTTAACACATTATTTGTTGCTCCCTTTTCTATATATTCATTAGAACCATTGTTTTCTGGATTCACCAGGGTGGAACATTAGGTGTTCTTGTTATCTTACTGGATTTTCTGCTCAAATTCATTTTTTTCCTGTTTTCCTGATATTTACTATTTCTAATTATGAAACTTCAACGTTACAATTATTTAAAGAAAAATGCTGGTGGCTCGACATGTGATCTTAATCGGTTGTGTTGGACCATAATTTGAAGTTTTGTCTTATTATCACTGCAGGTGGGCAGTCCTCTTTGGCTGATTATTGCACTTACTTCGTGGCCTACTCTGATGGATCATGCACAGACACTAACAGTGCACGGGCACCTGACAGAATGTTAGGAGAAGTACGAGGAAGTAGCTCCAGGTGAAAATTTCATTGGAACTTTCTATGCGAGCAACTGCAAAAAGTATTTGGTACATTATGCTGATATGATTTCTGTATATATCTATAGGTGCATGGCATCATCATTAGTACGCACTGGGTTTGTGCGGGGTTCTGTGACCCAAGGAAATGGTTGTTATCAGCACAGATGTGTGAACAGCTCCCTTGAGGTATGTTTTGGAGTTTTGTCACATTTAATGTTCTTAGCATACCATATGTAGTTTTTAAGATTCTCATGTGATGTGATCTCTGGTTCAGCACCTTAAGTGTCTGAGATTTCAGTAGACAATTTTGCAATTCAAATAAAACTTGAGCATGTTTCTTAGTAAAATGACAATGCAGTAAGATTATTCTATAAAATTAAATTGTGCTGGTAAACATGCAATCATTGTTCGGCAGGCCAGAATAAGAAACAAGGAACTCAAACTTGTTTCAGTTTTTTATTCTCCTTTATTTATTTATATTTTTCCTCCATAAATTTTTTTAATGTGATTCTGATAGTGTTCTGTTAGGTTGCTGTGGATGGTATTTGGAAAGTGTGTCCTGAAGCTGGTGGACCAGTTCAATTCCCTGGCTTCAATGGTAATTATGCTGTTCTATCTATTGATTAATTGGGCTGCGTTATATTAAGTCCATCTATCTTCATATTGTCTTTTCTATGTTTTTTGCTTACAGGTGAGCTTATCTGCCCTGCTTACCATGAACTCTGCAGTACAACCTCAGCTTCTGTACCTGGTCAATGTCCCAGTTCATGTAGTTTTAATGGAGATTGTGTTGATGGAAGGTGCCACTGCTTCCTAGGATTTCATAGTCCTGATTGTAGCAAACGTGAGCTTGTCAATCCTTCTAGATGCCACTTTGTACTTGATAAATAAAACTTGTGGAATCCCATAACAAACTAAGCTACATTTATTGATTCTTTAAATTTCTTTCGGCAGGATCCTGCCCTGGTAATTGCAATGGTCGTGGTGTGTGTCTTTCAGATGGGGTCTGTAAATGCAAAAATGGTTACACTGGCATCGACTGCTCTACTGGTAATCTGATCCTCAAAACGTTTTTCTTATTGGAAAGCCACTTCTCCTGAATACTTATTGTGCTATTTAAATGAATATGTATCCAAGTAATGGTACTACTCAATTGATTTGTGCTTAATTATGTTTATAATGGAATGCAAAATGAAGTAAGTATTCTGTATGTAATAGATCATGTTGGCTTTCCTTTATGCTTGCAGTTCAAAAGAAGAATGATTCCCATCATTGTATTAGTTTTCAATTTCGAAGTATTGGGAATGCATGTCAGAATGGTTTGAAGTATCTGATATTTTGAAGGACCAATAGATCAATACAATTCTGTTTCCACCTAATTTTTTCTTTTCTTTTTTTTTTTCTTTTCTTTTTTTTTTTTCTGGGTTAAATTGGAGTCCAATTAAGTATTGTGATTTTTGTGGTGTAATCACAAACTGTATGACTAAAGCAATCGTTGAGTGATAGGTACAGTGGTATAACTTTATTTTTGAGTTTGGTCCACCCTTCCGTAACTTTGCTCTTTTGTGTTACATGCAGCTGTCTGTGATGAACAATGCAGCCTTCATGGCGGGGTATGTGATAATGGAGTTTGTGAATTCCGATGCTCGGATTATGCAGGTTACACTTGTCAGAACAGCTCCACACTTCTCTCTAGCCTTTCAGTTTGCAGAAATGTGCTGGAGAGTGATGTATCAGGCCAACATTGTGCACCCAGTGAACCGAGTATACTGCAGCAGCTAGAAGAAGTTGTTGTCATGCCAAACTACCATCGTTTGTTTCCAGGTGGTGCTCGGAAGTTATTTAATATCTTTGGCAGCAGCTACTGTGACACAGTTGCTAAGCGACTTGCCTGCTGGGTAAGTTGCTTGTCTCTTCTTAATATCTGATTTATCAGCAATGTTTTGAACTTCATTGTGCTGAACTAAATAGTTTGTCCCAAAATGACCAGATCTCCATCCAAAAGTGTGACAAAGATGGTGATGATAGGCTCCGGGTATGCCATTCAGCGTGTCAGTCGTATAACTTAGCATGCGGTGCGTCACTCGACTGCTCAGACCAAACCCTCTTTAGCAGTGAAGAGGAAGGTGAGGGTCAGTGCACCGGCTCTGGAGAGATGAAGTTATCATGGTTGAATCGTCTGGGGATTAGGTTCTTTTCAAGTAATACTTCTCTGAAAGGGATGTCTGTAAAATATAGGCAACTGTAGTTATCCTAGTTCTTTTGTTTCCTTTCCTCCCCCATTTTATTGTTTCCTAATTTTGCCTTGTAATTTTATTAGGGCTTCCTTGTAGGAGAGGTGGCACGCGTTGCACGTGCACCCTAGATGTAGGTGGTGGTCGTTTGCTCATCCCAAATGGTCATTTACGGAATTTGGGTGAGATGGGCTTTCATAGATGAGATCCCCATGTAGAGAATTGGAAATGTATGCCAAAAAGAAAAAAAAAAAAAAAAAAAAAGAAAAAAAAAGAGGAAAAGAAAATAGAAAAAAAGAAAGGGAAAAAAAAATGAAAAAAGAAAGCTTTTGTTGCATGAGTAATCAGAAGATCGCCGAAGGCCTTGAAAGAAAAGCTAAAGCTCCATCTCATGTTTTTTCTTGTTTTGCCTATGCCTTCCATTATCGTCTTACGTTTCTCTTAGTTTATTGCATTTTTGAAGAGTTGCTCAGATTCCTTCCCATCCTAAGGTAATTTTTCTTGAAAAAAAAAAAAAAAAAAAAAAAAAAGGAAAAAAAAAAGAGGAAAAGAAAATAGAAAAAAGAAAAGGGAAAAAAAAAAAAGGAAAAAAGAAAGCTTTTGTTGATGAGTAATCAGAAGATCGGCCGAAGGCCTTGAAAGAAAAGCTAAGCTCCATTCATGTTTTTCTTGTTTGCCTATGCCTTCCATTATCGTTTCTTACGTTTCTCTTAGTTTATTGCATTTTGAAGAGTTGCTCAGATTCCTCCCATCCTAAGGTAATTTTTCTTGAACAACTTGGAGTTGCAGGTTGCGTTGTATCTGTTTTTCTTGGTTTGCTAGAGATCATCATTAAAACACTGATCTTTCTGTGTATCCATGAGATCAGATAAAAGTTTGGGGTTATGATAAAAGGGGACTGACCTTTGTATATTATTTTTTTTCCTTTTTTAAAAGAAAATTTTATATCGGTTGCTTTTTCAGAAACATGCACTCTCCTACAACCATTTCTATAGTTATCCAATTGAAAAAACAACACAAATTATATATTACTTTGAAAACCCTTTCTCTCCCACCAAACCAAACCAACCAAAATGCGAAAAACATATATAAAATCTGAAGTATAATAATTCATTCACTTGTCAAACCAATAATAATCAATTAATAGTAATATTCTTAGTAGATCTCTAAATTATAAACTCCGTAGTAAATTAAATGGCACTATCATTCACAAATTCAATTATCAAGACCCAGCTGAGCAAAATGTAATCAAGTAATCCGACCCGGAACAAGTGCATGTGCTCGACGCATCATCATACGCATAACTGTATGCTCTCGGGCATGCATTCTTGAACAACTCCGAATACTGCGTCGGCGGGCAAGTCTGCGGCGTTGCATGATCGCCGGTGCAGCAAAACTCCGGTGCATTGAAAGCTGCACATGCACTTTTGCAAGCAACAGTTGAACCCGAATCCATCACCCGTAACTCCGCTGGGCAATTCCCATTAAGATCCACCACACAACCCGCGTACTGGCAATCACCTGTCCCACCCAATGCCTCCACGCCTACCCCGACATTATATCCATCTACAAGGCTAACGTCGTAGAAATCCTTGTCATTAGCGTTCGCTGCAATAGTAAACTCAACAAGAGTAACCGGCGGAGCTCCACCGCCAGTACATTTTAACAACCCGCCACAGTCACCGGTGACACACTTTCCATTGCCTGATTCATCAAATGTGCATCCAGTTCGAGCCCAAAACCTACCGGACCAATTCGGTGGAGCCTGGAGTTGGATTGATGTGCCAGACGGCAATGCAAAACCACCGTCTCCGAGAATGGCGGCACCATTTCCGGAGAGTGTTCCCGGCCATATAGTGTAGCTACAGAGGTTTTGGATAGTGAAAACGGCAGCATTTGCTAGGTTTCCTGCAAATTAATAACTAAATTAAAGATCATCTTGTAGCAAATAACACAAATAACAAGAATACATTAAGTGGAAAAGCGTGTGTCCATGCGATGTGTTGGAGCAATGGAGTGTATGTTTACCTGAAGAGAAGAAGATGAGGAGAAAACAAAAGAATGAGGCGATGCCCATCTGGGTTTTTAGTTAGAGAAAGAAGAGAAACGCCTGGTTTGAGAATTATGAGAGAATTAAAAGAAAGAAGAGAGGGTTAGAGTAGTTGCAGTTGTAGTTGGAGTCGTGGAAGTTATTATAGAGACCGTTGAATTTATATTTGAGGTTTGTACCTTTTTCTATTGGCTACTATCTTTTCATGATCACTATATAAGCTTTTTGATTCTTTTTGTGACGATGCACCTTCTAATTCATTTGCTTATTTGATTTTCCACTTTAATTATATATGATTACTGTTTTTTTTTTTCTTTACTAGTATGCCCCTATCCTTTTCTCTTCATCACAAACTTAAAAAAAATTAAAATAACCTTCTTTGTGTTGACATATTTCTTATGATTCATATATTTAAGTTGAAAGACGACTCTCGAAAAATCTCTAACCTTACAGGTATTGTAATACAGTCGACTATTATTAATTCAATCGCCTATTAATTTCTAATTTCTTTAAGTAGATTTATGAAAACTAATAATAATAATGGGAAAAAATTGTAATGATTGAGAAAATTGGTAGACCCAGCTTTATTTTCCAACCGTTAAGATGTGTTTTCTTGATCTAGGGTAGCAGGTTTAAATTGATATTAGATTTATGTGCATGTTCTTGTATACGTAGTTGATTAATTAATTAGGGATCTCTCCATGCATGTGTTTATAATTAGTCATTTACAGTTTTATGTTAATTTATATCTCACATCATTTCTATTCCAACTCATCTAAAGAACGTTAACCCTAATCTAATAATTAAATGCTCCTCCACCCACCAAAGGATCCAATGGAAAGCTTATAATTTGAAATTAATTACCACGTAAATTCAACTAAAAAGAAAATAAAGATTGCAGCCTCTCCTCCAGCCAGCCAGCAATTACATGGTATCAAGTCACGTGACAAACATATAGTCCACTCCCCACGTGGCAAACATCAGCGCTAGTACACAACCTCCCAGTCTCCCAGTTTAAACTTAACATCGCACGTGCTTCCTCCACTCCCCTAGATACTTCCCCATTTTCCTTGCTAATTATTTTTTCTCTCAATTCCTTTGATTTGTCCTAATTATCTCTACCCACATCCGTAATTAGATGACATTGTTTAATTGATTATTATTATTATTATTATATTGTATCAAAATGGAAGATAAACGAGGCTCAATTCTCATATATGTCCATAACCCATTTAACGGTTGATAAGCAAATTAAGGTAGAATCGAGATTTTGGATGCCGACATCAGCCACTAATTAGATATGCTGTCCAATAAATTTGGTCTTTACTAAATAAAATTTTTGACGTTCCTTCAAAGAAATACCCGACTACAAATTTGTCGGCTCACATGGATTTCACCGAACCCAACAGTGACATCTTTTGTTTGTTTCCAAAAATAATAATGCTGGACCACTTCTATTTCGTTTTCTTTTATTTATTTTAATTGTCAGGTTTGCATCCGATTTTATCAACAGTTCAACTCCAATTGCGATTTGCGATCAAATAAATTATAAATTAGCTAGCTTCTGTTGGAAAAGGAAAAGCACTGCTTAATTTACAGTTAATGGGATTAGTTAGAGAGATGGAGAGTGGACACCAAATTCTTGGCAGTTGTATTACATTATCTAACAGGTTCATAATCCAAGTTAGAACAACAAACGAAACCTAACACACGCTTTGAAAAAATAATATAGACTTGCCACGACATATTTCGAATTTCTTAACTCAGTGACGACAATTGAACCATTGTTTTGTTATTCAGGTGGTTTTGATGACACCCAACTTCTATTTCCTCTCTTTTCTTCGATCCCTTTTCCACAAGTATAATAATCTTATCCATAAATGGCAAAACCCCATCAATAGTTTTTATCTTACACAGCATCCTAACGTTGATAGGACCCATCCATGTCTGGAATGTTTTCATGTCTTTTTTTCAAATAGCTAAAGTGATTGACTGACAAAATCAGGCAAGTGACTAAAAAGAGTCGGAAAAAGGGAAGCAATCTCCCATCATGATCTGCACATATCGTAATTCGATTCTCTTTTTTTTTTTTTTTTCCCCTTTGAGAAGGTTCTAATTCAAGTCAATTAATTACAAACTCAAGCTGAACTTTCTCAACTTTATTATAGCTAGAGCTATAATAGTCAAAGGTGAAAAATTGTGATCAGCAAAATGGGCAGGCCTATCAAGTCAGACCAGAACAAATTTTACAAGCCTGGGTTAAAAAAATTGGGCCGGAAAGAGTTGTTTGGGCTGCATCTATCTCACTCAAGTAAATACTTTGTACTTACTCTAGATTGATACAGTCCAAAAACAATTGTTGAAAATAATCAGAACGAAAAACTGCAAGCTTTCAATTTTCAAAGCTCTATGAAATACAGTTTTCCTGTCAATTAGATTTTTCACCTTTTAGCTAATAATATTGGAATAAAAACAATATTGAAATAAAAAAACTTCCTATAATTTATAAACAAGTTCACAAAAAGGTCTAACTTGTATTTGACAATCTTCAGAGGCAAACTATTAGCTACTAAATTTTCTTGAAATGAAACATTTGTGTGAACGAGCCTGTAATTGGTAATGGCCAAATTTTAAAGTAACTAACTAGGGCAAGGAATGCACATGCTAAAATTACATATGTTTTGAACCAAAATGATGAAGAAAAGGTGAGATAAGTAAATATTGCGGTCAAGGAAATTACGATTGTAAAATTTACCAAGCAGTTCAATGTAGAAAGTTCTCTCTGTGTTCCTTCATTAGGGAAATGGCCATGAGCTCTGAAATCTGAGAGCAACTGATCCTTGAACTGGAAGGTATTCATTAACCAAGTAGCAGCTTCACTATCAGAGGTTGGGATATCCTTCACTGGGATGCGTCTAACATGAATGTGAACTTCTGAAGGACCCACACCAAATACATTGTCCATAAAGGTGGGGCACTGATGCTTGTATGCAATGGTTATGTCATAAACTGCAGTTGCATTGGAAATGATTAGTGTAACAATAATATCAGGCAGTATATTATGATAAATTGCAGAATGAAAAACTTTTCTGCTAAGCAAAATTTGTTAGCAAAATTTGTTTTGATTAAAAACCAGTTATTATTTCCTTTCAGGACATTCTCCGATCAAATGTTTGTTATTGCAAACACTATTCCTTCCACAGTTTTCATCAATGAGGGATAGAAGAAAAGATAATTTTGGTAAGGTTTTGATACGAAATATATGGGCGAAAATCAACTTGAGAATTATTATATCATTCAAACACTAAAATTACTGACGCCATACTATAATTCCAGTAGTAATACTTTCTAAAGGTTATTCACTAAGGAGATGAACCCGCTTCATAAAATTTTATGGAATCATCGACGTGGGTGGTCAATATTAGCAGCTGTACAAAATCGTGATAATCATTGACACAAGCTGTGTGAGCATGATAGGACTGCAAAGATATGCCAAGTTCTCAGGTTCTTAGTTGGGGAGAGAAAGATGTGCAAAGACATTGTACACGACGGATATGTTTTCTGGTTAGATCAGGGTCAAAAACACATTTCTACTTTTCAATGTGCACAGGATTGTGTGATATTATCCAATAGATTCTACTAAGGCGATAGCAGTAAAATTAGTTGAAAAGAACCTGAATCCAAGGAACCCTGAAGAACTTCCAAGCAAAGACAAAAACCCCTTGTTTTTGGAAGCAACACATTTGTCAACACGGGAAGTCCAACTTCAGCTGCAAATTTTTGACTCTTTAGGCATTTCTGCTCTCTGTGTAAAAAATGCAAGCAAAATGTAAACATCTTGAATGGTCTGACATAAGTCTATGAAGCAGAACTTCAATTGTGCAAAATATGTCCTGAAGTGCTCATAAACCATGGATTAGTTAATCTTTATATGCAAGCAAAACAAGTACCGGTTGGTCCAGGTTTTCGACCGCTTCAGAAAATATAAGCATGACAATGTAAGCAACATGGAATATTAAGGAAGAAAGAGGGAACATAGTCTGTACGTAAAATCAGTCCCTTCAGGAAAAAGAGCAAGCCACAAGGAATCTCGAGGGTCCCTAAAAGTTGAAAGCATTTGACGCATGACAGGTTCATCAACTTCCCATTTCCTATCAACTGAAATGAATTCCAGAATATGAAAACCCCAACCAAAGAGAGGTAGTTTCATCAAGCTGCGCTTGAGGATATACTTAATGGAGCCGAGGCACCCTTTCCGCAATGCAAGATCCCACAAGTACATCCAATCAACCTCAGTACTGTGATTGGCAATAATCAAAACACGTTCTTTTGCAGGGACAGCATCTCCGGAAAATACAACTTTAGTCCCATTTATCTTTTCAAATAAAAAGGGCCATAAAGCTAGCCAAAGAGAAAAGAGGAAAGATGTTACTTTTCTCCTATAGTGTCTGCTGGCAAGCTGTGTCAAGAAGGTCGAGGGCCCAAAATATATTAAAAACATAAATGAAGTAGAGAAGAACACCATTAGACATATCAAACCCCTAATTAATCTAAACGGAGTTAAAGGCCGGTGCTTTTGTCTATCAGTAGTTTTATGAGGCTCCAAAACTTCCATCTCTTTCCAGTATCTGATATAAGGACCTCCCTCCCTCCTAAGGCCAGCTGCAATACAACGTACATCAGAGTTACTTGAAATCCCTAACGTTTCATAGAATTAAGACGAAAAACAACAACAACAAAATAATGTAACAAGACATCATAAAAGGATTAAACTACGATATGCCACTCATTACTAAACAACCGCATATAAATCTGGTTCAAGATTATAACTCAAGTCATCAACACATAAGTGTCCTACACCTAAACAATGTAAGCTGGTCCTTTGATGAAGGTCTTCACTTACTGATGAAGAATTTCGGTCAAACACAAAAGCCTACAATTTTTTGATTTCTGAATAGCATTCAAATGGAGCCGGTTGCTCAACTATGATGGGAGGGTGAGAAGACATTGCCGTAGTTATTGAGACAAGAATAAAGGCAAAGATGCTACAGCTTTTCTTGAGTTAATGCTAAAGAACAAGATACCAAGTGAGCTAAGAAATTCATGCTCTTTCAGCAGGAAATGAAAAAGGGAACTAGTCTAAATTTAAAACGAATCAACCCACCTAGCCTGCGGATCTATCCTAACTATCAAATAAATACAACAAAGTCATGCACTTCAATTTTCAATAAATACAATAAATGACCCATACAAGAACGCCACATATAATTATAAACACTCTCAGTCTCTCAATATATAGTATATAACAGAGGATTAATAATAATAATAATAATAATCAAGATTATATCATTATCGTTTAGCTAATCACTATGTCGTTGAATTCAATAGAATTCTTATCTTAATATATGAAATTCATCTGCGTCCACCTAGATTTGATTTATTTTAACTTTCAATATATTAAAATTCAATCAAAACGATGAAATTAATCACGCAGCACATTGACAAAAAAAAAAAAAGAAAGAACACTAGTTTCAAAGATTTCAGCTCTCCAATTGGCACATAGCCAATCCACATAAATTCAAACAGGAAAGGAACGAATTCTGTCGAAATTGAGCTAATATATAGAAAAAGAGTGCAGTGTTACCTTGTCTCCAGAGAGGAAGTCAACAAATAGGAACTGGCAAACAAGAGTACTGAGAGGCAATTTTGGTTTTAAAATGGTGTATTTTGTGGTTTTGGACTGTATGGAAAAGGGTGAAGTTTCCATGGCTATCGTCGCAATATAAGGTCAATGAAACAGGGAATTCCGAATCTAGATTCGGAACGAAGGACTATCGAATGAGATAACAACAAAAGGTCCAGGTCAGTAAGTTCCTGAGATCTGATTGGCTAAAACTTAAAATTATTTGTCAAACCAATCAGATGTGAATTGAGGGTGGGAGTTATAGCTTCTGAATCCAATCCATTGGGTGGATTTATTTAAAAAAAAAAAAATAATGAGCCAACTCGATAATTATTGAAGTGTTCCACTGTATTTATTGTCTTTAAATTGGACTTTACGCTAATTATTAGTTGTCCAATCACGTTGCTATTTGATTTGGTGTCAAGCTTCTAGAAGGCGGCAATAATTTCAAGCGGTCAATCCCATGCGCTTACCGTATATCCTTTCCTTTTTTTGACAATTTCAGGTCTCAAAAGACGGTGGCTTTGGATAGATCGGTCAACGTTTAATTCGCGCAACAAGCAGTTGTTACCCATCTACGTCTTTCTACTTGCTAGGGCTAGATCTGTTATATGTATGGGCTGTTCCTTGCTTGTATATTATTGGAATTGTTTGTTCTAATCTTCCAGAATTGTGTCAACGTATTTGGGCTAGGCCCAGAATTACTGTGACTAATATAGTAGCAAAAGCTCGGTGCGGCTGCCGAACAATTGTAACTTTTATTTTTTAACAATATTCATCAAATCGGCGTTGAGCTTATTGGGGAGGGAGATTTAAATCCAGATGTATTACCATTTTTGTCAGGTTATATACATTTATCATTGATCTATAACTTGTGATGCGTGAAAAGTGATATTTTTTATAAATGGCAATTGCTTTATTGGTAAATATATAAAGAATGAATGCACAGCTAATGTAAGCAGATATATTTTCTTTATGGTATAGTTGGCAGGTGGGAATAACATTAATCAGGGGCAAATTAGAAAAAGACAACTGGGAACTTCCTTGAAAGAGGGAATGAATTTCTTAGTCCCAAAATTGAATATCTGTCCAAGGCATTGAAAAGAAATTAAGGTGGGAATGTGTTTACCACCTAAGAAAAATGAATAAAAGAAATGAGAAGAAATCAAGAATAGCAGCTGGGGAAGGGCGGCTTGCCTTTTCATGGGGTTAAGTGGTTGACCAAAAAAAATTGTTGATGTTGCTTTAACTAATAACTACCCTTCCCACGCATTTTTTTTGCCACATCAAGTTATGAGATCTCAAACCCTTTTCAGGAATCTAGTTTTGTATACAGTAAGAATAATAATGATACATTTTCACAGAATTGTATGTTAATTAAGATACAGTTTTGTACATATCATCAAAACTTGAAAGGCCAAAAACAAAATCAAGAACAAAGATGATGTTCATCAACTCGCTTTTTTACTCTTAGCAGACACCTCAAATTCACTTACTGCACGGGCCCTCCTTTTTATCAAATGAATCTTCACATAAAACCTTAAAAATAGTACCAGAATCATGCCATTCAATACAGAGTTTAAGCTCCAAGCTACGATACCATTGCAGCCACCTTTCAGGAAATGCAAGAAAAGCACACCAAAATGGCATAAAAGGTTCAATACTAAAAGAACAACCTGACAATTGGTTATAAAAAGAAAATTGGCCCTTGGCAACCCAATTGCAATCCAGAACCGATACCCATAAACAACAGAGTATAATAAAGTTGTTAGCAGAATAGCCAATACTTGGAAAGACTGAGAAAATTCCAGCCACAAAAAAGACATCAACAAGAGAATAGATTGGTTAAAGAGTGTAAAGTAAGTTAGTTTACGATACTGCAGAATTGTAAAGAATGTGCGGAATAAATGGAGGAAACGAGAGAGGTAAAAGACATAGGACCAGAAGAACACGCGGCCGGTGGGTCGTGTGCCTAGTGGGAAACAGAGTAGCCAATGGAAAACAGTGGTGGTCTTTGTGCGACGCCAGAACCATCGCGTGTCACGGATCTCGGCGACGGTTGAGAAAAGCAAACCGATGAAAATGAAAGTGGAGATTAGCGCCACTGTGAGGCTGTGGATGGCTGGGATTGGGCCAAGTGGTATCCGGCGGTTGCTGCTAAGGAGGAGAGAGAGGAGGAAGTGGATAGTTATGGCGGCGGCAATATATATGGCAATAGCGGAGAAGATGAACGACCAGGTGGAGCCCCATGTCTGGGTGATACTCCACCGGAAGTTTACAATTGATGGGTGCTCCGATAAGCAATTTTTGAAGCCTTGTAATGAGGAAGATGCCATTGTAAATTCTTGCCACTAGCAAAATATTGTGGGTTGCAGATTCAAAGAAAGGGAAGAGTCAAAAATCAAAAAGAATTATGGAAATGGAGAAAGAAAATATAATTTTTCCTTGCAATGAGAATGAAAGGTGTAGAGTTTTTAATTTAGTACCCAATTGAGACAAAAAATTCAGTCGTCGGCATGCTAGAATTTTAGAATTCGTGGTCAGCTCTTGCATATATTGGTGGTGAAACTCTAACAACAATGATGGAAGAAGGAAATTAATTGTAAAAGCTGACTTTTCAACCATTTTTATCATAATCTTTTGTTTACTTTCTTCAATATCTGGGGAAACATGATGTTTAATATTAATAAAGATAAATTAAATAATCAATTTAGGAGACTTCAGCAATAAAATAGTGTATAAAAAGAGCGGATTAAACAACTATAAAAATAATTAATATTATCAAACAATGTGTAACATGCCAGAAATTTAAATATTGCTCACAATTTTCTTTTCTTTCCGTAAATTTTTTAAATTAAAAAAAATAATAAATAGTGTCTTATTTTCTTTATTCCCATTGCCCTCAAATTATTTTTCTTAAAAATAATTTTATTTTTCTTTATTTTCTTGTTGATTGATTTTCTTGAACATCTAAAATATCAAAAAATCTAGAAAAGATATTTCCAGGGAAGTCATTTCCAAGCACAGTGTTAACATGTAACGCACTCACGTGATTCATGAATCATACACGTATATCTTGTAGTATTTGTATACATCTGTTTCGGTTGATGAAGTAAATAAATGTTGCCTGAATTCAGGAGTAAATTGTTATAAATTTCAATTCATCTAACAATCAACTTTTCATGATTTGATTTTAAAATTATACTATAATTATTATATATTTTATAAATATAATTATAAAATTCAATGCTGATAGGTTTATTTTTACAAAAAATTAAATTTATAATAGCTATATGAATTTACGTATATTTTAAGTTTTGTAATTTTTTCGCGTGTAAAATTAAGTTTTCTTTAAAAATTAATAAATTATTGTGCAGATGTAAGCAATGACTAAAAATTAAGTAAAATCAATTCATTATTTTCTAATTATAGAAGCTGATCACTATAAAATATTACATTACATTACATGTCAAATAAGTGGATGAATATAATACAAGTAATAGTAACTTGTTAGTAAATTAAATTTCAAAAATAAAAAATGTAACTTGTTAGTATAGTAAAACAAACTTTTTTGGAAAATTATTAATTAGTAAATTTTGACCGATGGTTGTTTGTGTTGTAGACTTTCTAGTAATTTACATGATATGATATTGAAGGAAGATGGGTTTTTATTTACAATGTCGTAACGACAGGTCAGTCAAACAAATCCCTTGAAGACTCGTGTTCTAGAAAGCTTAATGCTGGCTTCTAACAGGTTGGATCCAATTCAAACAATTCATTTTAGCTTTATCTTTAATTTTCCATTTTTTTTTTTTGAAGTTAAAATGGGAAAATTTTATTACGAAATCAATAAATCAAGTAGAACAGGAGGTGGTACAGAATTCCAAACCCCCAAGCCTGCTTCGGAATGTGTTCCAACTGCTAATGTATGTGCAGCTACATTCGCAGACCTATAACGAATTCCAAACCCCAAGCCTGCTTCGGAATGTGTTCAACTGCTAATGTATGTGCAGCACATTCCGGCAGACCTATAAACAAATTACATTTTACGATTGGGTATTTCAGACAAAAAAGAGATTTTGCAGTCTTGAAGTTATCAAACGCAAAGCAGAGACCGAGTTCCTCTTGTAGTATCATCGTTGATTGGCACTTTGCAGACTGACTGAGAATCGGTTTCCAATAAATACTAATTCATCGTGAATTTGATCCAGCTCAAAGTTTCTCTCACGGCTATGGCCCAACCACCTTGAGCAAGTAAAAAAAACCGTGACCGAAACATCTCCAACCCCCCGGGCCCTTTTTTTTTTTTGCCAGCAATAAACTAGAGGTGAATTCCTAACTACTAGCCAATACCACATAACCAGAAGCCACTCCAGTTGAAGTTCACTTTTAACCAGTTAAACGGGGGTGGACTCCATGTACGATTTGAGTTTGCTGGAGAAGGAACTACCAAACCATGAAGCTTAGCTTCCTTCCATGCGTGCCAAACACCCGAAGCTAGTGAAATTACTGCCCCTGGATTCCTGCTTTTTTGACGCCATACCATATCATTTCTAGTTGTCCATAATGCCCAACACACCATAGAAACATAACTCAAATTCTCCAAAGTCAAGGAGTTGGAGGCTTGCTGAAACCACTCCCCAAAAGATATAGCCGAAGACCACCGAAATCCAAGATGGGAAAGAGTCCAAACCTGTCTTGAAAAAGGGCAGTTGACAAGAATATGAAGAATAGTTTCAGAATCTCCAAGACATAGAGGGCAAATATCTTGAATGTCCACCTTCCGAGAGCATAAATTGCAATAAATTCCTCCTACAAGGTAGAACATCACATACTGCACGCCAATGAAAATTTGTAACTTTGGGTGGGATTCTTCATCTTCCACTAGCTGAGTCCACTTATAGTAGACATAAATTGGTGACGCAAGAGGATTATCGTCGGAGTAAATCTGTACTGTAAGCACTCTTGACTGTGTATGTACCTTTTGTGTCAAATTTCCAGCAAACCCGGTCATCTCCCATGTGATTACTTAAAGGAATAGAGAGGATACAAGCAACATCTCTTGCATTGAATAATCGTCGAAGCCGCTCAACATCCCATCTTCGTTGTACAATAAGATCTGAAACCAGGAAAATATTACTATTGTGTGGTCGAGGAGTGGAGATAAAAGAACACTCTTCGACAGGCAACCAAGGAGAATCCCAAATAGATATGTTGGAACCACTACCAACCCGCAAATATAATCCCCTTTGAATCAAACTCTTAGACCCCCAAATGCTTCGCCAAACATAGCTCGGAGCTCGGATTGGAGCCTAGATTAGCTTCCAGAAAACTACAAGTCGGAAAATACTTTGCTTTCAAAACACGTGCAGCCAATGAATCTGGGTTTACCATGAGTTTCCAGCCCTGTTTACCTAGAAGAGCTATGTTAAATTCATGAATTTTCCGAAATCCTAGCCCTCCGAACACCTTCGGGATGGCCATTTTGTTCCAAGCAAGCCAGTGAATACCCTGAGAGTAGTTCCGCCCGCTGCCCCACAAAAACCGATTCATGATACGTTCCAGTTCCGTACATAAAGTCTTGGGTAACAAGAAAAGACTCATAAGGTAATTAGGTAAAGCATGAAGAACCGTTTTTAACAAAATTTCTCTTCCCGCAGAGAGAGACTTAGCTCCCATGAGTTTAAACGCTTCCCACATTCGCTCCTTTAATGTATAAAAACTCCTTCGATCCGACCCATGTGAGACGGTAACCCAAGTAAGTGCCTAAGTATCTTTTCGTACCTGAAGTAGGGAACATATTTTGATTTCTGGAGTGCCGGAGGGTATTTAGCGCTGAAAGTAATGGAAGACTTATTTAAAATTGATCTGTTGCCCTGATCTGCCTCATACATAGCCATACATAGCCAAAATATGTTTGAGAGATTGTGATTCTTGAACCGAAGCCTTCAAAAACACCAAACTGTCATCAGCAAAAAATAGATGAGAAATTAACGGTCCTCTCCGACAAACTCGAAAACCACTCAAATTGTCATTCTGAATAGACATCTGAATTATATTTGATAAGCCTTCAGCACAGATGATGAATAAATACGGGGATAGAGGGTCACCCTGTCGCAAACCCCGAGTGGGGATAATGGGTCCAAGCTCTCTGTTATTCCGCAAAATCCAGTACTTAACCGAAGTTAGAGTAGACATTATAAGATTAATCCATAGAGCATGAAAACCCAACTTAGTTAACATTTGACGATGAAAGGACCACTCCATTCTGTCATATGCTTTACTGATGTCCATTTTGACAGCTGCAGAAAAATTAGAACCCCTAGTCGTCCTATGAAATGCATGTAAAGCTTCAAAAATACAATTATCTGATATTCCTACCGCAAACAAAGGCCACTCTGGCCTTTCCGAAATACAGAACGCGGAAGAAGAAGACGATTTGCGAGCATCTTAGTAATGACTTTTAACAGAACATTGCAAAGAGCAATCGGTCTCAAATCAGTCATAGATTCAGGGGATGATTTCTTAGGAATCAAAACCAAACCAGTCACATTCAGATAATCAGGGATAGACCTGCTATGAATTATCTCAATACAGTATAGAGCAATATCATTACCTATAATGTCCCAGTAGCCTTGGAAGAAGCCAGGATTGAACCCGTCAAGTCCCGGGGCTTTGTCGGCCTTCATATCAAACACTGCTGCCCGAACATCTTCAATTGAGTAAGGAGCTAACAAGAACTCATTTTGCTCCTCGGTGATAACAGGCTGAGTAAAATCGGAAACCAACGTAGAGGTGCAATTTTGGGAAGCAAACATATTTGTAAAATAACGAACCATGAGATCCTCTAGAGATCCTCTAACCCGGAATTCAAGTGACACCAGTTTTACCAGATTCGTCTCGGCAAAGAAGAAATTCGATTCCTGTTGCTGACGGGCTGAAGCTCTTCGATGAAAGAAACGGGTTATTAGATCAACCTTCCCGCACCAGAGAATCTTTAGCACGTTGTTTCCAAAAAATTTCCTTCTGTACAATAATTCCTGAATACCTTCTTTTGCCTCCAGAAATCGGACATTATCCCCTGCGATACGAGAAACTCTTGTAGCAGCCATGATAGCCAGGCAAAGTCAAGCAAGATTCCCCTTTTTGATAATGGCGAATTCTTTCCCCAAACTCAAGAAGTTGCTCTGCAACGAGAAAATTCCTTTCAGCAAGCCCATACCCTTCTGTCTCTAGCCACACCCTTAATCAGATCTTACAAGCAGCCATCCCGCCCCCCAGCTATTCTCGAAACGGAAGCGTCTAGCCTGAGCTAGGCACAAAATGGTATTTCAAGGTAACTCGGAAAAGAATGGTTAGATGAGGACTATCATAGAACCAAATAGCTCGAGCTTCGAGAGAACTTGTCGCCAAAGTCAAGTTGGCCGATATATACGATCAAGTTTTTTTCCTGCTATTAAATTGCCGCTATGAGCGACCACAAATGTTCCTGATATAGTGAAAACATAAACCTGACATATGGAAATTCAGTCAAATGTGCATTCTGAGATGCAGCTTGGAATTCCTCCCGAATAAGATAATTAGGTTGATCCTACCTCCTCTTTTTTCATACGAAGCCAAGAATAAATCATTAAAGTCGCCTAAACACACCCAGGTAGTTCGCTTGTGAGAAGCCAAAAACTATCGAGTAACTGTCTCCAAAATATAATTTTCTTCTGTTTCTATTTTGGATACCATAGAAACACCGTTGAGGCCGTCCAAAACACCAAACCCGGGTGCAGTTCCCACTTCAACATCTATTATAGCTAGATAACTCTTCAACATCTATATATCTAGAACTGGAACTGATAAGATTTATTGACGAAACACCCTTCCAGAGTAATGCCAAACCACCACTATGGCCAACACAATCAACATTAACAAAACCATCATAATCTAATAATGATTGTATTTCCGCAATTTTATTAGAGGCACAAAGGGTCTCAATAAGAAAAATAAAATTTGGTTTCTTGTCATTAATGATATCCTGTAAAGTACGTACTGCTTGAGGGTTGCCCAATCCACGACAGTTCCAACTTATGGTACTCATGTCAGATAGCGGGACGGACTCACAAAACCTGCCAATAGCCCCATTTTCATTCGCTTTTTTTTTTTTTTTTTTTTTCAACAGCAACCAAATTTATCAAAATAACTCTCCACGAAGAGAGACGACAACTCTCCAGGAAGAGAGACGAAACAACTTCAGAACTAAAACTGCAGATGATCAGAAGCAAAAGGCAGCTGGCAACACATACATGTTCATAATTTTTGCTCTTTAGTCAATCTGTAATTTAACCAAACACCTGGCAGGCACATTGTCTATCAAAAAATAATATCGGTCTCCATCTAAAACCAAATCTCTAGTGATCGGCTTCTCTTAGCAAAACAAAGCAACAGACATCGATCTCAAATTTACCATTCTCACAATACAGAAGCAATGGCACAACATTTCAGCGACTCCAAACGACCAGACGTGATGAAACCAGGTTGATTATGAAAAGGTCCAGAAAAGACAAACCTGTGAATGAAGAAGAAAAGCACCACAGTGACCTCCATAACCAAACTGCAAAACCGCTATAGCCAATCCCATCGTCACTGAACTTGGGATCATGTTACTGCGGACATAATGTACCAACCAAGCAAAGTCATGGCTTCCTTGTCCTCTTTTCGCTGTTACATGTCTTTCCATTTATGCATTTCGTCGAACATTTGGCATGCACTTTTGGCGCACTTCTTCATCACATGAACTAATTAAGTTGCATGAATTTAGTGGCTTGGGATAAACAATTAAGCTATCTCAAAACTAGTTAGCGCCTGCATTAACTCATATAGCTCATATAAAGTTGTAAAATGTGATTTTCGCCGATGCAATTAATTATGAGTATGTACCAACCAAGCAAAGTCATGGCTTCCTTGTCCTCTTTTCGCTGTTACATGTCTTTCCATTTATGCATTTCGTCGAACATTTGGCATGCACTTCTTCATCACATGCAACTAATTAAGTGCATGAATTTAGTGCTTGGGATACAATTAAGCTTCTCAAAACTAGTTAGCGCCTGCATTAACTCATAAGCTCATAAAAAAGTTGTAAAATGTGATCGCCAGAGCAATTATTAGAGTATAAGGGAATGATAATTGAGGGATTAAAATTTGAAAACTAAAGTCCTTAGTAGTTTTGAAAACCTGAAAATTTCCATTTTAACAGGTTGCTCTCAGTCGCTCAAATTATTCATACCTCTCCTAAGTCCTAACACAATAGAAAATCAACAACTTAATGCAGCTTCAAGCTTTTGCTCTCTCACATACAGCAACTCGCGCATTAAATTTGAGGAGGGAACAAAAGTTTTTTTATAGGTCCTCGTGTTTTCATTTCCTTTCTCAAATGCTATTTTTTATAGTGTTCGGTAATATAACGTTTGAGTTAAATTTTAAAAGTTAATATTGCGTTTTATAAAAAGTGAACACATATAATGTTTAACTTTTAGCATTTTATTAAAAGCTACTCAAACAACTAATATTTAAATACTATTAAAACAGCTAGCAACTATCAAAATATGTATTTTTGCCAAACACATGAGAATTATTTGAACCCAAAAAAGTTATTATCTTATCATCTTTGTTTAGTATCGGATTTTTTAAAGTTATAAATGCTAAGTTCTAAATGACACAAATTTTTATATCTAAGTTATTGATATTATATTGGAGGAAGGTGTAAAAATTCACTGAGTCTCTTTATTTTATGGATAGATTTATTATCGGTTTCTACTCTTAAAACTTGCATTATGTTTTGAACTAAAATGAAAATTACATTATTTTGATAATATGTTTAGAAATTACATTATTTTTGTCTTAATCTCAAAAAATATAAAGTAAGGTCATACTTTCTCTGTCCTAAAATATAAATTGTTATAGGATAATTGTTTTGTTTCAAACTATAAATTGTTTTAAGTATTTAAAAAAATAATAAATTAATTTTTTTTCTAATTTTACTATTAATTTATATTAAATACAATAACTATTTAATAATTACTTAAGATAAAAATAATTAATCAAATTACTTTTAATTTAATTACAATTCATAAAAATAATTATTTTCCACTTATAAAATATTAAACAACTTATATCTTGTTACATCTTATACTTGTATTTTGGTACGAGTTCAGTACTAAATCCATTTCTTCGGCACATTGGAAGGCGGAAGTTCAGTCAACATGAGTCAACAATCCCTCCATAATAGCGCACCATAAGGAAATGGGTTTCCTTAGTTTGTTTGCAACCGTTAATCGCTGGAACGTAAAATACCGAACACATCGGACGGTTAACAAGCAAGAAGATTTAAGAGGCCACTAGGTGCGTGACAGCTGGGAAAATCTGGAAGATACCAAACCCAAACGATACGCGCTAAACAGGGAAAAGTAACTCGGCAAAGAAATTTCTGAAGAAAGAAAAAGATGAAGAAAAAATAAAAACTCTTCTTCCTCGACGTCAAACTAATTTCTGAGGAATTTTCAGAGCTTCTCGCGTTTTCCATTTGACTTTTGGGATCGATCCGTTCGTGGATCGGTCGAATTTTTATCTCCACAATTATCTATAAAGGTCAGTAATCTCTTTCTCAATCTCTTATCATTTCAATCATGATGATTATTTACTTTTGAAAATCTGGATTTTAATTTGCTTGTGGATATCATCTTTAATTGCGCCGATCTTCTAGATGCAATTTGGCCTCAATTAAGACGTTGCATGTAGTGCCACGCAATTGCGATTTTAGAGTGAGATCTGAGAATTGTGCTGTTCTGACTCTAATTTGGAGGCTTGGACTTTTAATCTTGTTAGGAAATACTACTTTTCAACTATCCAAATTGCATTTATCCGTCCTAGAAAGCCTATTTTGCACTTTGTTTTTGGTACATTTTACGGTTTTGGAAATGGATGCCATAAGAGTTATCATTTGTGTCGGCGTCTTTAAGATGCTCTAGCATGGACGATTCTTGGTTTAGACTTACATTTAATATTTAATGTCTCCAATTCATGAAATTTTAAATAGGGGATTGTTATTTGGATTCTTTGAGTTTTGAGTTGTTTATAGTGTTCAATTTTGGTTCAATGTTGTGCTTGTTATTGCCGGTGCTGATTTAGGTTTTTGTGTGTGATTTATAGGCATTTTAGACTTTAGAGTAATAGGTGGGAGATGGCAAGTGGGTTTGGGCAATCAACAAGCAGGCCACCCCAAAACCCATCATTTTCTAGCAATAGCAGTAATGGTGATGCGGGTAATTTTGAATGCAACATTTGCCTTGACCTAGCCCAGGATCCCATTGTAACTTTGTGCGGCCACCTTTTCTGTTGGCCTTGTCTTTACAAATGGCTCCACTTTCACTCACAATCCAAGGAATGCCCTGTTTGTAAGGCTCTGGTGGAAGAGGACAAGTTGGTTCCCCTATATGGTAGGGGTAAAACGTCGACTGACCCTAGATCGAAATCCATTCCTGGTGTTAATATTCCTAATCGTCCTGCTGGGCAGAGGCCTGAAACAGCTCCTCCACCAGAACCGAATCATTTTGCCCAACATGGGTTTGGATTCATGGGAGGGTTGGGAGGTTTTGCACCAATGGCAACAGCTAGGTTTGGGAATTTTACACTGTCTGCAGCTTTTGGTGGTCTCATTCCTTCACTTTTTAATCTTCAAGTGCATGGGTTTCATGATACTGGTATGTATGGATCAGCCGCTGGCTTTCCTTATGGGTACTCTAATTCATTTCATGGTGGCCATGCACATGGATATCCTCAGCACCAAGGACAAGGGCAACAAGATTATTATCTGAAGAGGCTACTTTTGTTTATTGGTTTTTGTGTTCTTCTTGCTCTCATTTGGCAATAGATTAAATCTGTTATGAAAGCTTATTGACAAATGTTTAGGATTGTGAATCTCGTCTTTGTAAATCCAATAGCGCATTTTTTTTCTCAGTACTCAGGAAATAGTCCACAGTGTATACTGTCATTTCAGTACATTGAAGCTCTCCATGTTTTCAGTAGCTATGTGGAATGTGATTTGCATATTTTTCTTTGTTGCATTGCAAGTTCTCTAGCATCCATTCTGACACATGGTTTGAGTTGAGTGGATCACTATAGCTATCACATAGTAGTTGCAATGTGGCTAGAGTACAATACCTTTCCCTCTCGACATCCTTTGCAGAGAACCAAAAGACTTGCTTTCCTCATGCAATTAAAGGTTTGAGTCCTCATCATTAGTGCATTCGAATAATTACAATCTCTTGAAGCTTTTCTCATCTAAGTCCCACTAGTCTCTTTTATATTATTTATAGGACCAGCAAGAATTGCTCAAGTCGCTGACCATCCAGGTAATACCATGTGTTTGAAGATTATGTGAACCACAAATATTTCTCTGTCACTTGATTGCATTATTCTCTTCTCTCTTGCCCCCACGTCAATTCATTCAGTATTATCCAGTTTTGTAGTCTATCCGTGTGAGTTTCTTTATTGACAAGTGACTATTCTATAGAGTTGTTTATCAATTTTCACCAGATTACTGAGATGCATAGATCTGGATTACAAATTTAATGATCCTCAAGCTATCATACATCTCCTGGGTGTAAAATGTATGGTTAACTTGACATATAGTTTGAGTTTCAATTTTGATATTTTCAAAGAATGGTTGCAATTTGTTTTTTTTATCGTGTTCAGTGTATGGAGATTATGTGTTAACAGCTTAATTGATGACTTGCTGATTGATTTCTAGTAATTTGCACTATATTCTGTTTCATAAGATACCAATTATAGGATGGACTTGCTGCTAGATGTTTGCTGTTACTGTTGAGATACCTGCACTTAGCCAGTAATTGAGTGTGCCTTGTATGTTTTCAACAGTGGATGGTGCACTGCTGAGTAGTTTGCTTACTAGTAAACTTTTTTAAGGATGAACTGTAAATTTTGGTACCATTGCTTATCAAGTTATTTCAGCCTCGTTATTCAAGAAGATTAGGAAATGATTAGTGGATTTATGTGGCTATCAATATTAGAGGGACTAGTGAGGTTTTGGCCTTTGGGGCACTACTTGGGAGAAGTACTCAGGATTATGTCTCTTTGTGATTTGGATGGCCAATGTTGTAGGCTTTCAATTCAATGTTTTCAAATTAGTTGCTTTGATATCTTTGGCAAATTTACATCCTTCGTGTCTTGAGAGAACCATGCTGTTTTACTTAGTTGGAAGCATGGCCAGCATGGGACTGATACAGTATACGTCGCTTCTCTGGAATGTTATAGATTTTGTAGGGTTTTTTGAGCCTTGTATAATGCACAAGGGGTTTTATTGGATGTTCTTAGGCTGCTTGCGTCCGTCTAAATTAGGAGGAATTGGGCTCCTTTCTGTTTATAGGACTACAAATGCATCAAGCAGCCCATGAACTACTTGGACCTGTGATAAAAGCTTGTCTAGAGGTGCGAGTTAGCTAAAAAGTAATTGTTAAGGGTAATTAAAGTTCACACCTTATTTCTTCAAAAAATAAAAAATAAAAAATAAAAAATTCACACATTTGTTATGAAAAAATGGAAGTAAATCGGTAAATATGTTGAAAGTTTCAGGTCTTACAAAGTCTTGGAAGATGGCTGGGCCATGAATTGGTTTTGTGCCTTCCGTTTTTTTTCCCATAAGAGAAGACGCGGTCGTACAATGTTTTTGTGCCTCTTTTTCCCCATAAGAGAAGAGGTGGTCCTTCAATGGTTCTTGAACTGATCAATCAATCCTAGTTTTTTGAAAGGCCTGATCCACCAGTTTTAAAAGATAATTCTTGATTGTGGCCCCTTAAACGCCAATACTCTCTTTTCTTTCACATGGATTGCTTGATCCAGATTCTTCATTTAGGCCATGGGTAACATGCAGATTGTTTTTCCATGAAGTTTTCGTGATTTGCTTTCACTTGTCAGTTTTCATCAGTCATGGTCATGAATTTCCTCTCTTCCCTCTGCAATTTATATAATAGCTGCATTTTAGTTTGATAACAACATCAATCAACGATGAAATAGTACAAAAAACTAGGCAGCTTTCTTAATTCAGTTTTGGTTTTTCTTCCGACTTTTCTCTTGTAGTTTTAAATATAAATTTATATTTACGTAAGTGAAAACTAACATATTCTTCATTCGTCCTCTGAGAATGATATTTTTTATTTTTTTAAAAAAAGATTCTGAGTCGAAGATTTGCCGGTTTGATCAGGATGTGTGGCACAAGGTTGGCCCTTCTTAATCTTAAGCTATTTTACTTGGCTGGATCAACGATTAACTGCTTAATGCTTGGTTTAGTTGGAGATGGGACCAAACACCCCAAGCTCCAAGGTCTCTTTCACACAACTTTATGTTTCCTTTATTCATTGCAAGTAATTTGTTTTTCATTTTCTCAATAAATGATTTTTTTTTAAAAGAAAACAAGGTGAAGTTTTCTACTCCAAAAGTTAAATTTTTAAGCTAAATAGACAAGAAATTAAAGCTTCCAAAGAAAAAAATAATGTTAATTTCATATTTATCTCCCCGTCCCTTTCATTATGTATTATTAATCATAATTTGTGGAAATCTTAAGCATTTTTTGTCATAATATACAACATTTTAATGGCATGTCGAATATGCAAATCCTTCACCATGTGAAACACATATTAAAGATGAAGAATGGTGAAGTGGAGTGACATGCAGACAAAAAGACAAACATCAATTTTGGTTTTCATGGCATAATTATATACACACACACCATTATATTGGTTAAGAAAAGAAATTGAGAAGCTTCCTAGTAGTAAGAGTTGGACCATTCTGCAAAAGCAGAGAGTCAAGGACAAGTAATTCTTAAACATTTTAAAAGGTTTGACCTGCAATCTGAATGCATTGCATGTAAGGTCGGAATTGAATTGTATTTTACTGAGTAGTGAGAGAGCACCGACGTAGATGAACTCGACGACTTAATAAAGTTAGATTAGACATAATTTAGCATGTAGACCAAGGCAGAGAGCATGTGCTCCTCACTTAAGCAGACTTTTATTACCCAATTCATCCCCACACGGTTCGGTTGTGGGTCATATGTCCACTGACCATGACGACTTATTTTAAATAAATCAAAATTTAAGTATTTGATCAAAATGATGAATTTTGAACAATCCATGAAATTTTTATCTTATTTTTATTGTGTCAAGAGAAAATCATTAAATTGTTCAAAGTCTCAAATAGACCTAAGATCCCATGAAATGCACCTAGACCTAGTATATCATCAATGAGGATGTATCTGAGATGGTTCTTTTTCTTTTGTCAATTAAATCTTCATCTCTGCTGAGTTATTTATGAGTTTCTGACCGCTGCTGCTGCTTATTAAGTATGGGCCAGTGCAGCGACTGAGAATGAGTTTTCCCATCACTGGTTAAATGCATATATATGGCTGCAGTTATAATTACAGATATGGCTATATATATGAATGTATCTTACAGAATTACAAAAGAATAAATTTATTTTCTTTTAAATTCCATAATAAAAAGAAAAAAACTGAAAACAACAATACGTTATTAATTTCCAAAAATGGTTTATTACTTGCAATGGAAATTTTCAAATTAAAGCTAATAGATGTGATAATTTGGTATCCTGAGTTGGACATTTTCCCAAACAACGGTTACTCTTATAGAAAAGGAATATTTCTATTGTCAGGGAAATGAATATATAGTAATTTATCTACAGTCGATTCATTTTATTTTTTATCAGTATTTTTTTTTTTTTTATTACAAAGTCATCATTAATTTTTAGTCCTAAACCTACCTTAAAGGAAAAGGCAATGCTAACATTTTCATGTAGATGAGGTTTGGTAATTTTCTATCTATGGTATTCTCTCATTCCATATATAATGATGGCAGAAAAAAAATAATCATGCCCTTCCTTTCTAAAAACCAATATATAATGCTCGTGCTTGCTATATTTTAACAAATCAAATAATATTTATCAGTTAAAAAAATAAAAATTATTGTTTTATTTATTTAGTGTAAGATGAAAACGGTTGATGGTATAAGCATTAATCTTCTTAAAAGCTATTTTCATTTTCATGTTTAGCGTCCAAAGTTTGTCTTGTTAGCTATGATTGACAGGATTCGAAGATTTTGCTGAGTCTCGAAGAGTTTACATCGAAGCGGATTAATCAGGATAATTAAGCTAAATTAATGTGCTATACATAAATAATATATATAACTATCTATCAGTTGTAGGTTAGCATGAAACGCAAATCAGCGCCAAAGACAATAATATTTAATGCATCATTATATTATACGGAAACAATCTAGTATTGGAAGACTTGATATTGAAGTATATATATATAGTTTTAATTTCAACTATTAGGTTGCTCAGCCATTATTTTCTAGGACGCCGATGGTTTAACCCATCTGAAGGGGAAGGAGAGATGGTTGAGCTCGTGAACCATCAACAACAACCACCTTTCTTATTGTTTTGCTTGAAAACACAAAAAAAAAAAAAAAAAAAAAAAAAAAAGCTTGAAAACACCAAAAAAAAAAAAAAAAAAACAAAAAAAAAAAAATGTTTTTGCTTAAATTGTTTTCTTTGTTTGAGGTAATTCTCAATTTATCTTTTTTTTTTTTTTTTTTTTTTTTTTTTTTTTTTTTTTGTAATGCAAAGGGATTTATGAGGTTTAAATTTAAGACTTCCCTGTCATTTTGAAAATTTTAAAGAATTTTGTTATATAAAAAGATAGAAAGATGTGAAAGAGTTTTTTTTTTTTTTTTTTTTTTTTTTTTTTTTTTTTGTAATGCAAGGGATTAATAAGGTTTAAATTTAAAACTCCCTGTCATTTTTGAAAATTTTAAAATTTTGTTATATAAAAAGATAGAAAAAGATGTAGAAAGAGAAAAGAAAAAAAAAAAGAAAGGATTTGAAACATAAAAGATGGTGCAATCAATTTCTGTTTCCGCGTTTATCTTTTTCTTTGTGATTGCCAATTGGCATAAAGCAGTAACCCCATACACATACACATTCTTCATTCGAACTTTTATGTGCAGAATGTATGGTCCTTTTTCTTCTTTTTTCAGGAATTTAGAATCAAAAGCTTTTTAATTTTAATAATTACTTTTGGCTTAGTTAGTGTTAATAAATAAATTAAATGAATTTAATAAAAATATTTTTTATCCATCACCAACCGCATGAATTCAAATTCAAAAAACTCAATTTCTTGTTTATTAGATTTTGCTGGTCTCAGAATTAAACCAAACCATAAAAAGAGATGTTTCAGCTTTTAAATTGACAGCAAGAGATAGTTGTGGGGCCTATCAATTACATTACAAATCCAAACAAATGTGAATTCAACACACTCTTTTTGAAGAATTCTTGACAGAGATCCCCTGCATCCCATCCACCCTATTCTCTTCTTTCTTTCTTTCTCTCTCTATATATAACAAAATGAACTGCCTGTCTTTACCCTCTCAAAATCAATCAACAATGGAGCTCTAATTAAGTCTAAGCCAAAGCTACACATCTCTCTTCTCTCTTACCCATATCACTACACAGTCCTTTTCTCATACTGGAAACCAAATCTTGCCAATGCTTAGACTCTCCATACTATTACTCTTTACCTTTCTCTTTTTAGCCGCCAATGCCGCCACCGCCACTGCCCCCGTCCCTGGGGCTGCAGCTGCCCCTACCATTACTACTATGACTCAACAATTCAAAGAAGCTCCACAATTCTATAACTCCCTGGATTGTGGTTCGGTAGATCAAGATGATCCTGATTCAGAATCTGATGGTGATAGCCTCATCTTTTGCTCCGATCAAGGAGTCCACGTCGCAATGACTTTAGATACAGCTTACATCCGCGGCTCCATGGCAGCAATTCTCTCTGTTCTACAACACTCTTCTTGTCCACAGAATATTGCTTTCCATTTCGTCGCCTCCGCCTCCGCCAACGCGTCGCTTCTACGCTCCACCATCTCTTCCTCCTTCCCTTACCTCAAATTCCAAGTCTACACTTTTGATGACTCGTCGGTGTCTAGACTTATATCCACTTCCATCCGTTCTGCTTTAGATTGTCCTTTGAATTACGCTCGCAGTTACTTAGCGAATATTCTCCCTTTATGCGTTCGCCGAGTCGTCTATCTGGACTCGGACCTGGTTCTAGTAGATGACATTGCCAAACTCGCCGCTACTCCACTAGGCGAAAAGTCAGTACTAGCAGCTCCCGAATACTGCAATGCCAATTTCACTTCATATTTCACACCGACGTTTTGGTCTAATCCGTCTCTATCGCTCACATTTGCGGATAGAAAGGCTTGTTATTTTAATACCGGAGTTATGGTGATCGATCTGGATAGATGGAGAGCTGGAGACTACACGACGAAGATTGAAGAGTGGATGGAGTTACAAAAGAGAATGAGGATATACGAGCTCGGTTCGTTACCACCGTTTTTACTGGTATTTGCAGGAGATATTGTACCAGTTGATCACCGGTGGAACCAGCACGGACTCGGAGGAGATAATTTTAGAGGTCTATGTAGAGATTTACATCCAGGTCCAGTTAGTCTTTTGCATTGGAGTGGTAAAGGGAAGCCATGGGCTCGACTGGATGCGAACCGGCCTTGTCCGCTGGATGCTCTTTGGGCTCCATACGATCTCTTGCAGACTCCATTTGCGCTGGATTCTTGAAGACAAATCAACACATATACCTATTTTCAGTGACAGAGAGAAGGAGACGAAACTAAATACAGAAACATATTTAGGTATGTATTTTGTTGTAGATTATATATATATATATATATTATACAGGTTTCTATGAACAAGAGTTAAACTTTTCATTTATGATGGAATCGTATATACTCATTTTCAATTCGTGAAATAGTTAGAAATAAACCGAAGAAAATGGATTCAAGAACTCCCAGTTGCATCTCTTATTTATTGGTTAATTGTATCAAATTTGCTATAACCAAAGAGATGTTAGTTTTGGTTTATGTGATGAATCCTTGTATTTTGTTTAATAATAATAATAAAACAATACTCTTTTGCTTCTATATATTTTGCATTTCTTAATTAGGAATTAATACCATTCTGCTATTTTTTTCCAATTAATGATATATTCTAATTATAGTATAAGACAATTAGTTGCTACTAATTTAATTAAATTGACATGTTAATAATTAAATTATTAACTTTTGTATATCCTCCAAAGTTCGTTATGGTGGAAGCATCAATCATTCAAAATGATGATTTTGTATTAATAAATAATAAAATTAATTTCGTCGACCTAACTTGAAACTTAAGGAAGCAATAAGCACGCAAAAAGAGTTTGAATCTAACAAACTTTTTAAAATTTGTTTTCCGAAAACAGTGGTTTGTCTAATTAATTAAAAAGGGTGGAAAGACATTTTGCCCACTGATGTTGATGTAGACTATGGAACCATAGCTATACCAAAATCAAATTTTAGGGCAGCCGTCGTTTTTTTCCTTGTCTACTTGCCTTCTGGACCTTTTTATTAAACACACATTCAAGAATTAAAGACAAGCAAATTTTCTTGCCCCTCCAATAAAATCAATTTCATTAAAATAAATAATTCTCTTTTTTTCTAAAGATATTTATTTCTTTTTTTTTTTTTAATTTAATCTATTTGAAATGGTAGAATTCCAATGGCATAATGAAAAGTTGGCAAGTGGAGAAAAAGCAGTAGCTGAAAATGCCTTCCTCATAAGTCATTTTCATATTACACAAAGATCCATGCCAGCTATTTCTAATAATTAGTAACTTCAGGCGAAGAATAAATACTACTGATTAATATATTTATTTTTCTAATATTTCATTTGTTTGTGTATTTTGACAATTTCAATTGGCAAAGAATTTTCCCGTCCATCCGATAAGATCAAATTATTCCCTGCTCCTAATCTTACCAAACACGTAGATCAATTCGTAAGACCAAAATTAAATAACTAAAACCTTTTTCTTTTTAATGGTTTTTGGAATTTCTAGGATCACAAAATCATTGTTTTTTATAATTTAATCCCACTTGTAATATTATTTAATTATAAGTAAACCAATGGAGACCAACTACCCGCATTGTTCAATTGTACTCGAATAGTCAACTGGTAGAACTTTTAAATTGCCATGCCACCCTGTTGCAATTTTTAATTTCTTTTATTTATAATATTGCATTAATAATTTTAAAATATTAGCTAACAGGTGATTGAATCGATATAAATAAATAAAATAATTATTATCACGAATTTTTTATCTAAATACCACTTTCGCTCAATTTTCAAAATACATGTTACAAATTAAAAAAAAAAATGAAGAAGCTCAAAAAATTATACAAAGAAACGTGTAATATTTGAAGTACAATAAATAATTAAGAAAATGAAAGGAGTGTCGGTAGAGCAAAGGAAACAACATTAACGAGGGTTCGTAGAATGACGCGTGGCATGCATTTAAGAGGAAAGGAAAAGCCTTTCGCACGGCAAATGATCCGAATTTGGTTTGGATTGATGATCTCTCCCTGCTTCTGTTATTGGTATCTGACCGTTTAAATGTTTTTAAGATATTTACCCTTCCATCCCTACTCCTTCTTCTTCTTCTTCTTCTAACAACCATCTTGCCTCGTTCTCTTTCAAACAATTTTCATAGTTAGAACTGCTGTTTTTATGCTTGATTGAGATGAATAAACTATCCTATCTGATCATTCATTGAAAATAAAAGAGTGACTTGAGAAATGTTATCATTGACCATATCAAGGGTTTGTTGTTACGGAGATCTGTTTGTTTAGAAAATGGTTATGAATGACGCTTCAAAATGTTTTAATAAACAGCAAGTCTACGAAATTTGATTAAGACTCAGACAGACTCTTTCTTTATTAAAGTCGTACATAGACGAGTCGGTGAAAGGAATTGTTTTTCCTTCTTCATTCAGAGGGAAAAAAGGGAAGGAATTTCTTTCCATTGGAATTCCAGATAATCAATTAAAAGGAAATTTCAATCATGAGTTTTATGACGTCGTTTTGTAGACAAACAACGCGTTTTCTAACCAAGAAAAAGGCTTTAAGGCTGTGAACTGCGATGGTTGCCAGCATGGTCGTTCTGGCCTCTGTCTTTTTCTTTTTGCGCTTTTCTCGTTCTCCAATTATTGAACTTCATACCAACAACCCATCTGAAACTGGATATGTTTGTACGGCGGCAAAATATCAGAAAAAAGGTGATACTTAAATGAGAAAATATTGTTTTTCTTTATTTGTAAAAAAAAAAAATATATATTGGAAGAAAAATAAAAAAATTATAATGATGAATTAGTGGAGGAAATAATTTTATTTTCTTCCTATAATCGAAAACAAACAAAGAAAATATATTTAAAATTTTCATTTCTCCCTTGTTTTCTCTTCTTAATTTTTCTCCTCAGTTTTCTTTTTCCTCTAATCCAAATATAGTAGCAGAGATTCCCAACTTCCTTTTAGGTTACAGGAGAAAAAAAAAATTGCTATTACACAAGAAATTTTTTGCATAGTATCATTATTTTTTGCTTAATTATTAATAATAAAAATACTCCGAACTTTACAATTTTTTGCACTCGTAACATATTTAATTTTTGACAAGTACACCCAAAATGTTTGAAGATTAATTAGACTCCAAGATTTAAAGTGGGAAAAAAAAGGATGCAATTGCAATAATATGCAAAATTCAAGATATTTTCACCCTGAAATAATTAATTACAATACAAAATATGATGGTTGCAAGTTGCAAAACCATTCAACGTTTATGGTGCTTAAGCACTCTAAAACAATGAATCAACTGATAATTCTTTTTTCTAATCTCTTATTAGAAATCAATGTGTTACTATAATATTTTTAATTGTTATAGCGACATGAAAAGCACCAAAATTTCATTTGACAACGATTTAATTTTAATATGTGAACCAAAATTCGATTTTATTTGATATTCCATAATTTCGCATTGTATAACATTGAAAGGAGCATTATCGTAACTCGTAAGTAGTGAATTATTGATTGATATGTGGTGTCAACTCATTTCTCTGTTGTAATCCTAACTTTAAAGAAGGGTACTTTCAATGTCACAATAATATAATATACAATAAAGTCAAAACATTTTGAATTATAGATAAGAGATATGACCTGATGGTCCCCTGCATTTATGCACTAATTTTTATTTATTGGAATGAAATGAAACAATCCAAAAACAGCATTATCTTTCTTTTCTTTTTTTTTTTCTCCCTGCCTTGTCTTATGATATAGGCAACTGTAGTAAAATTAACTAATGGAAAATGGAGAGAGAAGAAATGGAAGTTCTAAAAGTCGTTTTCCATCTTTCAGAAGTGGGAAGTCTGAGATGGTGCTTGGCCAGGCAAAAGGCCCTGCTGTCTGTCTTGCGGCACATGGAAGTGCCCCTATCTATAATCCTAAGTAATCTCTGGCTCTGCAGTTAGATGAGGCATAACTTTCTTGTCCTACCAACTTTTTATGTCTTTGAAAGTTCAAGTTATGCATACATATAGAATAAGGTTTTTCAGTGTATTTTTTAAAAACATTAAGAGAAGGCTGCTCTGATTTAGTAATTTGCTTTGGGGAAAAAAAGATGAGACACACCTTCTTGAACATTAATGCTATTAACTTGAAAAGTACGATCAAAATGATTTACAATATTCAATTTTTACCTTTTATTGCCGTTAGATATTTTATTTTTATTTTTATTTTTATTTTTATTAAGAATCTCCAGAGACTGCCCTTGGCAAATGAAAGCACCTTCCTGGAAGTCACTATGAATTGCATCACAATTGAAAGCCATGGAGCAACTTTGCCCTGAAAATACAATACCTGAAAGAGATGTTTATTTCGTAACTCTTACACTCTATTCTATCATAGGCTGTAATTCACGTCATAGAAATATACCTCTCAATACCCAACACCTTCAGGATCAAACATCAAAATCTAATAACCTTATATTAGATTCCTCTCTCTTCTTGGCAGAATGCACCCCCCATAAATTGGACCTCGTTTAATCAAATTCACACTAAGATGTGATGTATTCTATCCATATAAATGACTGCAACAGAAACAGTAAACATAGATTGGGATATGAAGGTATTGTTCATATTGTGGCATTAACAAATAATTATCTGAAGGAGAAAAATTTCATAAAATCTAAATCAAGAAAATTAAACCGTCTGTCTGTAGGATCAGGTATACCTCTAAGATGCCAAAGTGTTTAGCAAGGTTCATTCAAGTCAGTCAAGCCTTTTTTGTGGGGTCGATGACTAATATACTGAAATTGACAGCATATAATCTAATTTTCTATTGAAAGTCTGCTTATAATAATTTCTCTATTATGATTTATGTCTTAAAAAACTGGCTGCTTATGTCAATTAGAAAAGTAAACTATTTGGTACACCATCAACGCCCACAAAATAACTAAACTATATCCATCTACAGCGTAATGGAAGGTAATCATGACCGAGTCTTGCTGACAATTATGATTCCATACAGATGGCAAGAGTTGTAACTTAAAACTGTAACTTAAAGAACTGACTTACAGATAACTAAATGGATAAAGCTTCATTTCCTGTGTATTCTTTTTTTCACTTGATTTTTGGGTCCCTGTATATCTCATAATTCAAGTTTATCAAGTGATTAACTACTTTATTCTGGAATGAACATAACCATACAGAAGGTTTTGCTTAGTAAAAACAAAATCCAAATGCTCATGGGAGCTATTAAACATCAGGTATCGTGCTCAGATGAGTGATGAGTAAGCTGTTTAAGCTTATGTCACCCAAATTTATTATCTAGTAGGGCTTTCAGGTGCAGAATTTGTTATAGTCCATTGCTAATTCATATTTCACAAAAGTGGCATTCTTTCATTGAATAAGTGTTTATTCAAGTTATGAACTTGCTAAGGGAAATTTCAATACCAGAAAGAAATTTTTATTTGCACAATAAAGTATTTACTGGTGTTCTAATGTACCTAGAGCCTCAAGGCCACAATCAAATTTGTTCAACTAAACTAAAGTCTGTACATAGCCAATAAGTTACAAAAGGTAGACAGCTGATGTATACATGGGCCATAGAACTAGAACAAATACTTGTGTGGAGACTTCAAATGGAAAAGGGACCAAATAGATAAAAAAAAAAAAAAAAAAAAAAAAAAAAAAAACAAAAAAAAAAAAAAAAAAACTCCCAGACAAGTGTGATACAAAAAAAAAAAAAAAAAAAAAAAACTCCCAGCCACAAGTGTGATACAAAATAGGAAGTCGGTGGAAGTAGCAATTCAACAGAACATTCTGATGCATATTTCTTTGCCTCAAACCATAATTTCCATTTAATTTTTCATACAAAAAATCATTTTGAATATTGGACTTCTAGGAAGTTACCTGGTTAGCATGCTTGCTGAGACCCATCATCATCTCGCCAAGACTACAATTTGTCATAGCTGTCATCCTAGTAGCAGGCATTTTCTGGGCAGTCATGCAGATGACAGTGGATCAACATTTGATGTGCTGTGGTGCAAGTCCACTCCCCACTCTCCAGGTATGGGTCTTCGGAAGCAGTGGAAGTCCCAAATTTCCCCAATGTCGATCAACCAGTACATGTTCACGTGATGTAAGCGGGTTTCTTATTTTGTCAATCAAGACCCTGCAATGAGAGTTGGAGGAAATTAGGGCAATCCTCTGTAGATGACAAATTAAAGCATGGAATAAAGTTTACATGCATGAATTGGTGGTGTTGTGACCAGTGGCTGAAGGAAAGAGCTCTATCCACCCCACACCCCACACCCCAAGAGACCTGGAAAAGAAGAACATAAACTACCAATAATACTTTGCCCATCCTAAGTTCAATTTCTGGCTCTGCCACATGTTGTGACCAACATGCGGCATACATCAGTGACATGGCTTACTGCTACTCACAGCACAGACCCCGAACATTTAAACTCACAACTTAAAAAGACAAAAACCAGTGTTTCTTGTTCTTTTTGACAATTTTGGAGGGGCAAAATTCCTCTTCTTAAGACTGGCTTAGGGAGAAGGGATTTTCAGCTATAGAAACAAAAAGGCAACTTACTATGTGATAGGAGCTTGCGTGTGGGCCCAAGCTCTATAGGAAAAAAAATAGCATAGGCATCGCTGCGGCTTTCAACTCATCACAATGCAATTTTGGTATAGACTGATTCCAAAATTCCTACTAACATGCAGAAATGGACTTTAAAAGACAAAATTGAACTTCTTTCATATCCCAATTATCATTTTAAAGAAGGTATCAATAACCAGTAGGAACCAGGGAAAAAGGACAATATTTTGATTCATTCTATATGTAAATTTGAAGGTTAAACATGTATAATATGCATACTTTTAACCAGGGAAAAAGGACAATATTTTGATTCATTCTATATGTAAATTTGAAGGTTAAACATGTATAATATGCATACTTTTAACCAGGGAAAAAGGACAATATTTTGATTCATTCTATATGTAAATTTGAAGGTTAAACATGTATAATATGCATACTTTTAACCAGGGAAAAAGGACAATATTTTGATTCATTCTATATGTAAATTTGAAGGTTAAACATGTATAATATGCATACTTTTAACCAGGGAAAAAGGACAATATTTTGATTCATTCTATATGTAAATTTGAAGGTTAAACATGTATAATATGCATACTTTTAACCAGGGAAAAAGGACAATATTTTGATTCATTCTATATGTAAATTTGAAGGTTAAACATGTATAATATGCATACTTTTAACCAGGGAAAAAGGACAATATTTTGATTCGTTCTATATGTAAATTTGAAGGTTAAACTAGTAGCACCTTCACTTAACAGCAAATACCCTTAATGCCAAAAAACAAGGAAAACTATATTTCTTATGGGCAATTATGCAACTAAGAGAAAGGAAATGAATTCTTACACAATAATTACAGTCTGCAATTTGACCTCAAGGGTTCAGTCTCTCAGTTCCAAATATATGCTCCAGTGCAATTACACCAGTACATTGAGAAATGATGAGAACACCATGAAACTAAAAGCCAAGATGAAACTGACCAATCGCATCCTGCACCATGGAGATAAAATTCACCAGCATAATTATGCAGACAAAAGACAACATGTATGGAAATATCATATATATTACCTGGGATTCTCAAGGGGCTGTAATAAAAGATAATTTTGACCAAACAGAGCAACCTTCAGCAAATTCTCACATTGCTGAACATTCATCAACACGCTCCTTCAGACATAATACATGCATCCAGCATTTCTCTAGAAATTGAGAACAATGATAACTCCATTTGTTTAGGAGAAATCACACCAGAAGATGGAAAGGTCACATCCATCATATTATGCAGCCTAGTCATCTTCTTTATGTTTCCACCTTTAATATAACCATCAACTAACTTGAAAATTGTCGCCAGATTTTGATCTGCAAACATCTCTGTCATCTCATCTAAAAGTGTAATAGATTTTTCCATATCTCCTTGTTTACAAAAACAATTAATCAAAGTAGAATAGGTAATAATAGAAGGAGAGATTCCTTCTTTTATCATCTTACTTTTCAAATCCAAGGCTTCTCTGGTGTTACCATTTTTACAGTATCCATCAATCAATGTATTGTATGTAATAACATTTGGAGTTAGTCCCTTCAAGTGAAGTTTATTGAACAGCCTATGTGCTCGATCCAGATTTCCCAATTTGCATAGACCGTTTATTAGAGCATTATATGTAATTATGTTTGGAGCAAGGCCCCTCTCCATCATCTCATTCCGCAAATTGAAAGCTTCATTCACATTACCTGCAGCTGAACAGCCATGAATCAGCGTGCAGTATGTAAAATTATCTGGACTAAAACCTCTTAGCAACAAACTTGAGAAAAATCTCCTTGCATCATCAATCTTCCCAGACTTGCAAAGCCCCGCAATAGCTATATTGTACACAACACTGTTGGGCAGAGAAAAACTTTTAGCACTTTCATCAAGAGTGTCTGCAATTTTCTGACTCTCAAGATGTCTGCCATCAACCTTGTGAAAGCTGTCAAAACATTCATTATCAAGAAAAACATCGAAACCCACCATCTTCTGCAACAACATATTTGCTTCATCTATCCTACCAAGTCGATAAAGGCTACTGACAATTTTGCTGCAAATAATTATATTGGGAACAAATCCCTCTTCAATCATATCAAAATATGCACTAAAAGCTTTATCCAGTCTCCCTTCATCACACCAGCCAGCAATAAGGGTTCCGTAAGTGATGATGTTAGGAGATAATCCCTTCGTGCACATCTCGGATAGAAGATCTGTCATCTTAATTGTTTTCTTTGACTTAAAAAGTCCACCAATAAGAGAATTATACAATTCAATAGAAGGAGAAATTGCTTCTTTTTCCATCTTCTCTTTAACTTTAAAAGCTTCTTCAACATCTCCAAGTTTACAATACCCATCACTCATTGTTCTATATGTTACTCCGTCAGGTTTACAGCCCAGTTCCTTCATCCTGTTAAAGGTCTCCTCTGCTGCAACCATTTTCTCCATCTTACAGAACCCATTAATCATTATATTGAAAGCATATGTACTTCTCCCAAAACCCCTAGCTAAAATATCATTCCACAGAGCCAAAGCCCTTGAAAAATCTCCCATCTTGAAGAGCCCATCAAGTAAAGTACAATAACTGACCTCATCAAGAGCCACACCTCTCTTTAAAATTAAATGCCAAAGGTGCACAGCATCCTCAAAGGCACCCACATGACATAAGCCCTTAAGAAGAGTATTATAAGTTACAACAGTAGGTTCAATTCCATCCTGAAGCATGATATTGTAAACATTGAAGGCCTTATTGGTAACACCTTCTCTACAGTATCCATCCACGATAGTACTATAACTATAAGAATCTGGCTTTAAGTCCCATTTCCCCATATCTGTTAATAACCTTTCTGCCTCGCAAACTTGACCATTTTTACAATACCCATTCATCAATGAGTTGCAAATAAATAAATTCATCTTCAATCCTGTGTTCAACATCTCATCTCGATACCTAATAGCATCAGTCATTTTTCCTACTTGACAGTAACCGTTAATCAATATGCCATAAGTATATTCATCCACTACCACGTTCTTCTCTTTCTCCATTTTACGGAGCACCTTCTCTGCTTCCTCTAACTTGAACAGTCTACAATAACCTTTAATCAACAGCGTAAACGTAACCTTTGTTCTCAAAATCCCTCGCTTATCCATCAATCTCAGGACCTCTTTGGCTCTGTCCATATCTCCGACGCTAACACACCCATTAATCAAGCTATTATAAGTCACCACATTCATTTCAAAACCCAAATTTTCCATTTCCTTAACAAACTCCACAGCTCTGTCTACCCTTCCCTCCTTACAATACGCGTTAACCATAATTGCACTAGTAAAAACATCAGGTACGATTCCTAGCCTATTCATTTGTTCATAAACAAGCACTGCAGTGTAACTTTGACCTCTTCGAACCAAACTACTCAGCAAACTATTGCAAGATCGCAAGCTGGGCACTCGACCGTACTTTCCCATATTATCAAACACATGGAGCGCACTCTTTGTCATTCCCTTCTCAGCATATACTTTTAATACCATATCAAAAACCAAAGGCGAAAATGAAAACTCCTTGTAAACCCTAACAAGCTCATCCCAAACGAGAAATGAAGAGTAGTTATTCTTACAAAGACTAACCAATTCGTTTAAATAGGTTCTGGTCTCATCATACAGTCGAGCCCGAGACAAAATGTGAACAAGCTTACAGTACGACTTAATGTTGGGTCGAAAATTGGGTTGCTGCGACGCCAATTTGAAGAAATTCAAGCAGGCATTAGGATTTAGTTTGAGTTTAAGAAAAACAGAATCAAGAAGATCATCGGAGAAAACGAAATTAAGGTCGCTGAGGGCATGATAGCGACCAAGGATGAGAAGGCGGGAGATCCGGTCGATGAGTTCGGGGCGGGTCAGCTTTGATTCGTGGCGGGGTTTCCAGTGCAGCGATTTTTGTGGACCGAGGCGCGAGAGGAGGATAGGAGAACAGGGGAATAGAGAGTACCTGAGCATTGGAAGAGATTTCAAGAGATACCATCATAGCATCGGAACTCCAGACAGCTACTCTCGGATCAGAGATTGCAGACTTTAAGGAGTTGTAGGCTTGGATTGGAGCTTGTTAATGACAATGTCCACTCCTAAGAGCATCAGCACGAACGTAGCTGCAGAAACTGATATATAAAAAACGACTTCACGCGAAATGTCGTTTTGAAATGAACTGGAAAGACCAGCGGAGTCGTTTTTTTTCCTCGTACGCTGCTTTTGAACGTGGGCAAACGGCAAAGTTGAGATTGGAAAAGACCATGAAATGTGCAAAAGCATAAAACCCACGTCCATGGACGCCCAAGGCCCAGCATTTCAAACACTTTACTCGCTTTCAAAGTTCAGAATATTGCCCAACAGAGAAGTTTTTTTTGGCCAGCAATTCAAAACACATGAGCCTACTGTTTGAAGAGCAATTTTTTTTTTTCTTTTTGTTAAAGAGAAAACACTCATCGTTAAGGGTGACCATATTACGGTTTCAGGAACTGGAACCGTCGATTCGAACCGATCCCGAACCGTAGCCGGAACCGGTGGGAACCGAAACCGGAACTAGAGATTTCCGGTTCGGTTCAGGTTCCAGATTTGTGGAACCGCAAACCGGCGGTTCCACAAAACCGATCGGAATCGGATTGGAACCGCCGATTCTCCGGTCGGTTAGAACCGCCGGTTCGAACCGGCAGTTCTAGCCGTTAGAAACTGTCAGTTTTTTTTGTTTTTTTTCAAATTTTGTTGTAAAATCTCTAAACCCCAAGAGGATACGTAGGCAACTTAATTTTTTTTAAAAAAAAAAAATTAAGTTGAAGCCCCTTTTTTTTAAATTATGTTCAAACTTTTTAAACAAAAAATGGTTTTCAAATTTTTGTTTAAAATCTCTAAACCCCAAGAGGATACTGTAGGCAACTTAATTTTTTTAAAAAAAAAAAATTAAGTTGAATCCCCCCCCCTTTTTTTTTAAATTATGGTTTTCAAACTTTTTAAACAAAAAATTAAATTCCAGTTTGAAGAATTTTTTTTAAAACAAATAATTAAGTTAAAGTCTTTTAAAAAATAAATTTAACGTGAAACCATTTTAATTTTGGTGTATTTTTTTTTTTTAGGTGTATTTTTTTTACAAATAACTTTTACAAATTTATTAAATTTTGAAAACCGGTCTTCAAAATTTAAAATTTAAAATTATGCGATTTGTTAGAAAACCGATCGGAATCGTCGATTTTGACACCGTATCGGAATCGGAACCGAAACCGGAAATTTTCGGTTCGGTTCCGGTTCCAATTTTTTTAAACCGAAACTGTCGGTTCCGGCACTGTGGCCACCCCTACTCATTGTGTTAACTCAAGGAATAAAAATCCAACGGATATCGGAAAATTTGATTCCAAATGGGTAAAATGATAGGCAGCTTGTAATAGAGTATGAGCTCCTACATTTCAATTCCTTCTAACCCACCTGATAGAAATATTCTGTCTCTCTAAAATAAAAGTTTTATAATCCATAACAATAAGGGTTTCAAGAGTACACCTAATTAAAGTTAATAATAATATCAAGTATCACTGTATCAATAAACCCATAGTTTGGTTAGAAGAAGCATATGAATAAAATAAGTCAAAGTACCAATGAACAATATTTCTAAATGAAGTTTATTTTAACTTTGAGGTTGAAAAACTAAAATAGCTATCGTTAAAAGTAATATACTCAAATACCATTTCAGAGCCGACTCTAAAAATATACTATGTGAAAACTAATAATTAATTAATTAATTAATGAAAGAAGTCAAATTATACACGTTTCTGTTGATACAATTTGTCATTTATTGTCCCAGTTCTCCATTAAATTAAGGGTATATTAGCTGCCTTACATTTACATATACTATAGATAAGGTGTCCTTTTCTCGTAAAACTGGACCCAATTCTTGGATTTAATAGTCTTGTGAGCATTATTGCACGTAGGAGGCATCATCAAAAACAAAAACTAGAAATTCGTTCTAAAGAAGCAAAAGTAAAGAAATGCACTCTGTACAGAAAAAATCAATGTCTTCAATTTAGAGGAAACCGTACCCATGAAGCTACCAAGAAACTTGTCAAACGGTCTCTATTTGTCTATTACCCCACTCGGGCAACTTCGTTGCACCTCTCTTTTTTGCCTTTAATCTCAAGCTGTCACTCAACTTTTCCTCTGCATGTAGCATATATATGTAGCTATCCGGCATTTTTCATTCTTGTACAAAAACAAACTCAATTTCATGGCAACTGCCATTGTATCCAAATCCTCTAAATGGCTACCCAGAACCCCAAGTTTTAAGCTAATAACAAGTTCTCTCCCTCGCATTATCTCATCAAAGTCCAAAACTTCTTCTAAATCCAGACCCTCTAAACAAGATGAGGAGCTTCAAATCGTTTTTCGCTACTTCGATAAAGATGGAGATGGAAAAATTTCAAGCGAAGAACTTGGCGCTTATTTCACCTCCATTGGTGAGCCTATGTCAAATGCTAATGTTCAAAGGGTGATTAAAGATTTCGACACCGACGGCGATGACTTACTGGAGTTTGGCGATTTTTATCGACTGGTGGAAGGAGACAAAATTACCGATCGCGATGATGATCTTAGAATAGCTTTTGAGGTGTTTGAGGGAGATAATAAAGGTGGTGGATGTATCACTCCGAGAGGGTTGCAACAGGCGTTTAACCGTTTAGGAGATTCAAAGTCTCTTGAAGAATGTGCTGCTATGATTAGAGTATTTGACCTTGATGGCAATGGAGTTCTTGATTTTCATGAATTCTACAAAATGATGACCTGATTACTTACTTTTGCTTTTTGTTTTTGGTTTCTTGTCTGTGTATATATTTTCTCCTAGAGTTGTTGCAGTTTTATTATGCCTTGTAAACATATCCTGTGTGTACCTAGTAATTAGCCGTTATTTCTTGTCTTTTTATGTATGGCTATTCCTGTATATATTTGTTCCTTTCTCGTGTAAACTTTTACACTGAAAACCTTTTTTTTTTTTTTTTTTTTTTTTTTTTTTTATTTGTTCCTTTCTCCGTGTAAACTTTTACAAACTGAAAAAACCTTTTTTTTTTTTTGTTTTTTTTTTTGTTTTATTTACGTTTTATATTTATCTCTTAAAAAATCATACCTTCTATTAGATTATAATAAGAAATCACAAAAATTACAAGATTAATTTAGTCTTATTTGACAACGAAGCAGAAATTTTACTTGCAAGACTAATTTATTTTTTTTTTTTTTTTTTTTTTTTTTGTTTTATTACGTTTTATATTATCTGTTAAAAATCATACCTTCTATTAGATTATAATAAGAAATCACAAAAAATTAAAGATTAATTTATCTTATTTGACAACGAACAAATTTTTTTACTTGCAAGACTAATTTATTCTCCCAATATCATTGAGAATATTTGCATTGTTTGAAATTTAATTGATGAAATTCTAATATTTATTTCTAAAAAAATTAAATAATTTGCGCACACAAAACAGGAGCAATTGCAGGTTAATGGCTTAAAAACACAAAATAAATCGGACCAAAAAAAAAACAGAGAGAAATCCAATAGGATATTCGTCGAGATTCTTCGTGGCCCTTCGAGCTGTCGATCGATGATAAGTAAGCCAAAAGACTGTTTATAACCAAACGACGTCGGTTTTGCTAACAAATAGATTTTCACTGCAACGTTTGACTAATTCTCACCAGGAAGGAACATTACGACCAATTCTGCCTTGTGCTGAAACTTCGTTCAATCAGACAGACAACTATGGGCCCAGATTTTGGACTAGGTGCACTGGTTTTTCGACCCTCAAATGGGTTGCGATAATTTTGTCTACATCAAATATTCAATCCGCATCTTTTTCAATAGATGGGGTATATTCAGGTGCTACAAAGTATAATATGGTCAATTCGACAATATAGTCTAGTATGCAATAAAGCATCAGACCTGCGGTTCTACGTAGCCAACTTCAAACAAAACATAAATCACGGGCCAGCAAAAATATGGATTTGATTAATCATAAAAGAATCTTCTCTTGTCACCATAATTATAGTATTATATTAACACTATAACTGGGTCAAATCAAGATTACTATTTTTTTTTTTTTTTTAATCTTCATAATTAATTAATGCAGCTAGCGATTGCCGCTTGGACAGGAATTTCGCGGAAGGACCTGATTTTTCGGGACAATAAGTCAATGTAACAGTTTAATATTTGCAGGTTTTTATAATCCTTAAACGCGTTTAGTTTGCTAACACCATTTTCATTATCATTTCAAATCCTAATCTTCTTATCTACCCATCATTCCATTTTTGTTTAACAAATCCATCCACCATGCATCAATTCTTGCTTTGCTTTCTCATGCTCTGCTTATTCACTTCTTTCACTTCTGCTCAACAAAACTACTCAGAAAATTCTGCACTAGACTGCAGTAGCAGTGATGAGACAGGACCATCTCCTGCATTTCTCTACACTTGCAATGGCCAATACAGATCTTGTGAGGCCTTTCTTATATTCAAAACTCAACCTTCTTATAACTCGGTTCCTGCCATCTCATCACTTGCATCTGCGAACCAGGAAGAATTAGCAAGAATCAATAATGTCACAAGACTATCGAAGTTCCCTACCAACCAAGAGGTAATAGTTCCTGTATATTGTTCTTGTTTAGACCAATACTATCAGGCCAACACTACAATTCATGTCTCAAGTGATTATCGGACTTATCATGTCATAGCAAACCAAGTTTATGAGGGATTGTCTACCTGTGCTTCTCTTAAAAAAGCAAATACATATGGTGAATTTGATTTGGGGCTTGGTCTGGAACTGCAAGTCCCGCTCCGATGTGCTTGTCCTACTGGAAGGCAAATTAAGAGTGGTATAAATTATTTACTTACTTATCCTATTAGCTCTGGTGATTACATTGCCATCATTGCAAAAAGATTCAATGTAAGTGCAACGGCTATAATAGATGCAAATGGTTTGGAAGAAAGTTCAATCCTTTATGAAGGCACAACAATTCTAATACCTCTAGCCACTAAACCTACAAGTTCTCAGACCCTAATTCATAAAGACCCGCCTGATATTTCACCTACTTTGGCTGCTACTCCTGGAAATAGAAAATCCAAGAGAAAAATTTATGAATGGATCGGGATTGCAGCAGCTTGTTCTTTCCTATTCCTCAGTATACTTTTAGCCATTCTCATATATATTTATAAAAAGAGAGCAAATAAATCTAGTGAGATCAGGCGTGAAATAAAACAGGTATTGCCAGAAGATCTTCGTGTTGAGATTGCAAGTGTTGAGCAAGTTCTGAAGGTTTTTGGACTTAAGGAAGTAAAGAAAGCAACTGAAAATTTCAGTTCGAAGAACAGAATAAAAGGTTCTGTGTACTGGGGGCAGTTTGGTGGAGAGATTTTAGCTGTTAAGAAGATGAGTGGAGATGTGTCTAAAGAAGTGAAGATTTTGAAGAGGATAAACCACTTCAATTTGATTAAGCTTCAAGGTGTTTGTGAAAATCTAGGTTGTTTCTATCTTGTTTTTGAATATATGAAAAATGGTTCATTACAAGAGTGGCTCTCAGATAAAAGATTTCAAGATATTGGAAGCTGGAGTAAGAGGATTCAGATTGCTTTAGATGTTGCTAATGGTCTTTACTATCTTCATAGCTTTACAGAACCTGCCTGTGTGCACAAGGACATCAACAGCAGCAACATTTTACTAGACAGCAATTTAAGGGCCAAGATTGCGAATTTCAGTCTTGCTAGAGCTGCAGCAAGGGGAACAACAGATGCTGCCTTAACAAAACATGTTGTGGGAACTAGAGGTTACATGGCGCCTGAGTACGTTCAGGCAGGGCAGATTACTCCCAAGATTGATGTCTATGCTTTTGGCATTGTGCTTCTGGAACTCGTAACGGGAAAAGATGCAGTTTTTATACAGGATGGAAGGGAAAATTTGCTTTCAACAGCAATAATTTCTATCATGGAGAAGGAAAATGCAGAAGCTGAGCTGGCTTCATTCATTGATCCTAGTTTCAGTGTAAGTCATGAAATAAAACTGGCTCTACACCTGGCTAGAGTAAGCTTAGCCTGCTTGACAAATGACCCAGCAAGGAGACCAGGCATGAGGGAAGTAGCATCGACTCTGTTGAAAATTCAGGTTGAATTTGAGAAATCAGAACCACTGAAAGTTGACTCTATTAATGTAGCAGTCCCAAAATGGCTTTCGTCAGTGGGTGATTGTAGAGCTGATATTTCAAAGTAGTCAGTATTTGTAAATATTTCAAAAACCAAAACTCAGACTTTCGATGCTCTTGTCAGTGGATATTCACCAATTATTAACAATTCTTCCTCTTATCTCACAGAAAAAGTCATAAAGGAGGGCTTAAAATCTTGTCAAGAAATCTCTCCATCTCAAAAATATATATATATAGCCAGAACATCCAATTAGGTCACTCTGGTCAGACCAATTATTATGATGAAAACACTTCAGATAAGTAGCCAAAAAAAAAAAGTGATCATAAAACAGAACCAATTAATAGCACCAAGTACATTTCATAAATTAACAAGAAGCTTAACAACCTACAAGACAAACAAAATAATGAATCATTGCTCGTGATTTTCACATTTTCTCAGCATTTTTTCAGCAGCAACGGTTAAGAAAATCCTTAATGTTTTTTTTTTCCCAAAAAAAGTCTCTCATAAACAAGCGGTGCACCATCAAAAAACAGTAATAAGCGCTTCTTTGGTTGCGTTAAAAACAGGACGAGAAAATAAAAGCTGACCTCAAGAGTTTGCTCTCCCGGTTCTGGGGTTAGGTTTTCCTCACAGTCAAGACAAAGAACTAGTGAGCCTGAGACGAGAGCTTCTGTTTTGTCGCGGCTGAAACGCTTGTCGTTTCGATTAACGAACCTAATTCCATGCCCACAGATACACAAAACGCTCGGTTTGTTCTTAGTTTTCAAGAATTCGGGATGGCTCAGTTGGCAGGGTTTGTTAATCTATATTAGAATGAGGACAGAAACTGAAATAAAAGAATGAATAATATCTTTCATTATACAATAAAATTTACAAAAAAATAGCTATTGAATGGCATCATAGCCACGAGACCAGAAACAAATTAGAACTGCAAACTATTCTCTAAAAGTCAACTCCTATGTGCAGTGTGCTTTGGTCTTGATATCATATTAGAAAAGACCAAAGCTTTTTTAACCGTGTAAATGAAGAAAAGTCGTGGTAAACAATTCAAGACTCGGGAATTCAATATGGAAATCCCCCCGTCATTCGAATATGATCAAGTGTCCTTTGAAGGCCATATTTTTGCACTGCTCGGTGACCGATTCTGAATCCATCTCCATATATTGGAGAAGTGTCCGATTCAATCTGATGCTTGAAAAATTCCCCGAGCTTCCTCTCAAACGGAGATCTTGTGCCCTGTCTTGAAGCTTGGTAAGAAGAGGATGATGCAGCACTGCTGCTTGAACCAGGCGTGAGTTGTGTTTCTAACCACATGTGTGCAAGCACCTGACAGATACCCTCTTCAACATCTTGACTGAGATGTTGGAAACCTTGCAGAAAAAAATAATATATCAGCACCTCCAGCGAAGGAGACTCCAGAGGCACAGTCAAAAATACATTCCAGGAACAAAATTATTTGGTTTTATCTCCCATTTGTGTTTCTCAGATTGCCCTTGATTTAAGGAGGCACTGCTCGATATTATGACTTGAATGGTAAGAAAATAAACTGATCTTATGAATCACAGAATAAAAATGCACCTTTAAGTCGCATCCATGCGTGCATCATCTCGTGAGCCAGGATTGACCCAGTAAGCAACCTGCATGAAAAGAGATTTCCAGCCATGCATCAAACATATAGCCAGCGATATATCCAATATTATACAGTAAACATCCAAATCTGCCACCAAATATGCAAGAAAGAGAATCTTTCTCAACCTTCCTCACACACCACACAAGAAGATATTTTCTATGCTTCCTCAATTCTATAGTTAATATTCAGGGGATACAACAATATGCCCTGGAAGTCATTACATAATACTTGGTAGTAAAAGTTGTCATTCTTCTATTCCCAAAAAGTTGTATGTTTGGGCCAGTTTAAGAATAAGAGCTCCAATAATATTCAGTATGAACTACTTTCATTTCATCTTCATTTGCTTTTCCTTCTTGCAGGTTTTTCTTACAAGCAATAAATTACTTACAGTTCAAAAGAACAACTACTATATGTTTTTATTTCAATGATCTTTTTTCTTGACTACACCCTCTAGTAAAAGTATGAAAGCAAAGAGAACTAAAGACTTACCTTGGGAGGCCAAACAAAATGAGAATTGCAGTCACCTCACAACGGCGTGTCAATTTGTAAGGCTCTGTTACCATGCCTGTGGCTCGGTTTCCTGCCCCAAACCTAGGCCGTCTTAGTACCTGGTAATTTAAAACCATGGTAATATAAATTTCTGGCCAAAAAGCAATATCTGAGCAAGATTCAACCAGTCCAGCACAAAATGTAAAATGAAGCAATCAAAAGTCTCTTACCCTGCTGACTGTTTGTTCCTCAGAAAGGCAAAGTCCTCTTGTTTCTGGCATGTGATAATGGCCCTGTCCGATAAAGAATTTTTAAAACCTAATAACAAGAGGTTTTTAAAAGCAAACCAAGAGCTGTTGCTTTCAAATAAACCATTTTACTCAAAAGTATGGACAGAGAGATCCCATTTTCTCCACATGTTCAATAATGCTGAACATGATAACTCTCTGCCGATTTAGACAGCCAATTGCATTTTCATTTCCTTTTTTCTAAAAAAAAAAAAAGAGATATCATATTACTGCCAACAGGGTTCACGCTGCAGAAATTCCTGTAGTGCAGTGGATGTCCACCAACCTCATTGCAGCAAATGTTTTTATGAGTTTTGTCATGATATCATCAAATATTGTTTGATTTGTAGAATATATGTAAAAGGTAGATATCTGAAGAAAGTCATGATTTGGAGCAAAAAATCATAATTCACTCAAAATTCTGTAATTTTTCCTAGTTAACTAAGAATGGTAGGCATTCAAGTGCTCAAACAGGTAGTTGATGCAAATGGCCACAGGTTTTTGGTCAATATCTAATAACCCACTTATGAACAAGGAAATCTTTTCTCTAACCATATAAGATGTTCTCAACAGATATTGACTTACATTCTTTTCCCCCTCTCTGGCTTCATTTAGTGCTTGTCTCTCAACCAAGAGCAAAGGGACAAACTGCTCTACTCTCATATTCAGACTTTCAAAAAATTCTTGTATATCAAGATAAAGGGGCTGGCATTGATTGGTTTCCATGACTGCAGAGTCCAGACACTCTAGGCAGAGCTTCCGACCATCATTAAGCGCAACATATCCTGTGTCTCGTGGCTGCATGCGTTGAGAAGATATATTACAACTTTTTGTTAGGAAACCAGATTACCAAGATTTTCCCGGGAAGCTTTCAAGAGAATGTCCATGTTTGCAAAAGCAATCATTTAACTAACCTCCATTCGTTCACAGCTGCAGCACCGAGGAGTACTATCCTGTTCATGAGATGGGCAGTATTTCTGGATCCAAAAGGGATGCGCCCTATATTCAATGAGACCAGCAGGGTTTGTTGGTATCTGTCAAAGGATATATAATCAAAAGAAGCAAACAACTGAACATGAGTGATATAGTTGAACTTAGAATAAAGGGAAAATAACAAGTCTTTATTTCCAATTCAGAAACATGTCATTTCATAGCAAAGTTTAATAATGACGTCAAAGATGGCCCCTCCAATCTATAATCTCTCTCTCTCCCCCTCTCCTTCTGGAGCAAGTTTGGTAGCACAATCTGGAGTACCATGTACAAAGTTCAACACATGAAATAACATTTAAAAGCTCAAGGAATCAACCATTCCCATAAGCTCTGTTTGGGTCCGAAAGGAAGGGGAAAATGCAATAATGACCGATTATGCATGGATAAGGTATACTTCAGGAAGATTACATAAGCTGGCAGTTGGCATTTACCAGCGAGTAGTTATAAATTTTTGGATGTCAATTCTATTAAAGTTTTACTATTTGAATCAAAATATAACTTCTGTACATTATTTTATATGGTTGCTAATTTAAAAGACCATTCTTTTTGAAACTTAAGCAAAAAAAGACAAATGATATAAGATTAGAATCAACAAAAGATTTTCTGTTTGCAGGAGAGACACTTACAAAGTACTTGCAAACATCACATTTTGGATGGTACCGCTCCTTGTAGCAAGATTTATGATAACGGTAATTCCCAGACATAGAGAACTACAGGACAAGATAGATATAAAGTTAGACACTCCACTCGACTGAAACAATGATTCTAGTAAAACAGCACATTGGAAAGAATCAACCATAAACCAAGTTATATTGACAGCATAATTAGGAGTACAGTTTGCACCTCATAGTCAGAAATGGGTTGGTTGCAGGCATGGCACCGGAAACATTCTGGATGCCAAAATGCATTGAGGCAGTTTAGAAATCTTCCATGACCAATTTCAGTGTTGCAACCAGCACAAATCCTAGCCAAATAAATTTGATAGTTTCAAAAAACCAAATTAACAAGCATTCATCAATAACATTGACAAACAAATTAAAAATAGCGTAGGACAACAACAAATGGAGGAAAAAAAAAATCAGCAAATACAACTGAGATACCTATACCCCATTGGAAAGTGGACTGGGATGGGTTGATATACATTTCCTTGATATGCATTGCCATTCCCATGATATGAAATGCCATTTCCATTTCCATATCCATGTCGCGGAGGAGATTCAACATTCAAGCTCTCTTGTATAGCTCTAGCAAGCAGTTCATCTTCTTCCAGTTGAGTCTCATTATCTATCCAGTAATTGAGAAGCTTAATAGTTGTAATTCCAATTGTAGCACATTATTGTGAGATACATATATTTGCAAAATAATAAATAATTTAATATAAAGGCACAGAAAAGACAACAATTTTACAACAAATAATTAGGTAAAATCATTCAAAAGACCTGGAAAGAAATAGATCAATTGCTTGGCATATTGAAGAACCAATGTAACTTATTGCATAAAAGGAAGTTAGGAAATGAAAACCAAACAAAATGCATAATGATAACATGAGTATCACTACTATTTTTTTTCTAAAATTTCGGGCATGAATATTTATTTGTGCCTCTTTTGAATGTCTATTGCTTTCGCGTTATGTTCCAATTGTGCACACAATTGCAAAACTAAGCTTGCAATAATCCGCCTATATTGTTTAAAAGAGGAAAAAAAAAAGTTAAGACATAATAATCATTTATATCAATAAAAGACTGATGTTAATAAATGTACTAAAGCTCTAGCATTTTTATCACAAACCCCATAGCAATACAGCTGCTGCGCATATTTACTACTGAAGAGACACTATAAAAGTATTAATTTGTAATTCCACATTTTAAGACATATATTAAGGAAATGCTATAGCCAATGGATCTTAATTTGAAAAGGAGCTAATCACCGAAGCAATGCCATGTGCAACATTAAGTCAATCATTATCTGAACAATTGCATAAAAAAGCCAGATGCGCATTATATTATGCACATTTCCATAAGGAATGTTTGCCAACTATTGTATTTTCAATAAAGAAAAAGTACCACGCAAGGTCAACCTAGTACCAAATGGATACAAATCATCACTGCATCAGCATTATCATTACCAAACCACATACTATTTCTTTGATACTGACAAAAATAATCTAGAATGTGAAGTAAAGATTTGAAAAATAACATAGTAGCATACCAAAGATGCAGTCTTTTAAGCACAACGCCAAGCAGCAAAACCCACTGGCTAGTATGAATGATAGTATCTCCTAACCAGTGCAGTTACCAATAAGATTCCCCCTAACCAAGTTGCAGTTACCAATAAAGATTCCCTCCCCCCCCCCCCCCTCCCCCCCATAATCAGTTTACTATAATTTTGTTTTCTGAGAAATACACAAGATAAACTATTATTGTTAAATAAAGGTTTTGTGAAACCACTGTGTGCAACAAATGAACTTTGATGCACATGTTTTCTCCAAGAAAAACCCCATATCAGTAATTATATTTTGTTTTTCTGAGAGTCACAAGAAAAACTATAATGTCAAATAAAGGTTTTGGAAACACGTGTGCACAAACTGATGCAATGTTTCAAGAAAAATGCAATATATATATACCTAGACTCCTAGAGCATACATAAGAACATCATTCAACAGCCACATGACTTACCAACCACACATTTTGTATTTTGATTTTCATCTAAAAGGGACTCTGCAATAGCACGATTGAAATCTTCATTCTCTTGCTCTGACCAGGCAACCTACATTCGAAATCCAAACCAAGCAAAAAAAAAAAAAAAGTTTCAAGAGTAAATTAGGAGTCATTTAACTGAGAAAGATGCTCTTAATACGGGTGTCACAGTTAAACTTTTTCAATAGCAAGGGAAGCATTATTTGATGCATCTCCTAAACTTTGTCAGCTGATTTCTAAAATGTTTGAGATTTAACAAACTGCACAAATGACATAACTCAGAGCATGATCCAAGAACCTTACAATCTAACCAAAAACACAAAAGAAAATATAAAAGGTCTAATGGCAAAGAAGTGGCATTGGTGCATACCCCGGAAGTAGAAGATGTATAATAATTTGGATCCTCTCCATAATTCCCATGATAATGGCCTTCCGAAATATTATGGCCAGAGCCTTTAAAAATTTTGCTAAGCCATTTGCTCATGGTTGATGAAGTTCTTGCCTGAAAATAAGCCATTCATATAATTATGCCAGGCAAAGTGATACAGGGAGCTGTAGTATTTCTTTTTCATGTTATATGCGAGAGTGATTAATAATTCATGAGGAGGAGGAAAGAATGTGTTCTTATGAGAAAATAAATAAAAGCATAAATTCCTAAGCAGCTTCCAATTCAAAATGATAGTTTGGAAACTCAATGCACATTGTAGATGATAGAATTAAGGAGAAAGTCATGCAATTTGCTAAAAAGAAAAAAGAAAAGAACGGAGCTGGACACGGAAGCAATCCGCAAATAAACGATTAGGCATCTAATTGGGCCTGCAATCCAGTTATTGTTTTATATGTTATAAGCAAAACTTCAATTTTCCAATGCTAGGATAGCTAAGTCTACAACTCTATTGCATGTCTCTAACAACCGTTGGAACACACGAATATATGCTGTAGCAAGCAAAACCAAGCATTGTTGAGCCCAGAATGTTTCAGCCACAAACTGTGTCTGCTGAACTGAATATCAGAACTTATAACTAGCTCTAGTCAAAAAAAAAAAAAAAAAAAAAAAAAAAACACCTGGCTGTGCGTGATACTGCAATGTATCAGAAACTTATAACTAGCTTCTAGTCAAAAAAAAAAAAAAAAAAAAAAAAAAAAAAAAGCTCTAGTCAATATACAAAAATGAAAGAATTCTCCCAGCTGAACGCTCGGCGATCAAAGTTACGACATAATCACATTCTGGATTTCAGATTTTCAGAGAGAATGAGTAAAATGTAAATATGGAAACAAACGAATCAGCGGCGGAGCGAATATTCTCACCTATAGAACGCGAAATATCAAGAGCAATAATCAAGGAACACAAGCTGCAGGAATTGAATGGGTATCAGCCAGCGAAAGGACCCAAGCTCAGATTTAGATCGCCTATCAGCCTCAAAAAAGGCACGAACAGAAATTTACCAAATTTACTATTTTATGCCCAACACACCATTTAATCTTTTGGTCAACATCTTTGGTTTGTAAATGAACCAAATTTTCGTCTAATCTCGAATCAACACCAGGTGACTCAATAGACACAAAATTGGGTATACACCGAGTCAAAAAAACGACATGGGATTAACAGAGAATGGAACGCGTAAGAGAGACAGAGTAACATGCGGAAAACGCAGATACAAATTTACGCTAAGAATTGTAGGTAGGTGGATGCTTTGAATCTCCTACGCAAAATTCAAAGTCAAAAATTTGGACAAATAAATGTTAAAAAAGATTTAAAATTAACAAATATAATGATATAAAAAAAAAAAAAAAAAAAAAAAAAAAAAGCTCTAGTCAATATAACAAAATGAAAGATTCTCCCAGCTGAACGCGGCGATCAAAGTTACGACATATCACATTCTGATTTCAGATTTCAGAGAGAGAGAAAAATAAAAGGAAAGAAACGAATAGCGGGAGGAGTAACTCACCTATAACAAATCAAGAGCAAATCAAGAACAAGCTGCAGAATTGATGGAAGCAGCGAAGACCCAGCTCAGATTAGATCCCTATCAGCTCAAAAAGCAACAGAATTTACAATTTTTTTTTGCCACCACCATTAATCTTTTTCACAATCTTTGGTTTGTAAATGAACAACCTTTGCTATTCAATCCAACACAGAATCAGAAAAATGGTCCCGTCCAAAAACGAATGAGATTAGAGATGGACGCGTAAGAGAGACAGTAACAAGAAACGCAAGACAAATACGCTAAGAATGTAGGTAGGAGTGCTTGAATTGTACGCAAAATTCAAAGTCAAATTTGGACAAATAAATGTAAAAAGATTAAAATTAACAAATTAATGATATAAACCAAAAAGGGTTTGACAAAGGATCATCAAAACCCAATTTGGTTGGGCAGGCATGTGGGGTCCCCTGTAACACTTCTAGGAGAAGAACCCAAAGAAGGTTCTCTCGGCGAGCGAGGATTATAAATTTTTCTCCCTCCCTTTTTAATTTGTTAAAGTAATGTAGTAGTTGGCTTTCGATTGATTAAGTTGAGGCGCGTCGCACGCACGGGGGTCTTAAAGCCTCAATTAAAGGTACAAAAAAACATAGGAAAAAGGTTTTATTTTTAAGAATTTAGCATAAGAAAAAGTGAGACAGTGATGAAATGTCAAAGGAAAATATTAGAATGGGACAATTATAGATTCCATCCCATTGTTAGCCCTAAATTATTGGGAATTAACAACTTTTAAGCGTGTGATAATATTTTTTTTTTTTTTGGATCAAAGCATGATAAAGTCTAATCTTTTAGTATATATACCGTTTATATTTAATACATGATTATTATTTAATTAGTAATTTAATGATAAGATTTTCATCCCTCAAATATATGTATTTTTCATAAAGTTTAATGTTTAAATTCATATCTATTTTTTTCTCTGTATCCTAAATTAAAGAAAAATATTTAAATTATATATGTAAATACCCACGAGTCGAATTATGAGCCTGATATGGTGAATATTGCTTGGAAATGGCAACAAGTATGGTATCTACCAAAATTGTATTGTTATTATTATTTTTTTGTTTAGTATTTAATTGTAAAGTTCGTATCAATAATTTTATTATTTGTATTCATTTTGAATTTCTTTAAAATCTAGATCTTATTATTTGTATTGTTTCAAACACAGCATGCTCGAAGTTACTTAATTTGGTTATGTTTAATTATTAATCTACTAAAAACATTTTATAATTTAAAAAAATAATTTATATTATTGTAAAATTAGTAATAAAAACATAAATATTCATATTCTATTTTATTAAAACATTTTGAATTCTAATTAGTGACACTATATATTTTTTTATTTTATATTTAATTAATTACTTATGTTAACAGATTTAATTAGTATGAAATTTATTAAATTCACACCTACTTGCATTTAAAAAAAAAAACCCATATCAATTTCGAATTTATTTATAAATGCTCAAATTTTATATAATTGAGTACAATACAATATTCAGTATTCTTCAATGAAATTATAAATTAAAAAGAAGCGAGAATGAGGTTCAAATCCAGAAAGGATCTTTATTTTAACTATTAGGTTGAGACTTTATTGATTTGTATGCACACAAGTAGAAATAAAACAAAACAATACAATATCACTTTTTTTCCTTGTATTAAAATGTCAAATTGGCACTATATATATATATATATATGCTTTTTCAAATTAAATTAAATATTTTCAATACTATTTTTTGTGATCATAATGCATTAAAAATTAAAATGATTCCAAATTAGTTAATTACTGAAAATTATAAATAAAGTCAGGAAAAAATACAGATAAAAAAAAAATCTTTTTCCTGTTTTTTGAGTAAACGGAAACTGTAATACAGTTATCGGATTTTGATTCAGAAAACGATTTAGCAGTTGGTAACACGCTTATAGTTTGACCAAAACTTGAGATTGATAAAATAAACTTAAATTAGATTTATAAGAACACGTGTGAAAAGTTTGACAAAAATGTCAAACTTGCAGATATGCCAAAATTAGATTGTACAATCGGACAACTCCTAAATAGTTTTCAACGTATATAATATAATTAGACGAAACTCAAGTTGAAAGGAATTTAATGAAGCTTTTTCTAACAGGAAATGATTTTTAAAAACACTGCCTCATATTTACATTAAAATGTAATATTCACCTCAGATCATAAATTTCCAATCATCTATTTTTTCTTTTTTACATAACCTGGAATATATATATAAGGGAAAATTTTGATTGCCAAAATAATATAGTTCCTTTCTTCTTCTTCTTCTTCTTTTTTCCCCCTCAAATTACTGGGTTTCCATGAACGGATGCTTCTTGTTCTCTAACTTTTAAGCAGAGGTGAGCTTTTACTGGTTTGTGATCTGAGCTATGAATACTGTCAACTGATTCGTAGCAATGTAAGCTTGCATCAATTTTGTCCACATCTTCTATCTTGAACAATATCCGATCTGTCCATGATGGGACTCGCACCTGTATATGCAAAATTATATATCTATAATATATATAACTATAGGAAAATAAATTTAGGTCTCATGGTATTCCTGTTCCATATAATAAATATAGCTGTATCAGGGAGACAAAGCTACAAGAATGAATGATGTCTGTAATTACCTTGTGACTTGTATCGTAATCGCTGCTTCCAAGATTGTACTTGTACGTTGGTTTAAATGTTAATATCCCCTCGTAAAATCCATTGAAGATTTGTCCTCTTTCTGCTTCTTGTAACAGCTGATCTTTGCTGGTGAGTGGCTGTAATTAACATGATCATTGTTACAGAGGAAAAATAAACTCTAATAGTAATAGAGAAATGCATTTTATTTGTTAGTTAAACTCACTGTGAGAAGGTCTTTCTGAATTAACCTTCTTACTGGATATGTATCGATCCCTTGAATTCTATAGTTGAGATCTCCCATCCATATGGTGATTTGTGCAGGTCTTGCATAAGGGTTCCAGTCTTTGGAGAAAAGGTTGTGTGTTATGAGTCTGAACTGCGAATTTCGCTCCTCCACGTTGCGAGCATGAGCTGCATGCATACAAATGATTAATTAATTACTCTTTAGATAATCATTTTTAAGGGAAAAAATGAGAATTATGAGTTAAAATATGATTTACCAGAAAGATGACAGGAGATGAACACCATTCTAATTCCTTTATAGTTGATGTAAATTGCTACAGCCCCTTTGGTTCTCCTAATTAATCCTCCAAGCCCTCCAACCGAATGCTTATCCACTTTCAATTCTATAAACCAGAATTTCATTTTTCAGTATAAATTACATTTTCACTAAAAAAAAATTAATGTAAGAAATCATATGTAAGGTGTAGATTATGTTTTACATATATATACTCGCCTTTGACTAATAAATCTGAGCTCACTGCTGTGAATACAAACAGCTGAAGAGATTGCATTATGGCTTTTCCTTGCAGTCTTCATCTCCAAATAAAAATATAAGACAACAAAATAATTAAGTTAACAGTGGTTTTATCAACATAACACGTAATTCATATCAATAATGGATTATTTATATTATTGATGGTCAAATATTGCTATTTTTACCTTTAGAAAATATTTTTCCAAAAATTATTTTTTATGGTTTGGTTACAATATAAAAAATTAGTTAAACAAAATATTAAATATTTTGTTGACTAATTTCTTAAGCACTCAAATAATAGAAAATCCAACTAGTTATTTTCTAGAAATAAATGGAAAATATTAATTAAAATCTAAAAAGAAAGTTTGACTCATAGAGCCTTATGTATTAAAAGTCTAATATTACCTTTTTTTTTTTTTTTTTTTGACTCAATAGAGCCTTTGTATATAAAGTCTAATATTACTTTTTTTTTTTTTTTTTCAAAAGATTCTTATTTATCAAGGCGGCATAAGATATTATTTTCAAAATTTGAAAATGATTTATAAGTATTAATACAAAAATTTTCAAGACATGTCCATCGATATAGTACTAAGATTATTAAAAATGAGTTTTTATTTTTATTTTTATTTTTAATGTTTTTTTTATGTAGGTAAAGTGTTATCTGCATTTTTAAGGCTCTTTTGGTTAGTCTTCAGAGGTTATGTTTTTGCTATATTAATTGTAGATACAAGAATTAATTATTGATAGATCTTCAGACGGATAGGGGAAAGATAGCTAATTCCTTACCTAGTGGGGTATCTGCAAAAGAACTCTGCTAACAGTCCGTCAATATTTTCGATGGTATCCCTTGAACGCGTACAACTAAGTAGATCAAATCTTCCGTGTTGCTTACCAATCAGCTTCCAGGACAAATTCTTTATAAGACACCTATTTGTAAATCATATTTAATAAATATTCCTTTTTTTTTTTTTTTTCAAAACATTCTTATTTAACAAGCGGATAAGATATATTTTCAAAATTTGAAATGATTTATCATATATATACAAAAATTTAAACATGTCCAGATATATACTAAAATAATTAAAAATAGTTTTTATTTTTATTTTTATTTTTATTTTTTTTTATGTAGGTAAGTGTTATCCATTTTGTAAGGCTTCTTTTGGTTAGTCTTCAGAGGTTAACTTTTGCTATATATAATTGTAGAACAAGAATTAATTAATTGATTAAGAACTCTTCAGACGAAGGGGAAAGATAGCTAATTCCTTACCTATGGGTATCCAGAAGAACTGCTTGCAACAGTCGTGCAATATTCTTTCGAGGTACCTCTTGCAAACCTACAACAAGTAGATCAAATTTCCGGTTGCTACCAATCAGCTCCACCAAATCTTTATAAGACACCTATTTGAAACATATAAAAAATTACCACCTACTTACTGTAAGATTAATATATAATAATCAAAATTAACGAAAACAAGGGAATATATGCAAGGTTTTCTCTACCTTCCCGTTCATGTTCCAGGTCACTAAGCAAATGCAGATATCAGAATTTCTGGAGAAATCGCAGAGACTATTCACTTTCACGCTCTTTATTCCTTCATGAGTACGGAACTCCATTTGCTCTCTCAGGAATTGAGATCTTCTAAAGAAAAATGTAAAACTTAAACAAAATCCAAATTCCATTCTCTCTTTAATTCATTAATTTCCTTATAGCAATACATAAGTAAACGATATGTACGTACCTTTTAGCTGCAGGAAGAGTTGCATTGCAATTTCCCATTATTTAATTGCTAAATCAAGCACAGGATCAGGCCATGCAGTGTTTTGATAGAAAGGTAGAGAGAGAAAGACAGATTGCTCGTTTGACCTGGCGACGTTGAGATTTTATATTGAAACGGAGATATTGAGCTTTTGGCGGTGAAGAAGTTATGGGAAAAAAAAAAAAAAAATCAAAGTCAAAAGAATACGAGTATTTACAAACTTTTCCTTCCTTACTCTTCAAAATGATTTGTATCTAAATTGATAACCAAATTTCCAATTGGTAGGTGGGGCATTATTGACAATACAAACAAGTTAAATCCAACTTGAAAAGGACCACATTTTTCCACCTCATCGTAACCAATTATACAATTATAAACGACAAACGACACCCACCCATGATATCGTATTACTTGCAAGTTGAAGCTGTATCACTAAAATTAATTTCAGGCATCAAAAATGTCAAACGAGTTCTGAAACTTAGCAAAGTGGTTTCAAATTAAACATTAACCTGGAGAGATCTGTTATTTAGTTCCTGGTATGCATGAAATGTGTGCTATGTGTAATCCGATTGTGGTTTTTCCTTCATAAATGATTTTTGGATCAAATTGGTAAAAAGAACACAGAAAAATCAAAACGTCTACGTGTTTTCTTCCCCCCAGTCCCAATATCGGAAGTACCATATTGTCAGCAAGATGTACAAGGTTTTTGTTGTCCAATTTTAATACTTGCATCGGATGAATGAATGTTTGTGTGTCTATATATATATATGAAACACATGCGAGAGTTATGATTGCTATCCAACCATGATAGACAAGAGTGTGATAATCTAGCAAGAAGTCTCCGCTCTTGAATTTAACTGCGATGAATGAATGTTGAACTTAGTATGAAGGTTATATAATATATATTTATTTTTTCTATTAATTAGTTTCAATTCACAAAAACATTTTTAGTATTTTTAAATCAAAATTTATTAATTTTATTGAGCTTTTTTTAGAGTATGCTTTACATTAAAGTTCAATTAATATTTAGAAAACAATATTTTAGACGCCCTAAAAATAAGGTTGAGGTGATGTTTAATTGTTTTAAAATTTTTTTTTAAGATATTACTTTATGACTAGTCGTAAAACCCATCACAATTCACTAGCCATTCGTACAAGAAATCTAGTAAGAGAAACGCTAGAACAATATAAACTCTCATGCCGTGTTTTGTTACGCTACAGTATTCAATAAATTATAATATAAAAGAATTTTGACAAAGTTTACCACCAATCCATTGTCGTCTAGTCCGGTTTAGGATACCTGGCTTTCACCCAGGCGACCCGGGTTCAAATCCCGGCAATGGAATTAAATTTTTTGTTTCCTCCCATTTTCTCTCCCGGGCCAGAATTGAATGACATACGCGGTCTGTACCATCCCATGCTCTCAGTTTTTTGCTCTTTTCTGCTTCGGTTGATTATTGCGTTTCGTCACTTCTTCGATTCTTCCTCTTCAGGTAAAATGTGAAACGAAAAACCCCTTTGAAACAGTTTTGTTAGATCTGATAGCTCCGTTGTCCGTACGCAATCTGATTACGTTTCTTTTTACCCTAAACAAACCAGTTGAATTTGTCTCTTCTTTAGTGATGTCGGCGCCCGTTTTTTAAGTTTGAATTCTCTCTTCCAACACTGTAATACAATTCTCAAAAACTGCTCCCCCATTTTTTGCCTTGTGAATTTTTCGTTAATGTTTGATTATTTATTTTATTTTATTTGCCATTTGTTTGGTATTCTGGATAGCCATTGCAACAGTTAATTAATTGTTATGTTGATAGGATTATTAATTTCTTAGAAGTTACTTCAAGCTGCTTACTCATAATTCCCGGAATTTGGACGTTAAGATTACAATACGTAGCAATAATCTTGCTTTGCTTGGTGAATTAGATTTTGAGCCATACTATTAACTCAAGCAAGAAGCTCGTGATGGTTTGGCAATCTCTGTGGGAAAATCGAATAAGATGGTGAGTTACACTTTTTCTTGTTTTTTATTTTTCCCCTTTTGTTTGGCTTACTCATGCTGATGCTTTTTTCAAGAATGTGGCGTACTTGTTTCTTAGCATGCTGATGCTTTTTGGTGATCGTAGTTGTATTTCTAACTCTTTTTGTGCAATAACATTAATCTGTTTAATTCAATGGATATTTGTTTTATATGCATTAAGCAATGACATAAAACTGTAGGCATAATGGAAATGGTTCACTAATTTGTGTGTCGAAGGTGGGGAGGTTCTTCTTGTACCTTGCAGAATAATAGTCCATTAGTTAACTTGGCTGAACCTCCATTCAGCTTTATCTGCTTTTAGATTATCCCCCAGTTTTGCAATGTCTATCAAAAGTTGGGATATATTTATGCAATAGATGATTTTTCAGAGTCTTTTTTTTGCACTTCATTACTGGATACCTGTTCTGCTGGAGCTTGTCCATATTGCTTGCATGCTCATTCTTCTCAGAAATTGTACTTTCACAACTCTAGCTTTGTTAAGATTACTGTTTGAATTGCAATTTCAACTGTAATATAACATGTTTTTGTGTTGCCAAGTTTTGCATCCTTTGATTTTGAATTCTATTTGAAGCGGTCAAAGAAAACAAATTAATGATAGGATTGCATAAACCATGTGATATTCACGGCAGTAGATATTAATTTTTCTCAATATGCATTCAGTCACTAGTATCTTTATTGAGGACTTGGTGGGATTGTACATACAGTTATTGATTATTGTGTGCATGTGTTCGTGAATGTGATGATCCTCCTGCCGATACGACATTTGGTAACTTCAAATATATTTCATGTTGCATGGGGATGCTGCCTTTATGTTTGAATATCTGACCATAACAGATTGAGCTAGTGCCACTGGATGACTAGATCAGCATTTCCTAATCTACTTATCTACCACTATCCATGGCACTTATTTATGTATTGTATTGTATATGTTGGTTCGAATAATATATGCCTCTGTAACTATTCCAGCATCCAAAGCGATATGCCTGATAGCTTTCTGAGAAACTCTAGTTCTGTATTTATTTTCTCTTTGCTCCTAAGATTGATGAAGGGACTAAGAATTGGAGAGAATCTTTTGATTGCTTATCAGAATATTGTCTTGGTGAAGTGTGAATCATGAATGATAATCTTTTACCCATTCTAATATACACTTCTCTCGTGATTCACTAAATGGCATTTCTTTCCTTTACTGTTAATGTTTATTGGTTTCACGTTTTTCTTGGCAATTATACAGGCAACAAATAACCTTGTTCTCCATAATCTGTGTATATGATAACCGAGTTTTTTCCACCTTGAATATGTCAGAAGCACAGAGAACCACCCAAATTTCCTTGCTTAGAGACGGAGATAGACAGAATCAGCAGCTTACCCGGGCATGTTTTGGACCAAATTTTATCTCAGTTGTCAATTAGAGATGCAGTGAGAACTAGTGCTTTATCTAGGAAGTGGAGGTATAAATGGGCTAAAATTCCACATCTTGTGTTTGATAATCAGTGTGTCCCAAATCCCTCTCAAGATCAAGCTCTCATCAAGAATAAACTTGTCAACATTGTTGACCATGTCCTCTTACTTCATAATGGTCCAATACACAAGTTCAAACTCTCTCACCGAGATCTTCTCGGTGTCAGTGACATTGATCGATGGATTCTTCATTTATCAAGAAGTTCTCTCAAAGAATTCATACTTGAAATATGGAAGGGCCAACGCTACAAAGTGCCATCTTCTTTATTCTCTTTTGAACATCTGATTCATTTGGAGCTGTTTAATTGTTTGCTAAAACCTCCTTTAACATTCAAAGGCTTCCGGAATTTGAAGAGCCTTGACCTTCAGCACATTACTCTGACCCAGCACGTGTTTGAAAATCTAATTCTTAGCTGCCCTCTGCTTGAGAGGTTGACGTTGATGAACTTTGATGGTTTCACTCACCTTAACATCAATGCTCCAAATCTTCAATTTTTCGATGTTGGAGGCGTTTATGATGACGTTAGTTTTGAAAATACTAGTCATTTAACTCTAGTTTCTATTGGCTTGTATGTGAATGTCAAAAATGACCGAAATGTGGTTCATGGGAATTCCAGTAAGCTGCTCAGGTTCTTTGCTAACCTGCCTCACATCCAAAGGCTTGAGGTTCAGAGTTACTTTCTGAAGGTAATGGTTATTCTAACATCATTCATGGAAAATTTCCCTGGAAGTATTAATAGTTTATGAGGATATATGTAGGAGTAGAAATACATAAAACAGCACATCTTTGGATATGCAGTTGGTTCTCACTACCTTGTTGCAGAAATGGCACTTTTTAGATCTCATTTTTCAGTATTTATATCATTGCCTTTATTTACGTCCACTGCAGCGATTCATGTTTTAGTGGACTTCTGCACGCCACCTGGTATTTATTTGAGATTTATGGTGTCTTTTATTTGCTCCAGTATTTGTCTATTGGCAACGTGCCAGGCAGATTGCCAAAACCATGCATTGATCTGAATTACCTTTCTATACGCATAAATTTCAATGATATAGAGGAGAATTCAGCTGCCTTGTGCCTTTTAAGAAGTTCCCCTAATTTGCAGGAGCTGGAGATGCTGGTAAGATTCTTTTATGTACTTGCGTGAAATGTTAGCTGGATCTATAGTTTGATAGTAGCCTTTTATTTTTCCCCTCCAATTTATTGCCTGCATTAATATCTTAGCTGTGAACTAGATATGGAGGAATTTGGAACTTTCTAATGTATCAGAGCTCATGTAGGCTCGCCCGGAGGAACAGACTTCTATGGTTCCAATAGCTAACTTTTGGGAAGATGACCATTGGAACAGCTTATTTGGCCAATTACGACTTGTGAGAATTGTTGGCATTTCTGGTGTCCGATCTGAACTTGATTTCATTAACTTTATGCTTTCCAACTCTCCTGTTCTTGAGAGAATGACTGTTAAACCGGCTTCCAGTGATGGGGGATGGGAGTTGTTAAAAGAGTTGCTGCGTTTCCGGCGAGCCTCTGTCCGAGCAGAAATCATTTATCTTGATCCATAACTACGGTTATATAATTTGGCAGCCATTGACATAATGCATTACATGTAAAAAGAAATGTGAATTTGTGAGTATACATAACGCATTATGTCACTAAGGTCAGTTTGCTATTTTCTATTTGAGTATAAATGGCCTTGGCCTTGTATAACAAACAAGCCTCAGCAGTATTAACCGAATTTCATTTTGCTTAGATGAATAATTATCAATTAAGTTTGTTTCTTTTCACTTCTTTCTAGAGCCTGAGAAATTTTCACGGGTTATTTGGCTTCTCTCACTTCCATCTCTTTCCCTTCACCTTTCAAGTTTCAATGTTTCTTGTCACAATAGGCAATATTTATGCCATGTCCATGCAAATTTTCTTTTTTTAAATATGATGGCTCTATGTTTGTCTGTACGTCATATATTGTGGTTTATAATTAGTTTGACAGTCGGTTACAATAGCACAATGAAAAATGTTGGGTACAAATCTAGATTCATGCGAACCTTTTCTTTTATTTAAACAAAAGGTATGAATAAGACCAAGCAGGTAACTATTGCTTATGTTGCAGAAAAGGAGATGGTAGCCGCAAAATCAGAAAAAGGATAGTTGGAGCGGAGCTGATTTTAACATCGGGCAGGCCATTAATAATTGAAGATTAAAAAGAACATTAAGGGAAGTTTGGTCCAGTTGATAGAAATTTCATCAATTGCTCTATTAATTACTATCTGATCTTATATTTATGTTATACTTGAATTCTATCGGGTTTTATAAAACTAATTATTTTTAGAACTATTTATTCTTCAAATTAATATTTTTATGTGAATATCTTACTAATTTACAATTATTTAATAATAATAATAATAATAATCAAATATTGTTATAAAAAAGTTAATGAAATTTATACAATACATTGAATCAAAAATAATATATTCAATTTTAAAAAAATAAAAAGATATGATATGCGATAATAATATATTTATTAACCACTACTAAAATTTTATCAAGACAATCTCTATCTCTATTCGAGCCATAAATCAAATGCGTGTAAATATAATTTTTGACGTTAATTCACCTACCATTCGTGTTAAATCCTAGCTGAAATTTTGACGGATATGTTTGGAAATTTGCTCACGCAGCTTAATTTGTATGGACTATGCTGTTCTCTTTCAGCAAAACCATCCTGGTATACGTATACCTATAACCTTAAAAACCTTAAAATATACACTGAAAGGGACTGTCACGAGTCACGAGTCACGACGCCGGTATACCTATAACCCCTTCGGGGCTAAGTGCAATTCCAGTAGAGAAAGTAGATCATCCCATTTTTTTTTTTTTTTCTCAAAGAAAGTAAATTCCTTGGATACGGGAAAGAAAGTTGCATTTTTCTAATTAAGTATAATAAATTTATTATATTATTTAAATTCACTTAAATTTATAATATGAATATTACTGTAATTTTCTAGTTTGAGAGTAATTTATTTCCTAAGAAATTGATTTACATACGAATACAAATTATAATTCTGAGAAATATAATTTCTAGAAAATCAGCATTTTGGACCAATGGAGGCTAAGATGGAGTTAAAAACCAAAAAAAGGTAAAAGTAAAAAAGTAAGTATTTGTTTTACATTTTTTAGAGGAAAAAGTCGGCCAAATAAAAATTTTTGAATTTTCATTGATCACATTAAATCGCTGCATTCTTTTTAAAAATCATTTAAAAATTGATATTATTATTAACTAGATAAAATTGAATATATGGAAGACAAGAGTAAAATTGATACTAGTCGTAATGAGTACAAGAGATGAGAGGGTCGTGACTTCTAGCTCGGAAACTGACAAGTTACTTTAGAACCAGAATTTCAAACTTATCTATATGATAGGTGAACCGAATAATTTATGTATTAACAACAAACCTTCATTCATTTGTCATCAACGTCGTCCACAAATAACTGTAACAACCTTTCAAGAAAGTTTGCTGCTGATTTAGTCTTGGCTCTATTTACCTACCCGGTAATCCAAGAACGACAGATCATTAATCATTTAACTTAAAGCCTCCCTCAGTCTCTACCACTTGAATACTTGATTCAGGGAACCAAATCTTTTTGTAGTAAATGTCTAATATCTATAGCACAGAAGCCGTGGCCATGGAAACTCCACTTCTTGATAACCATAACAATGGCGATCAAGAACACAAGCCTGTAAGCACTATTAAAGAGTTTGGAGAAGAGTCAAAAAGGCTATGGAAGCTCGCTGGCCCTGCTATTTTCACTGCTATATGTCAATATTCGCTTGGCGCACTTACTCAAACTTTTGCAGGCCTTGTCGGTGAGGTTGAACTAGCCGCCGTCTCCGTTGAGAATTCCGTTATTGCTGGTCTTGCCTTTGGGGTTATGGTCAGTCTTCTTCTTCTTTTCTTTTTCTAATTACTCTTTTGTTTAAAAATTAAAATTAAGTAAACTAATTTCTGTGTTGAATGGTGCAGTTGGGAATGGGAAGTGCATTGGAGACACTGTGTGGGCAAGCATATGGTGCGGGCAAGCTGAGAATGTTGGGTATATACATGCAGAGATCATGGGTCATTTTGTTGACTACTGCATGCTTATTGGTTCCTGTTTATGTTTGGTCTCCTCCTATTCTAGAGCTCATTGGAGAGACTACAGAAATCTCTAATGCTGCAGGTCACTATTCTTTCCTTTCTTCTTCTTCATCTTCTTCTTCTTCTTTTTTGTTTTTACGACATAATTTTTCTTTTACTCTTGTTGACTAGTTGAACCTTTGGCTTATCTATTGAAAGAAAAAAAAACAAAAAAAGAAGACCCTCATTGGTCAAAATCAAAACCTTATCTCAAAGTATGAGTGGTAATTGAATTATCTAAGAGCTACAAGATTGCAAATTTAAATCTTAATCAAAACCTGATTAGAGAAAACAACAAGATTAGAACTAAACAGCAATAGTATTTATTTATTCTATTTCTTAAGAGATTTTTTTTTTTTTTTTTTTAATATTGAAGAACTGAAATTAATCTTAAAGGTCACATCCAAGCCTACTTTATGTTTACTTATACAGAATCAGAATGCTTAGTGCTTACTCCTGAATGGGGCATTTGTCACAGGGAAATTTGCTTTGTGGATGCTTCCACAACTGTTCGCTTATGCAATGAACTTTCCAATTCAAAAATTCTTGCAATCACAGAGGAAAGTGTTTGTAATGGCATGGGTATCAGCTGTAGTACTTGTTTTGCACGCAATTTTCAGCTGGTTACTGATTCTGAAGCTTGGATGGGGCTTAACTGGAGCAGCTATTACTCTCAACACTTCATGGTGGCTCATAGTTATAGGGCAATTATTATACATTTTCATTACCAAATCAGATGGCGCTTGGAGTGGATTCTCATGGCTTGCATTTTCTGACTTGTGGGGTTTTGTCAAGCTTTCTTTGGCATCTGCTATTATGTTATGGTAAAATATAAAATTTCTTTTTTCCTCTTCAAATTTTCTTTTTTCCACTGATACTGATGATCTTATTGTACAAAATTGAATTGCAGCTTGGAGTTTTGGTATTTGATGATACTAGTGGTTGTAACGGGTCGTTTGCCTAATCCTCTCATACCAGTTGATGCCATTTCTATCTGGTAATTGCCTTCTTTTCTCTATTCTCGATAATGAATTGCTTTATAAATTGGCTGTATGTTCATAAAGATGATTACTTTAATCAAATTTTTGTTTCTACATATATATATTTGCAGTATGAACATACAAGGATGGGATGCAATGATTGCACTTGGATTCAATGCTGCTATAAGGTGATGTGTCTTCATACTAGAATTTTGTTCTGCACATTATTAGCTAGCAACTGGATACATATTATGAAAAGCTCATTCTTGTTTTTATCTTACAGTGTGAGAGTATCAAATGAACTTGGAGCTGGAAATTCTCGGCTGGCGAAATTCTCTGTGATAGTAGTTTCTGTGACATCCATATCAATAGGAGTTGTTTGTATGGCTGTGGTTTATGCAACAAGAGATTATTTCCCTTACCTCTTCACTACAAGTGATGCTGTTGCTAAAGAAACTACTAAACTTGCTGTCTTACTAGGAGTTACCGTACTTCTAAACAGCCTTCAGCCTGTCTTATCAGGTAAGCATCAAAAACCTGATCAGAAATTTCATAAATGACCATGTAAAATGTTAATTTTTTCTTTTCTCCCTATTTGTTAAATTTCCTTAAGGCGTTGCTGTTGGAGCTGGATGGCAAGCACTTGTCGCATACATCAATATTGCTTGTTACTACATTGTTGGATTGCCGGCGGGCATCGTCTTGGGTTTCACATTTTCTTTTGGCGTTGTGGTAAACTATATATGTGCTCTGCAACTTCAATTATAATTTCTTCAACAAAAGGATATGCAGATTCATTTCTGATTTTCTGGGTTGCAGGGTATTTGGTCAGGGATGATTGGAGGAATTTGTTTGCAGACAATAATCTTGATTGTAGTCACTTCAATAACTAACTGGAAAAGAGAAGTCAGTTCATCTACTCTTTCTGCATTTCTCATTCCTTCTAAAATTTTCTTGTTTATTCTTCCTTCTAAAATTTCTTGTTTATGCAGGCTGAAGAAGCAGAGAGCCGTGTGAAGAAATGGGGAGGATCAGCTGGAGAGCATTGATCTGAACAGAAAGTTACAAAATTTCAGAAGATTAAGGATGGTGATTGTTGCTCTTGCGGAGAAGGTGGGAGGCTAACAAATCATGTGTTAACTCGTTCAAGTTAGCAGAAATGAATTCTTAGATTGTAGCTATAAATTTTTCTTTCTACACTGTTTGCACCAATCAAGAATCTTGATGTAGTGAGATGGCTCTAATTAAGTGTATCGCCTCAGCTGAAGTAACATCTGCAGCTTTGTAATTCAGAAATTGTGATACATCAATTTTGTTGTTTGCAATAACGGATTTATGTTTCTTTTTATTTATTAGATTGTATCCTTTTGTTAAGTAGAACCAATAGGTGTTAAACCCCTTCTAATTTCATATCTGAAATGGTGTTTATTTTTTATTTTCAATAGGTGTCGTTTTGACTTTTCATTTTAGCATTGCCGTTTTTGTTTTCTCTAAACGCTATGGATCTTTTTCATTTATGACTTTTGTATGGTTGTTAATTTCATTTTTCTCCTCAACAAGAATTTTTTTTTTTTTCTCATTTGCTAAAATTTTCAACATTTTTTTTGATTAATTGTCAGTTATTATTTTATTTTTAAAATGTCATTTGCTCGCAGAGATCAAAAGCAATAAATGAATTCTTGAAATTGAATTAATCTCAGTCTCTTGAATAGAAAATAATGATAATAATACAATCAAATCAAGAGCAATTTTATAACTTTTTAAGTACAATAAAAAACAATTTTTATTGGAGAAATTGTATTTTATTTCTTCAAATTGATAAAAATTAAATAAACTATTTAATTCAAATTAGGTTAAGAGCATGATAAAATTTTATATTTTGCTCTTTTTTTTAAGTCAAAGCTATCATAAATGTTTTATAACTTTTCTCTTTATTATTCAAAACTAATTGTTCATGGATCACACACTTTATTAGTTTTAATTACTTTCTTTTTTTATCGATCATTATATAATTTTATTGTATTTTTTCACTAATATTTTTAAATATTTCAAAAATTTTACTTTTGAATTTAATTATTGTATATTAGAATTATTAAAAATATTTTTCATATAATTACTGGGCAAAAAATTAATTGCCATTAAATGAAAATATTGAATAATATTATAAACATTTATTTTAATAGGAATAATCAAAACCAAATGAAATTCCATGTTATAATTTTATTAAAATCTAAAATTTTATAAAATTAATTGATATCAAATGAATTCAAATACATATTTGCAATGTTCGTAGAAATAAATTTCAACTTTCTCTCCTATGACATTGTAATTATATCTTTTTTCTTCTCAAACGTGGTCGTTTCCTTCCATAATACGACACCGATTCGACACAGGCATTGTAATCAACCTGCCAAACGTTATCCCCTTAGACCGGTTCCTCACCCGCTCAAAATCCTCCTTCTACATCAGTTTCTGTCACTGAACTCTATACTCTTTCGCAAAGGAAGAGTTCAAAGAAAATCAAATTAAAATGTCAATCTCAATCTCCTCCCTCACCTCATCCTTGTCTTCGCTTTCATTCTCATCACAAATTTCGCAAAAACCAAACAGTTTCTCATTTCCACAATCGAAATCCCTTTCCCTCTCCCTCTATTCGAGACCTGTTCGTCTTCGTGTATTGGCCACCGTTGCCTCTCCCGTCGAATCCGAAACTCAAGACTTGAAGAAATTAGTTAAATCAAGGCTCCCCGGTGGATTCGCCGCCCAAACTATCATCGGCACGGGCCGCCGTAAATGCGCCATTGCTAGAGTGGTTCTTCAAGAAGGCACAGGCAAAGTTATCATCAACTACCGTGACGCGAAGGTCTGCTCTGCTCTCTCTATCGCTGCCTGCTTTAAGTTGTTTAATTTGTTTGATTTGCTATAGGGATGTCGGAACGACTACAGTGTTTAATTTGTTTGGATTACTTGATCCATATTTCATCTGTCTATTTCCCTGGACATTGCAAATCCTAACCATAGATTTGTGGATTATGGTTAGGAAGCACACTTTTTTAGTACAGAAACATATATCTTTTCCTGCTTCTGTAGTGCTTTGGAATAATGAACTCAAAGGCATTTCTTTGGTATTCTTTTATGAGAAGAAATCAAGAAGACATTGCTAGACGATAGTTTTAACTCTACAATTTTATGACTTTGTATAGGTGTTTTTCTACGGGAAATTATAGTTTTAACTCTATAATTTGATGACTTTGGGTAGGTAATTTCTGTCCATAGCTACAATCTGCGTTAGGATGGTTTTAGTCCTTTTCAATGTCGTATATTTATGATCTGTTGTGATCACAGGTTTGTTAATTACATGCTGTTTTGAAATCTTCTAAGCATGTACCATCAATTTTCTTTCAATTAGGAGAGCTCTTTAGTCATCCATACATCAGAACATGTTGTAGTACTTTTCCCTTCTTTACCATTTTGTATTTGTATATATACAGCATAATATTCCTCATGCTGTTCAAAATTAGTGCTCTGCTGATAACAAGGTCAACTGTTCAAGCTTAGAGGAAACAGGTTCCAATATTTTATTGTGTTATGGGATTCATATCCTGGTGGGCTTAAGTTCAGAAATTTTGCATGGATTTTTATGTTACAGTATATTGTGTGTTTTCAAACATGCTTGGATAAAGAGGGGAGGAAATGGTTAATCTTTCTGATTCTGATAGATTCACTTTGTAGTTACCAAATATTTATCTGCCTTGGCTGTCTGGTGTCTATTTTTCTTTCGTACATTATATGATTTATGTTGGCCTATTTGTTTAACAATTATACTCTACACTATGCCCTGGTAGAAAATTGTGGACTATTTAAATATGATGTTCCTAACCTGATACACTTTCTAGGCATCATAATTTATGAATGTTGAATCGTTGATTGTTGTTAATGTATAATTTTTTTCAAATGATTGCTTGTTTCCTTAATGACTTGTGCATTTGTCAAATTTTATTTATAGATTTTTAGAAACATCTGTGTGGAAAATTTGCATGTTCTATAAGTATATTTGTTGTCCTTACAGCTCTCCTGGTGCACGGAATAGTTACCTTATCTCTTGATTAAGTTTGCTTTGGGTTTATATTCCCAACTTCCTTTGCGCACTTGAATGACCGGTCCCTTTTATGCTCTTACATATAGTACCATTTTGTCTACAACTACCGTGACGCGAAGGTCTGCTCTGCTCTCTCTATCGCTGCCTGCTTTAAGTTGTTTAATTTGTTTGATTTGCTATAGGGATGTCGGAACGACTACAGTGTTTAATTTGTTTGGATTACTTGATCCATATTTCATCTGTCTATTTCCCTGGACATTGCAAATCCTAACCATAGATTTGTGGATTATGGTTAGGAAGCACACTTTTTTAGTACAGAAACATATATCTTTTCCTGCTTCTGTAGTGCTTTGGAATAATGAACTCAAAGGCATTTCTTTGGTATTCTTTTATGAGAAGAAATCAAGAAGACATTGCTAGACGATAGTTTTAACTCTACAATTTTATGACTTTGTATAGGTGTTTTTCTACGGGAAATTATAGTTTTAACTCTATAATTTGATGACTTTGGGTAGGTAATTTCTGTCCATAGCTACAATCTGCGTTAGGATGGTTTTAGTCCTTTTCAATGTCGTATATTTATGATCTGTTGTGATCACAGGTTTGTTAATTACATGCTGTTTTGAAATCTTCTAAGCATGTACCATCAATTTTCTTTCAATTAGGAGAGCTCTTTAGTCATCCATACATCAGAACATGTTGTAGTACTTTTCCCTTCTTTACCATTTTGTATTTGTATATATACAGCATAATATTCCTCATGCTGTTCAAAATTAGTGCTCTGCTGATAACAAGGTCAACTGTTCAAGCTTAGAGGAAACAGGTTCCAATATTTTATTGTGTTATGGGATTCATATCCTGGTGGGCTTAAGTTCAGAAATTTTGCATGGATTTTTATGTTACAGTATATTGTGTGTTTTCAAACATGCTTGGATAAAGAGGGGAGGAAATGGTTAATCTTTCTGATTCTGATAGATTCACTTTGTAGTTACCAAATATTTATCTGCCTTGGCTGTCTGGTGTCTATTTTTCTTTCGTACATTATATGATTTATGTTGGCCTATTTGTTTAACAATTATACTCTACACTATGCCCTGGTAGAAAATTGTGGACTATTTAAATATGATGTTCCTAACCTGATACACTTTCTAGGCATCATAATTTATGAATGTTGAATCGTTGATTGTTGTTAATGTATAATTTTTTTCAAATGATTGCTTGTTTCCTTAATGACTTGTGCATTTGTCAAATTTTATTTATAGATTTTTAGAAACATCTGTGTGGAAAATTTGCATGTTCTATAAGTATATTTGTTGTCCTTACAGCTCTCCTGGTGCACGGAATAGTTACCTTATCTCTTGATTAAGTTTGCTTTGGGTTTATATTCCCAACTTCCTTTGCGCACTTGAATGACCGGTCCCTTTTATGCTCTTACATATAGTACCATAGACAATAAACCTTCTCCAGCTGATATAGACGAGGAGAAATCTATGGCTCAACTCTGACTGGCACCTGTTGTGGCATGACCATAAATGATGCCTCATTTGGGTTCCTATGAATATACCTAAGAAGCTCTTTCTGTGTCCTAATGTTTATATATTCCGAGTAATTGGGTTTTTGGATACTGTGCAGGAATATCTTCAAGGGAATCCTTTATGGCTTCAATATGTTAAAGTCCCATTGGTAACTTTGGGGTATGAGAATAGCTATGATGTATTTGTCAAAGCTCATGGTGGTGGCCTCTCAGGTCAGGCACAGGCAATCTCCCTTGGCATTGCCCGTGCATTGCTGAAGGTGAGTGAGAGCCACAGATCCCCTTTGAGAAAGGAAGGGCTTCTCACCAGGGACTCGAGAATTGTTGAGAGGAAGAAGGTTGGTCTGAAGAAAGCTCGCAAGGCACCCCAGTTTTCTAAACGTTGAGTTGCAATTCACGGTTATATGTCTATTATAGGCTTTTGTTTATATACATTCTTTTTCGTTGTGCATGTAAGCAAATCATGTTACTGTTTTTGGGTTCAGAAATTTTGTACTTTGAACGCTAGTGGAATGTTGAAAAACTTTTGCTATTTGATTTTATTGGCACCAATTCTTCGCCTGGAAGGCAAAGACTAATCACGTTGTTTGGGGGTCCAGACCGATGGTTAACAGGTTTGATTTAAGACGAGGTATATTCTACGCCAGTGAAGAGGATAAACAGTAATGATTTTCAGCCATTAGATATGGTTTACAACCGAACCTAAAACGACGTCTAACTTTCAACCTTATTTTGAGGTTACGTTGAAGGACAAAGCTCAACCAGTGTACTAGTGGTTCAATGGCTCTCTAGAGTTCAGACTGTAATCACTGTCAGAGTTTCAATTTCCCAATAAAAATGAAACATCTTATAGAGGTTTAATGATCCACCAAGACTTTTTAGACCCTTGTACGACTTTGTCTTGGACTCTAAACTAACTGACGAAAGCAAAAAGTGCGAAGTTCTGGATAATTTATGTATTTAATTTTTAACAGTAAGTAATAAAATATTTTGAGAATTGAAATTTAAAGGCGTGTACGCAAATATGTCAATTGGTAGCTTTTGACCTCCAACGCTTTAAACCCACGTAGCTTTTGGTATACAAGTCACGCTATTTCGTAGTATATGAATATAGCAACTAAACCAAACAAATTACAAAAGCAAAGTCGACTAGTTTGATTATGGCAGCCAACCGGCAAAATTTCCTCAAATATAAATTGATTAAAATACATTACAAAAACATAGGTCAGTCGCAGTAACAGCCCAGCAGCGTTACAAATAACGGAACCACCAAACCATGAGGAGCTCGAAACTTAGAAGAAATCTTTCGCCGTCAAATTTTTGATCAAGAAGAAAGGGTTCTGTTCCGTTAACGGGAAAGTCGTTTTTCTACTGTAGATAATACATCAACAAAGAAGCTAAAACCAAACCCAATTCAATCTACCATTGACGTGATCATCACCAAAACAGGGTTTTTCTTTCGTTTTTATTCAATCTTTACCCAGAAAATTGATCTCTGTTTCTTCTTTCCTTAATTAAATGCATGTATAGTCCAAAAAAAAGGCTAAATGGGGGATTATGTGAGTAGCGACGATGATTATTATCAAGATTACCAGGAGTATTATAATGATGATGAAGAAGATTCTGTAGATGAGTTTCCAGTCGACAGTGACGTAGTGGCAGCCAACACGAGCAGTCCCTCTTCTAAGGTAAGGATTTTGGTTTCAGAATCTTTTTGCGGTAACTTTTGTTTCAGGATTTTGGTGTCTTTCCCTCTAATAATTTATTAGTCAAAGAATTGCACATGTGAATACATGTATACGACAAATTGGGCAGGTTGATTTTTGAGGATTGATTAACTTCAACTGTTCAATTCCCAGAATTTTCACAATGTAATAAGTGTAGCACAGGATTTTCATGTTGTAATTGGATTTTTCTTTTATGATCATTATTCCTGGTTTTCAGTTTCAGATAACGCTTCTTCAATTTGTTTCTTTGCAGGTGATCACTAAAGAATCTCTCTTGGCTGCACAGGTGACATGCCTACCATTACTAGTTGTTAGTTTAATAGTAATGGTATTGTTTACAGTAATATGTTTAATTTTGCAGAGGGAGGACATTCGCAAAGTAATGGACTTGCTGTCACTGCAGGAGCATCAGGCTCGGAGTTTGCTCATCCATCATCGTTGGGACATTGATAGGTTGCTTCAGTCTCTAATAGAGATTGGGAAAGATAAATTGTATGCTGAAGCTGGAGTGACAATCATGGATCACGATGGCCTAATCATCTCCCAGTCACCATCTGTAGTCCAGTGCACTATTTGCTTTGATGATGTATGTGCTACTGAGGTGACTGCCATGGACTGTGGTCACTTCTTCTGCAACAGCTGTAAGTACACTGCTAGAATTGGTCTGCTTAACAAGTTAACAAAATAAAGCTTCAAGTCCTTACTGTTTGATGGTAGGCAGAACAGTAAATTGCACTCTAAGATCATTTCAATGGATTACATTTTGAGTTTTCTTACCAAATCTGTACAAATATTTGTAAACAAAATAGCAAATGTTGATAAAAAAATTATTAATGGGATTCATAATGAAGTATAATCACTGAACAATTACCTTTCCTGGCGCAAGATAAAGATGTAGGAGACTTTTGTTATCATCTTCGCTCAGTTTTCAGTATAGATTTTTCCAAGTCCTGAACTATCGTATAGCTTTGTTTCTCATGTTTTATATGTGCAGATGTTTTCTATGTTTTATATTAGCTTTCTGATGCCTGAAAAAATATGATTTTTTCACATGCTCTTTAGGTTGGATTCAGCATTTTATTGTGAAGATAAATGATGGCCAGAGTAGACGCATTAGGTGCATGGCGCCCAAGTGCAATGCGGTGTGTGATGATGCAAAAATTAGATATTTACTTAGCGTGGAATATTCTAGCCTTGCAGAAAAATTTGATCGATTTCTTTTTGAATCCTATATTGAGGATAATAAAAGAGTTAAATGGTGCCCTAGTGTTCCACATTGTGGAAATGCTATAAGAGTTGAGGATGATGAACCTTGTGAGGTTGAATGTGCATGTGGTAAACAATTTTGTTTTAGTTGCTTGTCTGAAGCACATTCACCTTGTTCATGCATAATGTGGGAACTCTGGTCCAAGAAATGCCGGGATGAATCGGAGACAGTTAATTGGATTACAGTCCATACAAAACCTTGCCCAAAATGTCACAAGCTAGTTGAAAAGAATGGAGGATGCAACCTAGTATGCTGTGTTTGTGGACAAGCATTTTGGTGAGAATTTTTGTCTCCTGCCTCCTTTCTCCTTTCTCCTTTCTATTGCTTCTTCTTTTTCTTCTTTTATTATTGGTAGGATTATTATGGGATGTGGGAGGTGCATTAATTATTTTTGCTGAAATGCATTGAGCTTCCATCCTCTTGCCTTAATCTCAATGGATTCTACCCAAGAGGCAAGGCTGAGAATGTGATTTAATGGGTAGACTGCGGCGGTTGGTTTGACCTGCTAATGTTATTTCCACCAATTTCACATTGTGGAATTATCTGATGAGAACCTGGAGAATGACTTTATTTTGAACCTATTTTATTGCTTTATGAAACCATTGAGAGAAATGGCTAATATAGATAACTTATATTATGAAACGGTTGACTAGGTACGTTCTTGTGCTGGCAATAGAGGTAACTTTTATTAGGCCTCTGTCCTTTGGCTACTTTTAGTTGGGGATAGAATCATGCTCTTCTAGTCCTTACTAGTTCTTTAGGTCATTTAATGATATGTTTTTTAATTACTTGTCCTCTTTGTGCAGTTGGCTATGTGGTGGTGCCACTGGTAGGGAGCATACTTGGACAAGTATAGTTAATCACAGTTGTGGACGATACAAAGAAGACCAGGTGAAGAAAACTGCATGTGCAAAAAGAGATCTGGAGCGTTATATTCACTACCATAACAGATATAAGGCACATTTAGATTCCTTGAAGCTTGAATCTGAACTTAAGGAAAACTTAAGGAGAAAGATACTGGCACTAGAAGAGTTGGAATCCAGATCTAAAGCTTCCAGTTTAGATTTTAGTTGGTTAATGAATGGACTATACATACTCTTTGGATCAAGGCGGATTCTTTCAGTTACCTATCCATTTGCATATTATGTGTTTGGCAATGACTTGCTCAAAGATGAGATGACAGGTGAGGAAAAGGAAATGAGAAAAAACTTGTTTGAGAACCAACAGCAGCTGTTTGAGAGAAATGTTGAGAAGCTCTCCTTGTTTCTACAAGAGCAATTTGACCAGTATAATGAGGATGAAATTTTGGATTTAAGAATGAGGATCATTGCGGTTTCAGTATCCACTGATAATCTCTGCCGAAATTTGTAAGTTCTTTATAAAATTTTGAATGGTATCATATCCAGAACAACTTTAGCCGGTTTGAGCAGAATTTGCACTAGATGCAATTCAAACCCATTATAATTAATGCACAATAACAACTAAGTCTTTAATCACAAACTAGCTAGGATCGGTTATATGAATCCTTTATTATTATAATATAATTGTGAAATGAGGTAACTCTTGGTTCTATTGTGCAATTTGTGTTGAGTGAAATGGGAGGAGCGACCCAGTAAATAGAATTCCAAAACAAACTGCCTTGACACAATTGTATTAAGAATCTTGTAATTCTTTCTTCATTTATGCCTAGTGGTCCACATCTCTTATGTGAACCTATTGATCTTATGCAGATATGACTGTATCGAGAATGATCTGTTGGGTTCCCTAAAATGGACAGTTCATAAGATAGCTCCTTACAAGTCAAGAGGTGTTTTCAGAAGCTCTTAACTTTGGGCACAAGCGCTGTGCTGATATGGCATAACAGTGGCATAAATGGTATGCATTCAAAAATCCTTTCTTTTGTTCCACCACTTAAATTTAGTTTCATCAAATTTTTTTTTTTCCTGTAATTTGGAACAGTATCTTCCTTCTAAGAAGATTATCGACACCGGCTTAAAACTGCTGACACATGTAAATATACAATGATTACGGAGCTCCATCGAGCTTCTAGGAGTTCGATTTGTGGTGGGTTTTCGGTGCTCGGAAGATATGCTAGGAGAACTCTTAGAGATAGCTGCATTATTTTTGGTGTGATGAATGATTAATATAGCGATTATCAACGGCTTTTTTAGGGGCACAACTTGATTCTGGCTTTTCATTTACCGTTGCCATAAGCATTTACTTCGCTATTATCCTGTCCCCATCTCATTTTTTTTTTTTAAATAAAGAAAATAGCGGGTATTATTTATTTGTTTTATTTATTATTTCTATTTCTAAGAAGTCTATACGAGTGATTCATACCAATATGGATGATTTATGTAGGATTTATTAGAAATTTGTGGGTATTCTGAGCTATTTACCTAGATCGGATCTATATAAATTTTCTCAGGAAAACTCACTTAGGCAAGAATTTTCCATATTCAATAATTAATAGCATTTAGTTGGATTAAATTAAATTAAATCAAATCAAATCATTTCTAACTGAATGTATTAAAGATTTTTAAATAAAAGCTGAACTGAATTAAACTATATATAGAATAAAATCAAATTAAATTGATTTAATTTAGTTTGGTTTTAGTTGTTAAAATTGGATTAGATGAATTGAATTATGCATAAAATCAAATTAAATTGATTCAATTTAATTTGTTTTTAACTATTAAAATGGATTAAAAAGCTGATTTTGAACTTATTTTTTGAATTTAATAAAAAGTGAATCAAACAGAAACAGAGAATCTATTTTGTCTATTAAAAATTGAAGGTGAACCGATAATTGTAAGTTTTTGTTTGCATTTCTTTTTCTCTATTGCACAATTAGTCTATTCTCAGATTTGAACCATTCTCTTTCAAAGGATGATTGGTGAAATTTTAAGGGTGATTATTTTTTATGTTGTGGTTTAGATTGATGAAATTTGAGTAATAGAATTTAAATATTTAATGAATTATTATATTTTTTTTGTTTGATTAAGAAAAAAATATATTAAAATCGATTCAACTTATTGAATTAATAAGTATCATAACACAGGTAGAATATCTCAATTTTACCGTTATATATTAAAGAAAAATTTTAACTTTTTCTCGAAAATTAAAAAATTTTTAATTTTAAAATATGAATATGGATGATGAAATAAAATGTGCTCTTAATCAATAAGATGAAATTAATTAGATTATCACTAATTAGGGTTGTTTTTCTCCAAAATTGTAAAATTATTATTTAAAAGTTTAACTGTTGAAATAAAATTATTTAATTATTTAAAAGTGAGCATTGTCATCCAAAAACTTAAAAAAAAAAAAAAAAGAAAAGAAAAGAATTGGAATTAACAAAAAGAAAAACCAGAAAACATAAAATAGGTAACCAACACTAACGAATTCTTTACTATTGACTGTTGCAAATCCGCAGAGTGCTACCTTCAAAACCCTAATTCCCCAAAATTCCAATTTCGAGATTCATACTGCAATCAAGTGTTTCTCAATGTCGTCTTCCACGTTCAACAACAGTATTTCGATTACCGTGTCGGACGAGGAATCTGATGAACTCGGTCGGATGCGTGTCCGAGTCCGTAGAAAGCGTAAGAAACACCAGGGGCATCGAATCAAGAACGACTTGGGTCAGCGTGTACTCAGGATTCTCTTGAAATATTGGATGGTTTTGATTTTCCTTCCTGCAGCTGGGTTACTGGTGTTCGAAGCCTCGAGAATTGGCAAAAAACCGAGTTTGTATTCGAATTCGGTACACCATGGAACGACGATTCCTGATCTGAAAATCAACCAGGGGACCGGTGAATCTAAGATCAAAGAGAATTTGGATCGGCTTGATCCACCACGTAAGTAATTATTCTAAAATTATTGTCTAATATATACTTTATTTTCTAAGATATGTTTGCATCTACTTTACTGCTATTCCTCCACAATCATTGGAATTGATTGGTTATATTTGTTTTTGTTTATTATTTTTCGTAATGACTGTTTATGAAGTGATTTCTCTAATTTGTATTTGGCTAGGTTCTCGAGTCATTAGATGTTTAGTTAAGTTCAGTTAAGTTCGTTGAGCTTTTGATGTTTGGTTAGCATGGCAACTCTTCTTGATGTCAAGACGATGATGGCGATGATTCTTACATCTTTGTTTGAGTTTGAAGTTTGAGAAGTGCTAACTATTAAAGATTACTGGGAGAGTCAGGAATTCAATTTAAGCGTAGATTATGATGTCTTTTGGTAATCTGCGATGTAGCAGATATGAAAATGAAAAACCTTTAATATGTGACGCACATTTGTGGATGGTATCAGGTTGCTTGAAGCTACTACCTCATGAAGAACTTCAACATCTAGATATTCCCATTCATGATGAATTCAGTAGTCCTGTTAAAAATGTGACATACATATCAGAGAAAGATCCACAACATGGAGGGGGGAATAGTACCCTTTCTCGCCTGCGTGCAGAGGGTACAAGATTTAATTTATTTACTGGAGACCAAACATTTGACCAGAGAGAGAGGAGTTTTAAGGTTATAAGCTGCATCTTCACATCATTTAGCTGATTTAGGATGAATTAGAGAATTATATTGTTTAATATTAGTATGCAACAAAGGGATGCGACAAATTCTCTGACATTAAACTTTTTATTAATCCTTTGGTTCTTGCTTATATTTTGTGGAAACTGTGGCTTTCAGGTGAATCAAACAGCTGAAATACATTGTGGTTTTTACAGTGAAAATGGAGGGTTTAAGATTTCTGACAAGGACAAAAATTACATGCAAACCTGCATGGTTGTGGTGTCTACTTGTGCCTTTGGTGGCGGGGATGACCTTTACCAACCCATTGGAATGTCAGAAACATCACTTCAAAAGGTTAGCTTTGGGGTTGCTGAAATCTTCATTGCTTAGACGTTAGCACTACATGTACTTTTGCTCCATTCTTGCAGGTTTGCTATGTTGCATTTTGGGATGAAATCACTCTAGCAGCTCAAGAATCAAGGGGGCGGAGAATCAATGAGGACCATTTCATTGGGAAATGGCGGATTGTGGTTGTGAGGGATCTTCCATTTACAGACCAAAGGTTAAATGGTAAAATCCCAAAGGTATTAATTAATACACTAAAGTTATTTTGTATAAACACGTATCACAATGTGTAATGCTTGTGCTTGAATTGTTGCACATAATTCCGCCCTTTCTTCTTCTAACTGTTTGTTACATTTGATTTCCTCTATGGTTTATTTATGGTTGTCACATGTCTATTGGCGTCTCACACAGTTTTGACTTACTGCATATGAATCTGGTCCTGTGAATCTACAAAACCAATGAAGTCAATATAATGTTTAATCAACTTAAAGTTGGGAGTAATGAGAGAAATAATCAGCTGGCCATCTTGTAATCATGTGCCTCAATTTACCTAAAATCATCTTGTGTTCTTTTCTAATCATTTGATATTTGGGAACTTTCAGGTATGATTTCTTTCATGGAATTTTGTAGTTGTTTATGGTTACTGGCTGCAGTGTTAGGAAGATTGTCTTTTCATATTTGTTAATTTTGAGAGCCCTTTAATCAATTCTGCTTGCAATGTTCTGAGATGGTATACTTAGAAGCCCAGTAAATTTCTGTCTTTTGGTGTTTTGCTGAACGAATGGTTTTTTGAGGCTTCATGTACATTTCTGCTGCTTTCAGATGTTGGCGCATCGTCTCTTTTCTTATGCCAAGTACTCCATTTGGGTAGATTCAAAATCCCAATTTAGAAGAGATCCTTTAGGTGTTCTGGAAGCCCTTCTTTGGCGTTCAAATTATGTATTAGCAATTTCTCAACATGGAGCTCGCAGCAGTGTGTATGAGGAGGCTACGGCCGTTGTGAAGAAACACAAAGCCACCCCAGAAGAAGTTGAGGTGCAGCTGACTCAATACAGACAGGATGGCTTGCCTGAAGATAAGAGATTTAATGGAAAGAAAGTTAAGTGTCTCTTCCTTTGATATTATCATGAGCAATGTTGGCGTTGATAACAAAATCTCCTATAATGATCTAAGTCCAAAGTAACCCTCGAACAAACACTGAACACATTCTTTATTATTTAATTTAAATCTCATGCAGCAGCTATAATTCAGTAATTGACTGAAAATTTGCTCTAATGGGAGAGACTTGATTATTAGAAAGACATGGGACGCTGACTGAAAAGTGCAAATCTCGACAAGAAATGCATGATTTACATTATAAAACCACATTTGCTTTGACAGTTTGCTAGTATCTTCTCGTAATATTCTTTTTGATGTTTTATTGTTGATGCTGTTACCAACAAATTAATAATTTCTGCAGCTTTAAATGAAGCTTCAGTCATTGTGAGGGAGCATACACCGTTAACTAATCTGTTTATGTGCCTATGGTTTAACGAAGTGGTTCGCTTCACTTCTCGGGATCAATTGAGTTTCCCTTATGTACTCTGGCGGTTGAAATTGCTGAAGGACATCAATGTTTTCCCTGTCTGCATCCGAAAAGATCTAGTTAACAGTATGGGCCACATAGGCAAGGCTAAGCCATTGACTAGTTGACGCTGTGGTGCTGCATTCACTGTTCCACATTCTTGATTGCTCAAATTGTGGCTAGCAGACAGGCTGTGTTGTTGGATGAATTATATACAGAATGGGAAATTTTCCCTTATTGCTGTGGTCATCATGTAAATGACTAGAGAGGAGATTTTTGTATGTTCATAATCCAGTTAGAAATTTGAATTTTGAAATCTTGTTACATTTTCGTGGCCAAAGTATTATGTTATGTTCTGGAAAATTACTAGCTAATTTTTCTTATTTTTTGATATATATATATATTGAAATAAAACGTCACATCAATTACGAATACAAAGAAAATAAACATTCTGGGGTAGAATCTCATTCAACACGATAAGAGACTAGCATGTTGATAGGGTGCTCTTGCTAGAGTGTGAGCATCGAACGCGGAAATGGACTATTTTTTATATATACAGTGATCTTGTTTATATGTGTTAATCTAAACCAACATAATTCAATAAGCTGCATAGCTTAATATCCGCCGCAAGTAACCTAGCACAAAAAAACTATAAATTCTACTTCACAAAACATCCAATTCATAACAATTCAAAACCCTAAACTAAAATCATTACATAAAACTTTATTCTTTGAATTATTTTTCCCTTTCTTTGGATGCCATTGCAGGGTTTAAATTAGAGCATCTCCAATATAAATATAAATTTATTGATATGTTAAAAGACTCAAAAAAAACATTGTTCACCGTGCTTTCTATTTTTAGAAGGTCTTTTAAAAATATTAATATTTATTACTCTTTAATAATTGATTACATATTAAATTATAGAACTATAAAAGAGAGAATGGAATAAACTTTAAAACAGAGAATTTTTTAAAATTCATTATTTATAAATAGAAATTCAATCACCTTATCACTTTTAAATCTTATTTCACATGAAACATAGCATCACAGACACTCTTATCCCCACGTTAAAGAAAACCACGAGCATCTCGATTTTAGATGGGTCAAGGAGAAACTTGCGGCTTTTTGGGTTTAACATCGAGATAGACCAATACCATTGGGCCACAGAGCCACAACGGTAACGAGCTACAAGATAATTTTTTCCCACCAACCGACAATGTGATAAACACGTGTCCTATCATTATCTGTCGCCAACCTGGCATCCATTATTATTTTTAGCTTCCAATGCGTACATGTCAAGCTAAAGCAACGCTCCACCGCCTCTGAATATAGAAAACAGATCCGCAAGGAACCGACTTTATGATACGAATAAATCATAGCCATCCACGTTAGCAATCACAATTTAATCTTAGCCTTCTATCTCGTGCATATCTTTCTATAAATAAGACGTCTACGAAACCGGTTTCGATCGTCTTGGCTTTGGGAATGGATCCAGGCGATGGGTAATTTTGTTCCTCTTCTCGTGTGTAGGCTTCCATGATACGAACTTCTTCGTTGTTTTTCTTTCGTCTCTGCTTTTGTGATTTGCGATCTGTGTTATTATGTGAAATTGGTTCCTTTATTTGATCAAAGCTTTCATATCATCTCACATGTGATATGATGTCGGTGCGTGTATGATTGGTTTTTGGATTTCAGTTTTGGAATTTTCACGGATTGAATTAGCTTGGGCCTTTTTGATGCGAAAGGCAACAGTTGGTTTGACTGATATTTTTCATACCTGATTTTTGTTGAAGATTTGCTGCCTGAGGATTTGTCTGTATTTTGATTTTATTGGATCGTCAAATTCATGGTAGAATTCTTGCCGTTGTTGTTGTGGTGTTAGGATTTGAAGAAGAAGAACTGAAGCATGGCGTTGTTGATGCGAAAGGCAACAATTGGTTTGACTGATATTTTTCATACCTGATTTTTGTTGAAGATTTTTCTGCCTGAGGCTTTGTCTTTATTTTTATTTTATTGGATCGTCAATTTCACGGTAGAATTCTTGCCGTTGTTGTTTTGTGGTGTTAGGATTTGAAGAACTACTGAAGCTTGGCTTTTGAAGTCTTTAAGTTATGAGATCAGGGTCCCTAATTTGGTCTTCTGTGATCAGTTGGGAAGTATACTTACAATATTGAGCTTTTTGCCAATTGCTTGAGTGGTGCCTATGACGATAGATTGATGAGTTTCCATCATAATTAATAATTTGGGTTTTGCTTACATTTGTCTGTCTTTCAAGTGATCGTGAAGGACTTTTCTGGAAGTGCCTTAAGTTATTTGATAATATTTTTCTACCGAAACATGGAGTTTGAGCCCTGGATTTTCTGTTTTCCAGGTTCCTAAAAGATTGACAGACTTTCCACATGGACCAAGATTGATCCATATTTTTCTTTGATAAGCAATACTCTGCTCCTAAATCACCGAGTTTTGCTGGATATTAATTCCCGCAAGTGTAAAGTGTTGACTGTTAACCGTGTTTTTGTCGCCAGGGTTAGTTGGAGCGTCGAAACGTTGATTTGGATATTAGCCTTAGTGGTAGAAGGGAGTTTTCTATGTCCTTGTATTAAGTTTGCGTTTTTGCGGTTGATCTTCTGTTACGTGTTGCTCTTTTCATATTCCTAAACTGGCTTTTTTTTTTTTTTTTTTTGTTTTTGCGGTTGATCTTCTGTACGTGCGTTGCTTCTTTTCATATTCCTTAAAACTGCGTCTTTTTTTTTTTTTTTGTGCTGCTACACGCCTGCGCATTGCGTATATATTTGGATTGTTTTGGTTGGATCCATCTTCTCGGATGCGGCTTTGGGCATCTCAAGTTCAATTCATTTTTTTTTTTTTTTTTTTTGTGCTGCTACACTGCCTGCAGATTGGTATATATTTGGATTGTTTGGTTGGTCCATCTTCTGGATGCGGCTTTGGGATCTCAAGTTCAATTTCCATTCTTGTTCTGGAATTATTCTTTATAGTTTATCAATACTTTCTTCAAATTAGACTGAAATGAAAGTTCGCTTTCTTGTTTCCTCAGGGCTTGTTTCTGTCTTCTGTTGGAGATGGATAGTAAGCTTGAATAAGGGATTTTCTTAGTGGTAGAAAGGAGTTTTCTATGTCCTTGCATTATGTTGGCGTTTTTGCGGTTGAGCTTCTGTTGCGTGTTTCTCTTTTCATATTCCTGAACTGGCTTTTCATTTGCTGTTTCACTGCCTGCAGATTTGTTTACAGTGGATTGTTTGGTTGGCCTAACATCAGAAAGCGGCTATGGGATTTCAATCTTTTCGTGTTCAATTTCTGTTTCTTGTTCTTGAATTATTCGTTGATACTTAAAAATACTTCCTTCGCAAGTTGGACTGAAATGGAAGTTTGTTTTCTTGTTTATTCAGGGCTTGTTTCTGTCTTCTGTTGGAGATGGATTGTAAGCTTGAATAAGGGGGTTTTTTGGGATGTTCAATGAGTAACATTTATTTATGTTATTATACATCTTTAGTGTAGCGGTAGATTCTGAGTCTAGCTGTGTGGTTTTTTTCAGGATTCTATGTATTGTCTGAAGAAGTTGATATATAGATCTATCAGTAAGGCAAACGGTGAACAGGGAGTCTTCTTCCCCCCTTAATTAGAGCGATTATGGTTTCTAGGGAATGATAGTAGAATCTGAAATGGATTTACTGATGTCTTCCCAGGGATCCACCGACTAAAGATGTGACTGATCTAAGAGTCTTGTGAGAGGATATCGTTTAATTTATATAGAAACGCTTATTTACTCTTTTGTTTTCCATTCGTTTCCGAACTCTATTCTGAAATGTAAGCCTTGTTGGATGATGTTTTTCCAGGATCATTTGTGAATGGAGAAATTTATGGTCTCTGCATGGATCAAGAGCAGGAAGTGTTTTATTTTATATTATGATTCCACTTTTGATTATGGATAAAATGATTTAGTACTCTTGAAAAATGGAGTCTCATTGTGTGGTTTGTTACTTGCAGATGAGTTGATTATATTTTTCTCAGTTTTGTGTCTCTAAGTGAACTTTTTGGTTTCTTCATTATTGTTACTTAGCGCGGTTCTTGTTCCCAACATCCATGGTTAATCTTTCAACTTTGTGGGAGTTGAAATCAATTGTGGAGATTTGGTTATGCTCCTTTTGCAACTTTTGGGATATAAGCTCTCGACTGATGGAGATTTCTTGAAACTTATATCCATAATCTTTCCTTTTCATGTCCTTCCTGCATGTTTATGATCTCTGAGCATAGATGGTGTGATTTTTACAGGATTCATTGGTCGCGGAGAAGTGTGTCCCGGTGAAGTGTAGGAATGATTTACGCTCTCTCTTTCTATGTTCGAATATTTTAAAATTCCTGAGTCACTAGCACTTGAGTCTGAATTTGTATGTTTGCAGGTCTCTTGGGTCTCACTTGTATTTGAAGTATGTGTATTAACATCAATGAGGGAGTGTATTTCTTTTTGCTGCCCTGAATTCTTTTTATTTCCTCTATTGGACAGTTATCTGAGTTCTTATTGTCTCCTTCATCAGGTCTATGACTATTGTTTTTGTTATGGAGGGAGTATGATCTTATTGTCTTTTCATTCTGCTCTTGAACTTTTCAGACAGATCTTATAAGAAGCTGAATTGCAACTATATTATGTGCTTTCAGGATTTTCTGAGAAATATGTGGTGGGCTGTCATGGGTCAGAAGTGATTTTCTTTTGTATGGAGCTAGGGGTTCAGTGCTACTGGTTTCTTTGGTGGTTATCTACTTTTTGTTACCCTTTCATTTCTGTCGGTGTTTTCTGATCATCAATTTGGTTACTAATTGTAGTGTTTACATAATAATTTGATCATTTGGAAGATTCACATGGACAAATATGAATAATGTTTAAACAGTTTCTTCTTGGACCTGATTCTGGTGGTTCTTTATGCGTGGGTAGCTTGAGATGTTAAATCGATGTAATTTTTAATTGGCTTCAGGATACGAGATTCAGCTGTGTATCTATTTTTCATGGTTCTTTCAACTCTTTTTGGTTGACATCGGTATGAATTAAACTAAATCTGGAGGGTTCTATCTTGTCTTAAGGTTTTGTTTCTGTCTTCTGTTGGAGATGTGGTCTGAGTTTGAACGTAAGGGGGTTTTTTTTGTATCTCAATCAACTTGCAGTTTTTATTTTTTTAATAATGGTAAATCCTGAGTTTGGCAGTGTTGATTTCCAGGATCCAATTATCTTTTTGGGGCATGTGAAGAGAATAATGTTACGATTAAGTCATCATCAAAGAGTCATCAGGGCAGTTCTTTTTCAGCCATGTTCAATACATTGTGCTTCTCCAGCTTTTGGAAAGTGTTACTACATTCTGAGCTGGTATATCATCTGTGATTTGTGAAAATTTTACTCGAGGCTTGCTTTCTTCTGAGGGGTTGTTTTTCTTCTGTTGAGAATGTGAAGTAAAAGCTAACGGGCCATTCTTTTTCAAGTAATGGTAAAAAGTTTATGATTTTAATTGATGGCATCTAGAAGTATAACTTCTGTTTAGTGAAATCCATGAGGCGTCTGATTTAATAGTTATGAAGACCAATGCCAATGTTCCTTTTGCTATCTTGGTTGCTCATTTTAGATGGCTGAGTTAGGTATAGAAAAACTTCAGCTTTTTGTTCTGGATTCGAGCTGGTGACATTGTGGGTTGGGACTTCAGTTTCAGGAGGGAGTAATGTGCAATAACTTTCACATTATTTTTGTCCCAATCTTTTTTTTTTTTTTTTTGGGGTGTTGATTATATTTCTCCAATATTTCATTTTTGTCAGTCTCTCTTCCTGAGGTTTGACTGTTGTGCTGGACATACGAGTTGGATAATGAATGGACAAATGGTTATAATTCCTAGTCTTGCGAAAGAGAGTGAGTTGGTTCTTTGAACATGCTTTTCCATTTCATTTTAATGTTCTTCCCCTTTGGTTCTGTTCTGTTGTTGATAGTTTTTCTTGAATTGACACTCATGGTAATTTGATATCTCTGCAGCTACTTGCATTTGTTCCATTTCAATGTTTGGTGTCTGCAGCTATTGTTGTCTAGTTTTTGGCCTATTTCTGATTCCTGGTCTGTTCACTGGATCTTCCTCATGTGTTATGCTTAGTTCGAGATGGTGATGGCAAGGTTGTGTGCAGTTCACATTTGATATGGAATAAGGCAGTTGGTTGTATGCAAGTGGTTCCCTCTTACCATGAGAGGGCCTTAGTTTGTATTTTGAGTGTTCAGCGAAACTTGGCTTGATGCATGTCTTTCTTTGTTTCATTTGTGAGACTGGTTCCATTGAAGGGGCTCGGTATGAATTTGTCAGTGTTCTGGTTATCTATGGTTTCTGCTGTTTCGAGCAAGAGCTTGAAAGTGTTTTAAACATTATCGTAATTATGATCTGCCACATGGCATTCTTTGGTGTACCACTCAATCTCGTTAGAGGTTTGTATTCTGTTTTTTACAGTGGGTCCTCTGTTTAATTTATTGGTGGTCTTGTTTGGGTGGAATTCTTCTGAATTGTCTGTATTTTGAGTGTTCAGCGAAACTTGGCTTGATGCATGTCTTTCTTTGTTTCATTTGTGAGACTGGTTCCATTGAAGGGGCTCGGTATGAATTTGTCAGTGTTCTGGTTATCTATGGTTTCTGCTGTTTCGAGCAAGAGCTTGAAAGTGTTTTAAACATTATCGTAATTATGATCTGCCACATGGCATTCTTTGGTGTACCACTCAATCTCGTTAGAGGTTTGTATTCTGTTTTTTACAGTGGGTCCTCTGTTTAATTTATTGGTGGTCTTGTTTGGGTGGAATTCTTCTGAATTGTCTGTATTTTGAGTGTTCAGCGAAACTTGGCTTGATGCATGTCTTTCTTTGTTTCATTTGTGAGACTGGTTCCATTGAAGGGGCTCGGTATGAATTTGTCAGTGTTCTGGTTATCTATGGTTTCTGCTGTTTCGAGCAAGAGCTTGAAAGTGTTTTAAACATTATCGTAATTATGATCTGCCACATGGCATTCTTTGGTGTACCACTCAATCTCGTTAGAGGTTTGTATTCTGTTTTTTACAGTGGGTCCTCTGTTTAATTTATTGGTGGTCTTGTTTGGGTGGAATTCTTCTGAATTGTATGTTAGCTGTTTGTTATTAGATACAACTTAATGAGTAAATTATTAAGTATTAGTTGTTTACTACATGGCTGTTATAGTTAGTAAATTATTAATGAGTAAATTATTAAGTATTAGATGTTTATTAGATGGTTGTTAAATAGTTATTTATAATTACTAGATTATTAATGAGTAATTTATTAACCTTATTTATAAATGTAAATTAAAATTTTTAAGTTATTTTTTAGAGTAAAATAAATTATTTGTGAATGTTATTTTTCTGGAGTAAATTATGTATAAATGTAAGTTAAATGTTTATAAGTAATTATTTATTTATAATTGCTAAATTATTAATGAGTAAATTATTAACCTTATTTATAAATATAAATTAATGTTTATATATGTAAGTTATTATATGTTTATTAACTGCAGTCTGACTTTCATTGTCACAATTAGTGAAATATTTATTTTATAAGTATTAATATTTTATTAATATGAATTATTTGTCACTGAAACTGTCTTCCGAGTATTTATTTTAGTAACAAATCAATTTTACTGGTTGTAAAAGCTAGTCTAATCTGTTGTCGTTGACCATCACTACTGATTATATCTGAATTAACAAAAGCCGTTGTGTTAGCTATCTACTGATTTGAAAATTTTTTGATTTCCGTTGCTAATTATAGTTGTCAGACATCTGATGAAATTATATGGTAAAAGTTCAAGGGTCCCTGCTTTGTGTTTCTTATATGCGATTTCTGCTGTTGACTGTAGTGGGGTTTTCTGCTTATATGGTCTTGAGTGTTTGAGTTTTTGTCTTGTTTTGCGTGTCATTTTGTTTGTATGCATGTAACTCCGCCTGTGTGGCTTAAGAGCACAGCCGGTCCCAAGCCCGGATTGAAAGGAGGAGGGCTGCAATTTTATATTGATGCTTTTCTCTGCATCAAGTTTACTTTTCAGTTGATGCCTATCTCTGATACTTACGGATGTATTAATTCTATGGAGCTTGTAGCTGGATGGTGGTTAGCCTTTCTTGTCAGGTGCACTGGGGACTGGTCTTTGTCTTCTGTATTGAGACGACAGGGTTAAGTGGTTGTGTATCATTAGGGTTCTACTGTATTTTCCGTATCAAAATCTGGTTAAATTTGTTGCTATCTATTTGGAGGACACACTGTTTGATGTGAATGAAGGTGGGAAGTGATCTCTGTAATGCAAAGAGTCGAGCGAGAAAGTTGTCACAACTGCCCACTTCTTTCTTGAATAATTTTTTTATATTTTATCTACAATTTTAGTAACTTATTTTAATATTAAATTCGCAATTTTAACGTGCACTTTTTATCAAAATTACTTTTTTAAATATGATTTTAAATTAATTTATATGTTAGATGGTAGTAACAATTATAATAATTAAGATAATTGATATTATGCCCTAATCATTTTTTTCTCATTAAGTTCAGGGATATTTTGCCTAATCATATACTAACAACGATTGGGAGGAAATTAATCTATGCGGTGTGAGAATCCATTTGAATTGAAAATCTTGGATTGGATTGAATAAACACGAATCACGATATTAAAAAATTACACCAACTAATTGCACTGAAATACTATGGTCTAATCACGACAGGACAATACTTACATTGTTACCGTTCTAAAGGAATTGATCTTGTGGAAAAATCAAATCGAATTGATCCATCAGAGCATTTATTTGATTTTGTTTTTCGATATGATGACGAATTTTTCTTTGCAAGAAACACGTTTTTTGGTTTTATTGGATATTGTCACAAAATTTAAAGATTTAATTAAATTTTAACAAAATTTAGACGCTTTCCTTTCTCAAATATCTATAAAGTACATGAAAACTATGTTTGTAATAATTTTTAGAGTTGCAAGTATAAAATGATTCATAAATTGAATAAGTTATGCATCATTTTAAGTTAAATAACTTATTAACATAATTAAGTAAAGATTGGAGTGTTTATATTGGATGATGTGCTTTAGTTTTGCTATATCGGTCATCTTACATTCGATATATCTTATTGATATTATGTTTATTTTATGTATTTTTATTATCTCATTTGAATTGGGGAGTCGTGTACAAAAATTTTTCTTTCAATTTGAAAATAGATTCCATGAATTTTTAAGATGTTACTCAAACATAATAATTAATTTTTTATTTTAAAAATAAATTAAAAATTAAAATCTCTTATCTTAAATGAATTAAGTTGAAATTAATGTAAAGATAGTAGGATTAAAGAAAATGTAAATAAAGAGAAAACCATGAACATCTCAATTTCAGATGGGCCCAAGAGAGGCGTGGGCTTTTTGGGAATATGTGAACATAACAACTGAATAAACCATTAAGGCCCACAGAGCCATTACGGTAACGTTCAACCAATTGGCTGCGGCAACGTTATAAACGCGTGGTCAATATTTATCTAGAGATAACCAATCTGGCATTTGATTAGTTTTACTTTTTAGTTTTCGTTTTTCAAGCCTCATCCAAAAACGCGTACTTATCAAGCTACCGTTTCTGACTGAATGTAGAAACCGCGTACATAAGACACCGACTTTATTGTACAAATAAAGCATAGCCGTCCACGTTAGCAATCACAATTTAATCTCAGCCTTCGATCCCCTGCCCACCTTTGTATATATGGGACCTCTACTGCACCAATTGATTTGTCTCGGTTCTGAGTTTTGGGATTGGTGAACCGAGCCGATCGGTAGTGTCGTTCCTCTTCTTGTGTTTAGGCTTCATCATACGAATTTCTTAGTTGTTCGGTCTTATCTCTGCCTTTGCGATCTGCGATCTGTATTAGAATGTCATATTTTGTTATCTTTGTTTCGTTTCTTTGATCTAGTTTTCATATCATCTTATATGCGTCATGATATCGGCTTCTGTATGATTTGGTTTATGGATTTCAGTTTTGAAATTTGGTGATTGAATTGGCTCGGGCGTTGTTGATGCGAAGGCAACAGTTGGTTTGACTGATCCTTTTGATACTAGCTTTTTGTTGAAGATTTGTCTGCCTGAGGCTTTGTTTCTTTTTTGATTTATTGGATCGTCAATTTGATGGTAGAATACCTGCTATGGTTGTTTTTTGGTGTTAGGTTTTGAATAAGCGGAAACGAAGCAGGTTTTTGAAGTCCAAGTTACGGAATCAGGGTCACTTTTTTGGTCTTCTGTAATTGGTTGGGAGGTATACTGAACTTTTTGTGTTTTTTTGGGTTTTCTATGACGATGCTCCGTCCTCTTTTATGAGGTGAAGATTGATGCGTTTTCCATCATGATCAGTAATTTGAATTTTTCTTCTTCATTCCAGATAATGAAATAGTATGGGTTTTGAGTATCTTTCAAGTGATTCTGATTATAAAAAACTTTGTTTCATTGCCTCATATTATTTGGTAAATTATTGATACTGAGAAACTTAAAGAGTGTGAGCTGAAGTGTCTGTTTTCCAGGATCTCATGCATCGGTGTTTCAGGGTTTGTACATGCACCAAGATGGATATATTTTTTTTTTTTTTGCTGTGTAGAAAGGATGATATGGTCTCGTATTGGTCTTAGTAGTAAAAGGAAGAGTATTTTACATCCTTGTATCAAGTTGCATTTTTGTGGTTGATTTTCTGTTATGTGCTTTTTTCATGTTCTTTAACTGGCTTTTTGTTTCTTGCTTAACGTCCTGCAGATTCGTTCATAAAGGAATTATCTGGTTGGTCTAGCATCTGGAAGTGGCTCTCAATCCTTTCTTTTTCAATCTTTATTGTTGTGCTTAATCAATTATTAATAGCTGTATCAATAGTCTTTTTGTAAATTGAACTGAAAAATGGAAGTTTGCTTTCTTATTTCTTCAGGGGTTGGCTTATGTCTTATGTTGGAGATATGTAGTAAGCTTGAATAAGGGGTGCTCTTGGATTTTAGTTAGCAATATTTATTTTTCTCCCCAATTTTTTAGAATAGTGGTAGAGCCTGATTATATTTGTGTGATTTTCCAGGATTCTATCTGTTGTCCAAAAAAAAGTAGATATATATATCTATCCGTAGCGCAAACACTGAACAGGGAGTTCTGTTTATCCCTTATTAGAATTTATTTAAACCTTACTTCAGAACAAAATGGAGTTGATGCTGTTTTTCCAGGATCGTCTGTGCATTGAGAAATTCATGGTCTCCGCATGGAACAAGATCAATTTGGGGAATCTTTCATTCAATTGGTTAATGTTCTTTTTTTGATGATGTGATACATTAGCGGTTGTTATTTGGAGACGAATTGAGTGATGCTATGTATTCTTCTCAGCTGTGTGTCAAGGAGGAAACCTTCTGTGCGGTGATTCTTGAGTTATTTATTTATTTATTTTTGTTTGTTCATTATTACACTAGCAACAGATCTTTCCAGTATCCATAAATTGTAGGGAATGGTTTCGTCTAAACTATCTTTGGAACCTTGTGAATAGGAATCAAAAGTGGAGATTTAGATGTTTGTTCTGCAACTCTTGTGGGGCTATGCTCTAGCTGTTTATAGAGTAGTTTTCTTGGACATTTGCCAGTAATTGATGTTTTGTATGCTTCCAGTTATTTGCCTGCTCTGAGCATGGGTGGTGTGATTTTTCCAGGTTTCAACCAGTGCAGGAGAAATATAGGGAATGAATTTATTTAGTAACGCTCTCAGTGGTTTTATCTCATGCTGTGGGGACGAGCTGGCAGAGGGATAAGGAAGCTACCTACCCCTTTTGGTGTTCCTATGATACAATTTTTCAACATTCTAAGTTGATGGTTCAAGAATTTTAAATTGAGTTTTTGCAGGGATTTATACCATTTTTGTTTTGAAGAATGTGTTTTCACGTCACTCAGAATTTGAATCGTCCTTTTCAATGCATGCCTTGCTCTGATGTACAGTGGAATTGTACTGCGTCCCCAGAGGCCTAAGAGACTGGTATTTTTTATGGAGGAGTACTTTTTGCTCTTAAATTTTTAGTTAATGGGAATAATCTGCTGAATTTCAACTGTACTCTGTTACATGCTCTACTGGTTTTCTGGGGGTCATTTTGTTTTTGTTATCCCTTTAAGTACAGATCTATATCTAATATGGTGAAGTCTCGTCAAGGAGATCATCGAGTGCTAAATATAACATTGAGGCTTTACATGGACCAATACTAAAGTGTGGTTTTTGCGTGGGAAGCTTAGGATATTAGTTAATTGATGTGTGTTAACTTTGGGACCTTTGGATCGGCTTTTGGGTTGAGAAGGGAGTTCCTTTTGCATTCTTTCTTGTCAAGTTGTATTTTGTGGGTCTTGATCTGAATCGTGTTCTCTTTTTCATGTTTTTTTTTTTTTTAAATTTTTTTTGTAGAGATTCCCTTTTGAATTGAACTAAAGCTAGAGGCTTGCTTTCTTGTTTTCTCCGGGTGGTTACTGTTTTCTGTTGAAGATGTGAAGATGTTTTCTTGCGGTTCTGGGACCTGTATCCGGCTTTTGGGTTGAGAAAGGAGTTCCCTTTGTATTTGTTCTTGTCAAGTTGGTATTTTGTGGGTGTTGATCTGAAGTGTGTTTTTCCTTTTCATGATTTTTTTTTTCATTCTCTTTGTTTTGTGGGTCAGTTTTGCACTTGTTGAAGATGTGGACTGAGCTTAAACAGAAGGGGTTTTGCACCTTATCAATAATGTAATTAATGTTTTTCATTTTCTAGATAATGGTGAATCCTGAGCATGGTAGTGTACTTTTCCAGGATTCATTTTCTCTTGGGGTCGTGTGGAGAATAATGTCAGCAAAGAGTTGAACAGGGAGTTTGTTTCCAGTCCTGTTATTACATTATTGTTTTTCAGTTTCTAGATAATGGTGAATCCTGAGCATGGTAGTGTACTTTTCCAGGATTCATTTTCTCTTGGGGTCGTGTGGAGAATAATGTCAGCAAAGAGTTGAACAGGGAGTTTGTTTCCAGTCCTGTTATTACATTATTGTTTTTCAGTTTCTAGATAATGGTGAATCCTGAGCATGGTAGTGTACTTTTCCAGGATTCATTTTCTCTTGGGGTCGTGTGGAGAATAATGTCAGCAAAGAGTTGAACAGGGAGTTTGTTTCCAGTCCTGTTATTTTTTTCAGTTTCTAGATAATGGTGAATCCTGAGCATGGTAGTGTACTTTTCCAGGATTCATTTTCTCTTGGGGTCGTGTGGAGAATAATGTCAGCAAAGAGTTGAACAGGGAGTTTGTTTCCAGTCCTGTTATTTATAACATATTATTCTCTAGCTTTTGGGAGGTGGCAGTACATTCTGAACTGGTATGGTTTAATGTATTTTAAGGGTTAGATGGACCAAAGACTGTCCAATTGGTGTTGCCTTTGCCATACCTCTCTCAGAGCTTTATATCTTAACAACTTCTTTCGTTCTTTCTTTTTTTGTTTTATTCAATTTATAATTTTATATTCATGTCCCATCAAATTTTACTTGAGGCTTGCTTTCTTGTTTTCTCAGGGTGGTTACTTTCTTCTGTTGAAGATGTGAAATAATCTTAAACAAGGGGTTATCTTTGATCTTGATCAATAATATAATTTAAAACTTTTATACTTAATGGGTATTGATAAATTTCCCAAGCATGGTGATATTTTCTAGGATGCAATTTTCTTTTTTTCTGGAGACGTATCAGGAATGGTTCGTTTCTGCGAGATATGGCATCAGGGAGTTCTTTTCAATTCATGTTGCAAAACTCTCGAATCACTAGAAGTTAAAACGTGTAGAGCTCTGAGCTGGTTTTATGTGTTTCTAGGGGTTCAGCAGCGCAAAAATTGATTTCAAGTTTTATTTGCCTTTATGCTATACCTTTCTCATGATCAGGGAGTTCTTTTCAATTCATATTCCAAAAATTTATGATTCACTAGTATTTGGAAGTACAGAGTTAGAACCTGAGCTGGTTTGCTGTATTTACAGGGGCTTGTTTCCGTCTTTTGTTAAAGATGTGTGCTGAGCTTGAACAAGAGGGGTTTGTTTGATCAGGGAGGTTAAGTTGTGTTAAGTTACTATTCTTTATCTTTTGGGAAGTGATAATACATTATGAGCTTGTTAGTTTGATGTGTTTCCAGGCGTCGAATGGACCAATGGTTGTTTAATGGGAGTTGCTTTTGCTTTATGCCCCTCAGATTTGTGCTGATCCTTTCTTTTTTCTGTTTTTTGTGATTTTCTACTAGTTTTAGTTTGCAATTTTACAACCTGCCCTGTTTCTTCAGGGTGGTAACTTTCGTCGTCTGTTGAAGGTGTCAGCAAAGTGTGACCAGGGAGGTCTATACTTCTTTTCAAGTCATGTTGCAAGAAGTTTATGATTCACTAACATTTAACACGTAAAACTAGAGCCTGAGCTGGTTTGATGTATTTCCAGGGGTTCTGCGAGGAGAAGATTGAGTTCTGGGGTTATTTGCCTTGTCATAAATTTTTCAATATTTTATTGATCTGTTACTATGTCCATCTCTCTCTTTTTTCCTTCTCACCTTGGTGTGGCTATAATTTCAATCGATATGTGGATTCTATTATTGTCGTCCCAAGCTTTTTGTTTTTGCAGTGATCAACACTCCCTCAATCTTGCAGAACTCAATGTGAGTTAGTTTTAAGCTTTGATCACTTCACTTGACTTTTCCATTTCATTTTCTGCGTTCTCCTGTGGTTTTCCTTGCTGAATATGATAAAAACTGTTTTATCTTTTTTTTTTTCAAGAAGATTATACTGTTTTATCTTATTCAATATCTGCAGCTATCTGCAATTCTGTTCTGTCTATTCAAGTTAATGCAGCTATCAGTAATATGCGTTGTTTTGTTATTTGGTATCTCCCGCTAGTGTTGGCTAGAAATTGGACAGCATTTGAGTTACTGGCTTATGCACTTGGATTTTCCAATGTTGTGTAATGGTCGAATCAGCATGAGGAAAGACAATTACATTTTGGAGAGTCAGATTGTTAGAGACGACTGTTAACTTGTTTCTTTCAAAAGGAGCTGTGCTGATTTTGCTGATATGGTGTCAAAATAGAATGGTGTCTGTTTTTCTTCTTTTGTTGTCTGGTTGGTTCCGTTAAAATTTGGTCAGTGTTTTACTTAGGTATAGAAAATTCACTTTGGTGGCTTGTTGATCAATATGAGCTTGGAAGGTTTCCTTCTAGGAATATTGTTTTGTTTCCTTAAAAGAATGATGTATGGCAAGCAAACGTAATCCATTGGTGTGATGAGGCTGAGTCGAGTTATCTTCTTTTGTTTTAATGCTGTGGATCAAAATCGAGTTCATGATTGGTGTTGATTTCTTCCATTGATCTGTTAATGAGGTTGGCAATCTGAGGTTTGTCTAGGGCTTTATCGGGCTTGGGTGCGTGGAAGTGGCTTTTTTTTTTCCTGCTTAAATTCCTTGTTTTGGATATTATGTTATCTAATATGGATTTATTATCAGTACAAATCATTATTTTTATTGAAATGAATTGTATAATTAACATTTATTATTATTAAGGCTTAATTAGTATACTTGTGAATATTGAGATATTCTAACACAAAAGTATTCAGTATCATTGCGAATTATTTGTTATTAAACTAAATATTTCATAATAATAATATTAACTCACTAACAAATTACTAAAATATATATATATATAAATAAATAAATATACACTGCAATTGATTTGAATATTTATTAATTTTTGTACATTAGCTTTAAACATTTTATTAATTATTTTAATTTAATAATTATCTTCTACTAATTTTAAATTTAAATTATTGTTGATATGTAATAAATTTCTGTCATTTCTAATTATTATTGTTTTTATTTTGAAGATTTTCGGTTATAGTTATGTATTCATTGGTTATTTTTTAAATATGTATTATTTTATGCCATTTCTGCTTTGGGTTGTGGTTGAATTGCAAAGACAATATTTGGATTGTTTGCTCACGCCCTTGCAAGTCATGTTTGTCCTGTTTTATCAGTGCTTACGTGCGAGGTTAGATTTTTCCTGTTTTATCAGTGTGTTTTTGTTTGTGTGCATGTAACTCCGCCTGTGTGGAATCACATAGCCGGTCCCAAGCCCGGACAAAGGAGGAGGGTTGCAATTGGAAGTGCACTTATTATTGTTGTTGGGTTTAGTGGTGCTTCTTTATATTTGTGGGTTTACTGTGGGTGTTGGATATTTTCCTGTCGTAGAAGGCGCAGGACATTCCAGCTTGGCAGAAGAAGTTTTGTCAAGCTGTCTGTTCTTTTAAATTTACTGTTGTTTTTCTGATGGTAATGAAGCGTGTAAAAGGTATGCTTTTTTAGTCTTGGCCTTGATATTTGGTCAAAGGAAGGAAGCTAAAACTGCGGGGCAAGTTGAAAGAAAGTCGGACGCAGCGGTGGAGGGCACAGAATGTAACTGTTGAAATTGTGGTGTTTGTATTTGAAGTTCGGTTAATTATTTGGTTTAGTTATTGTATTTTTTGGTTAATTTTGCTACTGTATTTGTTTTTAAAGGTTGATAATGTTATCGTTTCAGAGAAGAAAAGATGATGTTATTGTATTATGTGTTTTCCTAATCTGGTTAATTTTAACTACTGTTCCGAGTTTGTTTGGCATTCCTTTAAACAATGCCATGCCAGGGGGAAAAAAAAAGAAGAAGAAAAAAAAGTCAAATGGTGCTAGATTTTGGTAGTAGGTTGCCAAATGCTGAATTTTTTTGGTTTATATCAAACGATCATGCAATGGATTTGGAAAGAACTCTTGAAATTATACATCGTCAATTTTACTGACAATGAATTTTATTGTTGATATGGGTTTAATGTTCAGTCTCTTCCTCAAAAACATATATAAAGACAAAGTAAAAAGGAAAAACTATACGTGTATAAAGCCAACTGTACTGGGTTTATCCAACACGATATGCAAATTCAATTCGAGTGAATGCCATTGGCTATTCATTATGACATTGATGGAGTTGGTAAAATCCTATTCTTAACTGCATGCTGGTTTAGGAACGGCTAATGTATTAGGTGGCTTAAACCAAATACGAAATAATACTCTTTAAGAACCAAAATCCGAAGACAAACATAACATAATTCCGTACATGATGCGGTGCAGGATCGTATTCTGTGTTGCAGTTTTCTTAGCGATTCTGTTAGTAATTCTCCTATCCTTCTTATCTCCATCTCCAATACCTCATAAAAGTTCATCCAGGTCTTGGTTTGCTTTGTCACTTTACATTCAACAACCTCAAATTCCGAGCTCTAATGTTCATCCAGCCGCGCAATCCAATCCTGGGGCGTTTATTTTCCATCGGATCCTTACAGAAGGACCTGAGAACACTTCACGGACCATTGGAAAGGCTCAGGGCTTCATAATTCCTATTCAACATTTTGCAGATTCCGCATTTAATATTATTCATCTTACCTTCGATACACCTCGTTACTCTGGTACGCTGAGCGCGCAGGCCAAACATATTGCACATAAAGATAGAGAAGAACTTGAAGTGGTTGGAGGAACTGGTTACTTCGCTTTTGCTCGCGGGCTTGCTGTTTTTACACAGACTGATGGATTGTTAACCTCTGATGTAGATGCTGCTTATCAAATAAAGCTTCAGCTTAGATTTCCTGATCGTTCTCAAACAATTCCGGTATAAAGCAGCGCTTTTAATTGTTTGATTTCATTGTTGGAAATAATTTTAAATTGTCAACTGAGATTTTCCACTCCAGTTATGTTGCATGGTTGGATGATAGAAATATAGAGTTTGATTGCTTGAATTTTCATGTACCATTCGTCTCATAAAATAAAGATGAGAATTTGCATATAAACAAACAAAAACAAAAGGACAATAGGTAAAGATTTTGTACAACTTAGTATTAAAATGTACGTAGAACCTGACAATATACTTAAAAAAAAAAAAAAAAAAAAAAAGAGCGCGGGGTCTTTCCGGAAAATGTTGAAACACCACAGAAAAGTTTTTCCCTTGCGATCTCGGTCACTGGTTGAGGAGCACATTATTAATAGTATGTATAATGTAGTGAGTAAAAATACAAGTCCAAAGAGGTTGATGAGTACCGCTTTATAGCTTCATCATGTTTACTAGGGTAGATGCATAGGTTTCTCATTACTTTTTGTGCGCAAGAGGATCTGCTGAATTTTTTTGGTCTATATATCATATATCGTCGCTCTATGTCAAGTGTGATATTTGGCGATATAACACGAACTCTTAGAAATTATACTATCGTCAATTTTAGCTGGACAATTATTTCAAAGAAATGGGCCTTCAGTAATTTAAGCTTACTCATTACGCGTTGAATGGGGTTTAATGTTCCAGTCTCTTCCTCAGAGAGAAGTAAACCCAACTATAAAGACAGCGTAAGTCAAAAAGAACAAACACGATACGTGTATACTTTTAGTAAACTAGCCAACTGTACTGGGTTTATCCACACCAGTTAGTAATGCTCATCACCCAATTCAATTCGATACGATTGTGAAGGGTGCCATTGCTATTGCACAGTCATTATATAACAAATTGACTTCGAGATTTGGTAAAACGGTTTAATCTGCCTTAAATTTCTTAAGAAACTGTGCGAGGCCCTGGTGATCAATGGAACAGGGTCTATGAATGTATAAGGTAAATGGTGGTTCTATAGTTGAGAAGAGGCATATATTATCGCAGAGTAATATCTGGACCATTTAACAATACCTAAAAAGTATACCGGAAGACAACTATCATTCACTAACATTATATCATCCGAATAGCATGGAATCCTGGCGGGTCTGCTCATATTGTGAGATAGTCGCGTTATTCGTCTATGCAGAAATTAATTCGTTTCAGCGATTGTCTGTAAAGTTTAATGGTTTCCTGCTGCGTACTTATGACTTTACATAGTCTCACATGCTTGTCTATCGCATACATATCAACCTCTGTATTACTTCTGATAAAATTGTATCCAGGTCTATGGATATTGAATCTTTCTGCGAATCATTAACATGTCCAGATATTTCTTACTAACCTGATTAACATTTGTAACGAGAGAGACACTGCGAGAGAGCTGCGAATAAAGGCATCTACGAGTTTTACCAGGTGAAGCGAAGCGTCCCGGATCGAATCAAAACACCAAGCAGAAATTATTAGTTCCACCGAATCCTGGGGCCGTCTATTTGCGCCATATTCTGGACCTACTTACAGAAAATAGAAGACCCTCCTCAGATACACTTCGCACTTCGTTTGATTACTTCCATTATGGTGAGAAGAGAGCGCGTCGAAGGCTTCTATAACTACTCCTATTTCAGATTAGAATTGTTGCGCAGCGTATTTCCTGAATTAGTAAAATGATGGGGAAATGGCATCTTACCTCGATTTATTTTCAGTCAAGCCGTGCGGTCTAACGTTCTGTACGTGGCTTGGCCGGTCGTTTAGTAGACGGCCGGCCGAAGCGAGCTGACGAACGAAGTGAAGAGCGCACACTCGAGGCACGCTGCGCACAGTGAATAAACCGCGCACACACGAGCGAGATGCACGAGCTATAGACGAAGATGAAAGAATTTATAACTGTGAAAGTGGTTGGCAGAGAACCTGAGTTAACTGTTGACGCCTTACTGTAGCTCAGAGAGCGCCAAGCGCTCTATGTCCTTGAGTTGTATATATACACCCTATGTACTCTGTATAGTACTTTTAACCAGCTCCGTGATTGGTCAGCATGATCGCGCGCAATGCCAGAGATATAGATGCATTCACGGCGATCAGAGTGCACGATGAGTCGAGTGTGTATACCCACACCCAAGTCAACACAATTTCCCGCGGTTATCACGGCTTTGCACTCACACGTCGAGGTCTCGCTTTTTTATATCCTTATTTTCTATAGTCTGGCCTCCACCATAATAGATATTTTTCCAACTTAAACAATAGAGAGTCACCACAATCTGAAGCGCAAAGATATGAGATTTTCACGAACTTCCACAGTTATTGTAGACTGATGAGTATGGAAGCTCTTGATACGTAAAAATTACTCTGGAAGTTTCCTTGTGCGAGGAACTATCTGACTTGATTATTTCATTCCTAACTGGACCCCACTGGAACTCTTATTTCTTTCGCGTACTAATAAAACTAAAATAGAGTGAATTATGCCTGCTAGTAATATAAACATAACTTCATTTCGGGGAAAAAAAAAGCAAAAAAGAAAAGAGTGAAAAGGGAAAGGAGAATTTTGGTCTCATAAACTAGTTACGGTATTAAAATGTACTGCGTCTAGAACCTGACAAAATACTTAAAAAAAAAAAAGAGAGAGACAAAAAGAAAGGTATCAACGTAGATAAGGTACTTCGAGCAACTTTGAGATATGAGTCATATTATTACCAAAAGCATCACAAAGGTCAGAGTAGATTCCGGACCATCAATGCTTGCAATATTGATGTCATCAGATTATCAATGATAGAGCCCGCTCGAGAGTTACCACAAGGCTAAGTCCGTTACCCGTGTCTCGACCTAGTGACGCAAGAGGGGGTGCACAGCGAGCACCCAGGCAGCGATCGAGGAAGAGTAGCTATGAGACCATAGTGAAATAAAAAAGCGTATCCGCCTGTGAAAAACAGACGTGTTGGTTAGTTGTCACGAGATTAAAAAAAAAAAAAAAAAAAAAAAGAAGTTAACTCGAGACTCAGCCCTTGGATATATCTTTACAACATCAAGGGTCAGTGATCCATGTGGAAATATCCATCAGATTATCAGATACGTCAGAGTCAAGTTCTTTCCCTTCGACTTATTCCAAGGGGCCCATACCAGCCCAGGAAGCTATAGACCAAGTAATAAAAAGGATCCCCTTGAACAGACGGTGTTAGGCCGAAAACCCGACCCGAAATACATTTTTAGGGACACATAACGAAATCATCCAAATAAGAAAATTGATAAATGAATTATGAATTAAAACTAAACTAACACACCCCGTGCCATGTTTGAACTGAAATTAAGATAACAAATAAACACTACAAAATTAGACACGCTTGCTGATCTCTCCCTCCTTCCCCTTTTTCTTTCTCTGTCTCTCCCAATCTTTCGATCTCTCACCCCTGAGCGAGCTAAGCGAGTGAAAGGAAACGAGAAATGGCGAAATCAAGTGCCGACGATGAGGAGCTCAGGAGGGCCTGCGAGGCAGCAATCGAAGGCACCAAGCAGAAGATCGTGATGTCGATCCGTGTTGCCAAGAGCCGAGGGATCTGGGGAAAATCCGGCAAATTGGGTCGCCAAATGGCCAAGCCTAGGGTTCTTGCTATCTCTAGTACGCCAATTTATTTTTCCCGTTTTTGCTCTTCTTTCGCATTCCTGCTTGCACAGAATTAATTTTCCTGATTTCTTTCTCCTTGAATTGTGGTTTTGTTGTTGTATCAATCGAATATAGAGCTCATACATTGGGTCACTTCTATATACTCTTAGAAATGTAGCTGGGACTCGGTGTTGATATCGACTAAATTCATAATCTGAACTTTAATTAAATGGATGGTATGTATGTCTGGTAATGGTCCCTTCAGTCAAATTTTGTATTGTGCCAATTTCTAAATGCCTGATTTTGACAGAGTACACCTTGACCTTGTTAATGAGCTTGCTTCATTGCGTTTTAGTGTTTTCACTGTTTGCTTGGATACCTAAATGGTTAAATTTACAAGAAAAACAATGTCATTCAGAAACCTGAACGAGCTGCAATATGTCATGTTATCTTCGTATTCTTGGATTCAAAAGATGACCTTCGATTTTATGATGCAATTTCTTGGTTCCAATATTATTTGGCTTAGCTGCAAAAACAATTCCTTGTGGTAATTGTTATTTTGTGGAGCAAAAGTGTTTATTGATATGCTAGTTCTAGCACTCCTATTGTTGGGCTTTAGGGAAGTTTTTAGCACTCCACATGGAGAATTTGACGTGCTTTGTTATAAATTTCATTTTTGAAGTTGAATTTCTGAGGGCCTATTTGTTCGTTGGTCTGTTGTACCTTATCATTGCTTGGAATTTCCTGTCTGACTGCCTTTTACGGAAAACTATGAGCCTAGAATTAGACTAAGATATTGAATAGATCAGATGCTGTATTATTGATAATTCTCTTCTTTGATCAACAAAATCACAAAAATATTTTGACATCATATTGCATTATTTGGCTGTGTCAGTGACAGTATTTGGTTTTGCAGCAAAAGCCAAGGCTACACGAACTAAAGCATTTCTCCGAGTCTTAAAGTATTCCACTGGAGGAGTCCTTGAGGTAAATTTCATTTGGCCAAAGAATTTGCAAGTAGAAAAAAAAAAGGTTCCACTGAAGAAGTAGCCACTACATATTCTCAGACACCTCGCCTTGCCCTTAAAAGCTAGCTATCTTGTGTAGGCCTTAATCACAAATTTAGGGCCTCTGGCACAAATTGAGACACATAGGTCTTGTCGGAGGCAAAGTTTTAGCCTTAGGTTTTTCCTTCTTCCCTAAGGTATTTGATTTCGGATCTTCATCATGCTAATGCCCACAGTGGGATGTATACTTTTAGTTTAGCTCAAGTGGTAAAGAGTGGATGATCCTGATAAAAAAAAATGTATTTAAATGTAATTTTACAATTAAATTGTGAAGTGGAAATAAGTTTGTTTATGGCCTATGTTGCAAACTGATAAAATGTTTCCCTCGTTGCCTGTTAAGCTTGCTCAATTACATTTTTCATTTGAAGGATTTATCTTTTTTTTTTTTTGGGAGAGAAATACAAAGTCTCCAAATTGAGCCACAGATCTAAGGGCAGAAACTCATTTTTCCGTGATGGGTAATGATATATCTTTGTTTTCCTAAAGGTATTGTTTTAAGATCTTTTATGTATCTTGCAGCCTGCAAAGTTATACAAGCTGAAGCATCTTTCTAAGGTGGAGGTTGTAGCTAATGATCCTAGTGGCTGTACATTTACCCTGGTAATGCCTTTTTACTGTTTCCTTGAAAAAGCTTTATGATGCATGTGGTTGAGTAAATAAACAATTTAATAAATAAGGAAAAAAATCTGCTTGAAAATTCTTAAATGTCCTGCTCTATTCCTTGATCAGCCGCTTCTTACTGAACTTACAGGGTTTTGATAACCTTCGAAGCCAGACCGTCACTCCGCCTCAGTGGACTATGCGCAACGTTGATGATAGGTAAGCATTTTTGGCAATTTTCCACTTTTCAATATTGGGTAAAGAATGGTTTGTCACACCTTACCCTACTGTAAGACATGGCATGTCGCCCGTAATATAATTAATAAGCACTTAATTCTTATAAATGCTTACTAAGTATACTACATGCATCAATAGCTCTAACATAATAACAAAGGTTTTTCAGACATTCTGCAGCCGAAGTATATTCGTACAAGACAGCTCCACTAGTCCGAAAAACTAGAGGAGAACGGAAGGAGCGGGACAGAGGTCAGCTATACTTATCTAGAGAATGGCCACCTGTAAATCACAGACAATTATATGCCGGCCTCTGGCACAAATTGAGCACATTAGTCTTGTCGGAGGTTAGGGTATTACGTGTATTTTTTGCGTCTCTTTCCTCATTAGAGTGTACATTTGTAGAAGAAGTCGATTCGCATACTTATCACAATTGACACTCTATCTACTGAATGACTCTTTCTACGATCCTTTTTGTCAATTCACAGCTAAACTATCAGTGCGGTGTTCATCTTACTGTTGTTGTATATTGCTCAAGTGCCTGTAATCATTACGTGAGAGTCGGACGATTCAACACCCTCGATCTAATACATATAGGAACCACGTGATTTATAGAATGATGAATTATCATCATTCAAAAATTGAGAAGTGGACACAACTATAGAGCTTTTGTTTTTAGGGTTTTAAGAAACACAATCTTACTCGTTCTTCCCCAGATGCGTCGTTGCCAGTAATATGATTATAAGGCTTTCTGCTTTCTCAATTTCAACTACTTTTTTTCATTTGCGATTTTAAAATATATAGCTCTTCTTTCCTAATTCTTTTTTTTTTGCGCGGGAGAGAAAAGACAAAAGAGTGCTACTTGCGAGGAACATGGATAGAGTGGGACATTCAGACCTCATTAGGGGCACTATGATAACTCCACATATTTCTGCATTTCTCCTTTTTGCCGCTATTGGGCTTGATTGAGTTTCCGAGTTAATGTGTGGCTACCTGCTTCAAATAGAGAACATATATATGGGTTAGAATCTTTCACTCTTGCCACACTTCGTTGGGAGCAATGAGACCTAGATCCGCCACATTATAAAATATAATAAGTAGAGGGCAAGATCTGAGGAAGCATCATATATCCTTTAGGGGAATTGTAGCTAATGATAACTCTCATGTTGTCTCTGAGAGACTACACCTCTTATTTCTAGCTCACTTGGTACCCCTATCTTTAAAAGACCGGCTATGCACCTTTGACTTGGGCTTTTCGTTACTTAAGTTACTTCTTGGGAGTTCGGTAAGAAGCCTGACACGATGAAAGGTTGAGACTGGCTTTGTCCAGTACTAACAATAGAATTTATAATAAATCACAGGACCATACCCACTCGGGCTTGCTTGAACGAAATTACTTAAAAATGTCCTGGCCTCCTATATCACTATTTCCAGCGGTCCGACTCGAACTAAAGCACATTCCCCTCTTTGCTTAGGTTTGGGGTTCGGGTTCAGCTCTGTCGCCTGTATAACATCGTTTGCATACGCCGCACTCCTCCGACTTGTCCTTACTTGTGTAACATTCTGATCTAGCGAAACTAAGTATGGATAAGCGTGCGCGTTTAATTGTATAACCTTATACGATTTTCCTAATGGGCATGCCAGTTTTAGCAGACTGCGATAAGGGGGCATGTGAGGGACACAGTTTTACTTATCACCTAGAATAATAAATTTTACCGGAATAAGTAATTCTAAATACTAAGAATACCAAAGCCCTCAAACGTCCTAGCTTCCCGCCCTTATTGTTTAAAGAGTCAAACTATCCGTAAGAGTAGTGAGTAGGTTAAGGCTGAAAGTGAACTCATACGAAGCATCCCCCAACCGGGGGCTGAAATTATCTTTTCTTGCTTTTAACTACCCCTGTTATTGGTAGAAAAGCGTTTTAGCCTAGAAGCTAAGATTCGGAGTCTATAAACCTATGAGCTGGGTGGAGCTTTTTCTTTATGCGAACCCCAGCTGAAGAGGCTCTTCGAGGCTAGAGCAGCATTAGTTGTCAACGAACACAAGCAGTGACGCAAATAAACGTCGTCATCCGAGGATTCGCAGAGATGGTAAGTAACCGAGCAATTCACAGGTTCCCCTATTCCTGTCAAAGACCAACAACATAAATATGGGATGACAAAATCTACTAATACAGACAAGAGCGAATGCATTTCAACTATTAATCGGGTACCACGCAATTGGATCTTTGTACAACACCACCTTCGACGCCACTCGGAAAGCTCTATAACTTTCGGTATAGTTAAACGTACAAAGACGAATAGGACATTGATACCGCCCGTAGAAGTATAACAAATTACACTATACCAGCGACTTGGAGATTCTTGAAATATAGCTTGTATCCATTAAAGCGTATTCCACTTATCTTCTCGAGGAGCACTATACTCTAACAAGGGACTTCTTAAATTAACGCTTTAATTCCATGCATGAATTTCACCTTTAGTCATTATTAATATGCTTGTAGCCACACTGGAAAACAAGTATTATAGAGAAATGATATAATTAATATTAAATAGCAATTTTATTTATTACGCGTAAAACAACTTTTTCTTTCTGTTTTGGTTTAGATTTAATAAAACTTCGTTTCAAGTATAAAAAATAGTTTCTTATGACACAAAAAAATAAGTAACGATAATATGAACTTATTAATGCACACCAGCACAAGTAAGTAAAAATAAAAGTGGTTCCATAACCGCACGAGAATAAAGAATCCTAGTCAGAGTATATGATCTTTGGATCATAGGGAAGTGGTTCCCGAGGTAGTCACTGTTACCTATAAATTAACAGTATAGCTCGAGTAACATTAAGATACAAGTACTACCCGACAGACTTAACTCAAATACGTGGTCGGTCTATAGGATAGTGACTGAATACATAGAGCCTGTATCAAATTCGAAATTATAGATCCATAATGCTATGTTAAGATGCTAAACATGATATATCGTGCGTCGAAGTTATATCACATACTATATAATGGCAATTACGCGGCTGTGAATGGTTTTCAAGCATACATATACATACTTACCTCCACAAAGAAGTGCGAAATCACCTATCAAATAGCTACATACAGTAGCAAACGACTCACCGTAATATCTATCCAATTAGTCCAGGAGGAGATTGAGAGTTCACCTGCTCGCTCACTAGAGTCCTGTGTTTACTTTCCTTTACAATAAAATCTACCGCAATACGAACAGTACTAACAAAGCGCGCGACCCTATTCTAAATGCAAACAATGAAGATTACCCATTGAGCCCGAGATCGCGACTTAAAACGTCGGAAAGAAGATAGACTTTTAATACACAATAATAATAATAAAAGAGGCAAATAGAAAAAGGGCGATATTGTCTACGAGAGAAAGATCAAGCGATCAGTGTGTTATTATAGCGAATAATAAGACACAGAGAAACTAAAACAATATCAACCCGTATGAACAATCAGTTTTCATCAATTCATACAGATAAGTTCCTTACCACCATTTATAGAAAGTCAAATCCTAGCGGATCACCATCAGATGTCGTAAAGATGTGAAGCACAAGGCTAGACACACTGCTTAATCCAGGATTCTGAGACAAACCCAAATCTCTCACTATGAATTTTCAGCGAAAAGAAAGTGGAGCGCAATCAATCCAACCTTTCTAGCTAGTCTATACATTGGAGCGCTGTAGATTTTCACTATATCAAACGATGAGAATAGACAATCATAAAGATAGCAATTGTAGATGTCGATGCTAATAGCGTCATGGGCCAAAGCTGCAGACATCGAGTGAATCTAGAATCAAGCTTCAACAGAAATAAGTAAAAGAATGGAGAGTCCTATTTCTGGTCCTTGCGGTTAATTAATCGAGCGCGTATATCTATATCATGCACTAAATTGTAAGGACTTTTGAAACCATTCCATTTATGCTACTAATATTCAAGAATCGACATGGACAACATTCCTATAATATCGCATCATTCAGAGCTAACCATAGCATTTGCTTCATATGACCCTGAAAAATCACTTCTCCATAATTTCTAGGACAGCAGGAGGCAATCTGACACCCCCACATACTACAGATAACCTAATATTTGCTTGAATGCACGAATTTGTCCATACCTCTATTCACCAGAATGAATATATAATGACAAGAAGGAAAAAAGTCTAGTGGAATTAATATTCATTTTATATTATCTAATCATTTCTAACTGATCTTTTACTGTGAGGGGAGGAACAATAGATAGTAAAGCTGCAATCGATTGACTTTAAACTGTGGAGGCCTTGTCTTAAGAAAATGCCTGCTCTCTGAGATGCAAATAAGCACTTAGTCCAAAAAACAAATTCTTTATTGCTATTCTATAAATTCATGAATTATTAATAAATTAAATCTTCGATTTGAGAGCCATATTACCCACTGAAAATAAAAATGAATTTATTAGAGAAACAAAACTCGATAAATTTCAATTTTCCGTTTAAATAAAAGTCACGGCAAGGAATTCTACAGTATATACACTAACGTCTTGATTACATAGAGGAATGGCTTCTTCCCCTACGCCCCCATCTAAAGGTCGCTCATATAAAAGGTATGAGAGAGTTCCACAGAGCAAGCGGATCAGCAAGCGGCGGGGGCCGACACTGGCTTGCACAAGCTTCAAGCGAAAGCTCGCCAAGCGGAGGAGACAAGGCCACGGCCTTCTGATCATCACTCAGCAGTATCAATTCCAGCGGGAGAGGAAGAAGCAGTGATACGATCTTTTTAATTCATTTTGTTTAAATAAAAGTAGGAAAGGAATAATAACACTAACCTGAACTAGATGGCTCCCCTAGCCCTTTTCCTCTAGTAATCACCCTCTCCTCAACTCCCTTTCTCTCAGAAGCTGTAGCATGATATTAATACTCACATTAAGATCATACTACACAATGTAAACACATGCACTTCTATAGGAATGTAAATTAAGCATTAGAATGTAGTATCATGCTTTTTCTTTCATTTTCACTATGCTTGTCCAAGTGTTATATGATCTGAGTTTAAGCATGAAACACTTCATATCCAACACTTAACCACACCCTAGACACAGAATAACAACAATGAAAACAATAGAAGTCAATAGCATGCTAAATTCGTTCAATGTTTATGAAATGCAGAATTTCAGCATTTGAGTAGCTTGTATTCCATTGATTATATCTGGACTTCCTCAAATTCATTTGCCCTGAAATTTTTACAGCATGTTCCCAACATCTTAGGGTACTTCCCTGTAAAATTTCATAATTTTTAAAGCTCATTTGCATTTTATATTACGGGCGACATGCCATGTCTTACAGTAGGGTAAGGTGTGACATGTTTATTTTGGTATCAGAGCAGTTTTAATTGCATATTGGATCACATTTTTACTGCATATAAATGTGTGAAATGTAATCTGCTCAAATATGAATGCCTGTTAATTGTTGGATATCTACATCATACAATATTCTACAGCCTATCTCCATATAAAATTTCATGAATTTTAAAGTTCATTTGCTTAGTCAAATAGGTCAATTACAGAAGTTGAATTTCAGGCAGCCCAACTGTAACAAGTTCAACAATGATATATTTGCTTAAGCATTCTCAACTCACTTCCAGCACAAATTCATGTAATCCAACTCTTCCTTCTATTACTTACATAACATCATAATATAAGAATATCAGAATCCCTAGTTCATGGCATATCAAGAACAAACTCAAAATCATCCATCTTGGTGACTTAAGCAACTTAGACTTTGAATTCATGCATAACTACTTTCAATCATCTTAAATCACCTTAAAATCACTTCTCATCACTTCATCTTCAGCAAATCAGATTACACAAACAAGCACCTCACTTCAAAGTTCATGGAATTCAAAAAGTAGTCCATAGAAATGAAGGAGGAAGTGAAAATAACTAACCTTTTCTTAAGAAATACTTGAAAATTCTTTGTCTTTAAATACTTGAAAATTCTTTGATTTTCACCTTCTTTTTGCTTGGTTTTGACTCAAAATCCTCCTCCTCTCTTCTTGAACCTGCAACAATGAGTGAAGTGTCGTGGTTCTTTCCTCTTCTTCAATAAAATTATATAATAAACTTTATTAAAAATTCCTTCCATGTCCTTTAAATGCAATTTGCACTATAATCCTCCCTTTTGTTTTCCCTTCATCCTTTGGCACTCTAATCTTTTTAATCATTTTACTTTAGTCCTATTAGGTATAAACGAAGTGTATTTAATATTCTAAACTCCACTTGGTAAAAATCGTACGGAAATTACCGTTTTTCAAGCTTTTCGGGTAAAATCGTGCTTTACCGAGAAGTCATTCATCTTTTAACTCATTTTTGATTTCCTTTAAGCTTTCACATTGATTTGCAAAAATAATGCTGCTGCTCTTTGCTTCGTTCGTGTAAACCTTCTATTGTACTCTACCTTCACGACTGTTCCGGTCGCATCATTTTCTCATCTTTTCGTTAGTTTTATTAATTTTTGAATATTAATATTAATATCCTCAATCTATAATGTTTCCCATTATTTTAAGTTTTCCTTTTATTCGGATAACCGAATTCATCGAAAAAGCTAAAATAGAAAGAACTACAAAATTGAGGATATTACATGGTTAGTGGAAGATCTATCTGCCAAATTCTTGTTTTTCTTGCATTTAATTTACTAAGGACTACTATTTTACATTCTTTTATTTCAATTGCTCCTGTAGGAACCGCCTTATATTTTGCATCTTAAACATCTGCAAAGATGTACTTGGCCGTCTTCCCAAATTAGTTGGACTAGATGTTGTGGAGATGGCACTTTGGGCTAAGGTACATGCGATGATCTTGTACTTTACCATCTTCGTTCAAGTATCATTGCTCTTAGGAAGTACTTTTTATGAGTTATTTGTTACTTTCTAACAATTACTTTTACTCTTTTGATGTAGGATCATACACCTGCAGTTTCTAAGCAAAGAAATCTACAAGATGGGCCTGTTGCAGCTGCAGTGGCAGAAGGTGATTTGAAAGTGAGCGTTGAAAGGGAACTTGTTTCCCAAGCTGAGGAAGAGGACATGGAGGCCCTTCTTGATACGTATGTTCTTTTTCCTTTATTGTGAGGTTGGCATCTTTAGGTTTCACAATTATCCTCTTCAATCTCGCCATTTATCAACCGGACCATTATCATTGAGAAGTATGACAAGTGCTGGTTGTGGAACAGTTTGTCCTACTTTTGGCACTTGTTCATTGCTTAATCTGGTGTTTTTTATTTATTATTTATTTTTCAGCTCTTTTGTCAAAGACAGCTTCTATCTTACTGAATGACATCTTTTCTTTTATTATGAGTCTGTGTTATTACTGCTCTAATATTTTAATACAATTGTGTGCAGTTATGTCATGGGTATTGGGGAAGCAGAGGCATTTTCTGAAAGGTTGAAGCGTGAACTTCTTGCTCTTGAAGCTGCAAATGTGCATGCTATCTTAGAAAGTGAACCTCTGATAGAAGAGGTATTTATAGTGCAATCATGTGATGGGTTTTAACTTTTCCTTTAGTACCATAACTTTATGTATGAGTTCACTAATTCTTTTTTAAGGCTGAGTTTTGGCATAAATTTATATGCATTGTAGATTTTCCTTCTACCTTGTTGACTTATTTTAATATTTGGCAGCTTCTTTCATTGGTGGTATTCTATATCACTGCTTATGATTATTGCTTGTGGATTCATGTAATATAGAAAACTCTTGTCATCCATTATTGCTGCTTGTTGGGTTTTTTAGGTGCTGCAAGGGCTTGAGGCTGCAACAATATGTGTCGATGATATGGATGAATGGTTAGGCATCTTCAATGTGAAACTCAGACACATGAGAGAAGATATTGAGTCGGTAAACACATGCTTGCACAAATTGTATTTATGTATAGTTCTTGTGGAATTGTGATGTCATGCTGGTTCTTGCTTGAATATGCATACTAGTTTTTCTAGTTGCAGGCTTTCATATATGTAGGTGTTGTTAAGAACCCCCCCTGCAGGCTTTTTCATATATGTAGGTGTTGTTAAAGAACCCCCCCCCCCCCCCTCCCTATATTTTGCTTGTGTTTAAATTCTTTTGAACCATTACCCTCATGTATTCGCGTTTTCATCTCTCTTCTTTATTTGTTTATTTAGTTATTATTTTATTTAACGTGGAAAAAAACCAGCTCTTTTCCTGCCTTCTAATCAAATTTACATCTGTGTGCTTGTTCTTTTATAAAATAGCTTAGTTGGGGAATTATTCAAATTTGTCCATGCTTAAGTGGCTTGTGGCCACAAATTGTATTACACCTAAACTACCGTGAGTTGATTCGTGCCTCTAAATTCAACTAAGCACACATTGGATGTTGTCCCCCCCCCCCCCCCCTTATTTTGCTTGTTAAATTCTTTTGAACCATTACCCTCATGTATCGCGTTTCATCTTCTTCTTTTATTTGTTTATTTAGTTATTTTTTTATTTAAGGTGGAAAACCAGCTCTTTTCCTGCCTCTATCAAATTTACAATTGTGTGCTGTTCTTTATAAAATAGCTAGTTGGGGAAATTATTCAATTTGTCATGCTAGTGGCTTGTGGCCACAATGTATACACCAAACTACGTGGTTGATTCTGCCTCTAAATCAACTAGCACACATTGGATGTGTACATATGTTGAGTTAAATTATAATGTTTATGATTAACTATATACTTATTGCCTTGATGTTATCCAGATAGAAACCAGAAATAATAAGTTGGAGATGCAGTCTGTTAATAACAAAGCACTCATTGAAGAGCTTGATAAGCTTGTTGAACGTTTGCATATTCCTTCTGAAGTATGTTATTCCTTCAATTTTCTGTCTTCAGATTATTTAAGTCTACATTTTCAAGCCTCTTCATCATCTAACATTTTCTTTGATTGGCTGCAGTATGCAGCATGCCTAACAGGAGGTTCATTTGATGAAGCACGCATGCTTCAGAATATTGAAGCATGTGAATGGTTAACTGGCGCTTTAAATGGTCTTCAAGTACCTAATCTGGATCCAACATATGCAAACATGCATGCTGTATGTAGTCTACCTCTTTTATATTTTATTTTAATTTATTTTTTAGGAATCAACCTGACTTTGGGGCTATTGCTAAATTTCTGGCCCTACAGCAAGTGGCAACATTGTTCTTCATGCCACTATGAACCTAAGAACACAAATTCATGGACCGTATTTTGTTGCATTAAGTTTTATGGATTAATCTCGTGAAATGAATGTTTCTGTTGAGCTATATTATGAGTCTATAATTTATAGCTTGCACGGATATATAGGATGGGTTTGTAGCTGGTTTTGCCATTTCCATTCCTATTCTGTTAAGTATCAGAATAGCTGTTGGAAAAACATGCAGGATAGGTGCAGGGTGGGGTTTGGTATCCCTTTTTATGTCATTTAAAAATCATATCTTTCTGTCAGTAAATGCTATATGTATATATCTATTAACTTTTGCATACTATTTGTCAATTTTTGAGAAAATATAATGATTTCAAGTAGTTTATTCTGTTATTTTCAAAGACAACACACACACACACACACACATACTAAAGGCAGCAAAATTGAGTTGAGCAAGGGCTAAACAAATCTTTTCCTGAGATTGCTATCTCTATGAATATAAATTGTGGCGTCGTCTGTCTAATGTACTGACTGACATTTTACAGGTCAAAGAGAAGCGAGCAGAACTTCAAATATTAAAAGCTACATTTGTTAGGAGAGCTTCTGAGTTCTTAAGAAACTACTTTGCTAGTTTGGTGGATTTCATGATAAGTGACAAGAGTTACTTTTCACAGGTATATTTTATATCTGTTGTTTTCATCTTCAATGCGATTAATAATATTGGGGTTAGTAACTTTGAGTATCACATATGCACAGCGGGGACAGTTGAAGAGGCCTGATCATGCAGATTTACGGTACAAATGCAGAACGTATGCTCGCCTTCTCCAACATTTAAAGGTTAATGTGCTAAACCTTTGCCATAATTCTAAAGAGTTTATAGGTCTGGATCTCTTATTTCCCCTTTTCTGAACTATTTTTTACCTTTTTACTAACAGAGTCTTGACAAGAACTGCTTGGGGCCTTTAAGGAAAGCATATTGTAGCTCCCTTAACTTGCTTCTTCGTCGAGAGGTTAGGCAATAGACTCCTTTTACTGGATAAGAATGAAGTTACTCTTCTTAACTATTTAAGCATGCATTTGAAGTTTTTATCATGTACTCGACTGAAAGACGGGTTCTTTAGGATCTGAATACTTGCACTTGGAAGCATATTCTTTCCATAGAGTTTTCTTGTTAGCATGGCTTATCAAATTTATGGTTTTGGAAATTTTTTGTATTCATTTACAGGCTCGTGAGTTTGCTAATGAGCTTCGTGCTAGTACAAAAGCATCAAGAAATCCAACTGTCTGGCTTGAAGCTTCCTCAGGTTCCAATCAAAATGCAAATACTGCAGATACATCATCAGTTTCTGATGCTTATGCCAAAATGTTGACAATTTTTATCCCACTCCTAGTGGATGAGGTTGTAATTATCTACAGAAATTGTTGAATTGCTACTGTTATTGCCTTTTGTATTAATAATTTATTTTTTCCATGGTTCACCCTGTAGAGTTCTTTTTTTGCACACTTCATGTGCTTTGAAGTTCCTGCCCTTGTTCCTCCTGGAGGTCTTGCTAATGGTAATAAAGGAGGAAGTTATAATGGTGAGGAGGAGGAGGAGGACGACGACGATGATGATTTGGGTATAATGGACATTGACGAGAATGACAACAAATCTGGCAATTCAAGTTTGTGTTGTGACTTTTATTGTGAAGCTTGCCCACTGCTAGACTGCAAAGAATTTAGCGTAATTACTTTATTTTGTAGGTAAAAATGCAGCAGATCTGGCAGCACTAAATGAGTCTCTTCAGGATTTGCTTGATGGAATCCAAGTAATCTACATCTTATGCTGTTTCTTATATGGATAAAATTACATAAAATTCTCACAGTTTTGTTTGGTATGAGTCGGTACTGTTTGGACATCATCTTGTCTAGGGTATTGTACTGTTCAGTAGTAGCAATAGGCTCTACTGGTGATTTGAATAGCAAATTTGTCAATTACTTCAAAATTCTTGGTTTTGACTTGTAGAAGTTCTCCATTTAATGAATTTTAGGAAGATTTTTATGCTGTTGTTGATTGGGCATATAAGATCGATCCTCTTCGGTGCATATCAATGCATGGGATTACAGAGAAGTATCTTTCTGGTCAAAAAGCTGATGCTGCAGGATTTGTGCGTCTCTTACTTGGTGACCTGGAGTCAAGAATCTCTATGCAGTTCAGCCGTGTATGTTTCAGCTCCGAAAAGCAATGATTTGTGGAAGCACATATTTCAATATTACCTTGTGTTTACCAAGTCATTTGCGTTGCAGTTTGTTGATGAAGCTTGCCATCAGATTGAAAGAAATGAGCGTAATGTGCGACAGATGGGGGTTTTATCTTATATACCAAGGTAATTGAGATCCAAATTCTGTCCATTCAGGAAAACTCAAATATTTTCCTTTTCGAAATATGAAGTAATATGAATAATATATGTCCTTGAATCAATTTATCATAAATGAACTGATGCAAATAATTTTGATGCTTCTGGGGTGATTTAGAAGACTGGCATATTTAAAAGTGAGACATTTCGAAATAGACCCAAATAGTTCTGTATTTTATAGATGACTTACCTATATGTCATTTAAATTTTGATTCTACATCATATAAAGATGGTCTCATTACTGTATAGGTTTGCTACTCTTGCAACTCGTATGGAACAGTACATTCAGGGACAATCTAGGGATTTGGTTGATCAGGCTTATACAAAATTTGTAAGTGATCTTTTTGAGCACATGTTCCTAATCTTATTTTGTGCAGTTACAGTCTGTTGTGCAAAGTCAGAATCATGTACTCTGCCTCATTTCGGGTACAATTTTACATGGTGAATTTTGTGGAACAGGTTAGCATAATGTTTGTAACATTGGAGAAAATTGCACAAACAGATCCAAAATATGCCGATATTTTTCTTTTGGAGAACTATGCAGCTTTTCAAAACAGGTAATTGTTTTCTTTTTATTTTTTGTTTTGTGCAAATTTCAGGTTATTCAACTTTTTTTCCCCTTTTCTTTTTGGTCAATTACATCTGCTGATTAAAAGCAGTTGCTTGCAGCTTGTATGACCTAGCCAATGTTGTTCCCACTTTAGCCAAATTTTATCATCAGGCGAGTGAAGCCTATGAGCAAGCTTGTGTTCGTCATATCAGCATGATCATTTATTATGTAAGAAATCCTTATTCTTCTAATGTCTTTCCTGCATTTGATTTGTGAATTCGATTACATTTGTGATCATTCATTTTTTTTCAATGGTGTCTGTCCTTGTTTCCCCTTTCTAGCAATTTGAACGGCTTTTCCAGTTTGCCCGCAGAATCGAGGATTTGATGTACACAATTACACCAGAAGAGGTTAGTATTTTGGACATTACATGTTATCCATAGTTAATAATTTATATCTGTAACCATCATACTGAAATTCTGCATGAAAATGCTTTTCCTATTTTTTACATTATTAACTTTAATATGGAGAATTCAGGTGGTTAAATATCAAGAGTATTTTACTTCTAAGAATTTTGTTTGGCAAGTAATGGAGTTTGGTGAATATATCTCCTGCAACTCTTTTGGGCGAGAAGTGAAATAGCTGTACATTTCTTTTGAACATGCTTCGTGGAAGTTGGAATATGAACCAAATCATTGTTTCTTTTGGAGTTGTTCTATTTATCTTCATGTTTGAGTGCATTTGTCATTCTTATTATCAGTGAGATGTTCCCACTTTTTCCTTATTCACATACTAAAGGTACACTTGCCACCAGCACACAATTAGCTTATCTGTGAATGGATTGTATTTTAGAGTAGTTTCAATAAGGTGAGTAATAAAATTTTATGATAGCAAAACAAATTTCCAATCAAAATTCAAAGAAATTTCCAATTGGGTTTTCTTTTAGGTTGTCTAGAATTGAAGGTGTTTATTCAATTTTCTGAACAGTAATAAGAAGAAGCATGAATTTATGATTCTAGATGTTTTCTTTTTGGCAGTCAAAGTTTTTCTTATCTTATAATGAGACTTATGTGCTATGCCACCTTTGAACATTGATGTGCAATGCTTCACTGATCAACTCTTGATTCTGAATTTTTGTTTCAGATTCCTTTCCAGCTTGGATTGTCAAAAATGGATCTACGGAAGATGTTGAAGGCTAGTTTATCTGGGGTAAGTCCCTTAATGACCCCAAAACGTGTTGCCCCTAGTCCAAAGGAAGTGTTGTAATTAATTGGCTTATCGGCAGGTTGACAAGTCTATCAGTGCAATGTATAAGAAGTTGCAAAAGAACTTAACTTCGGAGGAATTGCTACCTTCTTTATGGGATAAATGCAAGGTATGTTCCCATGTTAGACTTCATTACTGAATGATTTCTCAAAGCCAATCAGCATTACAACTAATGGGTTTTCTTTTCTATGAACAAAGAATTAACTAAATTGCCAGTAAAAGTGGTTTTAGGAAGCTCTTGATGGGCTGGTTAAAACACTTATGATCAGTGAGGGGAGGACCCTTCTATGAATTGAAGTCTTGTAACCATAAAGGAAATGCATTTCTACAGTGATATAAGATAGTTGTCCCACAGTCTCTAGTCTGCCGTAGGACATCTGGCAATTGGTTCCTAGGAAGCCTCTGATATGAAAATAATGCTTCTCTGCACTTTTATGTTTGTCAAGAATGGAACTCAATATATAATAATGGAAAAATGTGAAAAGTCGTGTGAATGGCAGCTCAGAAGTTATTGGAACTTGGAAGTTCTAAATGTTCGGGTATCAGTATGGAAAAACATGCCAGTTATGTCACTTAGCTGGTTTTTGTACAAACTCCATGACATGAAGGGCTTAACGGTTCACATTGAAATTGAGCCTTTTCATAGTTATATTCTGATGGGTTAAGTGAATGATTTCGCTTAACTTGTTTTACTTCTGAAGGTTTGCTTTCTAATATAATTGTAGCTTTTCTTATGCTGTTAAGGATTAATTGCTGGATTTTTTTGGTAGACCATTCATAAAGTCAGAAATGCATTTTGTTGAAATTACTTACATCTACATTCTGATGACTTGACAGAAGGAGTTTTTGGACAAGTATGACAGTTTTGTCCAACTTGTTGCAAAGATCTATCCCAACGAAACAATACCCTCTGCAACTGAAATGAGAGATCTTCTGGCGACCATGTAAAACTTTGTAAAGAGAGTTATGTTGTATAATTCCTAGACGTTTTCTTCATTGTAGAGCATCATCACCCTCATGTAATTATTCTTTTTTGTTTGGTCAAAAAATTTTCCCTATTATTGATTCATTGGACTGACTGACTATCAGTGGTTGAATTGCATTGTGTGGAACTTGCTAATCATAATAATAATCTACGAGTCAAATTTTGTTTATCATGTTGTGTCTAATTTCTAATTTTGTCTTTATTAATATCCTTGTCTCTTTAAATACAACATCAGTCGATTTCAACACATTAATAATATCTGATGATTGCAGTTTTAGTATTTATTTAATTTAATGATCAGCTGGGGTGACTTAAATTTAAAGTATATTAACTGCCAGCAGTTTAGTCATATGTAGCAGTTATTTGATATTTGCTTTCCTGTTGTTATTTACTACTGATTTTCTTTCGCAAAGTAATTCTTATCTATAAGTGTACTTTCTGCGTCACCATCACCGCGACGGAGAAACTTTCCTTGACATTTTTTGTTTGGGAAGAAAAGTAAATGGCGGCCAGGAACTAGGAGAATTGTCTATTTGCAAGGAAGGAAATAACATTCGATGCGATTAATTTATCAAAATGAAAATTTTCTTTTTAATTAACTAACATAAAAATATATATATATATATATATCTTTTGATTTACCAAGTCAATGCGGGTATAAATTGACCCGTGCCCGTTATGATTGGACTTGAGGTTTTGGAAGATACGGGTCCAGTTTAGTTTGACAATTATTTGCCTCTTTCTCGATATGTTTTCTGTATTAGCAGGCTATTGGCTGGTGAACGAAGAAGTCCCTTGCATTTAAAAATAAATAATAAAAACTTATCAAAATAATAATAATAATTTTAAAACAAATAGTGAGTCTACCTTATATTAATGTAGTAACCATGATATCTTATTCGATTAGGAATCCAAGAAGGTTAATCTCCTATTCAGAAATTAAATCAATTATTATATAAAAGGTCTAATGATCTCAAGCATTCCTATTATTTCTTTAGTACATATTTTAAGTGATATTGCAAGTCATTCCATTATATTCCCTTATTTCTATAAACAAGCTTTCCTATTATTATTATTATATTCCATTAAAGGTTCTCTCCATTATTATAATTATATAAAATAAAAAAATAAAAGATTAAACTCTAAAGAGAGAGAGAGAGAGAAAAGAAAAAGAAAAAGAAAGGAAAAAAGCACTTAAGAAAAATGTCGTCAATCCAACTTGGAAAAATCCAACTTTAATATTGGCGCAAGTCATACGCAAGTAAATGTAAAATAATATTTTCCATATTTTTACATTTTAAAAATAGACTATTTTTTCTCAGCGTACTTGCGAACCAGTTGCCCAGGCACTAGGATCATTTAACTTACCTTACCAGTTAAGACTTCTTCTTCTCATCCTTCCTCTTCTGTTGCTACTTTTTAGGTTTTCCTCATTTGTTTTTAATTTTAACGACTTCCTCTATCAGCCATGTACAGTTCTCAGACGGAGACTTCCGTTGACTGCTACAGCGATGGCTTTGATGGTGCTTATTACGACGACGCTATTAGCTCCGATGATTTCTTCTTGAATTCAACAAATTTCGAAAACGATGTTGATGATTCCAAAAACACTGTCATTAAGCCAAAAAAATACAGGATCCTCAGAGAATACGATATACGTCAGCGCATGGATGATGATATCACTCGACTTTCTTTAGTCCTTTCTTTACCAAAACCAGAGGCAAGTATTTTACTCTGTTACTTCAATTGGTCTGTCTCTAAAGTCCTTGAAGCTTGGTTTTCTGATGAATCTGCAGTCCGTGAAAAAGTAGGCTTGCTCGATAAAGGAATTTTGTTTCCTGATAAAATTTTCTCTGTCTGTGGGATTTGTTTCGAGTCCTTCTCTAATGATATGATAATCACTGCTGCTTGTGGCCATCCTTATTGTAATCATTGTTGGTCTAGTTATATTAGCACTTCTATTACCAATGATGGTTTTAGGTGTTTGATGTTGAGATGTCCTGAGCCGTCTTGTACTGTTGCTGTCAGTCCGCGCATGATTGATTCACTAGTGTCCATAGATGATAAGAGAAAGTATGCTCAGTGCCTTATTAGATCTTATGTTGAAGAAAAGAAGAAAATGAAGTGGTGTCCTGGTAGAGATTGTGGTTTTGCTATTGAGATTTTTGATGGGAATACAAGTTTTGATGTTACTTGTGACTGTTTTACTAGTTTTTGCTGGAATTGTAGTGAGGAAAGTCACCGTCCTGTGGATTGTGAGACTGTTAAAAAATGGATTTTGAAGAATAACTCAGAGTCTGAAAATGTGAACTATATACTAACTTATTGCAAGCCTTGTCCTAATTGCAAGCGACCAATTGAAAAGAATGAAGGGTGTATGCATATGACATGTAGGGTCTGTAGACACAGCTTTTGCTGGTTGTGTCTTTCTTCGTATGACAATCATAGACAATGCAATGGATATACAGATAACTTGGACAGGAAAAAAGAAATGGCAAGGCAATCTTTGGAGAAATATACACATTATTTCGAAAGATGGGATGCTAATCGACGGTCAAAGTTGAAAGTATTTGCAGATTTTCAACATATTAAGGATGTGAAATTCAAAAAGCTTAGTCAGATACACAGTATACCTGAAGTTAATCTTGATTTTATAACAAAGGCATGGTTACAGGTAGTTGAATGTAGGCGAGTGCTTGAATGGAGCTATGCATATGGATATTATTTGCCTGACGATGAGGTTGTTAAGAAACAGTTTTTTGAGTACTTGCAAGGAGAAGCGGAGTTTGGACTAGAAAAGCTGCATAATTGTGCAGAGAAAGAACTGGAACAGTTTCTTGATTCTGATAGCTCGTCAATGGATTTTAGAAAATTCCGGACAATGCTAGTTGGACTGACAGTTGTGACTGGAAATTACTTTGAGAAGCTAGTAAGAGCATTGGAGAATGGCCTATCTGATGTTGTCTCTGATGGGGCTAGCAGTTCAAGGGATAAAGTAGAAGATTATTGGCTCTGTGATTGTTGCAGTTATGCCAATCCTGGGACTGTCTTAGAATGCCGGATGTGTGTCTCGATGGATGAAGATTAAGTTTACAGATAGAGAATCTTCAGCTAATTGTGACAATTGTTGGGTGAAATGCTCTGAACTCTCATCATATTGCTGTATAATTTAGGAATAACTTTTGCCTTTCTTTTACTATTTGGTATATGTATTTATGCAGGTATAGTCAGTGTTGACTGCAAATTAGTACATCCCTTCACAACAGTAAATTAGTAATCTTTCTTTCAGGGTTGGCATTGCATATTATGTCTAATGTTAAAGGGAAAATTAGTTAATGTCTGTTAAAAGGTAAAACCTAATATTTTCTTTCCTTTTATTGGCATCAGGGGAAAACAAGAAGGTGGCTTTTGAATTTTGATTGTTCATATGCTTTACAGTATTTGGATTAATGTAAAAATTTAATATTCGGAAAAAGCAAATGAGGCCAGGCTACTTGATGTCTTAACCTGTTTGATTCATGAACCCAACAGGAGTCATTATCTAGTTTAGCTATACAGAATTCGCTGAGCCCAATGAGAACAAATTGGCCCAACCATTACAGAAGCAAATAGAAAGAAACAAACTAAAAACTGTAGGACTTGTGGAGGGTTAGAGGTATGCCCTGTCTTTCTTCTTCTTCTTCTTCTTCTTCTTCTTCTTATTAATACAAAAGGAGAAAATTAGAGACTTTAAAATCAGATCTCTAAATGTATAAACCTCATTCTTATGGGTCGCTTCTTGATTATGTTGTATAAGTATGAAGCAGAATATACAAAAAGAATGTTTGACCATCAAAAGAATTAATGAAGGTTTCTTTGGCCCTTTAGCTATCTGCCATCTCACGCAACACCGACATAAAGTTTAGAAAGAAGGAATGTAGAAGCTGAGGAAACCAGAATAGCTCCAGCAAAACAGGCAAGATCCAAACTAGTAACCAGAGGTGTATTCTTGAATTTCTCCAACAATCCTACTTGTAGTATCATTAAAACGGCATGCCCAATTTTAGATTTGGCTTGTGAAACGGACTCCACTTGCACCCATGTTGGAAGAGACTGAAAAACAGAAACAAACAGATAAATTTCTATTACTATTTATATGTTTATGATATAAATCTATAACGAAATCTAACCTTCAAAAAGTTTGATCCTGGCAGCGATGGCCCTTTGTCTTTAACAAAGATGGTATACAGCCCAACACCAAAAATAACCATGGCTGTCCCTACCAAAAACATGTCTGCAAAGAGTAATAAAAGTCACCATAGTTCAGTATACACACATATATGGTAGCAAAAGAATACATCGAAGCATGTAGACAGTAGATGGTATACCTATGGCTTCTATGAGTAAATGCAGCAAGTGTGCTTGATCTGAATCTGAACTGTGAGATAAAGTACTGAAATACTGAAAATATGACTCTACAATTATAAAGCAACCCTGCATTATAATGTGAAAATTGTCTTTGTCAGTATCTAACAAATAAAAGGGTGTACATCAAACAATGTCAGCTGAAAAATTAAATAACTAAAAATATGGATGAAAAAAGAAAAATGAAATATATTTTGGCAATTTATAAATTTGATGCATAAATAAAACAAAATAAAATCTTTTTTTTTTTTTTTTGTTTTTTTGTTGGGCATCAATGGAAATATTAAAAAGAAAACTTAAAAATTATTTATTTTTGCAATTGGTGCATTATAGTGCAAGTTGCATGTAACAGCAACCAATGAAACGAAAGCAAACAAAATACAATTCTTAGTCTCCAGATTTTTTTTTTTTTTTTTTTTTTGAAGTTTGCATGTAACAGCAACCAATGAAACGAAAGCAAAACAAAAATATCAATTCTTAGTCTCCAGATTTTTTTTTTTTTTTTTTTTTTTTTTTTTTTGTCCTCAATTTTCCATATGATAATAATAATTTACCTCCACGAAACACAAAATCGAACTAAGCAAAGATCCCGCCACCGCAAATAAAATAAAGAATCGGCAATCAATTATAGCCTGCAAAATGCAAAAGACAAGAAAATAAGCATAATTAAGCTGCTTAATTTCGGATTATTAACTATAAATCAAATCTCATATAAACTTATTCTAACATATTATAATTTATAGCTCAAGATCACCAGCAAACGATTAACATATGAAAAAGTTGAATCAAAAAGATGAACGAACCTTTTCAATAAGCGTCTGGACCTGTAATTTCCAAGGCTTTCGTTTAACAACTGGCCTGAAAACTTTAAAGAAAGCAGTACCAACAGCTGCAAGCAAAGAAGCAAGATCTATTATTCCCTCATCAGCCCGTGGCTCTGCAATGATAAAGCTCTGCGTAATGGCCGCGGATGCTTTCAAACAAGGTGTCGCTGATTTCCTTTTATTATCACCATCTCCTGAAACTATCTTCTCTCCGCCTAAGCCTGCAGATCTACCAATGCATTTCATTGCAGTTATAGAAGAGGAAGTTGAGCCAGGAGGAGGCACCTGTTGCAGAGGCTTACAAGAACGTAACAATCTTACAGTGGCCATAATTACTAATTTAGCTTTTGGTTTCTTTCTTGTTCTTAATAGTTTGGTCTCTGTTTAGTTTGCCTTATGGAGTTTTTGGGTAGTTGTTTAGTGGCTCCTGGTAGTTTTATAGAGACAGTGTGAAGAAGGGAAGATTCTCAGCATATTAGCCATCCAATAGCCAAGACAAGAGGCGTTATTTATTTCACTCTTTCCGCTTTTTTTTTTTTTTTTTTTTTTTTTTTTTTTTTTTTTTTTTTTTTTTTTTTTTTTTTTTTTTTGGAGAGGCGGGTTTGGTTCGATTTGTTGAAAAATGTTGACCCTCACGTGACTTTTTTAATTTTTTTTTTTTTTTTTTTTTTTTTTTTTTTTGGAGAGGCGGGTTTGGTTTCGATTTGTTGAAATGTTGACCTCACGTGACTTTTTAAAGTTCCAGTTTCGGACAACGTGTGGGGCCAAAAGCGTTGTGAGATGGACACGTGTAGAGGCGTATCTTTTCAGGGTTTTCTACTGGTTATTGGTTAATAGTATTCCTCTGTATTCCAACTGCCGGCTTGGAAGAATAGTAGAATATTTTGTTTGGTTGCGTTCTACGCGAAGCACATAAACACCTTTGACTGCGTCGAGGAGAAGACTAATAGTAGTCTGACGCACATGGAAAAATGGATAGTCTTGTGTTTCGGCTTTCGTTCTCTACCGTTCACTGGCTTCTTTGGCACTTAGTATCCCAATTTCTTGTGATCCTAACATCAGCTTGCAATGACCAGGAAATGTCAAGGCTCGGACGGTGTATATTGAATAGAAGAACAATCCGCATACCTCCTTGCAACTTCCCCTTGAAAAGAAAACAATTGTAAGGAATGGATGCCTTGTGATGCTTATTATGTCAACTTCCAGACGGTCCTGCAGTACAATGCGAAGGTTAAGTAATTTAGGATCCAAAACCCGACACGCATCTCCATATTAACCCTCCAAATTGTTAATAATGTAATAGTTGATCAACGTGGGAAAAGTCAGATCGAACAGTAAAATCCTATATGGAAATAAACGGATGAGAATGAATCTCTATAAAATTAGATTCCTTAGAACTACCAAGTTCAAGAGTTAACACCATTTAATTGGACAGTCCCTTCACGGATCAGGACACAAAATTCAGAAGCTTCAAGAGTTTTGCTGCAAGTATGATCATTTGATCTATTAGCAAACGGAGATAAGACATCAGTTTGATGATTCTCAATTGATTAATACTCCTTTTATAATACTCGCAAATCATAGAGCAGGGAATTTTCTATAGTTTCATATTTAATATCTATATAAAACCACATCCATCTTTAAGAGTTTTTGGAGAAACGAATCAGAAAGCAAGTATTTTATAAACCAGTTTAGGGTACCCTATTGCATTTTGATGTTTGATCTACAAAATTTAGTTAACTAGCACAGGCATTTCATGGGACTATTTAACTTGGGTTGGGCGGATATTAAATGAGGATGAAACACAACTACTGGACATAGAAAATCTATACAATAACCATTAAATCATCAATAGTTCTCAGCTACGGGTCTTGAAGGAAAGAGCCTTAAAATAAAGGTCAGTAATGACCAGAGGGAAACCACACCGAGGAATTGGAAGGTCACTATCATAACAATTAAGGCATTGTTTCTATCCAACAACTGTGCAGATTCAGGAAGGCCCCTCATGGAGAACATCAATTTCTCGACGAAATGAGCAGCTTTGGTTAATTGATATATCCTATAAACCTGCCAAACCAATTCAAATCATCAAAACAAAAATTCTAGCTTGGCTTCATAATAACAAATAGCAATTGTGTAAGTCCAATACCTCGAATATAATAGGGACTAGAGGCCAGCAAGACGACCCACGCTGATCCAGACGAATCTCAAAAACACGTTGTGCTAGGCAGCCAACTAAGAAGGGAAAGACAGAAACCAATGCAGGGAGGCCAAGCGCTGGCCAGGTTGCATACACAACAAGAAGAGGTGCTAAGACCTTAAGCCCCATGGCAAAGAAGGCAGACGTCAAGTACCCTCTAAGGCCTGTAATGAGGCCCCACCTCTTTGAACTAAATTGTAAATACGGCCTCTGAATTCGATCAGTAACAGCTAGGAATATTGTAAGACCGATATAAAACATGGCCTCAAAAGATAATGACGCCACAATTTCTGCACAAAATTTAACATGAATAAGTTTATGGATTTCTTTTGCCAATTTGCTTATACACACAATTGTCCTATCAAAAGATGAAAGAAACAAGAAATTGACACAACCCCCCCACCCCCCCGCGGGGGCCACCCTCAAAGCCCTTAACGAGATGGCAAAATGCAACTTTCTTCTTATGCACATCATCTGCCAATCACACACACACAAAAACAAAAGAAAGAAAGAAAGAAAAAGAGAAAGATTACTAACTGTTGAAATAATCACAAAGTTATGTAGCATAAATGAACATTACTTTAAAAAGGTGAAAATTGATAAATGCATCATCCTCTAACATAACTTCTAAATTTACTGGCTATGTATTAATATGAGAAATTTTTAACTCATTATTTGATCTCATGGCATGATGCGGGTAACTTCCAACAGAAATATTTTTGGAAGCTACATTTTGACAAGAAACTTTTCTAAGTCCATTCGTGCAGGTACTTCCAGACTAGTGTCTTCAAAGAGCACAAACAAGATACAACTGAAATTTGGAAGCTGAACTAACTCAGGCAGACAACAGTATATTAAAAATTGAATCGATTTAATGCACAGTCAAATTTGTAAGCAAGAACGATCTGCAGATTCTTCCATGAGAAGTTAACATATAGGCAATTCACCAAGTATTTCATGCGTCTTCTCTAATGCTTAATCTAAAAGAAGGGGGGAGGGGGTTAAGGAGGTTTTAAGAATTGAGTATGAGAAGTACCTACAAGAACCTCATCCTTGAGAAAAGCTTCAATTGCATTTGCAAGGAAGAACTGAGGAACAATCAGTGATGCTATTAATGCAACTGGTCCCAAAACCCAAAGAAGTGATCCTTTATCTTCATTGAAAGGAGCTGACACTAGTTTCCCTTCTTCAACCGATTGGTAAGTCAACCCACAGAAGGAAACAGAGCCTGATTTACCTCGAAATGCCTCCAACCCATGAAAACTAGCAGCAGGCACGCCAGAATCTTCTTTACCCATAAGGTTCAAATTTGTGTTTGTGCTAGAATTAGAACTAGATGCATGTATGATAACTCCTCTTTTCAAGCTTGTCAATGAAAAACCCTTAAATGCACTACCGAAACTAGGCTTCAGACATGCTGAGAAAGAGCAAGCCACTAGTTAAAGGAGCAAATGTTATGCACACAAAATACAAGGTATAAATATATTCAAAAATGTAAAATCTTGATTTAATGTAATTTAAATTTATAAATTATCTATCCAAAACGGAAACATAAACTGGACAACGTAGACGTTAATAAAATGAAGATAAAGTAAGTTCCCTTGCTTTTTATGCAGGTTCTAATAGAGTGTGGATGTGATAACATAAATTGCCACCAAAACGATATTCAAAATCAAAACGTACCTTTCGTGGTGCTTCCAAGCTTCACAGAAACCTAAAATTTATAAATTGAACCAGAAACAGAGAGAATGAGATGAATGAAGATTATTCTGGGAGACTAAAGCAAGATATGACAATTAAAATTCAATCGAGGCTTGATTTTATAGAAATGTGCTTACAATTTGATGACAGAAGGGATGGTAAGCTGATAATCTGAGTTTTGGAGCGATAAACCCACAACAAACTGATTGGAGTTCCATTTTTCTGGGAGGGATTTAGGGTTTAAGGTACTAATAGTCGCTGAAGCTTCTGCGTTTTGAATTACTTCTTGGTTCTTCAAATTGAAGTCTTAAACCCTAGATCTTAAACCTCTGCGCCGAGTCACTGAAGAGGTTCATATCATGATTCACGGTGTCCAATAGTAAACCTCCAGTTGGACCGTCCTATAGAACCCACGTTACCATTATGGCAAGAGCCCAGGCCCAATAATACTTTTCCAATGTGGGTTACAGAGTTCAATGGCCTATTCAACTGCTGGACCCGTGTTTAATCGGGAAGCATTAACATTCAGGTAAAATCTATTATTATTATTATTATTATTAGTGATTCTATTTGGTGAAACTAATACCTAGATGTTCTCCACTATTCAAGAACTTAGCTAAAATGAGTTTTTCTATAAATTTTGTTTTGCTAATTTACGAAATTCACTTTAAAATTGTGTTTATTTTTGATAAAATTAAATTTATAGAATTGAGGTAAATATTTTATAATATTTTTAAATATAAATATATGAAATTCATTTTTTTCATATTAGATGTTGATAGGGAAGATTCATACTTTCTTTTGAAGGTAAAGAAAGAAAATTTATACTTGAGTCTATATTACACTTCGATATATACTTATCGACAGTTTCAAATCATGAACCTATCATTTAGTTCGACAATGTTAAAATCCTTTTTTATATTTATAAGTGTCTTAGATCAATTTACATACATAAAAAAAAAAAAAATCCTCTCCTTCCACAATATTTCTTTTTTGAAAACAAATATATAAATGATTGCTAGAGTGTTTCTTAACTAATAAATCACTAGTTCAAGAACTGAATACACATTTTCTAATCCAAATTCTTTACAAAAAAAAAAAAAAATGGAATATTGCTTTTGACACACAATTTTCATATAAGAAATGATAGTATTTTTGTCTCCATGTATGCTAAAATTAGAATAAAATGAATAAAATATACATCTTTCAATCTAATTTTTCACGCTATACATGAGCACCCATAAGATTTATTGTAGTTGGTTATCCAGCTGTGAAACTTTTGTTGTGTAATGCAGGATATCAAATTTTAAATCATGAATACGTGTATACATAAATAAACGAATCTGAAATTGGATTAACAGCACCCTCATGGAACCAATTTAATGTTTATCACATTGTTCTTCTTAGTTTCGTCGGACCAAAAATGATTAATAATACTGTATAAGTATTAGTTTTAAAATCTTAATTTCTTATCACAGACCTATCATTGAAATAAATAAGACACTAATAAAGCTTTAAAACACTCTAAGCACGTGCGCTAAAATTGTGCGTTGCTAAAATCCATTGCCGGCCCAATAAGAGAAGGTTAAAAAATAAATAGTAATGATAATAATAATCATCAAGTGGCGGATCGCCATCAAGCGTCAGATTTGTCTTGTTCTTATTGCAATTATATGCTACTGTACATGACTCTGAACGACCCCACCTGGGAACTTGCAATTCTCTTCATCTCATTATCCTGAAATAAAAAAATAAAATCATTTATTTACTATTGTTCGGAAAAAATACAATTTGAAACATAATGGGATAACTTTTTCATTTTTGGACAATATGACTGTGAATTATTATAGTAGTGATATTAATAAGAAATCAGAAATATCTTCATAGGATAATTGAGGTACATCATTGTAATTATGTCCCCACCCCATCCTTCTGTTTCGCATGATAACAAGAAACCATTGACGTATTATGACATGAGCAACAAATTATGATACTGTGTGATTTTTCTTTTTTTATAGAAAGTATAGATACTGCCAATAAATTATATTTATATTTACAGTGAAATTACAGGCTATAAGGTAAATTCAAATTGTTTCAGTTTTTTGTTAACAAGTACATTATGCTTAACTATTGGTGGTAAAAGAAATAAAAAAAGATGAAACAGGAAAACAGAAAAAAGAAGGTAAACGTGGGAGATGCTTAATTTGGAAAACGGAATGGTCGGTAAGTTGCAAGTTTGAAATTTCAAAGAGTAGCCGTGTTCTTCTTTTTTTTTCCTCTAATAAAACGCGAATACATCGGCACGTAATGCCGAGTTTTGCCCAAACAATACGAGGCCCATAAGCAAAATTTCAACTGACAGCTACAGTGCATATCCACCGTCTCCCCTCCTCTCCTCTCCTCTCCTCTCCTCTCCGTCCGTTTAACCATCTCTAGGCCGTACACATTTTGCACGAGCCAAATTGTAGGACCCCAGAACTATAAACGTCATCAGCCAGGGCCAATCGTCATCAGCCAGGTTGGAGCAATAATTTTTCGGTAATTTAAAACAAGTTCACGTGCGAGAAAAAAATATCGTTTTTTACTTTTTTTTTTAATTTTAAATAGTGTGGTCCTTATAATTTTAAAGTTAAATTAATTTTTTCTTTCCTAATCCACTTTTATTAATTTAATGTACTGCACATAATGTTATTATCTCTCAATTGCTACGGAGTAAAATAGATATTTTATAAATTAATTTTTATACAATTTAAACTATTAATTACATTCTTTAATATATTCATCGAGCTAAAAATAAGATTTATTTCGAAACTGCAAGAGTATGTTATATTTAAATAAAAAATTATTAGTTATATTATCCCTTCTCATAAATAAATAAATTTCTGTTTTTGGAGCGCTTTCCTCGCACGTGAGCAAATGGTATTTTATGAATTGTCATCGAAAACGTTGAAAAGGATATGATTTTCGATAATGAAAAATAAATAAAATAATAGCAAGATTCGCAACTTACTGTAGGGACCACTCGAGTATGGTTTTATGCATATAATTTTATGCACATGTATAATTCTATAAACTAAACTTAATTACGTGAGTAGAAAAATTAGCCTTCGCTAAATTTAAAAATGAAAATTGAAGAGTTTCATATAAAGTCGATGAAGACATAATCATTTTTCTCTCTTAAATGTACGGTTTAGTTTTAGATTATGAATATTTGCAAATCGAAAACCATTAAATATAATTTACGTTGAGTAGAAAATTAGCCCTTCGCTAAATTTTAAAAAATGAAAAATTGAAGAGTTTCATATATAAAGTCGATGAAGACATAATCATTTTTCTCTCTTAAATGTACGGTTTAGTTTTAGATTATGAATATTTGCAAATCGAAAACCATTAAATATAATTATGTTTCTAAAATATTACTATCTTTATTCCATAATATTCGTCACATTTAGAATTTCATGTCTTTTAAAAAATTATTAAATTTGTATAAATTATAATAGATTATTGAATAAATTTTGACAATATCACCCTTAATTTAATATTAATCTCTAAGAAAATCATTAAATTGAAATAATAATTATTAGTCATACACAAAGGGTAAATATGAAAAAAAATATTTATTATTCTTTAAAACCGCAAATGTAATAAGTATTTTAGAACAAATTAGACAAATATTTTAGAACAAACTATTTTCTCAAATCTGACAAGTATTATGGAACAGAGACAGTATTAAAAAAAGGATAAAAAAATTAATTTGATGTTCTAATTAAATATTATTAAATTTAAGTGAATCATGAAGTATACTCTTCAAAAAACTAAATACTCAATTCTTTAACCAAATTACACCCATAGTTTCTTTTAGAAAAAAAGTAACAATTTCTAATTTAACAATATTTAACTAATGCAATTTATCACAAACATTACCAATCATCATTATAAAATCTAAAAAAAAAACCAGTATTCAACTATCATAAATACTTTTAATGTTTAATAGAAAAGTAAGTAAATTATTCTAAAATAAACAAATATATTAATTTATAAGCCCTTAAGCTAAGTGACATACACCGTCTGATTTTTATTTTTCGAATCCTATTGAACGTCTATTAAATCAAAAATTTGAATTTTCTGACGTAATGGGCCGAATAGTGAACATTTAATTGAGTCAATTTGCAAATTGGCAAGCCAAAATAATGTCGAAAACTTGAATCGAGAAATATCTCGAGTATAAAATGATCCAGCACTTAATCTAGCTAAATTTATATATAATTAATTTCCTAAAATCAATTTGAATACGAACAATTTTTTTTTATTTAACTAGTTAATGAGAATGTTATGAAACTAATTAAAAAATAAAATAAATTGAACGCGGACCGCCACGCAATTGAATTCGAAACCACACGAACAATCTCCGAAACCAAAGAGAAAACTGCAAACCGACAAAGGAATCGAGCCAATCGTTGACATTTGGATCCAAACCGGTTCCGAATCAACCGGAATGACCTTAGACCCGACTACCCTTCGTTTTTCTTTCTCCTCTTCTCTCTTCCCGCTACAGCACCTCTCTTTCTCCACTGCGGTTCTCCGTCGACAGGCCACGAAATGGCAACAAGCCTTTATCTTCACTTCCTCGATCAAGAGATCACTGTGTTCTGTTTTCGATGGAGGTCGAGAGTGAAGGAGCAGCAACTTCACCGTGCGCTTTGAAGAGTCCGCGATCCACGCCGTTGCGACGGCTGTCACTGAAGAACAGCCGATCGACTCCTCCCTCCCATGAACATCTATCCTACACCAATGTGTATTGCTTGAATTGAGGAACCACCAATGACCGATTGAAAGTGGCTGTGGAGCTCGAATCCGGCCATAACGACCACTGGCTCAATAAATGAAATCGGATCCTCACAAAATTGGAGTCGGGTGGTGGTGACCTTGCAATTTTCTGGGGGTTTAACTTTTCCGTCCACCGTGCACGCGGCAGCACGCGGCCCGTTACCGCGGCGAACACGGCAGCCCGAGAGACAGAATCTCCTCTTTCGCGCTGAGGAACGCGCCCTCCCAAAGTGTTATCTTCGGTATAAATTATAAACTTAATAAATATTAGTTAATTAAATTGAATTTGGGTAAATAATCAAACAAATAAAATTTTGTTAAGAAGCAATTGGTATAACATCGATGTAAGCTAAGTTAGGAATTTGGATAAATATTGTTAGGAGAAGTTATAAATTAAGACTTAGACGATGGATGGTTTTAGAATGGAACTATTAAGTGTATACATATGTGAGTTTGACTAGAAATTCGGTTCTAGTAATGGTATGAAGAAAGAAAGACATGTGTAGATTATAGATGATTTATGACATTGATTAGTTAATGTGTAATATATAATTTTGGTATCGAAAAACTCCGAATTTAGTTAATGATTATTGAATACATAAGCTAAGATAGTTTAAACTATAATGAGTTACGCAAATAGCTATTTTTCATTTATTTGCTTATTTATCATTACTTATTAATATAGTAAGTTAAAGTTACATTGACAAATTAATATGAGCGAATGTTTGATGGATGGAAGGGGAAAAATCGTTTAATCCGATGATGGGCCTTTGTATGATGAATGATACTTAGGTTGTGAATTTTAAACAGGTTGATAGATCCCATTTTTTTAGGGAGTCTGCCGGGAATTCGTAGAAATTTAGACGATTTAATTGAACATAACAATTAGTTTTTAATAGATAATTTACAATTCATACAATATAAATAGTTCTTTAACTACCATATCATTATCATTGTAATATGATTATATTATATTATATATTATTATATTAATTAATTATTTTATCGTTGTTGCTTATTTAAGATTATGTTTAATTAATTAATTGCAATTGAAAACAGGATGTAATGTGGCTTGCTATGTCAGCTGATCCATAAATGTCTCATCTAAATTAAATCTGATTAATTTTGTTTGTTATGTATGTGCTTGTTTTGGATGGATAAGTGGTCCCAATGGGTTTGTGAACTGTTTTGTTATAAACGACCTATCGATTTCTGTTTATCTATTCGTTAATAACGACGTTCGTTCGGTAATGAGAATCGGCGCCCCTGTGTGGCCACTGTTGTACTGTAAACCAAGGTGGCTTCTTATGGCGCGCTGATAATCTACGATTGATCGCAAAGCCCCCCCCCCCCGCCAGGGTGGCTCCTGTTGTGAGCCTGATAAAGATTGATGAGACGACCGGGTTGCCATCCTGGTGTGATGAAAAAAAAAAAAAAAAAGAGAGATGAAAACAACGGAGGGCTGGTCAAGTGAGGATTAGACCGTCGACAGCTATGGGGAATCGGCTCTGGTGACATGTGAAGGATGAGCCATGTGGTGAGGAAGCTCATCGGGGGTTTCGTGGACTCCATGACTAAATTCCACGTATGATTATTGAAGTGAAAATTGTTTGGTCATGCTGGCTGGACATGCCATTGTGTGACTGCTGCGGAGCATATAAATTGATGACTAGATTGATATGTTTACACATTTGGTGTAACGTGGTGTGTGGTAATAATATTACTCTTAAGAAAACTCACATGTCTTTTTAACGTTTTCAGGAGTAATTTCTCTTATATGTCGATTTAGGTTTACTTTCTTCGCCGCAGGCACCTAAAGAAATTACCCTAGTTCCAATAATTATTTTTCATGTAACTGTATGTAAAAAAAAAAAAAAAAAAAAAAAAAAAAAAGGCTATTATTCAAAAGTTAGTGACGTCCGCCAGTTGTAGAATTCTACATTTAGTCCGTGTATACGTAGACGAAAATGATTCTGTAGCCTATACAGGAGAGGGATGATTTAAGTGTAACGAATTGGCCCGAACTGTGGAATTTGTAGAAGATAATTTGGCCGAAGATGTAATAAGATTCTTGAGGTTTTATTTTTTTGTAATTTGGGACTGAATATTTGAAATTTTATTTTTAGTATTTCAGGCTTACTACGGGCCTCGGGGGTCTTAAGCTTACCTGGGCCCTAGTGCCGGTCCGGCCCACGGAAACGGGTCGTGACAGTAAGAGAGGAGATGTTATATGATTTTGAAAAATTATAAAAATAATTATTAAATTTAATATAAATAAGGGTAAAATTGAAAAAAAAATTAATTACTCATTAATATTCTAAAAAAAAAGATATTTGCAGAGAAAACACAGGCTCTAAAACAATAGTTATTTATAGATAAAAAAGTAATTATTATTGTCACCTATATTATTATAATTTCACAACTTTGAATATGAATATTAATATTTAATGTAAGGTTATCTGTGTGCAAAAGATAATTAGTATATCATATAGATAGGAGCGAACAAAAGGAAAGTGAGTTAAGTGCAAAAGATAAATTAGGTATATCATTATAGCATAGGAGGAACAAAAGGGAAAGTGAGTATAACAAACAGTACACACTTTACATATTGTGTATATTATACTTTTATCATTAAAATTAATAGAATACTAGATTAGAATTATTATTATTATTATTGATATTTATTATATATTTTATTTTATCAATTTAAATTCAAATATATTAATGTGATATATGACAGGCAAAATTAAGCCCCACAAAATATGACAGTAAGTCAGTAACTCTTAAATATGGCTCAACTGTCCGTCCTATAAATTCTTCTCGTGTTTTCTACTATCAGACAATCTTAAAAATATGGGTCAACTTTGACATTCATTGATGAAAATCCATACAAGGAATATTAATTGCAAAATTGTCAGGAGTATTAAAAGTTTGACTGATTTTAATACCCATTTCCAAAAAAAAAAAAAATAATAATAATAATAATAACAGAGTCATCTTATGCTTTTATTTTTATTTTTTATAAATTTATAAAAAAGATATGTTATTTTTCAAATTTACTCAAACATATTATTAACAGAAAATTATATTTAATTGATTCATTTCGATATCATTTGATCAGTATTTTAAAAAATTATCACCAATCAATTTAGTAAGAGAAAAATGCTTATAAGAATAAATTACTAAATAAATACTTTTTTGTGCCCCCAAACAGTTAATTTGACTCAAAATTATAAAATCAAATTGAAACATAAGCAGTTTTATTTAATTTTTATTACAAATTGAAGGCATTCGATTAGACGGAATCGAGTTAGCTCAGTTTTGCTCGAATAGTTCAACCAAATGCTCGCCCTTATGTTTTAGGAAACAAATTTTAATACGGACACGGACGTGTCACGTGGGAACAGAAGCAAGAGGCGACAAGTCTCAAAATGGTGATTTTCCTTCAACCCAACCCAATCACCACGAGTAATTCAAAAAGCATGCCTTTCACGGTTCTTCTCATGGACTGGACTCTTGTGTTTTCCACCACGATAAATAGACAGAGACCGTGGCTCTCCACTGGCACGCTCACAGCTCCGTTCTCCTTTCTATTTAATCAAAAGTTAAAAAATATCTCAGAGCCATTTAGGACTTGACCCTATTCCCACATAACCAGCATGTCTTCCTCTTCTTTGCCTTCTTTTTCCCTTCAATCACAATTACAGTCACTGAAAAACTCGTCTCAGCAGCTCTCCACTCGCCGACGATCCTCCGTTGCTCCTATCTCCGCCTCTGTATCTGAAAAACCATCCGTAACTAACTCACCTGTTACTGTTTCACCGACTGAATCCACCAAACTTCCGCTTCGCAAAATCCCCGGAGACTATGGCCTTCCTTTTATTGGTCCCATCAAAGATCGACAGGATTATTTCTATAATCAAGGCAAAGAGGAGTTTTTTAAGTCCAGGGCCCAAAAGTACCAGTCAACTGTGTTCAGAGTCAATATGCCACCAGGTCCTTTCATCGCTTCTAATCCACGCGTTGTGGTTGTGCTTGATGGCAAGAGCTTTCCCGTTCTTTTTGATGTAACGAAGGTCGAAAAGAAAGACCTTTTTACTGGTACTTTCATGCCCTCCACAGACCTCACTGGCGGCTACCGAATTCTCTCCTATCTCGATCCGTCTGAGACTAAGCACACTCAACTCAAGAACCTCTTGTTCTATCTTTTGAAGTCTCGCCGGGATTACGTAATCCCTGAGTTCAGTTCTACCTATAACAAACTGTTCGACGGTTTAGAGAAGGATCTAGCATCAAAAGGCAAAATCGCTTTCAATGATCCTGGCGAAGAAGCTGCTTTTAGCTTTTTGGGTCGGTGTTATTTTGGTGTAGATCCCGTCGATACAAAAGTTGGGACTGATGGACCTAGTCTGATTGCCAAATGGGTACTGTTTCAGCTAGCTCCCATACTTACCCTTGGCCTTCCGGCTTTTCTCGAAGAGCCCCTCATCCACACCTTCCGTCTTCCGGCTTTTCTCATCAAGAAAGACTACCAGAAACTGTATGACTACTTCTACTCCTCCGCCGGATCTGTGCTCGAGGAGGCCGAGAAGATGGGCATCTCAAAAGACGAAGCCTGTCACAATATTCTTTTCGCTACTTGCTTCAATACCTTCGGTGGTATGAAAATCTTCTTCCCCAACATACTCAAGTGGATTGGGCGTGCTGGAGTCAAACTTCACACACAATTAGCCGAAGAGATCAGATCAGTCCTAAAATCCAACGGTGGAAAAATCACTATGGCTGCTCTGGAGCAAATGCCATTGATGAAATCTGCAGTCTACGAAGCATTCCGTATCGAACCGCCGGTACCCGCCCAGTACGGGAAAGCAAAACGTGACTTGATTATTGAAAGCCACGACGCGGCGTTTGAAGTCAAAAAAGGCGAAATGATATTTGGATTCCAACCTTTTGCGACGAAAGATCCAAAAATATTCGATCGACCGGAAGAATACGTGCCGGACCGGTTCATTGGCGAAGGAGAAAAGTTGTTGCAGCACGTGCTTTGGTCAAATGGACCGGAGACTGAACAACCAACGGTCGGAAACAAACAGTGCGCAGGTAAAGACTTCGTTGTATTTATATCAAGACTTTTCGTGGTGGAATTATTTCGACGGTATGATTCGTTTGAGATCGAAGTTTCGTCATCAACGTTGGGATCTTCCATCACGATTACGTCGCTAAAAAGAGCAAGTTTTTAGGGTGCAGGGGGAAAAAAATAATTTGGTTATTGAGTTGCTATACTGAAAAATAAAATTATGGAGGTTGGTGGTGTGATAATGTAATAATGGCTCCAAAAAAAAAGTTTGAAAGGTGACGTGGGAGTGGTGGAGGTTCAGTGGCTTGTTAGCTTTTTCATTATTTTAAGATATGGAATCTTGTGTTTTTTAATCAGAAATATAAATGCTCATCACATTTTTATTTTGCAAATAAAAATTGTTGTTTGTTTGGCGACAAGTATAACTTCATTCTCCTTTATCAGAGCTGTTCAAATTAAAGCATCCATGACTTGGTTCAAACTATTTCTCTTTAACTAAATAAATAATTAAATATTATTCTATTAGCGAAATATTCAAAATAAGAAACACCTTCCCTGGTTACATAACTCTATAAAAATTATGGACAAACATTTTCCTTTCTTAAATATAATATAATATATATATTTATGTGCATGTTACAACTTTGGCTCGACCTCATTCACGATTTCACTTCCGAGGATATAAGGATAAAAAACAGTCAGCTATGCGCCTTAGACGGATGCGATGCATTTTCTTTTTTAAATTTATCGGAGGTTTTTATAGGTCGAAATAACGCTGTGAGTTATACAATAGGAGTAACCCTCTCTTTAATTCATTAAATTAGTTTGATGATTGTGCATCTATTTTTAATTCCTTACCATATCAATAATTAATATTTTCTATATTTATATATACGTTATATACCAAAATCTATATATACATATTAAAATTCAACCTGAAACAAATAAAATGTTTAAAAGTTAGTTCTCTTTATTTAGTATTATACTTTTCCTTTCTCTGTTAGAAAGTTTTGAATAATAATAATAATAATTAAAGATCGAAAAAAATGCATACACTCATCATATAATTATCACTCATCTTAATCCCTGTCCGTAGAAATGATAATGCGATATCCTTAGAAAGACCGTGAGCTTATCTACATTAAATACAAACAAAAATAGTCCGATTTCTTTGGATTGATTATTAGAAAAAGTCATTATAATCAATTATTATTTTTATAATTTCATATTTAACCTTACTTTTGAATATTTCCAAACTAAACTGTAAGGTTATTAAACTTTTATTTATCTTGCCTTCCTCTTAAACATAAAAAGGACTTCCTTACGGCCCATACGCGCAGTGCATGGACAAGCTAATGGCCCATGCCTCAGTGGGGATGCATAGCCCAGCCTGCTCTGTATTGAACAAGTACTGTCTTTTCTCTAACAGATCTTGAAAAAGTAATTGTGTTTTTGTATACTGGTACCTGGCTCTGAAATCAAATTGAGGATGATTGTATTTTTCTAAATAATTTGTACAAATATTATTAGGCAACTCAACTGCTAAAAATGTAAAATGTTAATCTCAAAATTGATGTTGATAATATTCACAGAGAAATGAAATTAATTAACCATCATCAACAAAAGCACTTCAAATCACTAAATTGCATTATATATCAAGCTTCTTGATGAAGGTGAGCTGTGTTCACTTAACCATAGATCTTGAACAGAAACAGGTGAACTATCCTTTGCCCATTCTTTCTCACTAATGGCCTCTGTAGTTAAACCTCTACTTTCCAATTCATCTTTATTCTTCTCAGTCAAGCTCAAAGCCTTCTCACTGATGTTGGATGAAGAAGAGCAGCAAGATTCATTTGATGAAGCTGTGTAATTCGTTTCCTCTGACTGCGCCCATCTACTTATCCTTATTTGATCTAATTCAGCTGCAACTTCTATCATTGAAGGCCTCACGTCTCTATCGAACGCCAGGCATCTAAATGCTACTTCTGCTACTTTGTATACAGAAGAAAGAGTCCAGTTATCGTTATGGACATCAAGAAATGGATCTATAATCTCCTCTAATTTCCCCTTTCCAATTCTATCAGTTGCAAGAGCAGCTAAATTCACATCATTTGTGGGCCTGTTAAAATCAACCACTTTCAAGCCTGTTATTATCTCGACAAGAACTACCCCGAAACTATAAACATCGCTTTTATCTGAAAGATGAAAATTCTGATGATATTGAGGGTCAAGGTAGCCTGGAGTGCCTTGCGGAGCGGTTGAGATGTGAGATATTTCAGTCCTGCCTAGTCTTGAAAGACCAAAATCTGCAACTTTTGACCGGTAATTATAGTCTAGAAGAATGTTGCTTGACTTTATATCTCTATGGTATATTGGAGGGTCAATAGCAGAATGAAGATAAGCTATAGCTTGAGCAGTTTCAGTAGCAATAGTGAGACGAATTGGCCAGGCAAGTCCTTCGCCTTTCTCTCTTTGTAAATGCTGACACAATGTCCCATTAGGCATGAATTCGTATACAAGAATTTGTTCACCATTTTCTATAGAACAACCTAAGAGCCTAACTAAATTTGGATGATTGACCGACGAAATGAGCTTGATTTCATTCAACACTTGCGTAGTGCTGTCAGTATCTCTAGGTTTGATCCTTTTAATAGCAACCCATAAATCATTATGAAGTTTACCAGCATAAACAGTTCCATAAGCTCCAGTTCCAAGCCTTTGATTCTCAGAAAAACTATTTGTAGCTTTCTCTATTTCTTTGTAGTGATAGATAGGAATGTCAATTCCTGTAGCTTCAGATAACTGGAGTTTTCTTAAACCTTTGGCTTTTGAGGTGGACCGTCTTCGGATGAAACAGCATACCAGACCCATAGCCATTAAAGAACCTGCTGCTGCACTGATTCCTGATAAAAGAGAATATACATAACTAGGTTTACGATTGCAATTCATATTGTGTATGTTTTAATTCATGTTGATTGGCCTGATGGTGTAGGAATTTAACTAGACATACCTCCGATCAAAATGGCAAGTCCAGCAGCACCTCCGCATTTACCAGACAAATAATTTACTACACCGCAAGAGGCTGTTCAAATTGTAAGACGCAAGAAAAAAAAAAAAGTGAGATAATTTGTTCAAGAGCGTGTGGTGTTTAGTGTAATTTGTCACCCTTCTTATTAAACAGGTTAAAGATTGACTTGATATTCATTAAAACCTAAAATAAAATTTTCTGAAATTTTAAATTTTTAACGTCTTTCTGAAATGTGAATTCACTTTTTACCTCGCATCAACTAATATGTTTGACGAAACCTAGCTAGCTACCTAACCTCAGGTAGTAGATTTCTCAATGCTTAGACATTGCTTCCTCCATACAATTGTTGTTTTCAAGTTGACCTTCGTGCCTCACTCAGACCATGAAAGTCAAATCATTATGATGATGTTCACCCTATTTTGCGTCTAAAAATTAAGATCCTATGCCTTGACCCTAAGCTGCTACTTTGTCTGCATATTAATGCTATTTTCTCTTGTTTTCTATAAATTTTAAATAATTAATCTCCTATGTTAATTTATTAAAAATTTTTTTGAGTATTATGAGAAATGATTTGAATCTGATCATATTGTCAGGTTATATATGTATTACTACTAAGTTATATCTTGCTACACTCTAATTTATTAATTTTGATTATATTATGCTAATTTAATAATCTCCTACGACAATTTGGATAAAGAAAAAAAAAAACTAAGGCCCCCTAGGAAACGTGTTGGGTTAGAATAGCCATGATAGTATATTGATTAATAATTAATTTAGTGGCCGTTATGGTTGCTTATCTCAATTGATTATTAGGAAGTTGATCAATAATATTGAGGTAACTTACCAAGTAAGTTAGCTTGGTTTGATTCCGGAATCAATAATTGGGCAGTCCCATAGGAAATAGAGTGGTACCCATATGCTTTTAGGACTCAATCCCTCCTCTAATAGGGCCACTAAACAGTATGTCTAGCCCCAGAAAAGGGACGGTTCCTTTCTAAAAAGGGACTGAACATCTGCGATCATTTTGCAAACTGTCCTAACATATTAGTATTACTATGTTAGTGTTTAATTAGCCTAGGAAAGATTTGATAATTAATATTTCAGTTTTCTGTAAAGGGACAAAAAAAAAAAAGAGTAGATTGCTTAATTTTTCTTTTTTTTTTTTATCATCTTTGCAAGTAATTAACTAACCTTGCCGGCATCCGGCACCAGCAGCATATCCATCACCGTCGAATCCATCTTTGCACTGACACTGATAACCCATTAGTCCTCGATGAGGAGTCTTAAATCTGTTACAATCGGCATGATCAGAACAATGGCAATCGCCAAGAAGCCACCACCCTAGCTCCATCATCTGAACGTCCAAAGACACAGAACCTTCAAGAGGCGCCGATGATATCGATGATAAAAGATTCCGGCACTGGTTAAGCTGAGTATCATTTCGGTGAAAGAAACCATCTGGAGTAAGATCAAAAAGGCAACTCATCTTGCTATTATTTGAACATTTAAGTGACTCGAAATGAGTCTCCACGCTCATGGCAGGTATATTACATGGTAAGAGCGTGGAGGAGGAGCAGTTGTGTAATAGAATTGCGTTAGTTGATTTGGGAGCGAAGTTTCTAGTAAACAGACTTTTAAAGGCTTGGATTGAACGGTTGCAATTGGGCTCGAGATTGATTCTTATTTTCTCTTGGGTTACCTTTTGAACAGGAAATTGCTGATTGATAAGAATTTGTCCTTCTGGACTACAATTCAAATGGATAGGGCAATCGGAAGAGAATCCAAAAGGGTAAGGAAATTGTTGGCCACCGCATGTCTGGTTGCAGGCTTGAGTAGTGATTAGTGAAAGAATAAAGATGGATGACAATAACAGAACCTTTTCCTTTAAAAGCCTCGTCATTTTAATTTTCAGGTGGTATAGGCCAAACTGAACCAACAAGAACAATTAATATAAAGAAAATTGAAGAAGGGTTGAGTATAGTAAGGGGACAGACTTCAACGGTTCTACGCCAAGAAATTTCCTTTTTCTGTGTTCAGAATAGAAGAAATAAAAGAATCATCAATTCTGAAATTTTGTGCTGACTGTGATCAAGTAAACAAGACAACTCGGAATGGGCAAGAAGTGAAAGTGATATATGAATCTGCTTATGAGGAGAGACAGTGAAAGTGAAGCACTCAGCTTCTTCTTTTCACACTGCTTTTGTCTTCTATTTCATACTTCTGTTGATGATATTGGTTTTTATTTTTCTGTTAATCAAATGAAATGACCATCGCATCCTTCAAATGGATATTGCTCCGTTACCAATACGGTTTTTAATTTTTTCCTGTTAATCAACTATATGGACCATACGCATCTTCAAATGGAATGGCTAACCTAAACCAAATAAGTATATAGTATTATATATATAGATATATTGCTTTGACCCTTTTTCGCAGCTTCATGTACCTATGAAATGAGTAGCATTTGATATACTCTCAATCTACATATTTTCTTAATGTCTATCTAAAAGGTTAAATATTAATTACAGAAACAAATAAAGTTCCCTTCTAACTTTTAAGAATGGATACTGGATTCTTGTATTGCGCAAATTGTTTGATTTAATCTTTCCAACAGGTAAATGAAATAAATTCTCTCTTTTATTAAATTTGACAATTTTTGAAATTAAAAAAAAAAGATTGAATCACTTTAATTCAAAAAAAAAAATTCAATTATCTTTTAATTAATGCTCAATTAATTGGGACAAAAATAGCACAAATATATATATATATATATAACAACTCAGGATTTGACTCTCCATGTCATAGGATTAGTTGAGCTGATTTTGACTAATAGATAATTTTTTATAAAATCAGAATGAAAATTAATAATTGAAATAATTACATATTCAATAAATTAAGTAGCCTATATGTATCCCTAGCACCTAACTCGACTTCAATTTCCTCTCCATTATCTTAATATATATGTATTTATTGTTTTTCTTGCAGGAATTCAACATTCAATGGCATCACTTCTTCAGGCAACAAATGATGACGAACACCATTTGGAAATTATTAAAGTATATTTGAAAAAGCTAAAAGAAAATAACCATTTAATCCTTTTAATTATATCCTTATTTGAACGTAATTATGATATATGTTGGATAGGAATTCGATGATTTCAACTCTTAGTCACAAGAGCAATAGTAACAGGTATTAAGGGTCCCTTCCCTTGTAATTATGGTGATGTCATTATAAGATAAGTATTGTCAGTCGTTAGATATGAAAATTAATATTTAATTACTAGTGCTCCCGCCATACTAATTTAGGGAGTATTACAATATTTTTATAACATAGAAGGTCCAAAATTACTCTTCCTCGCTATAACCTGAAATTAAGGGGAGACCGGCAGCTCTCGACGCTCGAAAAGCGCAATATATTGTCTATACCTGTAAACTACAGGACAAGGAAAGATTTTGTCTCTTGTATCACTTGAGGAATCCTTTCAAATTGAAACAAATAGGAGTCGTCTTTGATCCATAAAATGGAGGCAAATAGACTTTTTGACCAAAATAGCATAAAAAGAGGCAAAAATATATGATTAGCAATTCCATATGATATGAGTTTTGAGCTTTGAGTGCAAATATGGAGTTTTTTTGTATTGATTTTTATTTTATCACATTCTTATCAATAATGCATTATGTTAATCTCATTTGACTGCCTCTAGAAACAGGGCAAGATACCACCACAAAGTACGTTCAAATGTCAAATAATTATAATGAGAATTTTAAAAAGAATAATAAATGTCTCATTTTATAATATAAATATAACTTGGATGATCTTCCAAACAATCTTAGCATTTTAATTTTATTTTATGATTATTTACTTCTATAAATGATTTCTTCAAAAAAAAAAAAAAAGGAATGGGACCAAATCCATGTTAAAACTATGCAAGGGCAAGTCTGGTGGCCCAAGTATCTTGTGTTGACAAAAATGGCACCATCAAGTTGCAAGACCCAAAAACAGAAAAGGAAACAAAAAAAATGATTAGTGGGTATTCACGCTTGAGCACTTCGTTGGCTCCTCAAAAACGCAAAGTGATAATCATTTTTACACCGAAAGTAGCAGTGAAACCAAAGCTAAATGATTAAGCCATCCTCTTTTCAATCCAACTATTTTCTTTCAGGACAGTTTTAGCATTCAGATACCATTATTTATTGTCTATCTCCTCGCCCTATTTCTGTATGTGGGTCATAAGATAACTAACCAAGACAAGCCCTGAACTCAGATACTGTAAACTAACCAAGTTAGTGTTTCATTGACTGATGTTCTTTAAACTTTCTCATTCAAAATGAGAGAATAGTGAAGAAATATAACAACTTCATCAGTTTCTGAGCATTTGGCTTCTTTCAAAGGAATATTTTTTTCATCTATTGCTTAGTAGCGCTACTTTTGTTTCTTCAAAGTTTACGCATTTATTATTTGCAGTTAAAAAGTAAATCTCTCATAGCCACTACCAAAAATCAAAAAGCAATGTCATGAGTGTAAACACATTAAAAATATGTAACAAAAAGCAAAGCAAAAAGTATAAACACATTAAAAAGTATAGCATTATGTTTAATTAATTGATCTTTTTAATATTATTCTGCACAGTACAGTAATAGACAATCTGCTCTTATCCCCTTTAAATTCTTTCAATGAAAAAAAAAAAAAAAAAAAATGCACAGTAATCGTAATAGACAATCTGCTCTTACCGCCTTTAAATTCTTTCAATGAAAAAAAAAAAAAAAAAAAAAGAAGAAACTATAAAAATCTGCGGCTTAAAAAAAAAAAAAAAAAAAAAAGAAGAAACTATAAACTCTGCGCTTAATTATTCCTATCAGACATAAATATAGCACAACACCCCCGAAGAAAGATTCTTTGGGTCTGTCCGAGGCCCAATGGGCCTCAAACAATTCTTTTGTTTTTTACTCCAATAGAATCAGCAGTTGCCCTGTACATGTCTTTGCTGCTGTGCTGAATCCTGATCCTGAAGCATTTCTCTCTGCATGTTATAGAGTAGAGAATCAAGGTGCAGCAAAAGCATCATCAACCCACCGGATAGAGATGTTATCGGTTTTGGAGGAAACTGGGGGGCCAAATAAACGTTGAAGTGTAGCTCGGACCTTGTTGTGGCGCTTACGTTGTCGGATCCGCCGCAGAACCATCTCTTTATCCAGCGTTTCATTACGGTGAGCGGGTTTTAAGTAGACATGGCTAGTCACCGCATTTAAGTTTTCTGCATCCTCTTGGTCTTCCGTGCAAGTATCGTTGGTGCTGTTGTTCTCTGCTTCTGATAGAGTGGGTTGGGTTTTCCACACCAAGAAAGACATTACTAAAGATTGCTTGGTAGCTATGCAGTTGATAAAGAATTAAATATGGATAAAAGGAGTAAGTGAAGTGAAGGTGCGGTACTGATTTTAGCTATTTATAGAGGAGGGGAAGGAGGTTGATCTGGGGAATGTTATGGATTTCTTATAAGGATTTGGTCGGTGGCAGTGATGGGTTCGAGGTGGTCTGAGGGAAACAGGGTTGAATCAGGAAGCAGAATCCATGGTTTCGTCTTGAAGAAGTCGGTTGCAGGCATCTTGTTTATTTATTTTTAAATTTTAATTATCATATGGATGGCTTATCCTCAGTTTGATTTTCGTTTTTATATTTGGTAAGGAATAATAATAATAATAATAATAATAATAATACTAGTAGTAGTAGCAGTATAGTTTATTTATAAGAAAGTGGTCGGAACTAGATTCGCAGGAAGACTTGGTTGCTGTCTTTATTCTCTCTTCTAGATAGGGAGAACTTGTAACTTGTCAGGGTACAGAAATTGGGCCTTGGGCCCGTTCAGAAATTTAACTTAAATACTGGTCCATTATCGGAACCTTTTACCCTTTTCCTGCGACTGCATGAGTACATTTCTATTTCTCCACAATTCTATGGAACTTATTTTTCCATGATCGTATGTATTTAGCTATATGGATTTATGCTTTGAAAGTTATGTTCCTGTTTACTAGATTGAATAAATATATCCTAATTGTGTTTTACAAGTTTTGATTATTGAGTCTAAAATATATTTGTCTATATTGATTGCTTGAACTATTATTTCTAATAACATTGAAAATTAATTTGACGACTTTTAGAAATGGCTCAATTTGCTGTTAAGTATGAAATTAACTTGCTTAAATCCGGTCTATGAATTCATTTTTTTTTTTTAATGAGGATATTTTTTATCGTATATTAAATAAAAAATAAAATATGAATAATTTTTAAAAAATTTCTATTTTCGTTAGTTTAACTCAGATTATAAAACTATTAATAATTACTTGGATTTTTTCACTGAATTTTTCTAAAAATAATTGATTAACATAATGTACAAATTGAGGATATGTTTACCCCCATTAAGATTGATCTTGCACTTCTTTTTATAATGATGTTATAAATTTTCCTTGTTAAAAAAAAAAAAAAAAAAAATTTTATTAAATGATGTTATAAAATTTTCCTTGTTAAAAAAAAAAAAAAAAAAAGGGAGGGTAACGTGGTTCCAATTAAAGTTTGTAAAAAAAAAAAAAAAAAAAAAGGAGGTAACGTGTCCAATTAAGTTGCAATAAATAGAGACTAAAAAAAGAACAAATCAGTACCAACAGTATTCCTTGTTTTCAAGCAATCATACTCTTACTTTGCTATATTTGGACTTCAGTGTGCACTAGCTAGCCAGGCCAGCAGTTACGTTTGCTGGACACGTGGAAAAGTATTATTGGTCTCTTACAAGGTCCTGAATATTTTATAAGTTGAAAAGTACCAGGTGTCAATATCACAGGTACATAATGAAAGAACCAATCATCTTCTGCCAAAGAAAGGAAAATTTAGAAAATGGCAATCCTTTGAATGTGTCTGTTACACAGGTCTTCTCGGGACCCGAGTCACACGTGTCCGGTCGCCATTGGCTGATTTTGGGGCTTTCTATGCGCAAACCAACAACAAGTTTCCTATTTAGCGGATTCATTGAATATTTTAGGGTAAGCAACAACCGTAATTGTCTGAATATGATATTCGCACATCGATGGTAGTTGAAACAATAACGTCGTAAACAACTACTGTTCTTTCCAAATCCAGTTACAGTCCATTAATTCAAAGTTGCGTTTTAACAATTTCAAGAGAAAAGCTGAGAAGGGCCTTTCTTTCTTTCTGTTTTTTCCTGTAAATAGATAAATTATTGCAATTGAGTGGATTAAGAAAGTGAATATACCTTGTTATCTTCTTTATTATTGAAAAATTCTGATAGGCTAAACACATCATAATAATGCCTTTTTTTTATAAGTTCTTATATATTTCCAATATACAAAAACCTAATTTTAATTTATTAGTATTTATTTTTGATAAAAACAGATTATTAATTTATTCCGAGTAAATCTAATAATCAAGCAACTAGTTAAGACCGAGCATCATTCATATTCGTTTGAATAAATTAACGCTTTGTCAAATAATCATTAAAAGTCATTAATTACCAAGATTCTCACTCGATATTCATAATTAAATTTTTTGCTTTAAATATACATAATGTGTTACAATTCAAAGATGTATTATAAACATTTGTATAAAAACCTAGAAAGGGCATTCGATTAATACACAAACTGGAATCTTGATATTTATTTACAATTTTCTGACTTTTCCTCTATCAATTATTTAGTGGAGTTGAAGGGGATTATAAATATTGAAGTAAAAATTTATATGATGATTATATATTTTTTTTTATTGTTTTTCAAATCAATTATACGTGGGATTAATGTTCTTGCACCGGACTAGATTGACTTTCCATAGTTGCTGAAAAGCATATACCTTTCGGGGGGCACATAGGCTTGGTAAGTAATGGCATAAAAAAAAAAAGCACAGGAGCGTCCATTAATTATTTAGTTTGGAGAGTGCGTTTGCAGCTTTGTTAAAAAACAAAAACACAATATGCAAATTTGAAAAAGCAAAAAGGTTTTCCATTTAGTTTCATTTTGGTAAAAATAGTACATGATTTTATGCCACCCACTCCCCTCTTTTTCCCCTCCAATATTTCAATTTTCAATGATAAATAGCTGTGTAATTTTTACATGAATTAATCATATATTTTGTTGCATTGGCACTATTTTAAATGCATTACCCTATAAATTAACTTACATTTTATAAATATTATTCCACAATTCCTGTCACTAAGATCATCATCTAATGGTTTAACGCAAAAGTTTTCTTCTTAACCCAAAAAAAAAAAAAAAAGAAAATGCATGCAGATTCGTAGTGTCCATTTGCCTGTGGTGGGTGTACTAGATTTAGCTTTGTTGCAGGGTGATATCACTAAACCTATAGTATGCAAGCAATTTTCCTTTTTCCATAATAATCCAACAATAGTAGAATTTTCTTAGCTTCATAATTAAGTAATTTCTTTTCTCAGCATGGTAGATTTATAATTCTGTTTTTCTAATTAATTTCCAACATTTGAAAAATGGATTGCTCCAAATTTAGCTTCTGAAATCGTTATTAAACATAAAATTACAGAGTGTGATTAGACCATAACATCAGTGGTGTGTCTTTCTCCCGCAATTCTATAGTTCGATTGCTGGTTTTAGACTCTTGGCTTCCATTTTGGAAAATAATAATAATAATAATAAAAATTATTAATTACAGTACAATTTAATGAAAATACTCTTACATTAATTAAAACACTAGGGTGAAAAACTCGTCAAAAAATAGCAATTAAAGCAACAACCACAAAATTAAAACAACCTAATCAAACCAACACGCATGTTATTATTAGTATCTCTGTCTCTAGACGCAATACTAACGTCATAGTCGAACACGTGTCGGAATCTGAGAAATCGAGAATTGAATGACCGTTGGTTTTGCAGCTATTTATTTGTATAATCTCTGTGTCCTCTCCCGCCTTTAATTACTTTGTTTTCTGTATCCTTTTCTTTAACTTCCATAATCTCCTCTGTTTTCTCCAATCACCTTTCAATTTCTTGTCTGCCTTCAAACTTGGTCGTCGTGTGTGTGAATTGAAATGAGAGACGGAGGAGGAGGAGATTGCACTAAATTCGTTAACACAGGGAGCAGCATGCCGAGATCCAAATTGAATAGCATTGCTCATTCAGATCCAAATATGTCTTCCACGTTTCATGATGATGATTTCAATGTCCGTAACAGCAGCGCTTCCGCCAATGCCCCTGGCTTTTTCGACCAGAATCGGTTGAGCTGCGAAGGCTCTCCTATGACCATGTCACCATGGAATAATACAACTCCTTATAACAAAGCTCAATGGACTCCTTTTGAGGAAAATGCTCCTCAAAATGGATTAATTGGCTCTCTCGTTCGCGAAGAAGGTCATATTTATTCTTTGGCTGCAACTAAGGATCTTCTTTATACAGGTTCTGATAGCAAGAACATTCGTGTTTGGAAGAATCTCAAAGAATTTTCTGGATTTAAATCAAGCAGTGGATTGGTCAAAGCAATTATTATTGCTGGAGAAAAGATTTTTACTGGTCATCAAGACGGTAAGATTCGTGTCTGGAAAGTTTCTCCGAAGAATCCAAGCGTACATAAACGCTCTGGAACTTTACCAACTCTAAAGGATATATTCAAGAGCTCTATCAAACCAAGCAATTACGTCCAAGTTCGAAACCACCGTACTGCTCTCTGGATCAAACATTCTGATGCAGTTTCATGCTTGAGCTTTAATGAAGACAATACTCTTTTGTACTCTGCTTCTTGGGACCGTACCTTCAAAGTGTGGAGAGTCTCAGATTCCAAATGCCTTGAATCTGTTAGCGCTCATGACGATGCCGTTAACTCTGTGGTTGCTAGTAGTGAAGCTATGGTGTTTACAGGCTCAGCTGATGGAACTGTAAAAGTGTGGAAAAGAGAACAGCAGGGTAAAAACACCAAGCATAATATGGTTCAAACGTTACTTAAACAAGAGTGTGCGGTTACAGCTCTGGCCGTGAATCCCTCCAATACGGTTTTGTACTGTGGTTCCAGTGATGGAGTGGTCAATTTCTGGGAGCGCGAAAAGCAATTGTCTCACGGTGGTGTTTTGAAGGGACACAAGCTTGCTGTTCTGTGCCTCGATTCTGCAGGGAGTTTGGTGTTCAGCGGATCAGCAGATAAAACCATCTGCGTGTGGAGGAGGGATGGTAACATCCACACGTGTCTGTCGGTGCTGACTGGGCACACTGGGCCCGTTAAATGTTTGGCGGTGGAGGAGGATCGTGAGCAATCAAAGCCTGGCGATCAACGATGGGTTGTGTACAGTGGAAGCTTGGACAAGTCTGTGAAGGTTTGGAGTGTGTCTGAGTTGGCACCTGATGCTAATCAGATGGCCGCGATGCAACAGTCTTATCAACAGATGCCTGATGGAGAATCTGCGCCGTCCGATGGAAGCAGCAAAGCTGCGAAGTGATGCTCTCAACGCCGTTGGATGATTTTAATGCCAAAGAGAACTGGTAATACCACGTTTCTCTTAAAAATAAATTCTCTAAATACCAATATTATAATTGGTTAATGACACGTGGTGGGTTTTGTTGATGCAGAGCAGGTGATTTGCCCAGCTGAAAAGAGGGGGAAACAGGATTTTTGTATATTCCCGTGGATTTTGTGTGGCTAATATTTAATTCGCTTGACTACTGCGATTGTAAATTTACGAGCTAAGTTTTTTTTTTTTTTTTTCCCCTAATTGTGTTTTTGTTTTCCTTTTGTAATTCCATTCCAACTGAGAGATCTTCAGGTGGGAATGTAATGCAAAGTGATCTAATAAAAATTCTATGCATTTTCAATATATAATGAGCTTGCAATGAAATTTTATGTTCTTCTATTTACATTTTGAAAAATTGTATCAAGTTGTTGAAAAAACTATCCATTTACTTGCCAACCTGGTCGGGGCCGAAAGTTTTTGGAGTTTGTTTTTGAAGCAAAGGACAGTAATTGAACATGCGAGGCACGATAAATCTTGGAGGATTGGCAAGACAAAACACACATAATAAATCTTTAAAATTCACGAAGGAAATTTAATTCTAGCACATTACAGATATCAAATCCATATTTAAAAAAGTTGTCCCGAGTGACACCAGGTGTTAAGATAATGTAAAAGACACAGAAGTGGTAGGGTTCCTTGCACTTGTGAAGAATGTGACTTGAGAAGAAAAATCAAAATCCAGAGACAATTCCATGCATGGATTACGCTCTCCCGCTAGAAGTTGGGTGGTGGATACAGTGCGCAAGAATGATGTCTTATTGCTATTGGTTCAGATAGAAACATGGTCACCATCAAAATCATGTAATATTAGTGGCAGAAGCATAAAAGAGCAGTACTTTTTTTCCATTGACGTACACTTCCTTTTATTGTTCATTAGCAGTGAAGAATAATTGAGCTACAAACATGCAAGTAATTCTTACTTGACATAATGCTATATAACTTCTATAAGAACTGATGATGGTGATGATGATGATAACAGAAGAAATTACATCGAATAAGAAGGAAAATCACGTGAAACTGATAATCTGGAATACACCTACAATGGTAGGCATGTGACAGTTCTTGCAGAATCAAAGTTCTAGTGAGAGAGCTTACGAGAATGGCTCGTTTTATCTTCTCTTGGTAAGCTCAGACCGCGCAAATGACCACTTCTACTACCAAGTGAATTCAAGTCCATGCCCAATGGAATTGCCAAATCTCCTCCTTCAAGTAGTCTAAGGACCTGGCGATTATAGATTACTTTCAGTCCTCAATTCAAAAAATGGCTTAGGAAACAGTTACAAATGTTATATATGTGTGTGAGAAAATCTATCAAAATAAGGGGGGAAGTTATCAAACCTTTGACATTGCAGGTCTGGAATCTGGATCTGGATGGAGGCAGAAATAAGCTGCTCGTCCCATAGCCTGTAGTTGATAGGCGAAGTCATGGACTTGCTCACCAGCCAAGCATGGATCAAGCAATTGGTAAATTTTGGCAAAGACATGGCTTGGCTCAAGCGCAGCTAGGGGGTGGAACCAGTCAGATAAGAAGTGTCTTCCCTCATAAAAATGTAGATTACTAATTCTTTGGCCTGTCATGAGTTCTAATAAAACTACTCCAAATGCATACACATCAACTTTCTGTGTTATTTTTCTACCATCAACGTATTCTGGTGCAAGGTATCTGATTTGGACAATTCACAAAATTTGACAGTTAAATTCAGCTGAATTTAATTGAATGGATCTCCTAACATGCATTTAAGATTTAAAAGTTTTGGATGAGCATGTCTGTTAAAGCTTATTGGACATAAATAACAGAAGGTTAAAAATGCTAAAAAGAAGATTAAATAGAACTGGTCACAATAAGAAACTAGGATAGTTAAGTACCCTGAAGATCCAATTGCTCGCTCCTCTGCATTGATATTCCACTCAGAATGCCACCTAGCAAGCCCAAAATCAGCAACCTATAAACAACAGAATAATAGAGGAATATAGATTCTCCATCAGTATTCAGTCATAGAACAATTATGATAGTCGATTTTCATGATGATAATGAGTCCGCCATATAATACCAGTGAGTGTAAAGAGATTGATGTTATTTGGCATTCAAAACAGATTAACTTTGAAATAAGATTCTACATTTAAAAAGAAAATATCATCAATTTAGTATTCATTGTTCTTGGTCTAGCACCTAAAACAGCACAGTGTGAAATTTAGAAATTATCTAAAAAGCACGTGTAGCACATTAGAAGACGAAATTTAAAGTTCATGCTTCTTTAGGAAAAAAGTTTCAGAATTATGTAGTGTACCAGAGGTTCAAAATCATGTGTTACAAGGATATTGTTGGGCTTCATGTCTCTATGTACTATACAACCAACTCTACAATCTTCATGAAGATATCTTAAGCCTCTCGCTGTCCCAATTGCTATTTTAATCCGTGAATGCCAATCTAGAGGTGCTTTTCTGTTTCCTGTCAATCACAGTCAAAATGATAGTCCATCTACTGATCCAAATTTAGGAACCAGAATTACTAAATAGAAATAGAAGATATGGAGCAAACCAAAGAGTACTTATACATAATTCTTTATGTAAAGAAAAGAGAACATGGGATTACCGTGCAAATGGAAGTCTAAGGACCGATTGCATATGTATTCATAGACCAATATTCTCTTCTTGCCATCAATACAGAACCCAATCAACAACACAACATTCCTGTGTTGTGCGCAACTCAATACCTTCACTTCCCTGCAGAAATCAGCATCTGCTTGAGAACCACCAGACTTCAATAGCTTCACTGCAATCACCTGACCATCCCTTAATACCCCTCTGTAAACATTGCCAAAACCTCCTTCTGCTAAGAAATTTATATCTGAGAACCCTTCTGTAGCTTCCTCGAGCTCCTTGTAAGAAAATTGTCTTGGAGGTTTTCCGAAAAACGGTGCCTTGTGTTGACAAAATGAGCATAAAGGAGGGGGCACCGAGGATGTTCTACCTAAAGGAACTGCATTTCTTATGTTTCTTGCAGTGTAGTCCTTTTGATGACTCTGAGTGAGCCCATTTCTACTATCCCTAGAATCTTGATCGTATTGCACAAATTTATCAAGTAGAGTTCTAGAAGATTGGGGAGTACTCTTGGAAGTATTTATGTAGTTCCTTGTATGGGTCATAGTGATCTTTTCCTCAATAAAGTGGTTTTGAGGAATCTCAAGTACACTCTTGTGATCACTAGTTGTAGATAATGTTGGGTTTGTTGACAGAGTGACAAGCCTACCATCTGAATGAAGATCTCTAATTGAGTCATCAGGGTCATCTTGATTATCTGCTGGTGCATGTTTTCCTCTATCCATGCCTTCAAAAAGTGGATTTTGTTCATAGAAAAGGAAAAGTGGTGTCGTCGAGTCACAACTCGATAATGAACCTTCTCTGGTTCTCGAGTAGGAAGTACTTGTCTCCTCAGGGCTGCTTACTGGAGTAGAATGCTTCATCCTGTGTCCTCCAAAATTCTCATCAGGTGAAGAGGCAGCTGAATAGTATGGGGTTTGGATTTCATCCGAGCATCCTAAATTAAGCCTGAGGACTTTTGCTTGTGAACCTTTCATCACCACAATGTTACAGCGAAGCTCCTCTATGCAATGCCTCAGCTCTTGCTTTAATTTTCTGTTTCAGCACAATAATGCATGGGCATCAAATACTCCTGAACGTCAACATTTTTTTCCCATTATGTTGTGAGAAAAGAAAGCTTAGAGGTCCTCTAATTAATGTTGATCCAAGAGTTTCCATGATCATTAATTAACACCAGCAATCAGGCATAAATATTGCAAGTAACAAAATTGGAACTCACTATGCACTCGTGCAAGAATTAAGTTCATTAACATCACTGATTTATTTGTCTTTAGGTAATCTTAAAATGATAACTCATATTAACTGTCTTAGCATAAATCCAATAAATTAGTCATTTGATTAGTTCCTTGGCATGCATGTTAGGGAAAAGGAAAGGTACAAATCAAGGGAAAGAAACAGTATGATCAAATCAATTATTATATCAATAGCTCAGAAATAATACTTTTTTATGTATAATTACTTGTCCAGTACAACCCAGTTGGCCCCGATGTGCTTTGCCTCAGCTGCAACAACTCTGCCAGATGTACCTGACACCACCTTAATTCTCACTCCCACCTACAATCAAAAGACAATAATAGCTACTCAAAGAGTGATGATTATGAATGAATTATTGAAACACTGGGACCAGCACATGAGGCTCAAATCAAACGTGCCTATCAAAATCGCTATTATGGATGCTAACCAGTTTTAACCAATTGAGATCTTTCTTCTTTCTACTACATCTAACAACGATGTCAACCATTTAACTCTAAATAAGTGAGCAGAGAAACATTACCATAGGAACGAGTAACATTTCTCTGGTTACTTCCAAACATACTTATAAAATGTATCAAGTTTTAGTAGCTTCTCGCTTATTTCGGACCGTAGTTTTCAATTCCCACATAAAAATTGGGCTCTGAGCCCAATCGCACCACAAGATTCTCGGAGCCCTAATTGATCTTCAAACAAGCAAATATCAGAAGAGCACATGCCTTTCCTATCATGGACTCAACTTGTTTGTACCTGGAAGCAGGCCATCAAAGCCAGTTTTAGTTTTAGGCAAAAGTTATGAGCAGAACTAATAGTTGACACTTGACAGTCCGATCTCTTGGTGCAAGATCACTCGACAAAACTCTTTCCTGTTTGGATCTAGGAACCTCCAAACTATTGATACGTCAAACATTTGCTAGAAACAGCTTAGTTAGTGTACTAATTTTTCCCCTTACTGTTAGTCTACTACCACCAGGAAACACTGTAACATGAGTATTTTCAATTTTAACAAGCGAAAAAGGAATTTTCACAGGTTGACATTTGACAAGACAGAGTATACATATCAAATATCGACCTGAGGTTGGGCAAATGCGTAAATTGGAGCTTACTTCAACTTGGTTATGAAACTGAAGCACCATCTGAGAACAAGACTCGGAGATTTCAGAAGCGCGATCAAGTAACATTTCCCTTTGACTGCTTCCACAATCTCCTGTCAACCTCGGAAACTTCCAGAATCTCCTACCTAAATAACACATATTACATACATCAATCAGCAATTTATGAAAAGTAGTAAAAATTTTGAGCGTAATCAGCCGTTTAAATTGCAGAATTACCGGTTTTGGAGTTAGAAAGGACAGCGAGTAAGGTTATGCAGTCACCGGGATGGACAACGTGAGTCAGCGACCAAGCTAGTGCAGTCTTGGAAATTACTTTCTCCGCTTTAACGGCAACCACCACTTTATCCGCCGCTGCATAAGCGGAGCGTTGGCTAGAGCGGGGTTCAATTTTTCCCGGAAACATAGGGTCGTCAGAAGCCAGTTTCCTCCTTGCCGGGAAAATTAGGAATCTGCAATTTGACTATGAATATTGTCTCTCCTATGTTACTAAATGGGATCGCGTGCACATGGCTGATTTATTAAGCAATTTAAATGGAAGGGCAACTTTGGAATTCAATGTCATGGTTTATTGACAAGTGTAAGTGAGTAGCGAATTGAGAAGGTATTATTTTTTCTTTTAATTCAGAGCTCATAAAACAATCGGGGAGACTATTAAAGTAATTTAAAATCTATACCATTTTGAATGTCTATTTTAAAAAATATATATCTTTTTTTGCAATAGCAAAAACTCACTTGAAATTTTTACTGTATTCAAATTGACAATCCCAAAATTTTGACTTGCAGGATCCGATATTTAAATTCTACCAAACGAATTATTGATATAATGAAGAAAGGGCCATGTTGTGTGTGAGCGTGACGGTGGGGTGGACCAATTATTTTCCTTATGACGGCAAAGCAAGCTTATGCAACTGTCGATAGACAGGATTTTAATGGGAAAGCGCTGTCTTCCCTCGTGGGTGCTTCTCTTGGCTAACGCTATTGGAATTTTTTTTTTTTTTTCTCACTTCACGATTCAAAAATAACCAACAGGAAGTGCCCAAGGCCTCAAAATGAGAGGGTGATTTTAAGTACGTAGACGTAGACACTGATGTATGAAAACGAATCGGACGGTTGAGATCTCGCGAAGAGGACCAACTCATATGTGTGCCCTCTTAAGTCTTATCATGGGTGCGTATGAGAGAAGGTGTGCCAATGGCAAGTCGCACAAAAAACCATGTGAGTGTAGTAATGATCTAAATCGAGTCATCGTTCTGCCCATTCTTGGACCACTTGAGTTCTGATATATAAGTTGTCGATCGTGTCTGCCCATGGCTGCTCTTATGTTTACTAAGCTGCCTTCCCAAATCCTAACTACATAGTTAGGGTTTAAATATGGAATTTTCTTGTCTAATACATCTCTGCCACCAAATAACTTGCCAGATCTATTTATATATATAACAGGTTTTTTTTTTTTTTTTTTTTTTTTGATTCTAAATCGATTCATCGTTCTGCCCATTCTTTGACCACTTGAGTCTTCTGATATATATAGTGTCGATCGTTGTCTGCTCATGGCATGTCTTATGTTTACTTTAAGCTGCCTTCCCAAAATCCTAACTACATAGTTGAGGGTTTAATATGGAATTCTTGTCTAATACATCTCTGCCACCAAATAACTTGCCAGAAATCTATTGTATATATTAACAGGTTTAATTTTTTTTTTTTTTTCTTTTTGATTTACGCCCTGAGGGTACTGAGAGATGACACAGTTCATGTTGAAAATTCCAGTGTTTTTAAACTCCGATAGATTGTTTGTCTTTCCCCCGATACCAAAGCTCCTCGTAAAGAATAGGGTATTTTTAAGTTGCATTGAAAGAGGGTCAAACACACAATAAAGCAAGCAACTAGATATCCAGCCGATCCGAATAAGGAACAGGTTTTTTTTTTTTTTTTTCTTTTGATTTACGCCCTGAGACTGAGATGATACACAGTTATGGTGAAAATTCCAGGTTTTAAACTCCGATAGAGTTTGCTTTCCCCGATACAACTCCTCGTAAGATTGGTTTAAGTTGCATTGAAAGGGTCAACACACAAAAAGCAAGCAACTAATTATCCAGCGATCCAATAAGCTTTTGTTTACAATTACCAAGTCTTGCGTACATCAACCACGCGGCACGTGCTTGAGAGGTCCACGTCTAGTTAAGTTTTCGATATATATTAACTAGTTTTATCATTTTTGGATCAATTCTTCTGATATCACTGAAATTAGGACGTTTCACTGGTGAGACTGTAAAGCTGATCGTAATCGTTCCATTCAATTATTATCGATTTTCTTTCTTTTCGGCAGTGACGAGATATGCAAGCCCTAAAAGTTGTTCTTTTTCGCATAATTTATACAACTCTTTTAAAGCAGTTCACAGTTCTGAGCTTCGATTCTCTAACATGTTCGATCATGTGCAGCTAATGATTGGAGAGAAGCTCAAGTCAGGTGCGCCAATGAGGACGGTAAGGGTTAAAGTTAATCATGGACCCGCCATGGGCCCTTGGCCCAGAATCTCAATTGCAACAGTGTTTGAACAAGGCTTGTTAGGCATTGCCGTGGCCTGCAGCTACTTGGAGCAGATGATTTTTGGGGCAAAGATATTGGATATGGATCGATTCACTATTTGGTTACTTAAAACTGATTTCCCAAAATCTGATTTTAAGAGAAGTTGGAAAAGGCAGCTTTGGACATTGATCTCAGAAGAAGAAAACTGTGAGAGTAATAAGTCTAAAATATCAAAATAAAAACCAAAATCGTTCTGGAAAAAGAAATTAAAAGGGAATTATCGAAGCCAGATTTTTTTTTAGGAAGAGAAATTAAAATATGAAAACGAAAATCCTAACCCATGTCAGGATTACATGCAATCAACATTTTTTATTAATTTATTTGTTTGGTTTTAGTTCCTAACATTTCGAAATGGATAAAAATACAAATTACAACTGGTAACGTGTGACTTCCACCATAAAATTGATTAATTAATCTATGAATAGAGATGAGGGGGCAAGCGAGGATGCATAAGGATTTCGAGTGGAGTAGCTCTAAGGTTGGTTAATCCAATGTTCTCCGTCATATCAACTGGCTCATTCGATGGCGTTTCAATATCAAAACTATGCAGCAAGTTAGCTAGTGTTAGCTGCATAACTTGTAGCCCAAATGAAATTCCAGGACACCTCCTTCTGCCACTTCCAAATGGAATGAATTCAAAATTTTGGCCTCTCACATCAAAATCCTTATGGCTAGTAAGAAACCTTTCTGGTCGAAACTCAAAAGGATTTTCCCATACTCGCGGATCGTGGTGAATTTTCCATATATTGATGACAAGTTTTGTGCCTGCTGGAATATCATATCCACCTACTGTGCAATCTTCTGTAGACTCATGTGGCAAAGAAAGTGGCCCAGCCGGGTATAATCGTAACGTTTCTTTTAGGATGGCTTGTAGGTATTCCAAATTCTTTATATCTGATTCTTGTATTTGCCTTTCTCTACCAACATGCATGTCCAATTCATCTTGCGCCTTCTTTAGGGCATTAGGGTTATTAACTAGTAAAGAAAGAGCCCAGTTCAATGTGACTGCTGTTGTATCTGAAGCCACTAAGATTAAAGACTGTAATATGAAAGCATAATTAGAGATAATTGCAACGTGAAGACTTTAAGTGTTTGTCTTCTAATTTAGGAAATTAGGGTTCCAAATCCTAAGAACTCAAGGACAAATAAAATGCAAGAAAAAGGTACTAATTTGTCTTTAGGATAGAAACAATTAATGCTTACCAGGCTTACGGCCTTGTTGATAGGATCCGAATGTGGACCTTGAGCAACTTGTGTGTGATCAAGAATGTTTAGCATCAGACCCATGAAATGTTCCTCTCCTTGCTTAAAACCAGAAGCTCTCTTCTTCTTATGCTCCTTCAGCCAACCTTCAGCAACAAGGTCTAGTTCTTTTGCAGTCTTGATCATGGCCTTCTCAAATCCACCAATATCAAACCACCTCAAAAATGGAATCGCATCAGCCGCCACAAACTTCCCTATCAAATCAAAAAGATCCCTCAACCCTTGTTTCCATATTTTACTCTCTCCTCCTCCTTCTGTAGTCACATATCCAACAGATTTCCCAACTATTATCTCACAAATCAAATTTAATGTCATGTCACCGAACCATCTAACCATCTCCACCAACACTTTATTTTGACTATTTTTGTTTTTATCCCAAAACTTGTATAACTCTTTTAAAAATGTCCTTACCTCCGATTCTCGCACACGGCTTTGCGTCTGGATTCGTTGGTTAGAGAGAAGCTCTAATATTGCTATTTTGCGCATCTGACGCCAATATGGGCCATAAGGGCTGAAGGGCAGCATGGCACGATTGTAACCCACAAGTACACTGGCAAGAGTTTTTGGACGAGTGGCGAAAACTTGATCGTTGGTTGTTAGACACTGTTTGGCCATTTCCCAATTGCTTACTACCAAAGTTGGATGCATGCCCAGTTTGATTTTGAAGATAGGTCCCATTTTATCAGCCATTTTACCCAATATTATATGAAGTGGTTTTGACCCTCTAAAGAGATGGAGGTGGCCAATCAAAGGCCATGCACCTCCAGCTTCTGGTACTTTACGTTCTCTCTTCGTGCTTGATGAGTTTCTTGATTGAAGGTAGTAGACCGATAAGAGAAAGGATAATATAGTAGCCAATATTGTTGCAGGGAATGAAAGGATATAGAAAATAGCCATAGTACTAGCTAGGCTATTGTATTGTTATTTGGATAGTTGTATTTTAATGCATAGAAATTGCAGAGATGCAATGCCCTAGCTGTGCTTGTGAGGTGCTGTTATATAGAAAGATGGGCAAATTGATTGACGTATACAAAAAATCCAATGATTTGATTTGTTAGTCTGTTATATTCAAGCCATTTATTAATGGCAAAGATATATTATTTTATAGTTTAGTATTTTTCAATCTGGTTGTAGTGTTTGTACTAATCGTTTTTACTGGTAAATTAATGTTTTTTACTTTTCTATATTATATAATATTATTATTTTTAAAAAATCTAATTTTAATCACCGTAATTTATTATTGCTTTTTCTAATTTTTTGATAATGAATTCATTTAATTTAATAAATGAATAACTTTAATCACATTTTATAACCAAATATTCATCGGAACTACTTCCGAGGCTCTTGAATTATTTGATTATCCACCCACCTATGTTAATAATTCTAGCATTATTCGTTGATAAAACTATTGACAGAAGTAAAGTCATGCTATTGATGGAGTTTCCGCCAACCCTAAACTTTAAACTCTAACCTCTGAACCCTAAATCCTATGCTCAAAACATCATTCCGATGCTCTCTGTTATATCAATGGGCTCATTTTTTGGGCTTGCAAAATCAAGCCCATGTAGCAACGTAGCCAATGTTAATTGCAGTGCTTGAAGAGCAAAATTGACACCGGGACACATTCTTCTTCCGCTGCTAGACGGTATATATTCTCGACCTCTAACACCAAAATCTTCGTGAGTGGTCAAAAATCTTTCCGGTTGAAATCAGAAAGGTTTGACCATACAGGTGGATCGCGCTGAATTTTCCAAATTGTAATGAGTCTTGTGCCAGAGGGATATGGTAATCGCCTACGGTGCAATCCTCCATGAACTCGTGTGGCACAGCAAGGGGTCCAGGAGGGTATAAACGCAGCGATTTCCTTTATAATAGCATTGAGGTAAACCAAAGTATTGATGTCAGATTCATCTCCTAGTCTTTCCTTACCGACATAGATGTCCAACTCTTGTTGGGCCTTCTTTAAGACATCAGGGTTATTGATTAGCAGAGACAGAGCCCATGTCAGAGTCACTGCGGTGCTGTCTGAAGCTGCTAGCGTAAGAGCCTGCAATTAACAATGTCTCTCATTTTGTCCATATATTCATCAGAATATATATATATATATAGTCAGACGTCCACTGCGGTGCTGTCTGTAAAGACTGCTAGCATTATAGATGACCTGGCAATTTAACAATTGTCTCTCATTTTGTCCATATATTCATCAGGATATATATATATAATATATATTCTATGAATAATATATATATATATATATTCTGATGAATATTAAAAAAAAGAAATTCTAAAAATTAAAGCAATCAAATTGATTAGAACAGATTAAGAAAATACCATGCATGCAGCTTTGTTAATGGTATCAGAATCTCGACCTAAAGCCACTTGTACATCATCGTCAATAATATTAAGCATGAGATCCATGAAATCCTCTTCTTCATACTTAAAACCTGAAGCTTTCTTCTCTTTGTGCTCATTTAGCCACTCTTCAAACACGTTGTCTAATTCTTTCGCAGTTTTATTCATGGCCTTTTCGTGTCCGCCAATATGGAACCAACGCAAAAACGGTACCGCATCAGCTGCGATGAACATGCCCGACAAATCAAAGAAATCCCTCATTGCTCCTTTCCATCTTTCTTCTTCTTGATTTACAGTCATATATGCTACAGATTTCCCAACAATCATCCGTAAAATCAGGTTTATGGATATATCTCCAAACCATCTCTTCATCTCCACCAACACCTTATCATTTGAGCTAATTTTGTTCTCGTCCCAGAACTTGTGCAGCTCTTTTAAAGCTATTTTCACTACCGATTTGTTGTACATGTCTTAGCAACTCGAGTCGGTGGTTAGAGAGAAGCTCAAGCGTGGCTATCTTGCGCATTTCACGCCAGTAGGTGCCGTATGGGCTAAAGCCAAACATTGAAAGATCATTTGCCAAATGCTCCGTGGTGAGAATTTTTGGACTGGTAGCAAACGCTTTGTCGTTTGTGGTAAGACATTCTTTGGCAATTTCCCAGTTGCTAACTACCAAATTTCGATGTACACCCATCTCTTGATTGTGAAGATGGGACCATATTTGTCAGCCATGTCGCCCAATACAAAGTGGGGCGGTTCAGGCCCTCCAAGGAGGTGGAGATGGCCTATTATAGGCCATGCACCGCCAGCTTTTGGCACTGCCTTCTTCTTAGTCGCTGCAGTTTTTGAGATGCTCCTCGATAGCCAAAAGAATGAGCAGAACATAATCAGGAAGGCCACTGTGGTGGCCATAGCATTTGTCGAAACCAGAGAGTAATCCATTGACAATTATCAGCTAGAGAAGAATGGTGGAACTCTTTGGCCTTCTTCACCCTTTATATATACCTAAATGCCTACTCCTGTACCCATACAATAAATTAATAAATCATTATCAATATTTTTATCCTTTTCTTTACAGTGATAGTAAAAAAATGCTGTTTGATTACTACTAAAATGCGGATTAATTAGCTTAATGTACGGGTAAATATAAGTTCTGCTGAGCTTTTACTGAATTATTGGTGTACTAAGTAATTGCTCCAGTTCAACCATGAGGTGTTTTTGGCATTTTGAAATGGCCTTGTCAATAATTCTGCTATATCTTGAAATTTGTACGTATATTGCTGTACGTACGTACGTACGTATATTTCGACCAACTTCTGCAGTATGATCATAAATATTAAAAACTTCATTCTGTTTCATTAGCGTCGTGAACAGCAAATAAGCATTCTTCTTATTTTTATTCTTTTCCTTTAGGGAAAATAAACGTATTAATATATATACCAACCACTGCAATATTATAAAATACACATTAAAGAAACAAGAAAAGAAGCTTCTTCTGTTTTAGTAGAGGTGAGCAGGAAGACGAGGAGTAAGAAGAACATCAAGAGGAGTGGCTTTGAGGTTGGTTATACCATGGCCCTCAGTCATATCAACTGGTTTCCCTAATGGAGTTTCAATATCAAACGCATGGAGCAGGGTAGCGAGTGACAGGTTCAAAACTTGAAGAGCAAAAGAAGCTCCGGGGCAAATTCTTCTTCCAGTGCTAAATGGGATCAGCTCATAATTTTGACCCTTCACATCAATATCCTTATGGGTCGTAAGAAACCTTTCTGGTTGAAACTCTAAAGGGTTTTCCCATACAAGTCGTGTGCTGCTGGAATACGTTACGCCGAAGCGCCGATATTCAATACATTCCGTGCATTGATAATGGCGCTGCGGGATATAACCTATGATTCTTGAATATAGCCTGAAGTATGTTATGTGCTTATGTCGATCCTATGCACTTTTACGTTACTTTACCAACTTGCATGTCCTTTATCTTTGGGCTATTTCTTAGCGAGCTCCGTTATTTAGTATAAGGCAGATCAGTCAAGGTATTTAGTTTAGTATCGGAGGCTGCAAATTAGAGGCCTGCCAAAGTCAAGAAAACGAAGTAGTCAGAACAAAATATGTTTATACATATTGAATTGGTCTTATTCATATTTTTTTCAATGAGGGATTTTATGAAAAATCAATTTAGAATTTTTTTCAAAGAATTTGTATATTTACCAGGACAAGTGCTTTGTTGACGGGATTCGCATCTGATGTGGAAATCTGATTTAGCGTCGATCAGAGGACAGCATACATCCATAAGTCTTGCCTTGAGTTAGCCAGTAGCCAGACAGCTCTCTTCTTCTTGTGTTCTAACCATCCTGGTCATTCATGTAACACGCTTAGTTGGTCTTATGCCATCGTCCTTTTCAACTCGCACAGCAATATCCGAAGCTCTCAGTATGGAAGTGCATGGCAGACCAATGCAAATTTGGCCGAGTAATTCGAAAAAAATCCCTCAACAAGCAGTATCGGCCAGTGGCACTCTCATTAATAATCTTCGCTTTTTTATTACTACATACTCTTTTCCCGACACCATTTTTAAATTCTTTAAAGTACGTCCAACACTTTTCTCATTTCGCACTCAAGATTTTCTATTGTTGCTATTTGCTTCTTGAACTCAACCCTGTATAGCCGTTCTCGTGGCTTCCGTTCACTTCAGTTTGCTCTCACTGCGTGTATCAGCAACTCAAGCCGGACGAAGGAGAGGAGCTTCAAGAGTGGCATTTGGCGCATTTCGCGCCAGGTAATAGGAAGGGCTGTGCACCAACATGCATAATCGTTTTTTTTAACTCAAACACCGAACGAAAAGGCTTTGAGGCGATTAAGCAAATCGCTTGTCATTCTGATGTAAGCATTCTGGTTGACGCATCTGTCCAACTACTTACGATACAAGCTTCCGATGCACCATAGGCTTTGATGAATATATTTGGTCCTGTTTTCAGCCATTTTTGTCGTGGTATATGTGTGGTGGTTGCGACCCAGCCTAGCAGGTGGAGGTGGCCATAACTGGTAAAGTCTAGCGGTGGGTTCTGGCGCAAGTGGTTAGTCAAATTCTTAATTATCACGTGCCTTTTCTTGATTTCGTAATAAAGAGTGGATAAAGGAACAAATGCACATGCCATGGAAAACAGTCTCCTGGGAAAGAGAAGGAATTCCATGCGCTGTTTTTAAGGGATTATAACTGGTTATATAATATTTAGAAAACGGATTCAGGAGATGAGTAAGCTGTGTGTGAAAGAGGGATGATGTTTGTTAAACACTAAAGAAGGTCCGTGTTTCATAGCTAAGAGTTGTAAGTGCGATAGGCGACAGGCACACTAGAATTGAAAATAGGACCAATCGATGTGCCATCTCAAACCGCGAATAAGTGTACAAACGTTGAATAAAGATGTAGCGCGTGTAGGTTCAGGGCATAGTAACGATAGGGGCGGTTTAGGCTAATTTGTTTGGTGTTATTTAAGTAATATATAGTGTTTTTGTACTCATACAGAGTTTTTTGCGTAACTTTTAGTGCAATTTTAAATTACTATTAATATATCATTATATTTTTTTATTATGATTTATATATCTTTAATCTTTGGTGGTTATGTACATTTAAAATATGTAATTTAAGTTATATCATGGCCTAGTAATCTATATCGATATCTATAGTGTGCGTATATATAAAAGTGAAGAATGAGTATTAAGAATAATAGATTTTCTTCATTTTATGAAATGTATAGAAATATTGTAAAGTACCCTGAGCCAATTGAAAATTACAAGTTTATTGTTAGTTGATTAAATATAAAGTTATAATATTTTTTTGACAATCGTGTACGGCGCCGATTTGCTTTTACATTATGAGCGAGTATGGGTCTCGATTCGCATCGTCTCAACCCAGTGTCTTCACCCAACTTGTATTCTGTTAGCCAACGACTGTTAGCTTGTCGGCCTATTCAGGCCTGCTGTTGAATAAAAAGTTATTTTGTAATAATACATTAAATATTAAGCATTTCAAAATTTAGTTTTATTTTTAATTAATTTATTTTTTAATGTATATTAATAATGAGATTATTTATTAAATATTTAATTCTTTTAGAAAATAGATATAAAAAAAGAAAATATTTCTTTTCTTTATGTTTGCATGATATGATTGAAAATTTTTTTAAAAAATAAAATTTCAAATAGAATATATATGATATTTTATTTAGGAGAGAGATAAAAAAAAAGAAAATTTTTTTTATTACATGAGTTACTAATTTGATTGAAGTGTAACCCGCAGTATTATTTCGGCCATCAAGCCTTCTAATGAATCGAAAAAATAAATTTTTAAATAAATACATATATATAATAAGTTGTATAAATAATTAATGTCACTTGAATTTACTAGATAAGATAAAAGAAATCTCAAGATGATTTATTTTAAAATCTTGATATGCTAACTATTCTTTATAAAAGTTTCAAGTAAGCATAAATATACAATTCTTAGAGTCTTTAAGGGTAACATATGGAAAAAAATATAGTTAAACTAATTTAACTAACTATTTTTTTTCAGCAAAGTTAATTTAATTTAATTTATATATATTGTCCAGGAATTAATATATCCAAGCAGCCGATCAACAAACTATTTTTAAACTGAGTAAAGAATACTTCGGACTCGTATAATTTTGAGACAAAAGAATTGAAGGGTTTATGATTAAAAATATGGCTACTTGTAAGGCTGTGGAGATGTATTAAATCTTTCTAAAATCAAAAGATATATTGAATTATCACTAAATTTTACTAAATTCATATTACTTTATTTTTCATTTGTTTTACATTTATTAAAATTTTAAGAGGTTCATTAACAATGTTGCCCATCATAATTAAGCCAAAGGCAATTCAACTTCTTGCTAGTTATTAATACCTAAATCACAATGGAACCCAGTGTGTCCTAGATGAATTTTCTTTCTAATTTTTACATACCATCCACGCATTATTTTTATAAAATGAGTAACAAATATTATTTATTTTGCCGTCTTAATCATGGAATAGAAATTGTATTACAAATAAGAGGCTTCATTATGTTATTTTTATTCATAAAAAACCATATAAACCGAAATAACACATGTGCTACATAACAGTAATAATTCTTTTTTTATTCATAAAAAACCATACAAACCGAAATAACACATGCCCTACATAACAGGAATAGTTCTTCTTTTTAATTAACACATTCACCGTGTTGGTAGAAATTATTGGTACAAATGCAATGGAAGGCGTGGATTGATTAAAACTTCGAGTGGAGTTGCTCTTGGATTTGTCATTCCAATGCTCTCTGATATCAATGGGCCCATCTGTTGGGCTTGCAAAATCAAACCCATGAAGCAATGTAGCTAAAGTCAATTGCAACACATGGAGTGCGAAAGAAACACCAGGACACATTCTTCTTCCACTGCTAAACGGTATTAATTCGAAATTTTGGCCTCTAACGTCAAAATCTTTATGAGTAGTCAAAAATCTTTCTGGTCGAAATTCAGAAGGATACGACCATACACGTGGATCACGTTGAATTTTCCAAATGTTAACCAGAAGTCTTGTGCCTGATGGGATATGGTAACTACCTACAGTACAATCCTCGAAAGACTCGTGAGGCACAGAAAGGGGTCCAGCAGGGTATAAACGCAGCGTTTCCTTTATAATGGCATTGAGGTAAACCAAATTGTTCATATCAGATTCATTCACTCGTCTTTCTTTACCTACATGGATGTCCAACTCTTTTTGAGCCTTCTTTAAGACATTAGGGTTATTGATTAACAAAGAGAGAGCCCATGTCAAGGTCACTGTGGTGGTGTCTGAGGCTGCTACTGTAAGACCCTGCAAAATATATATAACAATGTCATAGCTTGGATTAAAAAATAAAAAGCCTTTACTAGATTTATAACAATATCATAATATGTGATTAAGAGAACTTAAATATTAATCGCAACTGATTAACATTATTGGGCAGCTGTTTTAATGCAACTATTTTTTTTTTTTTTTTTTTTTCTTCCCACGTCGAATCGCAAGCCCATTCTCAGACCCCTCCCTCTTGCTCCACGGCAGTGTTCACTCTCATCTTGCGCGAACAAAACTCCTGCTGTCCGCTCGGTATAAACCGCAGCTTACTATGCTTCTATCCTATCTTGTGGGGAGAATATCGAGGACAACCAATGGAACTGTGTGCATTTACCATCCTAGTCGGATTTTGAGAGCATTTCTCTCGGTTGTAATGTCAGTCATGATGAAGCCAGTGACCCTGCATGGATGTTCTACGCGAACAAGCTCTTTTGGCGTTTCCTTCTGAAAAGACCATATGTCAGATTGCTTCATACTGGAAGATCTTCACAAAGAAGAGAGAGGGATCCCGATGTCCAGTGGCAAGCTATAAAAGTTGCAGGATCTGTCGAGTTGTGGTTCTCCTGT